TTTTTGTTTCATTGGGTGGACTGCTCTTCCCGGCTTGCGTCAACTGTTTTTCGGTTTTCTGTAAGCTTCATACGATATTGGAATTTAACTACTTTCATTCTCAGTGTCTACAAAAAGGAACAAATTCCTTATTGGAATTGTCTTGAAAAGTTACGTTATGGTAACACCTAGGCTAGATCTTTCAGGTCTGTCTTCTTCCTCCCTTCCTAGCCACTCTCATTCCTTATTTTCTAAGCGTCAGAAGCTTTATCACCACGCAGGTTTATCTGTTTTAAAGGTCATCAAAGCTCAAATGTTTGCTTAAAAATTTTTGATTACAAAAGGAATCATTACCTGTCAGAGGCAGACTGTTTTTTTGGTGAGGGAGGTTCATAAAGGTCACCAGCACTCGGCTTACCGCTATAAAGCCTTGAACGCGGTTAAAAATGTAAGCGTTACGGGGTCGATAATATATTTGGAAATGATACACAGAAAGAACGTGTTGAAAAGGATAAAAAAGGTTCAAGTATTGTATATGATCATTTTAAAAATTATTGATGGCCTATCCTCGCAAACCTAGAGGTAGTAAATTGCCCGAGAGCAAAATTGAACGGTGATTTTGGTTCCATATGAAAGTTTGCTTGACGGGTTCCGTTAGCCGTGTATTAAACGAAAGCGCGGAAACGAAACCGCGCGCACCTCTCTAGTTTTCCTTTCGCCCAATTACTTGCCCTGAGTCTTTAACGATCGTCATAGTTGCATGCTATGGGAAAGGAATCTTTTCTCACTCAGTACTTTCATTGAGTTAAAGACGATTGTCAAATTTAATGAGGTAATTGTTCTCACAGGAATGTTCATCGCTAACAGATCCTTTGTGGCAGTTTCTAACCAATTTTCGGTTTAATTAACCTTCAATCTTTTTTTCCCCGAACTTTATAGCATCCGTCGTTCTCTCCAAAGCAAAGAAATTTCATGAAGAGTTTTTGCAATTGGATCTTAGAGAGATCTTAAATCTGCCCCACGTGAACTTTGGATAAAAATATACTCGATATGGCCTTTTGTCGCGAAAGCCCCTCGGGTTGCGCGATGAAAATGTGTAAGGAAGGCATAATTTCAGCAAGAATCGGTGACTGTATTCTTGGAAAATGCTTGAAAAAGTCAAAATAAACAAATTAGTGCACTTTTGTACCGCATTGTAAAATCCATACATTTACTCGTCCATCTCTCTTCCTTTTTGTTTGGCTAGCACAGCTGTAAAGTCACGGTGGAATGTAAAGATGTAAAATGAGATGATTGGTGGTCTATATACACTTAGAAAAAAGAATGACTGGGGAACTTGACGTTTAGTATGGAAACTTTTCCTTGGATCAATATACCAATGAAACCAATTATATTGGACGCAACGGCAGAATACTTTGTTACTTGGGAGCTCTGCACAAGACATCCGTCAAACCATGTTAACGAAGTGTTATGGCCGCTTCTGCTCAAACGAGGCGAATTAGGCTTGGCACTCTCTCTCTTTTCAGTTTGTCATGGAATAAAAGGAATGTTTGCTGAGGTAAATTTGGAAAAAAAAAATGCCTGTCAAACATAGGTCGTGCCCTTTCAATTGGTTTATCCTTCGTCTTAGAGGCAGTAACAACTTTGCAAGAAGATATCTTTGAACATAATCAACGTTAACGTGAAGCCATGACTAATTTTTCATAGCATACACTCAATTTGTGGGATTTTTCTCCCTCTCTGCTTTTCGCTCGTCTGCCCTGACTTAGAGGCTGATACAGAATAATCTTCTCTATAAGGAATTACGGACTGTGTTTGCTACAAGTAATTACGGTAGATATGTATTTTTCTCACTTCACTTACATCGATGGGCATAGGTCTCCAGTTGTAGCCTTTGAAAACTTTTGCAATTTCAGGGTTTGTTGCGGCCATCCCTTGATCAAGGTATGGAACAACTTTTGATTTACAAAATGCTTGCTTCATCACAACAAACATTTATATACATGTACACATATGTGATGAGTCAGAAGAATGACCTGTTCCCTAAATTTTCCGCATAATGGCGTTTACTTCGTCGTCATTGAGAATTATGCATCTCGGTCACTTTTCCTTAAACGCATCAATAGGATGAACACAAAATGAGACTAACCTGGAAATTCTCCACAGCTGATCTTTTCGGACATTCTCTTGTAACTTGACAACGGCGATGTATTACATTCGCGCAAGCTTCCACCCCACGCAAGATCATTCAACGTGTACTTTTCCGTTCAAATAATTTGTGACGAGATTTACTCGTTTCTCTGTGTTATAGATTTGAGTAAAAGTTCTTAGTTGCTCTACTACTTCCTTGGAGTCCACGACTTCCTGAGGAGAAGGAAATTCCACTTCAAATTCAACAGACGTAGGTCAAAGTACGGTAATTGAAGACATAACCAAATATTATTAGAATTGACGTCAATCATGCTTTGCTGATGACATTTGCGTCTTGCAGATCCAATTCGAACACATGAATTTCATTTCCGTTGCAGCCACGTTCATCTCAAAAGACAAAAATTCAGTCCGTGCGAATTTTAATTTAAAGCACAACACTGTGTGTTTGATTTTATTCTTAGCGAGACCCATCTTTTAAGTCTATCGTCGTTCGTAGTTTAAAAATATGCGTACAGATAATATCACCCAAAGAATCTTTTTTATCAAAAAGAATGAACATCGGCAGCGAGGGATGGAAAATAAATTTAGAACTGCAAATATTTGCCTTGGGTCTTTGACAATGGTCATAGTTGAATGCTATGGGAAAGGAATGTTTTCTCACTAAGTACTTTCATTGATTAAAAGACGATTGTCAAATTTAGTGAGGTAATGGTACAAACAGGAATGTTCATGAATAACACATCCTTTTAGGCAGTTCCTATCCAATTTTCGGTTTAATTAACCTTCAAATTTAATGAGGTAATGGTACAAACAGGAATGTTCATAGATAACACATCCTTTGAGGCAGTTTCTACCCAATTTTCGGTTTAATTAACCTTCAATCCTTTGTCGAACTTAATTCATCCGCCGATCTATCTGAAGCGGAGTAATTTCATGAATAGTTTTTGCAATGAGATCTTCCGGAGATGTTATGACTGTCCCATGTGAACTTTGGGTAACAATATATTCCATATGGCATTTCTTTTCGCGAAAGTCCTCCGAGGCGCCCGATGAAATGTTTATGGAAAAGGGGAGGGATAATCTCATGAAGAACCGGATGTTTGGTTCCTAAAGGTCACCGGCCGGCGGAGCCCAACAGGACGCCAAAAAAATTCCTTCCCATATTTCATACTTCGAGTTGCTTTAGTTTCTCTGTCTCACGGGAACAACATTATCCTTAGATATACATACATAACAAGAGTTAATATCCAGGGCAAGTCTCTGACTTCTGAATTTTGAAACTTTTCTGTTTTTGAAAAGATTTTACGTTCTGAATGGGAGGTGTATGTTGGTTTCTCGATCAGATTCTACAACAGTAATGGTCAGCGTGAAGTTTGATATGCATCAAGGCGAGATAAGGGCTAGTTCTCCCTGATAAATTATTATATCTTGAGTGACAACAATTGAAAGTAAATACGATATTTATAGACTTTCTGTTTAGGGTACTAACCTTTCTTCAGGACTGCTAATGTTTAATCGTTATCTATAATGTCCAACTTTCTCAAGAGTCCCGATCCGCTGACAGTTAGACTGAAATATTTTGAAAAGCGGAGACAAGTGTGGCCAAGAATACACTCTGATTTCCTCCCAGCGATTTCTTGGAACTGAGGTTGTTAATATCTTAGTCGTAACAGCTTGAAGTCAGTAGTCCATCTGTTATTGATTAGCTATGGACCGTTGTACTTAAAATAAGTATTTTACCGAATATTTGAAATTCTCTGTGTCCCCCCCCAGCTTCCTCGGAAGATAGCTGTTGACAATTTTATGGTATGACGCAAAAGTCAACCATGTTAAGACCCACCGTATCCGTCACGGTTTATAATAGTCTAAAAGTTCAACGCGCCCGAATTTGTTCATATCCTAGAATTTATGTTGATTGTATTCTTGGAAAATACTTGACGAGGTCAAAATAATATAAATTGTTGCACTTTTGTTACGCATTTTAAACTGATCCATAAACCTACTCGTCCATCTCTTTTCTTTCATCTTACTAGCACTGCTGTAAAGTCACAAATTAACTGCTACACAGTGTGACATAAAAGCTAATTGGTTGTTTATATGCACATATAATTTTTGCTGAAAAAATTCTGATCATCTTAGCAAAATTTTGGGCGTGAGTTTTCGCAATGTAACGTACAGTACCTAAAATAACCGGATAATTACCTACCTGTACCCATGGTAACCATATTCGCATCCAACCACGTACCCAGAGGGAAGTGAGCAAAATGACTTACTCCTATTTCTGTTTAATTCCTTACTTGTGGTATGAGTGTAATTCTATATATCTTTTAAATTAATAACTGTTTTTCTGGTGGGAGTCTGGTTTTAGATTTTGAAATCGAAAAGCGGATTTCGACGCTGAGAATCTTTTCTCAAGGCAGATTTTAATTAAGAAATCCAACTCCGGATCTCATTGATTTCCTTCTTTTGTACTTTTTTTCCGGGAAATCCGAAAAAAGATTTGTTTGTGACTGTTTTGATTCCATTACTTCCCGTCATGTGGTGACTGTAATAGATCAAATTAGAGTTTAAACCATAATATGATTGGCTGAAATGACTGATAAGGAAATTTCAAAGTAAAAAAAAAAAAGCAATGATTCATGAGCTTAAGAGATTGTACTCACCTATTTTTGTGACTCGTGTAGACTGGTTAAATTACATTTCATTCACCGACCACTTGTGTGGGATCTGGGGTTGTTAGCAGATTTCAGTATGTGTTTGAGTATGGTCCACAATTTAAAAGTCCAGTCCGTCTTTTATGCACTTCCAATCATTGATTTTCCCATAAGTCCCTCATCCATCGGTTGCTGACGTCACACACTATTTCCAACATGGCGGTCGCCGTGTCAATGTTTCGGTGGTTGGATCTGTTAGAAAAAGAATTTGACAAGACTTTTGTGGATTTAGATATTTTGCTAGGAGAGATTGATCCTGATCAAAGTGAGATAACTTATGATGGACGGCAGAAAATGACTCAGCTATCCTCTACCTTCGCACAGCTCGTTCACAAAGCGCAGACAATTTTTCAGGGAAATGCCAAATTAGAGGTACGGTGAGTTTTTGAGTTAAAACATTGCGAGCTTTACTCTTAAGTTGACTGTGATCATCGCCTGTCCAAGTTTAAGCTTTTAAATTTAATCGTTGAAAAGATAACACAAGGTGAATGAAAATAATCTGGTCATTTTAAATGTGATCAATGTTTCCTACTAAGGAACTATTTACATATTATGCCCAGAACAACGCTATGTCGCTATTTATCTAAATTCTTTGAAAAACGCTGGATATTATAGCTTAGAATCGAAACAAGGGAAAATTCATCCTAGTGTCCACGTTATGCTCTCTTTTTCCTATTTATTTACCGAAGGCTTTCCATTTAGTAATTTGTTGTCATAGTGGACTCAGGGTGACACACTTCTAAGGTTACTGGTAGGTTATTCTGAAATCGTTAGCAAAAAACGGTGGTCAGTGATCCATGAATATTGAAAATAGCTGTTGTGGAAAAAAAGTACAATCAAGTTTTCTGTTTTCTTTTTCCACCTACATGGCGATATCACCAGGGAAATGATGATGTGATGAGAGAATTTTGCCCAACTAAATTTTTTGTTTGCCATTAATTATATGAAATGAAAACATTACACCAAAAATGGAGATTTGAAAATGTTAAATGTGATTGTTGAAATATCTCCTAAATAGAATGGATAATTCTAGGTGATTTCAGCTAGTGTGAGCATTCAATCTTTCCAGTCATTAAAAGTTATATTATCCTATGTACCATGTTTGAGTTTATGGCATTTTATTCCATGCTGTGTTTATCAGCATTTTTCTGTGATAATTTTAATATAAGGATTTTTTTTCACTAGAACTGACATGAATGACTTTAACTTGAAAAGCAGAATATAATTTAATTTACTTCTGAGTGGGTCTTCCTTATAAATTTTTATTTTGCATCCTTAATGTGCAATTTCAATGCAACTGTGTTATAGGTGTCTTTAACTAAAAGGTGACTGAAAATGATGAAACAGTCATGAAAACTGAATTTGAGCCAAAAAAGGTGCACTGAATAGGTTGTTTCGTGGCTTTTTTTATTCATTGTGTAGGAGTACTGAAATCATTGAAAAGAAAACTTTTATGCCTCTTTTTATAAGTTAATGACAGAAATGTTTGGGTTTTGTCATGCAATGGGACTTTGGAAAACCAAAATTAAAGAGGGAGTCAAAATAATAGTAATAATTTAGTAATAATAGTAATAATAACAATGATACTACTACTACTGCTACTAGTAATACTACAACTACTAGGTATGATAATATTAATGATAGTACAGTCAACTCCCAACAACTCAAACCCTCATTGACTCAAACCTTACACTAACTAGAACTTAGTCAATTTCCTCATGATAAATTGAACCCTTAATAACTAAAACCTCTTGCTTACTCAAAGTAATATATCTTTCCCTTCAGGTCAGACTCTAGAATGTACTTTTACCCTTGATAACTCAAACCATGTCCTACAACCTCTATTAATACCTGACAAATGGAAACAAATAGTGTATTGCAATCCAAAACATTTAACTTGTACAGTAATTTAGTGTTCCATTTTCACTCACCTTCTCTATAATTAAATTTGATTTCAATATAGTTATACTGTAAGGATAGTTTTCATTAATCCTGATAACCCAAACTCCTGACACCTTGATCCTTTTTCAATTTTCCTTGAAGGTTCGAGATATTGGAAGTTGACTGTACCACTAACAATGATGATAATAATAATAATAATAAAATAATAATAATAGCATACTGTGGACCAACTATGTGGTAAGGTGTTGATCATAATTTTGTACTTTCCAGGCAGAGTTAGTAGCTCTTAGGCATGATCTGGTCGAAGAAAAAGCTGCCAAACAAGTCTTGGAGAAGGAAGTTAATAATTTGTTGCTACAGTTACATGCTGTTCAACTTCAGCTACATTCCAATACTGGAATGCCCCTGGACTCTGAAAATATTAAGAACAAATTAGTAAGTTCCAATACTTAAGCTGTAAAGTTCTTTGAAGTTTTATCATTTTCCTTAAATATGGTTAAGTGCCAGGAAGCACAATAATGTGGAACTAAAATTTTATCATTTATTCATGTATATAGTGGTAGTTGTGTACCTGTGCCAAACACGCACAGTGCACATTATTTTTTAGCACATTCACGTCAAAGAAATTAGTGAGTTTGCCCACTTTTGTAGTGTGCTATATTCAGGAAATAATTATTAGACGTGTTTGACAAGCTGGCACTATATAAGATGACCACTTTCCCTTCTTTTTGTCTCATTCTGTCAAATTTCTCGATCTTTGTTTATTCATATTTTGGTCTGTTTTTACAGGAAGATGCTTCAGTATCTATTTAATCAGAATTTAGGCTTGCATTGGATTCTCATTGTACTTTGACCCTCAGCTTCAAGAACTATTAAAAAAAAATTATTCCATGCAATAGTTTTGAGAAAAGTCAATTTTTCTTTTGGAGTTCTTTTCACATTATTTTACTTTATATATTTCTTTATTAGGAGAATGAAATGAGCATATATAAAAACAACGCCATGAAGGAGGCTCGCATGGACTGCCAAATAAAACAATTGGAAAAAGAAAACACAGGACTTAGGAACCACGTGTTTTCGTTGCAAGGAGAAGTATATGGAGCAAGACTAGCTGCCAAATACCTTGATAAAGAATTAGCTGGAAGGTAAGTTTGCTGATAGAAAACAAAATTGAAAACAGAATAGAAAACAGATAGATGGCAAAAACAGTGATTCCCTGAGGCACCATGAGCTGGCATTTTCACTGGCTTTGTGATGTTTGTGTAGTGCAGAGTATTTCAACTGGACAGATTCTTGTCCTGATGTGAATTATTTTAACCCTTGCTTTCTAACTGAACTCATAAAATGGTAATGAGATAAACTAGGAAGAAAATTATGAGTAAAAGCAAGCCCTGGTAGGAATAGATGGTGAGAAAAATTAACATTTGCTTGTGCCCTTTGGCCATTTGCCTGTATCCTACTTGGTATTTCTTTTTTTTTTTGTTTGTTTTTTTGTTTTGAAAAGTGTTTCAAGTGATCTCTATTAAGTTAACTAATGGTTTCTTTTTTTTCTAGCTGTCTTTTGCTCACCCATGAGAAAATGGACAAAGTCTGTTTTAGATTTATTATCAGTATAGGTATTCTGCCATTAACAGTACTCTTGGCCTTGTATTACAGACCTTTCTGGCATGTGCTGCACAATGTGCTAGTCTCGTCAAAGAACCAATTTTCGGTGCATGCAGGGATTTCAGTAAAAGTTGCTTAGCAATGGTCCATGACTGCCAGTAAGACCTCTCACTGCAGTCTGTTTAGCCTGCCAGCAGGCTCTTGTAGCTGGTTTTTGCATCATGATTCAACTGCCCATTACACCATTGACAGCCGCTCATTAGAAAAGTTTTTGAAAGCCCTGGTGCATGATAAACATTCCACATCATTCCCTGTGCCACTAATCAGTATTTAAACTGGAGTTCAGTATGCTTTTAACTCACATGCATTATTGAAAATAATTAGAAAGCAAAAGTTATGTTCTTTTCATATCATAGAATACAACAAATTCAGTTGCTTGGGCGTGACATGAGAGGGAGTGAACATGATCAACTTTGGAACCAAATTGAAGCAGAAATACACCTACACAGGCACAAAACTGTGATCAGAGCATGCAGAGGCCGCAAGGACCCCAATAACAAGGCCCCAGCACCACCACCTCCAGAACCACAAGCTTTAGAAGATGAAGATGATTCTGATAGTAAAGCAAGAAAGAGGAGAGGAATTGGTGAACCCAGGACTGTAGTGATTCAAAAGAGCAAAACAGAAGGGCTTGGAATATCCATTACTGTAAGGGCCTTTTCATTTTGTTCCATGTATGAGTATGTGGAATCATTTCCTACTCTTTTACTTTCAAAACTAAGCTTCTGACCCCTATGCTCCCAGGACAAGATCCAACTATTAATTCTAATAATCCTCCCTCTCACTGCTTTATATTTTGTCATAAATTAGTCAGCAGAAGTGGGTGGGACACCAAGAAAGGTTTGTTGATTCTGTTTAAGTGATTTTGTTAGGAGAAGTTGTTTTTCAAACATTTCAGGGATTTTAACTGGTTAAACTAAGCAAACTTTTCCACTGGGTCTTAGGAAACCAAAACCTAGTAATAAAAGTAACAGAAGTTTGCTCAACAATTTTTTCATTAAATTGATGTTACTTGTTCACTCATTAATACATGTGGTCAGTTATAGCTGAAAACAGTGCACATGAGTCTTTGACTTCATCTTTTTGTTCTGAAAGTGTCAAAGACTTTTTAGACTGTTTCATGTGGTGGATTTTCCTCAATTGAAGGAGTTTAGTTTGAACAACATGAAAGAACAGAGTTGAGCATAAATTGACCAAGTGCTGTTTCACATCTGTCAATGCCTTCTAAACAGTTTCAAAATTTAGGCTACAACTTAACCTTTTCATTGCCATCAACATCAACTCTCCTCACTTTCTACAAATTATTTCTTTTAATCTTCACTCAGAGAATTTGGTTTTAGATCAAACATTATGTATGCATTTTTCTTTAACACCTCTCTACCTGATATGAATTGACATTGTAAAGGGGAACTTCTCTTTTGAATCACTGCTGCAAGTGAAATGGTCAAGTTCCATTTCATAAAATTTGGAGCAATGATATTCCATTAATCAGAAACCAGAGATTCTGAATATGTGATAGCAAACGACTTGACCCTTTTCACTCTAACATCAGTATGCATATTCTCCGTACTGTTCTCTTTACATCTCCTAATGTGTGGACAGGGAGTGTTTCCTTAACAATTACATGCAAGAGCTTCTTTAGTTGGTTATCATTTCCTTTTTTCTTATGACCTTATTGTTTGATTCAGGGGTGTGGATAAGCAAGTGGGATCAATATCAGTATCTGGGCAACTGCCCACCTACCCTTCCCCTAACTCAACAAACAGTCAATTGATAACAAGTTAGGGCTAATGTTGGGTTAGGGGAGGGGTAGGTGGGCAGTTGCCCAGATACTGATATTAATCCAGTAAGTGTGACTATAAGGAGAAATCAGATGCGTGTTACTCTCAGGGGTTAATGGGTTAATACCTGTTGATAATGGTTCCATTTTAGGGTGGAAAGGAACATGGTGTGCCAATTATTGTGTCAGAGATACACGAAGGTCTCCCTGTAGACAGATCAGGGGGCTTATATGTAGGTGATGCCATACTCGCCGTGAACGGTATTGATCTTCAGGAAGCTAAGCATAGCGAGGCAGTGAAAGTGCTGTCCACTGTACATGGTGAAATAACACTTGAGGTTCTGTATGTGGCCCCTGATGATTCCAGTGATGATGAGGATACCTGGGAGGAAGACGAAGGACAGAGGTTAGTTATTCACGACCTCAAGTGGTTCGGAGGCTGGATAACGCATCGCTATCGAGTGGATAACGCAGTGGGTTTTGCTAACACTTATCCGCTGGATAGCGATTTATCCGTTGGATAGCGTTAACTGAGTGCCTTTTTAGCAACCGAGCTCGGGAAGGTATCGCTGAGGAAAACTTCGAACTAAAAAAAAAAAACAAAAAAAAAAGACTCTTATTTAGAGATTAGAAAGGCTGAACGCGTTTACTGTCTTTAACCCTCTAACTCCCAGATCAAATTTGTAACTCTCCTTACTATCAACCACATAATTCTTACAATGTTAGTTCAGAGAATTTAGTATTGGATTAACTAATTATCCCCAAATTGATATTTTTCTTTATTTCTGGTTGATATTGTACTGATATTGTAAGGAGAAAGTCTGTCTTGGTCACTCATGGGAGTTAAAGGGTTACCGGCGCCACAGGTCAATTTCAGCTCAACATAAATGAGTAGCGTTGAGTCCCAAAGAGAAGCGTAAAACAATTCGCCATCAGTGTACTTGTTTTCAGACCCCGCAAATTTGGGGATATCACGTTTCTTTGCAGGAGACAGGCTAAGAGAAAATGAACACTTTTGAAGCATGGTTAGGTTTAGTAAATCTTTTCATTCGCCACGTTCTAGTTACCGTCGCTGTCGTGGTCTGCATAAGGTCCCTGACAATTCAGTAACGTAAGCTTGAGGACATATTGACATATTGACACTCGATTGAAAATCGAGTGTCAATAGTAATGAGGGATTGCACTGGTTTCGCTTCGCTACGGTCCGTCATTGATAAAAAAGAATTCGTGCCGCGCTTTCAACCAATTAGAGGCTAAAGCAGAATCAGAAATAAAAATGTATGTAAACATTAAACCAAAATTTTCTTTCAAATCTAGGTACAGCATGCTGGGAAGAGTTGAGGACCCAGCAAATGAACTGTCTAATGGTGATGTATACATGACAAACTCAAAAAGAGATTCCAATAAAATCCAGACTACCGAGCAGCGGAGGTAAGACTGTCTGTTGTGGCGTCCATCTCCTTCTCTTTTGTAATTGATGACATTGGGAATTCACGGTGAGGGTTAGGAACAGGAAGATCGAAAACCCGGACCCGAGAAAACTGCGGAAAACTGCCAGTCAGGAGAGATTTTCAATAGTTTGGCGTTAATTCCAGTTTTGAAGTGAACTTCGTGGAATAAATAATGTCCAAGGAAATATATACAGTACGAGCATATTTTCGCGAAAAATTGAGGCTATTGTGTATGTTATCCTTCAAATATTTTGCAACGCGCGTGAAAAAATGTTTACGAATAGCTTCCTTTTTGCTGCGTGGAATGTTTTCCTTTGAGTGTTCTGTGGTGCGACTTTTTTAAAGAAACAAATATTCCCTCTCTTCTGTTCCAACCACAGAACATTCTCTCGTCTGGAATTAAATTTTAAAAAGAAGACTTATCGTAGTGGACGTAAGGTTTGAAAATTGGGGAATATCACTTGGGTGATAATCTCAGATATCCCCCAGTTCTATCCGTGGGATTTTCGGTCACGTGATATCTTTAGACCAATCGCGCGCGAGCAATGATATCATCATAAATATATATATATATATATATATATATATATATATATATAATTTTTTTTTGATTTTTTCTATTTATCTGACATCTTTTTTAATTCTGGTCGTTTCCAGTCCCCCTTCATCGCCTCGTTCAGCACCGTACCTTCCGTCGCATCCTGGGGCGGCGCAACCAGTCAGCGCTTCTCCTGAATCAGCAAAGAAGTACCGCAACCCAGCTACAATACCAGAGACGTTTTCAACGACAGTGGACAGCAGAGGAAACAATTCCGAGTTGTCATCAAGATCTAGTTCGCAGTCGTCGTTATCTTTAGCTTCAACGCTTTCGCCGCATCAAACCGGAGGATTAAATGTTGGGAGGTTGGAACCTTTGATACAAACTCCTTCCGAAGGGGAAGATACAGGCTCAGAGCTGTTTTCACCATCGACGTAGCGAAAAGGATAGCTGTAGAATCTGTTGTGCTGGGAATGTGAGAGGTTTATTGATACTAATAAGCAGGTCCCTGGAGCAGTCCACGGAATCTTTAAGTGTTACACAATTAAATCTCTTTGATTGATGTTAATGGATGCAGTTTTTGGTAAGAACGTCTTGCTAGGACGAATGTAGGGGATGAAGTCTCAGAATGAACGCTAATCTTTAGAAAACATCAGTAAAGAAATGCCACTCTACAGCGACACAAAGCAATGTGCTCTAAAATCAGGCATGTAAGATTTGTTTACCAAAATTTGGATTGTTTCGTGTCCAATGTTTTTTTCTAAAATTTCCTAATTTCACAATTTACAATCAAGTGGCTGTAGCCATTTAGCTATATGAAGGGTTTTTCTCCCTTTTCTTCCCTCTTTTTTTCTGATGATAATTATGTGTCACTCAGAGAAAACAAACCAACTGACAATCAAACACTTCATCACTTTTATGTTGAACTTGATGAGGGTAGAATTGTTGAAATTTCCTACCGCAAATTAGCTCTCTAAAAAAGACGAACTTAATCATGGAGACTATGGTCAAAGTCTTCTCATGACATGAAGGAAATTCTTCGTCAGTCTCCCCGAAGCCCAATGCTGGCTTGGAAAAAGTCTAATCAAAAGCTTTTTGACCTTTTCAAATGCAATAATCAGGCTACGGTAAAAAAATTATTGAATATTACAGACAAGTACCAAGAGATTTATGTGACGCACTGTCTGATTGGTCAGTCAGACCTGTCCCCAGGTTTTCAAAAATCCCAATTTCGTTTTGTCTCTGTCTTCAGAATAATGTTATGGGGATCTTCTTTGTGCAGACTCACTAAACATTACTCCTTATCCTTTTCCTCAAGTGTGACGAAGTTGCCTTGCCGTCGCTAAATTGGCGACAAGACTAGCTTTGCGCTGCACAACAGCGTTTAGGTCGTGTAACGTTGGCGGTGAGATTTTCGATTCGTCTTAAACTTCTCGTTTTGAGGGAGATGACCAAATTAAGAGTATATAGAAGTAATTGATATTGTATGAATTGTGAAGAGTGAAGTATAAATTGTATAAAGAGAGAAAATTTAATTTTGGGGGATTTTTGCACTTATGTTTCTGCCATGATACGATAGATATTTGTGATGTCACCAGAGAATTATTCTTTAGGAATAGATTTCGCTTTGTCTCGTACTTATTTCAATGTGCGATTTTTAAAACCTTTACAGACATGGCTTAAAGAAATAGAATTGACTAAATACGTTGTTAAATAAAAGGCAGTCTATGACTGCATGTGCCACTGTTGTAAAGTTGTGGACTACTGCAATAAAAATGCAATGTGGCGTACAATGCAGGGAGGATAAATGAACGGCTCTGGTCGATGCTAAAATTTTAACAAAAGGAGGACAGTTTAGCGACCGTTCACAGTGTCGAGAGACAGCCAATATTGTGTAGAAATGGGAGATTATGTCAGGGGACAGTTCGTTGGCATGAGGGCGATGATGTCTCATGACTGTGAATGATGAGAAGTAACGTAACGTAACGTAAATGATATGGAGAGACGGCAGATGATGTTTAGTGACGTCAAGTGAGTTGTAGTTACGGCAAACGATGTTTAGAGACACCGGTAATAACGAGTGATAGTAAATGACAGGTAGTGGCAACGATAGACTACGAGCAATCCCTCTTTTTGGGCGAAACCCGTCGCGCGAGGAAAAAAATAACAAGCGAGAAAAAAATGAAACAAGGAGTGTCTAGTGCGCCATTCACTAGCAGTAACACGCTCGAAAAATAGGGCTTCGTTTGTAGTCACTACTTTTTGTGTTTCCTGCTCCCAGAGTTCCACACAGCGCGTTAGCCCCTATTTGTTTTGGTTTTTGTCGTCTGTCCGATTTTCTTATGACTCGTGCACCGGACTTCGCCGAAAAGGAAGGATGACGATGAATGAACATGTGTAGAGACGATAAACGATGTGCTTCGATGTTTACTGTGGAATGATGTTCAGTCACGTTATAGGAAGTTTTAGAACGGTAGCTTATGACGTTGGGGTTAAATAAATTCTGGCAGCTCGGATGATGGCAAATGGTGTCTTGGAACGGTAAAAGATTTTCAATAACAGCAAATATAGTCTAATGACGATAGATAGTGTTCAGGGATGGTAAATGATGTGTGGTGTCGGTAAAAGATTTTTAGTGAAGGTAAATTTGGTGTAGTGACGGTAAATTATCAAGTGCGTCGTGCGTCTGGGAGTCTCAGGGGGTTAAGATTCCTGGCGGATCACGGGCGGGACTGGGGAGAGGGGTTTCATATGTCACGCAACGCTTTTTGTAGGGAACCGGGATTAACTAGTTGTCTTAGAGATAAATGACCCGCGAGAGAACGCAAAGGGTGGAAATAATACTCACGCCACTTCGTAGGAGATACTTAAAAGGGATTTGATTTAGCGTTACTTGATATTCTTATGACTTATGTGGTAGGGATTAAAATTGAGCTCGTGACCCTTCCGTGATTAGAAAGTATGCAAGATGACTCCACATTTTCATTTTCGTTTTCCACAATAATACATTTAACTTGCATGAAAAGGAAGATCCGTTTTCGATGCCTAGAGGTTTAGCATTCGCTGATGTTTTGAGGATGAAAATGCGTTAATTTACCGCCCTTAGGGTCTGGCATCCGCACAATATAACATCACTCGAAATATTAATTTCAAATTATTTATATTTTCGTTTTCATTGCACGTCCACTCATTACATTAGTTGGTGTGATGTCTGAACAGATTTTACCAACTTAAGAAATGTAGATGTTGATGTACATTAGAGGGATAAGTCTCGGCAGCTCTAGAGCTGGGAACATCAGTCAAGCAGCAAAACAATAATCCGAAACGGCACTTGTAGTTGTCTTACTTGTTGAGGCTGTTGTCTATATTTACCTCTCCATCACAGTCGTATGAAAACAATTCTTATAGCTTGATTTAAGAAATAAGTTAACCACTACCCCAGTAGTAATAATTTTTTCACGGGCATAACTCTGCTATCGACAACAAGCAGCAAACCTCATGTCCATTGGCAGACAAAACTCGATTCGTTTCCGAATATCATAGGCCATGTTCCAATATAGCGTGGTCCTTGCTTGTGGACATTTTCGTGATTAGTTTGTTCGTCTTGTAGTTGCTTCTATTTGGATCTTGGTCCCTTTACAACATTCCTGTTCTTTTCAGTATTCCTTAGTTTTTCTGTTACCTTTCGCTCGTGTCCTCCAGGATTTGGTCGGTTCGTGTTCAAATTTGCTTCGCGTTTTGTCCTTCCCTTTCGCGAAGTACTCACAGCATTTGCCACAGGATCGAAGTTGTAATGGTCGTACTCGTCAAAATATTCCATAGCTTCAAATCAAGATCAGAAATTACGCTGAGTTTTTAGGCAGAAAGGAAGCTAGTCGAGGTGAAGATTAGCGTTTGGACACGATGGCGCTCGTTGTTGTTTATATATTATTTTTAACCTGGGATGACGCAATTTCCATAAATGAATCGCCGATGTGATCTTTGATTGGTTGGAACTAACAAAGGAAATAAACTTTACTCTTGCGAACACAGCTGATGCAATTAGCATAAAATAGTAATAATAATAAAAAAAATATGTTACTCGATAACTATTCGCCGAAGTGGAGGTGAATAATTGTTTTAGCATATGCTAAACAGTGACATAATTAAGCATAAAAAGATTAAACTCATCTATTCTTGCAATCATTGCAATATTTATAGCAAAGGATATCAGAGCGCACTAATAGTAGATAAAAAAAATTGATGCGAATTAAACAAAATAAAGTTCATTTTAATTTTTTAATAATAGCGGGAATGAAAAGAAATAAATACATTTAACGTATAAACAAAATATCGCATGACTTTTGATAATTTTTGGATAATGTCTCACGGCATCTTGAAATAGGGTATACGCGTTCTGTCCAGATTGAAGGTAAAAATTCGAAGCCTTTGCTGATCCTCAGAATCATCGGGGATTCCAGCTATTCATTCGCCTTAAAATTAAAGCCTTTTGATCTCAAACCTTTTGGGGCTTCTTACATCCACATCCAAGGCAAATATGAAGTCACGGGCAGATTTGCAACAATTCGTATTTTATAGCCTCAATGTTTAATGACCGTCTTTTGCAATCGGTTCTATCAAGTTTGATGTAACGTTAAGGCTTTTTTTTTTCTAAGTGAGAGGCTCATGGAAAAAGTTTATGTAGAGAACAAAGGACGGATGATACTCAGCTATTCTCGTTTGAAAACTAGAATACAACGAATGAAGATGAAAGCTTTCCGTCTTTATAAAATCCCACAATCCAAATGGGGCGTTTGAACATACTACTGAACCTCTCCTGCCTATTGGAACTTGAAAGTCAATTTGCCTACAGCGGAGTTTTCCTTCCTTTACCAAATAATTCGAGCTCCCTGGTATGTAAGGCAATTTTTTGTTCCTGTTCCGATCCTACGAAAGAGTAGGAAATAATGAAACATGTGTTAGTGCCCTTCTTGCTGGCTAGAAAGTAATCCTCCCCCCAATTCTTAGTTGTGTTTCTTTAGGAAATAAGTTGAGCAGTGGGTCGCGTTATCTTAATTGTTAGTGCGTAACCGATTCAGAATCGAGTTGTCTGCCAACTTTGAGCTCCGTCCGGGGCCAGTACATTCAGGCAAGCCACAGTCACTTATATTATGCTTTCCGCCAATATACACATGCAGGGAACGGAGAACTTGCAAGAAGAATGCCAAGGGAGAATTCTCGGTGATGGGCCCGGGCTAGGAACCACACTGAGGGGAAAAGGCCAAACATCTCTACTCATTCCCGTTAACAACCTTATAGTATATGTTCCTGCAGTGTAGATTAGTTGACATTCTTCAGCTTCTTACAATCATGCGATAATTGAGAAAAGGCTCTGTAAAGTCGAGATTACCTCAGGATTACAATCAGGGGACGTCTTTGTATTGTTGGTCTACTGTTAGACTAAGGAATCAATTCTCAACCAAGAAAAAGGTAATGGAACATTTTTTTTCTCTTGGTACCCGGTATTCAATTTCAATGATAAAGTTTTTCCTCACTACAGGCCGTTATCCTTGTTCCAGAAAAACAGAAAGGAAAAAGAATAATTTTATAATCCCTTTCAACTATTCCGCTATTGCCGCAAAAGAAACAACTTGATATCTTTTCACTCAACTTTTACTGTCTGATGCGATTATTTGACTCTTTTTCCTCTTCGATCTTTTTAAGAGGATTTTGGAAAGTGTAAATTTATCATGAAATATTTTTCTCTGTTGTACAGTCCTCATCATTCATGGCATGACGTCCATTGGAAAGCTATGACATTCAAATATTTATATTAGCAATTTAGTTCGATGGGGGTATGTTTATCAAAAAAGGAATGCTGTATTTTTTTTCTTTACATACTCCAGGTGGGGTATGTGGAGAAAACTAATTTGTGAATGTAGACTGTTGTTAAAGCCACAGCTTTTATAATCATCACAGGAATTTTATTCTTTGCAGCGAAATATTTCAAGAACTTATCATGGACGACCGTGAGAATAAAGTATCTTAGAGGCGATTGACTTTCACGGACCACTTTTTACCGCGTTCCCCTTTTTTCTGTTTTCGTTGACCGACAGCACCGGTTTTAAGCCGTTAATATTTGACACAATTCCGCTTGATCCAGATCCTTGTTTGGCAGCTTATTTTCTATGGAAATTACTCAATATCAAGGGTTAATTAAGACCCAACAACTGCGCTGAAGTTACTGCGTTTGACTTTGAAGAAAGCATGCTTTTCGTGTGGTTTTTCAGTCTCGCAGGTTCATGATATCCCGCGGGTATTAATCCGATTTTCAGCCTATTGACACCATCGTGGACTGACTGACATACATATCGACCGCATATACTGGCTCAGCGAATTCCTGCGGGGTGACTCGCTTCGATAGGGATGGTGATGATGAAGATTTGTCAATAAATTGCGACCAGTAACTCGAACGAATGAGTTCTTACAAATCACGCCACCATTCGATGTTCGTAGGAGTTTTGGGTGGCAAAAAAAAAAGAAATCCATTCCTAAACAAGTTTAAACATACTTTACTACTACTTAAGATCTGAACTTTTTTCTCCGGCATTATCTCTGCACAGGACACTGGTGCATTTATTAAAAACCCTTTCTCTGTAAAACGCGATCTCCCTTGATAAAAAAGCAAAAAAGCAAAACCAAGTGTAACAGATGAACCCTTTCTTAGTCTGAAACTCGTCACCTGGTTGAGCTTTTGTCATGCACTTATTATCCTGAAAAATCGCCAACACTCACGACCGTTGTTCTGTAACTTTCAGATGGCATGTTTAAAAGGTCCAATTTTTTTTGTTCTATATCTTCACTGGCACTTTTTTCATCTTATCCATTTTTATTTTTTGTTGTACACGATGCTTTTTCATTTCCACACGGTTCTTTTAGCAGATTAATTAGCCGTATCCTCTCTTTCTACCGAATCGTTGCCTGACCATCGTCCTCTCTCTGGGTGTGGTATCATCAAGAACTGTGATCAATCTTTTTCCAAAGGGAATTTTAATTATTGCTTGCTTTTTATTCCATGAAATAATGGAAACTGTTCATGTTAATCGCTCTTCCTTACAACTCAGACTTGTCCATAAAGAATCAAATTAGGATCGACTTCTTCAGTTTCTTTTCCCATTTTTTTTTTCTTTTTTTGCTGGTATGTAAGGAAGATCATTTCTGCTGACTTTCCCTTAAGTTTAAACAGACAAGATTTGGCCAGAAACTAAGCATAAGCAAATCTCTTGGCGATAACAAAAAAAAAATATCGATATGGTTCTTCAATTAGGAGGAACAAGTCATGTCTATGGTGAAGACCGTATATTCGTCAAGTCTACGTCGAATGAAGGTTAAGATCTTACAGATCTGGTGGTTTATTGCTGCTAGAGCTTCTCTGGTGCACTGGTAAAGTCGGGTTGAAGTCGTTCTATTGGATGGGGCGATCTCATCGTAAACGGGGCGAAACGGTAGAGACGAACTTGCTATGTAGCGAGACATGCTGCAGTGAGGAATATTGTAGCTCCATTTGCCAGGAGGAGTTTGGAGTTCTATCCCACGTGGTCGATAGAATTCCAACAAGTTCCCTAGATAGATTGCTGGTACCTTGAACAAAAGAGGGTTAGAAAGAGCCCTGCCCAACAACTCAAATGACCTTTCAAAGACTGGAACCAGGACCTCCCGATCTGGTGTCCAGCGAGCTGAGCTCCAGGCCACCTCGCGCATTATTGTGAAAGAGGAACACTGACGCTCATCAAACCATTGACAATCCCTTTTGTATGCCTTTGGAATCAGCGATGTTGGAAGTTTGTGCAGAGACTTAAAATAGAAAGAATGATGGCTTCGTCGTCGAGTGAATAAAAATGGATAGTAAGTTCAAGACACAGGAAATGCTTTGTTTAACAGAGCAGCCTGAATGCACATACGTCTATGGCCTGTTGTACTGAAGTTGTCTTCTTTTTTCTTTGTTAAATCAAATCCAGGTCACGGAAATTAAATGTGTCCAAACACTGTCTGTTGTTTGACTTATGAGCGGAAATGGTCCTGTTGACAACCAAAATGAACAAAACTGGGTGAATTTTGTATGCATAAGAGTGAAGCTCGACAAACAAAAAAAAATTCTCACGACAGAATTTACGTTGCGGTCTGTGATTTACAGATTGTTATTTGAACATGAGCGCATTTTTTTTCAGTGAAACTTTCTCCAAAATGCATCTTACGAGAACTCTTGATTAGAAAACTTCTAGGGAATATTCCGCCTTCAGACAGAAGATAAAGACCTCCATTTTTTTCCTTAAACGGAACCTAGGGTATTTTTAGCGTGCATCAATAATGACTATAGCATAGTCATAAGCTTCTTTTGAATACTGTTTTCGAACGCGTAAATGTTCATTATAGTACTGTTACACAACTGATGTGTCAAGCCGGTGATTATTGTTCAATATCTGGTGTGCTTTGTTTGATGAGCAGTCGGTATTACCGTAACTTGCCGGCTTGTTAAGAAGGCGAGAACTTTTTGGAATTAAAACACACTTACTACAAAATTTAAACAAAAAGTATTACAAAATGCGCTTGTCAAAATAAACCTTCTTTCAGGACTACCTGATGCGTAAATCTGAAATTTTGTACTTCTGTTTTTTGAAATAACCATGATTTAATATATTTTAAGTGCTCTTTACAAAACATGTTCCAGTTATTAAGCATTTGCGCGATAACCTCTTAATTTCTCCGAAGAAATAAATTAAAATCAAAATAAACACAAAGCGCGGTTTATTCTCCTTTCACAATTATGGCTCAAATCTCTGTCGAGTTGCAATCAATTAGAATGTAGTTAGCACCAAGAAAAAAAAATTGCTCAATCAAACTTTACCATTTTGGGGTCGCTTAAGAATGCAGTTAAAAAATGACTTACGCAATGTATATAACCGTTTTAACACCGTTTATGGCCTTACAGACGTTGGGGACATGACCTGTTTGTGTACAGAGAGAGAACACAGAGTGAAATTTGTGTTTTGTTTGTGAGTTTACATTGCAACGATGGAGAAATGAACGTTTCTTTCATGACTTCAAAGTAATGCAAATGAGTGCAGAACTTAAATTTTTTTTTCTGACCGGCTCTCATGCTCGCTTTGTCAAACCCGGCACTGTTTATATTGTAATAAAATGCGCTTTCTATGAAAACGGCGCTAAGAAAGAAACGAATAGCGGGAATTGTACAAAGTAAAACTGCTAATCTTTTGTTTTTTCGGCATTTTTTGAAGTCCTTTTATATGACAACCTGGCTTTACAAAAGCGATATCATGTCGGCTTAGAGCACTTGTCGGTCTTTTGAGAAGCAAGCAGAACTGGCAGGTTGCAGAATAGGTTCACGGAGTAATCCGCAAATTCTTCCCACGACGTGAAACAAAATTTAGTCTTCATTTATTCCTGACCCTTCGAAATGTTGTCAGGCGATTTGACAAATCGGTAAATAGAGACCAACTCTCAAACACAGATCAGTTTGTTAATGCTATAACAAGTCGGAAGATGTGATCGGCAGATTTGTAATATATATTTAGAGATGAGAACCTGCGCCGAAAGAACTTCCAAAAAAACCTCAAGTTACTCAAAGAAAAATGACACAAAATGTCATATGAAGCTTTGATGTGATTCTAATCACACAAACGGGTCGTATTAACGCTTTCTTTCTTACCTTCGATGTTTGGTTTTCTTTGACAAAAGTTGTTAATAGCGCGCGCTCCTAGATGAAAAATGCTAATTTCCAAACATATTAAACTTGTACCGATTTATGTTCACAGTGTGATTCAGAGATTTGTAAACAGAGCACACAATGAGTTCAGTTTTACAGAAGAAGTCTATAAAAATATCAATCACGCCTCGCAAAAGGGTATTTGTTTGTTTACATAAGCACAGTAGGGCTCTCGTTTCCCTGTATTGAAATTAACTTGTCTTAAAAGACAAAGAATGTATCGCCAATAAAACCAGCAATAACAAAACAGTTAGTTGATTCAAAGAGCTTTAATTACTTTGTGTGGGAGGATTTATGGACTATATCAAGCAATATTGTATCTTTTGAGCTACAGGTAATTAACACGTGTATACTGAGGCCTGTGTTTAGTGCTCTACTATCAGAGAACTGCGGAGCTCCTTTTAATTGTTCAAACGTAACAATTTCGCGAGTGCGCACTGAAGCCGGACGTCGGATTTGACCGCTTAATGAGCGGAGGCGTTGGACAGCTAAGCTATACTGAATAGGACAACAGTTCCGTAGCGGAACACGACAGTTTGCAAGAGCAGTGTGCGCAAGATGAATACAACTGATTCAAGTTCCTCTACGGATTCCACAAAGACTTCAGAGAAAATTAAGAGGCCATTAAACGCCTTTATCCTTTGGTCCAAGAAGAGGAGGAGGGTCATTGCCAACGAAAATCCGCAGATGCACAACTTTGACATCAGTAGAAAACTGGGCTTGGAATGGCAAAAACTGTCCGAGGAAGAGAAAGCGAATTACTTCGAAGAAGCCAAGCGTTTGAAAGAGGAGCATAAACAACAATATCCTGATTACAAATACCAACCAAGAAAACGTGATAAAACAAACAAAAGAAACAAGCTCCTTCACGGGACGCCGTTTCAGTTCAGCTTCTATCCGCATGACACTACGGGGTTCTTCGATAGCAGGTACCATTTCCCAGTGCCTGACTCGAGGCCATCGTTTCCTGCGGAACCCTTGCCACCTCACGGAGAACCCTCTGGTGTAAGCAGCGAGGATCATATAACACACAGCACTCACGCAAAAGCAACACACACGGATCACAGTACCCACAGTGTCATTTACCAGAGCTTCCGGCCTCAGTCTTGCGATGGTTTTGTACCGTACAGGAGTCTGGAGCCTCCATACCTGCCTCTACGGCCCAATTTTGACTTCTCGCATCTAAACTGGTACGGTTCGTCTTCGGCTTCCAGCCGCATTGCCCCTGTACCGTACTGTAGTCGAATGTACCCATGGCACGCGGCGCGTCAAACCGATTTCCACTCGTGAGAACGGCGCGCCATGAACTCTCGAAACTTAGCGAGTTTACCAAGAAAGAAACATTTGAAGGTATAGTAGAGGCGTAAAGACATATTATTTGGCAATTTAGGATGTAAAAATGCGAGCAGAGACATTATTAAATTTATTGCTGATCAAAACGACGTTGAAATTGTTAGTTTAATTGGTGAAGACACTTCTAAAGTACCTCATGATTACTTAAATTTCACTTTGCGGGCAGCTCATCGTCTTAAGTAGACGCAAAAACCTAATGTAGAAGGTAATAGCAAAACGGAAGTGGCTTTTCGTTATTGTTATTGTTGCTTTTAACTATTTTGTAAAGTACAGTAACTTAAATCGAACGCGGTACTTTACATTTTGTGAAAAGCTGTTTGCAAATATACCGACGTGTACAGTTTAGTTCATCGACTCGCTGTTCCGTATATCCAATTTTTTGCAGAAACTCGTTCTAAACTTAAATTTATAGGCGATGAATCATTGCACGAAGTCTTATTTGGAAAACGAAAGTCTTCGATTACAATAAATCATTTAGTTAATGAAAAGTCAATTTTTACTCATTTAAGAACGTTAGAAGGCTGTAAATTGACAATAAGGTACAATAGTCAATTTTTTTTACTAGCTGGTAAGAAACGGAAAAATGTGACTAGTGCTTTGTCCTGACTGATCTTCTCATATGAGCACCAAACATTCTCCCGAGGCTCTGTAAACTTGACCGTGTAAATTTTGAGTGAAGAAAGCGGCTTTTTGTCGAACCCAAGTGCTAAAACACGTGGCAAGTATAAAGTAATACTTTACTAATTGAACAGCGTGCAAAAGTTACGCAAATGTTCAGCGCATTTATGTGTGAGCCGGCGGCTTTGAAGAAAGGACGGAAAACCGCTCTTCACCGTTTTAGTAATTCTCCACACTTAATCCTTCATTTCACCTTTCGCTAAACGCATGAAACCAGTCGGCATAGGAAAGACATAATAGTTTCATTAAATCGTTTTACGGCTACACATAGAGTCAACAAACTACAAACACATTCTGACATGCTAAAGAAAACACGATGTAAGGTCGAAATTTTGTTGCTAACGGTAAGCTCTTTAATAAGAAGCGCTGTCTCGGGCTTTATAGAGACGTAAAAGCTTTTCTGTACACTGTTGGTGTAATCAGAACTTGGAAAATAATCTCCAATGCAGGTTAAAGTATGGGCCACGGGAGAAAGAGAGCAAAACTCTTTAGCAACGAACTGCAGTTTATTTAATTTTCATTTGAAATTTTAAAGTAATTATTTTTTTGTGGAATTTGACTTTCGTGCGTACTTGTTCGAAATCTGCCGAGTTTCTCTTAGTTAGAGAATCTAGTAATGTACAGATCAGCTTTTAAACTTAGAGTGTTATATCCAAATATATAATTTATGTCTTAAAAGTAAAATAAAACAAAGGTTTTTGCGTTCGTCACATTGATCTCAATTCATTGCCCATTGAGCATAATAAAACTGAAACTTGTTAAGTTACTAACTCAGGCTTTTTTCGACGAAAATACTTTTCCAAGTAAAAATGTTTGCATATCTGTGAGTAATTTAGGGTTAAAAATGAGGGTTTAGCCCATGAAATAATAAAACAATTAGGAAAAATGTGCTAGATAACTGAAACGAGAGATTACAAGAAAACAAAGACTTAAAAAGATAAAAAAATTCACCCATTTGAATTTTTTGCTGTACTCAAATATCACTAATGTTTAAAATTAATTTAAGGGAAATTCCGTGACTCCTCTCGCCGATTGCTCGAAGTTCCAGTCTGCTTTAATACACGCGCTTCAAAATGGTGATAATTTGCAGCTATTCTACATGATTTTGCCTTTTTGATCGAGTAAAAGGAAAAATGTCGATGAAAGTTAAGTGAAGCAAATTAGTGAATTCCTCACAGTAAAACGTGTCGCTAAATCATGAAAATCACTTTTAAGACCAATTTGTGTTCAGAAGTTATATATTTTCTCTTAAACCAATTTCTTATGCTCTTTAATACAGAGAAGATCATTTTACATAATATAACACTTTAATTATCTGGGATTACTAAAACACTACACGACGAAATTATGTAACGACTTTACCTCTTTTTTTTTTACAAATGCATATCCATTGTTACATTGCCTTTCATTCCTGGAGAAACATCCCAAAAATTATACATGCTTAGCTACTTGTCCTTGTGTTTCAGTTGGAACTCTTGATCCCTAGCTTGTACTAATAGTCACATGAATATATCTAGAGATTACCGTTCATGTCTTTTAGTTACAAAATTACCTTGCAATATTTTTTTGTGTTTGATTCCATTTATGTCTTTTTGCTTTATTGCAAAACCCGATGCACAACATAATATGATTTTTTTGAATACCTGTTTAACTCTTCATGCCCTTTCCGTTGCAAAACAGAACACGCATATCAGGAAACAGAACACAGATCTTTTTATTAGAATAAAACAGAATAGTTTGTCTCTTTTGTTGTCTGTTAGCAGCGTTCTCTATTTAGCTGAACTTAAATGTTTAGTAATTAAAGCATTTTTTTGAACTGGTAAAGCATTATTCTCTGTATAGTGAGACACCTAAACTGTCCTATGTTAGCGTTTGATGGGATCTGCGACGGTTGTCTCACCGGTTCAGCTGAAGGTCGGCTGTTTAAACTTTTAATTTAATTTTTAATAAAGAGTTTGGAATTGAAAGTCAAGGAGTGCGGGAGCATAGTAATGTCAACGTCTCCGCAAGGCATGTGTTGATTTTGAAGGCGAGGGCGAACGGAGTTTCCATAAAGAAGACGTTGAATCAACTGCGGGAAATTCTCGTAGGAGGTGTAAAGACGAGATTGCCTGAAAGTGTTTGTAAATAATTGCTTTCGGCAGATGCTGAAGAGTGTAAAGCCAGGTAGAAAGGACAAACCGACGAAGAGGCTGGATTACTTCTGCCGTATAAATGTAAACATTAATTGCGTATGATTTTGAGAGGGAAAAAAAAATAAAGTCATTTTCGGATCATGCTGTGCTTGATTTAAACTACGGTTTTTCTCTCCAGGAATGGAAAAATCGTACTCATTATAAAATTTGAGTTGTGTTCGATGTCGATCTTTCGATCATGATTGGTGTTTGAGATAGGTAATAGATGACTTTAGAATTTGATTTGTTATTGGTTAATATGTGTGGCTTCGTGTGCCCTTTGAGAGCGAATCCTTTCACCCATTCGTCTTTTAAACCCTACGGTTTTTATCATGTATATTTTTTGAAATTAGATTCCCAAGAGAAAAAAAGCGAAGCTACGAAAAGAAGAGCTTCTCGGTTAGATTTCCATGGCCCACGCATATGTGAAGTGAGCATATGCCTGCTTTGATTACTTCTAGGGACATAGTATTAATATAGAAATAGTGTCGGTGTGCAAAATAAATCTGGTTTTTATGTTGCTAAAACAGCAACAATGAGTTGTTACAATGCCTCGTACAAGCTAAGAGTTCGACTCTTTCAAGGTTTCTTCATCCATTTTTATTTTGCATCGCTCCTTGTGAACCCTTACTCTGAAGATAAACGCTAACTCAATTCTTATTATGTGCTCCTTACTTCTATCGCGAACAAAAGCATTTTAACTCGGAGTTTCTAGTACAAAATACCGTCCCTCTCGTGAAACGAAGCGCTAGCTTATCAAGTGCTTACAAAACGGAGCGTTGTACTTTAATTTTTCTAAGCTATAAATAAATCATAATTTTTTATTCTTAATTGCGAAAAAGGACGATTCGATCTGCATTTTCAATCGCATTGTCAACTCGATCAATTCAGGGAGCCACGTTCTGTCCAAATAAAAACTTGCTAAAGAATTGAACTTTAATAATATCCAGGAGCAGCCATTTACAGCCTTGATTTCCTTTCATAACATAGCCAGCCGATAGTACACCTTTATCTCAAGTGGACTTACTCTTTGAGGGCCCTTTTTTTGTTACGATAAACTGTATAAACGCTAGAGAAGGGGAAATTGGACAGACTTGTCATTTCCACCCAGGAACTGCCTCATGTCTTTTACAAACAATTTGAATGGCCTTCCCCCCAATTCATAGTGTTTTTCTATGCGATGAATGCCTGCGGGAAGTTTGTTTTGTTATCTTGATTTTGGAAATTAATTTTGAACATATTGCACTCTTGGAGTGTGCCAATGTTGGTATGAATTATTTATTCAACGAGGTAGTTTGAAAATAACAACTTTCGGTACAAAACATTCTGTTGGGTAATTTCTAAAATAACAAATTTGAAAACCATGCCAGCATTCCCTTTATTGAGCGATCTTATGCCAACTATAGCACTGAGCCAAGAGTGTATAACCTTTATCAGCTCATTTGCGGGGTTCATCTCTGATTCTTTGGTTGATCGTTTAAAACCGGTGTCTTACTTTAACAAAGAGTCTTTATCCATTTAAATCGTGAAGTAATATGCTTAAGAAAACAGAAAAGAAAAAAAGAACGTTATTGTGTGCTGGTTCACATTTCGTCTGGAGACGTTGACAAACATTGCCTCCAAATAGGCCAAAAATATAAACCACCAGTTTATTAAACGTTTCTGAATATCCCTAAATAAATATCTGAAGATTGACTAACCTGCTTTGTAATAAATACGTTTCCTGTACGCCGATATCAGCAACGTTTTTTTTCTCTTAAAGTGTAATTAGTTCCCCATAAATATTGAAATACGAAAGCACGTTCTGAGCATTAACTCATCGGAGGTTGAAAACCTAGGCATAAACCTCAGCCATATATAAAGTGAACACGAAGAACTTCTCTAGCTCCAATTGCAATATTTAGAATGTTTTATCTCCTAATCACTTAAAGGTTATTGGCAGATTGATTACCATATCTTATAGTCTTCGTTTCGCCATAGTAGTCGACATTTGTCCCAGAATTACTACACAGTAACCTTATATCGAGCTCGACTATAGCTGTCTATTAGCGTCTCACTGCAAAATATTTCCTGATGCTGGGAAAATAAAAGCGCCCATTAGCGATTATAATAACAACCCTGCTTCTTTGTCCTAATAGTTTATTTCCCCACGAAAGCCCAAAGGTAAATAAGTGGTTGTGTGGACACGAGTGTCGGAAATATCATGGTTGATACGAACGCTTTAATTCTTGAGTAAGTGAAAACTGGGCAATAATAACAATGTTTTAGCAGGCAATATTACACTTCTGAAGTCTTCGTTGCAATAAAGATGTGTATCCATTGCCTTAGTGAAGGTGACAAAGTTTAATTGTTAAGGGTGCCGAAGTTATTTCATTGAAGATCGAACACAAAATAAAAGTCAGAAGACAACCGTCTCGCCAGTGCAAATGATATGTCAACAGAGAGTGCTTTCAGCCGACAAGAAAGAAAGCAACTTCGGAAATGGTGTTATAGCATAGAAATTGAGCAGTTGATGGAAATATGTGGCTTCCAAAATCATCTAAAATTCATCTCCTATCGTTTAAAATTGTTTCTTTAGATTTTACAGGAAGATGTGAGATTGGAGAAAGAATTCAAAGCGATTGAGCGTTCGGGGCGACTCTGTACTATCAAGGTGAGTAAACTGTCCATGACATACAGCTGCCTCTAAAGTAAATACAATATCCTCATTGACCTATAACTGAAGTTTCACGCAATTAAAAAGATTAGCGCATAGAATATACAGCAGTAAGCATGATGGGCATAAGGCGATAATTAAGCCATTGAAATGGCTTCCCGTGGGATTGGATCTTCAAACGGGTTTCCACACAATATGGCCGGAAATTAAAATCTCCAACGAGTAAACGAACGCTGATTTAAATGTCAAAAAAGCACTTGGCCTCTCTGTGATTTGCCTCCCTGTTAGACTATTTTTGATGATAGGGGCACAGTTGACGAACGTAATTACTGACGCTTGGCAGTTTACGAGAGAGTCGTTTTATTAACGGGTAGAGTGGGCGGAACTTAACCACCTGTTCCACTGGTCCCTTTTGAGAACATTGTTTCATTTGATTGGCATTTATAGTTCATATAGTTAAAAGAGTTACCTTCACCAAAGACCGGGCGCTTGTAGATATTCCGACATTATGAGATTCAAAACATGTTAAACTGACGTTTCTTGTCCATTGCTTGTGAAAAGACTTGACTTACAAAAGTTTCAGTTATCATTAGCTGCAAATAGAGCTGTCTAGCTGGCTCCATATCTGAGTTATCAAATCAAAAGTTTATTTAAAACCATGTGTGACATCTTGAGAGAGAAAAAGACACCCTTTGACATATATGCAGTATTGTATTTATAATTTCACTCCTTTTTTTGCATGTGTCGCTCAGCTTAGTTAAGCTGTAACCCTCTTTCGACTTTAACAAAAGTAAACACAAAACCAATCGAGATTTTAGGGAAACATACGATGGTGTAGGAGGACCGATTCTATTCTTAAGTCACAGAAAACGCCGCAGAAGCGTGATATCTCCCTATAAATCTGTCATGAGGGCAATTTTTTCAATCTTTAAGGGTTAAATGTAGACGTTTTTATTTCTGTTGCGCCTCTCGCTTTCTCAGCACAGCTTTTCGGCGCCTTTCAGCACAAAATATTTTTTTTTAGTTGACCCCACCACCCTTTCAACGGGAGCACTGTGCTGCTCGTTGTAAAGTTTCGCTTGCTTATATTTTACATGTGCTCTTTTCTCTATTGACCTGGAGTTTTTGTGATAAAAGAGTAGCCATCGCCCAAGGGTTTTTCTCTCTGACATACATCCTTGTCGCTGAGAGAAATAAACGTTCTATTAAGTAACATCTGCATGCATATCCAAAAGTGTGCAAGAATAACACCTGATAAATATTTGAGGTCACCTCCAGACTATGAAAGGAAGTGAGGGCTTGAATCTGCCATTTGACGAGTGTGGGTTTCTCATGAATGCACGCTGAGATGAAGGTTGTATCACGGCGGGATAACCTTAGTTAGACCTTAAGTATTTTTCAAAAGTGCACCTATATGTTCGATCAAAGTAGTACTCTCTCTGTACTGACCAGTTGGTACTTACATTATTTACATGGTCCTCTCTCGATGGTTCTAGTGCACGTCATACATTTGCCCCTAAGACTCACTTTGCGGGATCGAATGCTGTTTGCTGCTATATAGAAAATAACCTTTGTGGGAATCTTAGTGCCTAAAAAATGAAATTAGTTCGTCATGATCAATCCAGTCTTCAGCAAAAGAACTGAGTATTCTTTAATACAACTCGGTAATCCTGTTTAAAACGCTTTGTTGTCTAAGAGCGTCACTATAAAGTAATACCAAGTGTAACTTGGTCTGGGCCTTCAAAAGACCAAAGGTAGAAGAAAACCCTTGCAGCCCCTTTCTCCCATTCGTAATTTTCTTAGCAAAACTGAACACAAGGTCCCTTTAAAAGTATTATTAAGCTAGCAAGGGGATGACTCGTCAGTCGCTCATATTTCCGAACAAGGCCGAATATAACATGTGGTTATTCCGAAAATATAGACTGGCGAAGTCCGTTTCATGTTGATTAGCTCTGGTGAAAAGATTGTGAGAATATTTTTCACTCACGTAGGGATAACCTTTTTTTCCAGCGATTTAAAGCAGTAGTAAAACCTCGATAGTCAGTGGAATGTCGGTAATTGCCGGGAAAAATTTTAACCATACAACTGAAAGAAAGAATTTGATGTTTATAACTGCATATAAACCAATTTCCATTTTATTGAAAGAACGTTTCTTAACCAAGAAATGCGGTCCTCCATTATTTAGGGCTATTGTTCTTTAAAAACAAATAAACAAACGAACATGCTATCTTATTCAAACTTATGAACAAACAAATCCCTGAATAGCGAATCCAGCCGAGTAAAACTGGGACAAAACATGTAATCCGAACAATGTCAGCGGTATTACTCATAAGTAGGAAGTTCAAGATGGCGGACGTTGATGCACGGGTATCTTCAGTAAGTTTTCAATACCGTTTTTCGTCGCTTGATTTATCGGTATGATTATCAAGTATCTATAAGAGTAGCCAGTTTTGGATAATGTCTGCCAATCCACGGCCTCTTCGTCTTCCTCCTATGCCAAAAGTGGCTGACCTCCTTCGTGTGTATGGGCTGTCTGCGAAGAAGCAACTTAGCCAAAATTTCATTCTTGATCTGAACATTACAGGTAATGCCAACGGTGTTAATGTGTGTTAAGGGGAAGTGGCATGGGGGTTGGAAAGAGCAGGGGGGGGGGAGAGAGGACTGATTATTTGAAAGACATCAACCATTAACTGTGAAAGTATCATGGAACTTTAATTTTCAGAGGTTTGGCTTGCTCGTTTAATCGATTAGCTCTAAGATAACATGGGTAAGATAGCTGAATCATCAGTTGATTACAAAATAAAGTTGCTGGTTGGATTTCAGTTCCCCTGCTGATGATTAGAATCTTAATTTGTCTCATGTTGGTAACATGTTCTTTAAAACATCTTTCTTTATGGTATACTGTTCTTGCTGGAAACATGAAGATTTCTCATTAGACTACATGCATACTGTGCTTTTTATAAACAGATAAGATTGCAAAAGTTGCAGATGTGTTTGATTGCCATGTTTGTGAAGTAGGAGCAGGGCCAGGATCACTTACGAGGTCCTTGCTACATGCTGGAGCCAAACATGTTGCTGCTGTGGAAATTGACAGGAGATTTCTTCCCTCTTTAGAAGTATGCAATAGGCCTTTTTCCAAATTACCTTTGGCGTCTTTTTCAAAATGAGGCCTGGTGCTCAACCATTCCTATGAAAATGAGATAAATTTGCATGTGAATGAAAACTTATAATCATATTGGAAGGATGAGCACTGGGATTTGTTTTGAAAAAGAGGCTAATAATGATTTGGAAATGGGCTATTTGACTTGTCCATTGTCATTTTAGCTGACGTGGCAGAGGAAAGTGAAGAATCTTAGCCTTTAACTCCCATGAGTGTTCAAGACAGAATTTCTCCTTACAATATCAATGCAATACCAAACAGACAAGAATGAGAATAACATTATCAAGAAGGGGATTATTATTTGATCTAGTACCAAATTCTTTGAACTAACACCACAAGAATTGTATGGCAGATGGTAAGGAGAATTACTAATGAGATCTTGGGAGTTAAAGGGTTAAGGTTTGATTTTATCCTCACCCTCAGCACCTTGCCAGTGAAGAGAGACAGAGAAGAGGCAATTTTAGATAACTAGACCTGACTAAGATTTTGTTTGTTGAAATCTGAGTGAATTGCACAAATACCCAGAGAAGAGACCTTTTCTCCACCATCAAAACACACAATCGATAGTTACACTCAGTGTTCTCCCCTATTTTAAGCATGACAAGTAAAATAGGGATCCTTCTACCTGTTGAATTTTCAAGAATTCCAAGCAATTTTAAATGGTAATAAGAGGTACTACAGGTTACTGTCTGAAAAGGAGAACACTGTACGCTTGAGCTAAAACCATTTAAAAAAGGTGAAAACTTTTTGTGAACAGTTTGTTCACTTTTTACCTTGAGAAGGATAAAGTGAGTAATATTTCTTATCATTGTAGATTGTAATGGTATTAATGAGGGGTGTTGGCTGTTCAAATGCTTAGAAAATTGTTTTTGGCTATGCCATGAGCCCAATCACTTTCATTCTGTGTTTGAGAGTCATCTAGCCACTGGAATATTCATATTGATTGGTTCATTATCCTAAAGTAAAACTTAGAAGAGGCTTGCTCTTGAAATACATATCCATACGTCATTAAGCTTGTGGTTCAAATCTACTAATGGTTAAAAATGTTCAAATCAGTTTATGTGTGTAAAAAATAGATACAAGGTAAACCTTTGCACCATGACACATATAATGTAAGAACATGAATGCTAGATAACATGTCATGTTCAGATAGTATTTTGTCATTATTACACTGCATCAAGTTAAATTTAATTTTTTTGTTAAGTTAACTGGTGTCTTATTCTCTGACTGCTGTATCATCATTAGATGCTTGAAAGTGCCAGCAGAGGAAGACTGTCAATACATCATGCAGACATCATGAAGTTTTACATGCCAGATGCTCTACCAAAAGCTGATGCTGTGCATTGGCACACAGGTAGTTTGTTAAGAGTTGAAATTCATGCATATTGCCAAATACATTAAGTTTCCTTAATATGATCATCTTGATGAGAGTGGTCCAGTTAAAAAAATTGTAGGTTGTGAGCGGAGCTGATGCATTGATAATCCAGTCAGGAGCCATCTTCTCTTTACCCTGATGATTTTGGTTCAGGTTTACAAAACTTCAGTTTGTGTCAGCAATAACTGTCAAATATAATACATTTTTAGGCCAAAAGGAGGACAACATGGAATACAATTTTGTAAGTTCTCAAGAAAAGGGGTGTTTTATATTTTAACATGAAACACACAAGGAAACAAATGTAACTTCTGTTCCATAAATAAAGTAAACCCTTTATACCCTAACATCAGTTGCATTTTCTCCTTACTTTTCTCTATATCTTTCTGATGTTGCTGAGAAGGAGAACTGTTTTGACAATCAAGAGCTTTTTTATTTGGTGATCATTTTCTTATTTTTTGTGACCTTTATGTGTGATTCTGAGATGATAGTGTAAGGATGAATTAGATGCTAGTCACTCTTAGGGATCAAATGGTTTTTAAAAACCTAACAAAGTAAAGTGTGATAAGGAAAGATTTGAAACCCTGGGGTAAAAGTATTGCTAAGTTTTTTGTTTGTTTGATTTTGTTAATTTTCAGAAGTTCCAGGTGTTCGTATGGTGGGAAATCTTCCATTCAACGTATCTATTCCTCTTCTTCTGCAATGGCTTGAAGCAATTCCACAGAGAGCTGGACCATTCACTTTTGGTAGAACACCAATGGCACTTGTGTTTCAGAAAGAAGTGGCAGAGGTAGGCATGTGGTAGTATGTCATCAGAAATTGATGAATTGAAGATAACATGTGATGGTGTAGTCTGATTGTGCAGGTGATTGTAGACCTGAGAAGGACTGTTGTTGATAGTAGTGACTAGTAGTCCTCAGGTTCCAACTATTTACTTTATGAAGATAGCTTATCTTTGTTGGAACATGTTTTGCAAACTAATGGATAAAATGGTTTTTTTCTTTGGCAACTGTTGAATATGACCTTGATTTTGTCCTGGGATTTTTAAATGTGCATCTTAACTGAGTGACTCATATGAGAATTTCAATAAAAGTGCCTGCTGGGTCACCAGGATAGTCAACTGGAGCCAAGTGGCCCACCTAGCCACAGCTTATCCCAGTTTCCTCAGCATGACTGAGAGTATCACTACTCCCCCCCTGGATGGGATGCCAGTCCATCACAAGGTTACCCCCCAGCATTTCACTTGTCTTCCCAAATAATTCACTGGTATCCATTTATACTCCCGGGGGTTGGGGGGGGGGGGGGGGGGAAGAAGCACTGTAAGAGTGTGAAGTATCTTGCCCAAGAACACAACACATTGACCTGGCCAGGTCTCCCAGAGTTTCTCAGGGAGTTGTTCTTCACAAATGCCACATCTGGACCTCTCCACCCAGAGGTAATTTGCAATATCTTTGCTTCTCCCAAATAATAATAAATCATAATTTAGGTAATTTTTTTCCTTCTTTAGAATATCCAAGCTCCTCCTGGAGATAAGGAATGCACACGCCTTTCCATTATGACACAGTATCTGTGTGAAGTCAACAAGAAATACTTGATACCGCGCAAAATATTTGTACCAGAACCAAAGGTATGTAGAATGTACTTTAAATTATTACATCAGGACGTGTAGTGGGAGGTAAAGGTAACGGTAATGAAGTGGCAGCTGGCTTGTTTCATCATGAGTCACAAAACAGGAACAAGGAAAATGTAGTGTTTTTTTTCTCTACTGATTAAGAGTCAGCACAAGAACCGTTTCTTAATTTCTCTTCATTAAAATAATTGCATCTGTCTTTTGAAAGCTTTTGAGATACACAGAACGCTTTGTAGCATAGAAAAGCACTATTTTAAACATACGCCCAGGTAAAAACACCTCACTTTAAAGTGTTTTTTTTCTAGGAATGTAAAGAAATGATAGATTTTCAATCGTGGTTGTCATTTTGAAGGAGGATCTGTTGTGTTCATATTTCCTTTTAGGTTGATGCCATGTTGTTACATTTTGTACCACGAGTCACACCCCTTATTGAAGCTCCTTTCGTTGTTGTGGAGCAAGTAGTGAAAGCAATATTCTCAGAAAGACGGAAAACCATCAGAAATTCGTTACGGTAATATAGAGCACAATTAATACTCATTTTGTAATTCATTTGACGGTATATGACAAGTAAGTGTACATGAAACCAAACGTTGTTTAGGAAGGAGAACGAAGAGAATCAAGTGTAGAGTACAGATCGATCTAGATTTTAAGACTGTATCAGTCTTTAGCCCTTTAAATCCAAGAAGTGATTGACACGTAACTTCTCCATGCACATTCCATACATGATCCAGCAAACAGGTAATGAGAATACTCAAATTTATCATGTTGAAGTTTCTGTTTTGATCTAACACCAAATTCTTGTGACTAATTTACAAGGAAATGCGTCGTAGCTGTAGGGGAAAATTAACAATCAGATCTTGGGTGTTAAAGGCTTAATTAATCTCTTGAAGGATTTCAATTGAGTGTTAAAAGTAATGCAGGACTGCTCTGGTGTGGTTTTTCTTCACTCCATGATGGGTTCAGAAAAATTCGCGCCATTTTATTCAAAAGCTGATGTTTGGATCGTTTGACATTCGTTTTAATTCTGAAGACATATTTCTCTTTGCTATACCCACTTTCTCCCTTTGACACGATACATTTACTAACATAAAAAAACCTTTGTTGTATTCCTTAGAACACTGTTCCACACAAAGCCAGAATTATCGGACGAGCTATTAGAGAGGACAGGGATTGATCCCACTCTACGGCCTAACCAAGTTAACTTCGAGGATTATGAGAAAATTTGTCGCTCGTTTCTAGAAGTATCACGTGAACATGACATGCCAATCACGCCTCTTAGAGTACGCAAGCCTGTTGCTGTGGCAACGAGGAAACTTACTGGCGTGGATACTCACACCAGTTATCAAATCACTCAGTAATATAGGCCTTACTTCAGCGGATAAGGAGAATCGTCATGGTGTTGTAGCGTGACAGTATGGCCTTTCGATCTGTCATGCCACTCTAGCCAATATAATTTCACGATCCCGTTCTTATTTAGGAAACACAGATATTGTCAAGCTTAAGATAACAAGCGTAACACGTTCCATCTCTGGCATACAATTTTTAGGCCTGCGATGAGATTATTATGATGGTTATGTCGAGTCGGCAACCGCGGAAAAAAAATGGATTGCGTCTTGTATCACTTTTTAGTTTCTTTGCAATCACTTTTCAGCGGACTATTCGTCGGAATAACAATTGGGGTTAATTCTCAATTCTACCTTACAGGGAATGACTAATTTGCAATGTAGAGGGTAGAACCAGAGAAAGACAATTATAAATCACAGGTGGCTGTCTGTGTATTCAGCGTAATTATCGGTTTGATAAAGCCATATCGAAAGCGAATGGTAATATCGAAAACGTTTTGGTTATTCTGAAAATGAACTGGCTCTAACTTGAAGATTAGATGGAGAGAGTTTGAATACTCTGTAAATTCAAGTTAGTTTGAGAGAGCGCAAAGATCACAAATATGGTGTTTAGGCCGTAGCTGGATTTCCCCCTCGTTCGGTGGACTTCCCCCCTCAGACTTGGATCTTTCGTTAACAATTGCCCTAGCAAAATCAGTCTAACTACATGTGTAGGGCCCATGGCGGTTCAATGCCTTTGAATAAAATCAAGAAGTATTTGCAAAATTGCAGTTGTTTGTTGACAGCACATTTCCACCGAATCTAATATACAATTTATCGATGGTAAGTTATCAGCTCTCGAATCTATTGCCTTCTTTACGGCTGAAATACCATCGCTAACGTTGTTGTCAATGTTGACTGCCGCTCGCAACATGCGCACGGCCAGTTTCGGAATAAAGACACATACGAGGACAACACGTTGAGGAATGGAGGATGAAGCAAACTGCGTGAGAGCAAATTTCAGTGGAATATTAAAAGAAATTCCAAACTAAGTCGGCAGTGTCCTTCAGCTCGCTTTGTGATTGGACTAGAAATCATGCACTTTCCTCTCAACCAATCGGAAGTAAGACTTTAACCAGTCGCGACTTCGTCGCACGCCTTCCTCCGCATCTCAGGCAATTTGCTTGTGTTCTCATTCTTTTCCCACTTAAAACATTTTCCTTTGTTTGAATGAGCCGATGCTTAATGTGTGTCACGAGCGTGGGACGTGGGCTAGAAATTAATCATTTGTCAGATGTTAAACGTCTTTATTCCGCGACCAAGCTTAAAATTTACCATCTAGTACTCTTACCCCCTAATACACTGTAGCCACAGAGTCTAACTTAGGTTAGGTTTTTATCATGTTAAGCATATTGTATGAGCGCACAAAAACCGAAATTTTTTGATCGTGAAATTTTTCCAAGGTTTGCCCCTCCGCGTGCATGCGAACTCCTTATGTGCTAATTAGATGGTATGAAAAAGGCAAAGAGATGAAAAAATAAAGGAGACTTTGATTAGCACGCAAGGGCGTCCAAAGGTTTAGAGAGGTCCCAAAAAAGTGAAGCACGAGGAGCGAATGACGAACGAAGACATCATTTACATCTGAAGTAAACTGTGGTACCTGCTCCTGGGCGTTATGCCAAAGTCAACAATTTAGAAAGCTGTTTAATTGGTGGACCTTTTTGAAATATAAACACCCATCATTTATATATTGATGTTTACTAATGAAGCCACGAAAATTCAGCAAAACATGTCGGCTTGCTACAAATAGAAAACCCAAAAAGAGAGAAACGGCAAAATGTTATCAGCATCGCCATGAAAAGGTGGCTGCTGGTACTTTTAATTGCTTTAAGTTTTGTTACACAATTTCAGTTGCAGGTCGCCGTTTCAGTAGGTGAAAGTCAATATTTTACAAGTTATCATCAAGCTGTAAACCATGACATCGCGTTCGGCGCTCTTTTGCCTCTCCACTCAAGAGACAAACGTGGAATTTGCGGATCTCCAAAGCGCCAAGAAGGGTTTTTATGGCTGCATGCTCTGCAATACGCAGTGGAAGACGTGAACAGAAAGTGGGACGCACGGCGTTTTAATGCATCTTTGACACTTACTGTGTGCGACACTTGTAATGATGAACAAATAGCTTTAGAACAAGCCCTCGACCTTGCATATACATACAGGAAGAAGTTAAATGGTGGCGACGATTTAAAGCCGGTTTTGGGTGTTATATCTTCCTCTCAGAACAAGGATGCTTCGACTCTCCTAGGACTGTTCAAGGTACCGCAAATTATCTTTGGTAAAGACAACAATACGCCTGACAGTCCAGGTGATATTTTACAATCAGTGTCCATTGGATATTACAAGGCTCGTGCGCTTGCAGATCTTGTCAAATATTTTACATGGAGTGCTGTGTCTGTCGTTTATTCAACTGAACATCAGGATGACTTTGAAATATTTTTGCGCATATCCAACATCGAAAAGCTTTGCGTTGCGGTGAAGGTTTTGCTTAGTGGCGAGGGAACACACTCTGTATCGTATGAGCAGACAATTGTGAAACTATTATCTGAGCCAGCGTCCACCATAGTTATTTTATTTACAGACGACAGAGAAACGAAAAAAATATTGCAAAGTAAGTGTTTGGGCAGAAGACATGCATTATTGACTAAATATAATGAATTCAGTATTTTTTTTTGCATCTTGTAAGGATTCCAACAGCCAAGATTAATTGCCTTTCAACAGGTACTGGGCAAGTTCTCAGATCATTCCGATTTCCAACTCAGTCACTCACAACTTATAAAATAGCGTGGAGCAAGATTCGGAGGAGACTGATCCGACACTCCTAGCGGACGGCTCACTCGATAATCGGTGGCGACGTACAATATCTTTTGTCTATTACGGGGTATTTTAATAATTGAGAAAAAAACAAGTTTTGCAATGTCTGTGCTTAATAAACACCCCCTAAGGGCAAAAGGGAAATATTGAAAAAAAAAAAAAGTAATAACAACAACAACAACAAAACTAAAATCGGTCGATTTGAAGGCTCAGTAGTTTCACTCGAGCGCCGAATTCTGATTTCTGTCAACTGACAACATCATTCGACAGCACTCGTTCGTCGTAGTAAATGACTTCGACTTGAATATATTCCCGTCCCTGATTTTTTGCTACAAGGTGCATTATTGAGAATTGACAATTTGTTTTACCCTTTATTTTACTCAACAGCTGTTAAAATTGTGAAACCAACTTCACAATTCACATGGATCGTAACCAACCAAAGAGACGTACACTGTTTTGAGGGTAACTCAGAAGATGACTCTTTTGTTATTGTCCCTCACTTTCCTTTCATGGAAGGATTCAAGGACTACTTCGAAAACAAAGGCGATACAATCGAGTTTAACAACATCATTGAAATGCCCGTTGATCAAAGCAGCTGCTCAAACATTGGGACAGCTGACTCACCTTCTAAACGAAGAGAGGAAGAAATTCAAGCATCTATGAATAGTATTTATTTGTTTGCGCATGCGTACGAAAAGGCATCCCACGCCATCATCGGCCGCACCACGATGCAGCTCGACCGAGTGGTGTTTTCGAGGAGTCTGGGACACGTACTAGACGTTTTCTATAGTCAGAACTGGAAACGTTTTTCGGGTCAGCAGCATATGAAGGAAAATATTTTTTCTTTGATCTCTGTGAAGTCGAATGGATCTGTCAAAAATCATGTTACTGTTGGTACTTGGGACAGTTCATGGTTTATTAACGGCTTTAGAATCAAGTGGCGGAACCAAACAGTACCAAAATCCTCCTGTGGTAACCAGTGCCCTCCAGGTCACATTCGAGTCTTAAAGAACGATAACGAGTGTTGCTGGTCGTGTGCAACGTGCCACTACAATCAAATCGTGAAGGATGATTACACATGCGTAGATTGCTTGAGGGGCTATTGGCCGAATGAGGATTTTAAGAAGTGCGAGTTTCAGTGGCAGAGAACGTTATTCTTCTGCACTTTAGCTGTTTCTTTCGTGGCACTCGTCTTCCTTTTCATGGTGCTTTAGCCCTTTAATTCCCAGAGGTGATGAACAATAGACTTATTTGGTAAAAAAAGCCGCTCTAGAATCAACGGTGGTAATCGTCTTGTACCACGCGCCGCAATTAAATACTAGATAGGTCATAGATACGATAACCTCTATTTGGCTTCCAAAAGGCGTGCTTATTTCCTCTACTTTTCCTCTTGGAAAAGTGTTAAATCGTCAGACAATTTTCCGCAGAAAAATATTTTTTCGTGCTAAATGGAAGCTGTCATTAATAACACCAGAAAACCTCACGCACAATGAATGCTCGGCAGCTAGAGATGATAAGTGTCTATTAGATCGTGGAAGTTAAAGTATACAATGGTTCTCAAGCCGGAAAAGTTACAATTTTTTATGAGCGAAGGCATGAACAATTAACAATTTGTTGTTTTTTTTGCAATCTTCCCTTACACTGGGTAGTCAGGGGATGATTTTTCCTCAGCCACTTAAAGATGAAGGTATATTTTAGTCTGTGATAAGTCGCTTCAGTTTGAAAAGCCGACAATTTACAGGTTTAGAACTCATTTTAATGTTGTGTTAGGTCAAAGTGAATTTATTTCGAGTTGAATGTCAAAGAGATTTTGTGATGTTGTCCATCTTACTTTCAATAAAATGATTGTCTGGGCTAAATTTCGGATGACTGAATGTTAACAATGTTAATCCAATTTCATTAGCAATTCTATGCGCTATCTAAATAAACCAAGTGAATGGTGTATTTTCCTACCCGAGCCGAGTAACAGGTTCACCAGTAGCGCACATGATCATGAGAAAGAAAACTGCAGGCGAGGAAGCAACTCGATCAAACGAACTTACGTTTCAAATGAGAAGCAAACAAACAAACTGCTCTGGAAGATTTAAAAAACCGTGCAAAGCAAAACCAAGTCTACAAAAATAAACCTCCTCTTTTAGGGAGTGTACTGACGCCAGCCTTTAAGGACGTGTCTTGACTTGTTTTGTTTAGAGGATGATTTTCAAAGCTTTCTATTTACGCCTACACTCATGAGCACTCTTGAGACACGTCAGAGAACAAAAACCCATCGTTAGACAATTAGGCAGAAAGCAATATTTGGAACCGTGTAGGATTAACAATTCACAAGAGCCACTAATGCTAAATCGCAAAGTGTTATCCTATTCAAACCACCAGGAATGAAGTTAAGAATAAAAACACGCAAAGTCAATTGTGTACAAATTCTAAAGTGACAATTTCAATCAGGATTTATTGTATATACCGTTTCGATTCTGGCTTTTAAACTTCTAGTCTCCCAGCTCTAGATACTTGGCTACGATCGATTGAGACAATGGGTTTTAACAGCCAACGAGGCTAGAGTTTCGTGCTCTCATAGACCACTACAAGTTATCGTTTAATGGTTGTTTATTTTATTTTGATAGTAATTTCTCATAACACAGTGTAACAAAACGTGTTCCCAACAGGTACCTGTTCAATTCTTTCTTCATAACAAAAAACAAGCCGGACTACAGCAACTACAAACGTAGAAACTTAATTGGCGTTACATGATCCAGCGTTTATTTATCCTCAGTAATACAAACTCCCATTTTTCCGGGATTGTAGTATTTAGCTGTTTGGTTAGCTAAAATTTTAATGAGTTAAATTTCCAACTGAATTACGACTTTGTGTCAACAAACCTAACCATAAAACATGCGCAGAGTAATTAAAAGTGCTTACAAAACATCAGAACGCGACGTGTATTCCAGTTCAAGCTACAGTAGTTCAATTTGAAACACTGACTTTGATCGAGCAGTGGTTTAATAGTTTCAGTCGAAATGACGGCATTTTTTTCCAAAATCGGCGACGCTTCACTTTGCAGAAGTTCTAAGGTTACTCTCTTTCTTCTTCCTCTCCGTATTTTGTAGTTTCGTCAACAATTTTCTCTCGTGGCCTGCCGGGTTTGGTCTGTTTGTATTCAAACTGGCTTCCTTCTTCGATCTTCCCTTTCGGGAGTGACTCAGATTTGTAGCCACACGATCGAAATTATAATAATCATATTCGTCCATATAATACTCGATGTAGTTCACGATACGACGGCGTTGAGTAACTCCTTTCATTTCTGCAGCAGTCTTTGTCTTTTGTAGATCTTCTTTTACGTTCAGGTCAATCGGGATTTTGCTTTTTGGCCGCTTCCCTCCACCCAGTCGTTCAAAGTGCTTTTGTGATGAAAGTCTAGCCTTTCAGGTCTTCAAATACAAGCTTTAGAGCGTGGAACGCCTTGAAGTTATGTGACATACGGCACGCCCTCGCTTCAAAAGCTGTCTTTCGATTGGTTGGGAAACTAGAAACGTGATGTTTAGTGTAACGTGCGATCTGATGAAATTATTCAGAATAGCTGCATCGATAAAAGCGTGGAATTGCATCATGAAATTCCGCGTGGTCAATGGAAAACAATTTCCTACGGCTTAGCGTAATTACCATGATAAGCGGCGTTGAAAACGACTTAAGTTTACCCACCAAAGCTTGTGTAGGGCATAGTATGGTACCCTTCCTCAAACACATATGAAGCTGTTTGCTGAGGGCACTGTGCAACCAGACTGAACCTTGTTTCCACCTGCTCTAGCTTTTTTACGTAAAGCGACTGGTAGTTTTGCTTGGCTAAACAGGTTGGAATATTAAAATTGTAACATTTTCTCACTAAAATTAATTTAGAATATAGCTCAACTTTTTGGCGACAAAGCTTATTACCCTTGTAGCCGAAAGCTCGTCATTTATATATATTCCAAGTTTTTAGCCAAATAAGGTATTAAGCTTTTTCAATTCCTAATCTTTTTTTAGGGTGGAGGCTAAAGTCTCTGAGTGGCAGAATAGAAAGTTTAATCATCTCCAGGGTTTTTTTGAAACCTAATGTTAACTAAAGCTCGAACACTGAGCCAACTCGTATTTTCTGCAGTGGATTGCTGATGTGTCAAGCCTCTTAAACTGAATTAAATGGGGAACGTTTTGCCGAGTCAATTAACGGGACTCCTTCCCTTCCTCTGTCATGGAAGGATCCAAATCCACTTTTTCTTTAGTTCATTTACATGAATGGTGTTTTAAAAATAAGCGTGGCTATTTTAAAGAGAGCTAATGCGTAAAGCATCACACATCATGCCTTATCGTCACTTTGGATTTTAAGCACACGAGGAATCTATTTAGTTAACTACGAGGGCCTTCTTTAAACATTTAACAAGGAAGCAGTCGTCAGGCTTGACAAACGGGTAGTCATCATTACGAAATCTGTCGAGGGCAATTCTTGTGTCGTCCCAGCGTTTGTTGAATGGCTTGGTGACTCTTTTCATGTAGTAATTGGACCTCTTATCGATGTTTGCGCTTAGTTCTTCCTCTAAGCGATTGATCTCGTCGACTTTGAGCTGGTTTCTGTCTTTTTCCTCACATTTAAGCTGAAAAATTAAGTAAAAATTAGCTATTCATGATTATTTTAAGCATCGAGAAAGAGCTAGTTCATCCTTTTCCCCTAAGATGAGAACGACCGGGAACTAAAATCTACCCCAGCAAAAACTTAACATCTAGAGAGTCTACTTTATTTAATAAACAACCAAAATTTGTCGATAAACTTATCCCATTGCCAAGATTAGAATATCCCTTAAACTTCATGCTTGGCTTGTGCAATTTTCAAGTCGTGTACACCAGATGATTTACCTTTTAGAAGTTTTTCTTTGACAAGACCCACTGTTTAAAAACTAGAAAGACTTTTTTTTCAAATGGGTCTTGAATGTGAAGGATAACCTTAAAATTTTCGATTAGAAATAGTCAAAAGGAACCTCATGAGGAAAGTTTAAAAGAGTAAAAGAAACCTGGTGTGGCAGTAAGTGGGTTACATCGGCACTCAAATCACTTCTTCTGCTTTAAAATCTACACAGAACATTCAGGTACCCTGCCTTACAGCTTGTCGAGCCCCGACACTTTGTTGGAATGTTGCGAAAAAAAGAAAAACATTCGGGGATTCACATAAAAGATTGTTCGTATTCAGTGTCTATGTAACTTCTGATGGAATGTATAGTAAAGTATGCAACGCATATTGACCATTACCTCTATCTTTTCTTGGATTTTGGTTTCCTTCTCAGGGTCACTTTGCAATCGAATAAATTTGATTAATTTTTCGGCCTCGTCCATCCAGGCTCGAACTTCTTTCATCAAATCCCCCATCTGTTTCACCTTACTTTGGGTATCTTGAAGCTAAAATGTGTATTTTCAATAACGACAATGTTATTAGTTGTATCATAATTATCATACGACAGAAGTTCATGTTGAAATTCACACTCACATGTAATATTTAAGGGAATTTCTAATAATTTTTACTCTAAACTCACCAGCGCCATAGATTATTCTTGCAACAATGCCATTTTTGGTTGGATTTATTTTGAAAGGGAAAAACAGAGGGATAAAATATAAGCGCTGCAAAGAAAACGCAACGGTAAGTTTCGTCTGGTTTTACTTTCAATGCTCACCACTGCTTTCCTCTCCTTGACTGAGTTACTAATCGCTTTCCAGCATTCATCAAAGTCTTCCAATTGGTCCCAGATTGCTTTAGCGGTGGAATTGTGGTAGTCAGCATCTCTTATGAGTTCTTCTCCAATTTGGTGGAGAGATTCCAGTCGCGTGCCTTGTGCATCCATTTCGCGCTCTAATGTCTGTTGGAAAAAAAAAATACTGAAAAGGTGAACGATTGTGCAGCTGGGCCTAGAGCTGCTGTAAAACAGAACTGAACGAGGGTTTCTGTGCTTTTAATTACTGATCAGCCCTTTTCGTACCTCTAGCAAATTCAAGTGCATTTTCACTTGTTCCTCATCTGTGATATCCGTTTGGCCAATAACATCCATGGTTTGTTCTTTACTTGACAACCAGGACAATAGAACAGTCTCTTCTTCGCGAAGTTTATTCCAGTCGATAAGGGCTTTGTAAAGCTTCTCTTTCCATTCTTCTGCCCACGTCCACACTGCAGCCCAACGTTCACTCAAAACCTGCTTCCGAGAAAAAGAGGAGGGCTGGTGAATTAGAAATAGAAGCCCAAGTTGTCCGTCCTAATTGCTCCAAATGATAATTGGTGATTACCATTCTCTTTCATCTTTAATCGAGAACAGTGTTTTCTATCATTTACACCAAAACATTACCCTAGCTGTTTTTTTTTTCATGAACAGACAGGATTTCTTACCTATTTTTTTCATACTTAAAAGATGCGCCGCCTACTGATGAGATTTCATAAAATATTCCGTTCACACCACTCATTTAACTCCTAAAAGATAAGTTTATTTGAAGGGGGATCTCGATGTAAGTATACATCTCCTGGTTTTTGTGTTTATTCACACTGAGAAGAGGGTCTCAATGGGGTGATGGGTAACGGATGGTTTCTTTCTGTTTAAGTTGACAAAAAATTATATGGTTAATTTTTTCATGACTTAAGTTTAAAATTTGTCGTTTTTCACGCTTTAAGGCTGAACTTTTTGCCGTTGTTCGACTAAAGGTTAACCCCATTGAGATTTTCCTAGAAAGATTATCACTCACTTTGACCCAGTCCCGAATGGTTTCATCTATAGCAGGATCTTCCATGTCCATATCAAGTATCATATTCACCATGGAATGATTAGACAAGTCTTCCTGGAATGTCTAGGATAAGATCAAGTCTTTAGAAAATGAAACAGTAGGAGGGGCATGGTGAAGTTAAGAGACTTTTTTACTTTGAGACGAGAGAAGATCGAAGATAAAGGAATTCATCTTACTTATTTTATGCAAGAAAGATAAAAAGACCAGCTTTTCCATATTGTTACAAATCGAAAGCTTTGAAAAATTTAATGGATCTTATTGAGTAGGACGACGTTTCTAGCAGTTTTATTCTATATATAGAACCCTAAATAGGAGGGTAAGTTAACTACAAGCTCAACTTATCTAAATGCATCAGCCACAGTAGAAGGTTGAAAAATGTCTGACTTATCAGTGGCTTTTAAAGACAAATGGTGGACGCAAATTACGTTAGTTATTGAGTTCATTGAAAACCTTATGATTGACGATTTGAAGGTTTACTCCTTCGTAAGTTGGCTCCACGTCATCATCTAAGGCCATCCGGGACTCGGCACGGACAAGCCAATCATTCATCCGCTCCAAGTGCTGATTTAGCAAAATTACATACAGGTCGAACAACCTACGGAGGAAGGAAGAATCAGTAAACGATGAATGAGTTTGCAATTTAATAAGTCAGCTTATCAACTATCTTAAGGTTAAGCCAGGATAGAATCATTAGCCAAGAGTCTGGACCCTATTCTAAAGGAAATTCCTTACAAGTATTTTCAGACTCAAGCTCTCTGGACTCCCGGGAATACTGTTACATTTTCTTCGCGAGTTGCTTAAAAGTCTTGGTAGGGTACAAGAGAGCATAATAAAATGCTCTGTTGGTGAAGAATGGACGAAGGTGTTTAAAATTCCCAGTGACATAACTTTTTGGCTGAGGGTTGGTTATTCTTAGATCCCAAAATGCGATATCTCTAAGAAACACAATTAAGAAACTAGCGCGTCACGAGGGGTTCAGACAGGATCCAGTTTCATCCTATCCTGTTTAAAGAGAACAGAAAAACAATTACCTTTGATGCTCCTTATTCACGACTTCCTCAGTCCTCTTCAGTTTTCCTTCTGTTGCCTCCATTCTATCACTAAAGTATTCCTCATGCGAACTATCAAAGCATTTTTCGTTGACCAGATTTTTTCCCTCCTCTAGAACATCATAAGTATGGGCCTCAACCGACTCCAACTCAAGCAGAACGTCCTTTTCGAGACAATGTGAAATCATCCCAAACGTTAGTTTAGTTTCAAGTACGTTTGATCTGTCGTGTAGTTAAGCAGGAAGTAACTCAACAAATAAATGTAAAACGCGGTTTACAAGCCATTCGTTGGTGGGGTAAAACTATGCAAAAATGTGTCTTTTTTGGCTTATTTTCTTTGCGAATAACTGGGACTTCTAGTTCAGAAATTCGGGAAGCGTATTTCTCTTTCATTTATTTGAATATATGTATTCATAGTGATCAACGTAGAGACAACTTCTCAGGCTAAACGGATAACACACGCAAACTCATTAAACGTCAAACATCAGGGCTACAGATAATAAGAGTAACCTTGTGTTGGTCCAACGCTTTTTTCGTGGTCTGTAAGTCCATTGATTCTTTGTCCGACTGTCCTGCACCGTACTCGATGTCAAATAAATCTCGATCAACGGCGTCTAATTTCCTCTTCAGGTAGTCCACAAAGTTGATTGAGCCAGCCGGGGAGCTGTTGTGAATGAGAAGATCAAGTATACGCATTTTGAATCATACCTTCATCAGGAAAAATCCCCCACAACTTCTCCGAAATATCGTTTAATCTATTGAGTTATGGCTTTGCTTATCAAGGTGCATATGATCTCCCTATCATACTGTAAAATTGGAATAAACAAATAACAACAGCAACAATGGCTGCTTCTACTTTGATTTGTTAGTTTCATTCTCATTATAAAATACTATCTATCTCGGCATGGTCTTTGCAAGATTACAGTTAAGTTTGCATCATTAGAAATTACGTTGTAAAGTAAAATATCAAATTAGGTGCTTTGTTAGGTTTAGTTTGTAATCTCAAATTTTGCAGAAAGAAAGGAATTTATTGGCTGTATCAAAAAGATAATCCGTGACCAGTGTTTCCACTCGTGTTTCAGGAAAGAAGAAAAGCCATTATTTCCGACTCATTTTATTCTAAGACCTTGGGGATTTAAATCATATCGTCTAGTAGAGTTCTCTTCATGCTTACAAGACTTGGGTACAATCAGTGGTTCTATCGATCGCAGACAGGTTTCGAATATCTCAACACCTGATCAGGAAAACTCGGATTAGAAAAAGTTTAAGAAAATGTCTTTTTTACAAATGATCTTTTTCTTTGATGCGATCTGTACTCGACTCTCATCGATCTTAACTATCGATAACAGTTTCATAGGAGGGACCAGCAGAAAAGAAATTTAATCGCCATAGAAGAGAAACTGATAAATCAAGAAAGAGAACGGATGGAAAAAATTGTAACGGAGGTCATCATAGATCGTTACAGATAGCGATCAAGAAATTAGATTTAAGTTGCAAGATCAGAATTAATAAATGATAATCTCACCAAATGATAGTATTTGCTTTCGATTCAAAGATGATCCAAATGCATTAGTGTTCAATTAGTAATGCGTGTTTCAATGAATGTAATTTGGTGAGAAAATTGAAACAAAATCGCTCCTTACCCGACGTTATTTTCTCTTTGTCCTCCCAAATTGATCTGAATTTGGGTCAGGTATCTATAAACACAACGTCAGCTTCGCAGGTTGAGATTTGTACTTGTATTGGAACTGGACAGTGCTTTTTGTTCCCTCAAACTTTTGACTTGGCTCTTCTCCAATTTCAAGAACAAAAATAATCTCACCCATAGCTTAATTCTCGCAATGCGGCAATGGGCTAATCTTAGCATTTTGGTTTACTTTAATTCGGATATTGAAGCAGCCGGCCTTTTTGGAATCCTTAGGCATGTACATGTTGTATTTTTATGACATTCCTGGGACGCAAGATTGACCTCGCAATTTTTAAGGAAAGGAGAACGGAAGCCTAGAGAGAAGGCCTTCATGAAATAGAGTAGTTGAGAAAGTAGAATATGTGGCTTTTATTTAACGTAGTACCAAACGATAGGGCGATATTGCGTACCTTCTACGTTATACCGCAGCTTTACGCTGTCGCTTTGCAAAATTAATGTTTCTTTACCTGGGAGGACTGGACTCATCCTTGCCATATCTAAAATAATGAACCAGGCTAGCATCAGGAGACTGTTCGCCATCATCTTCAGTGCTAACGGAGAGCCAAGACGCCCGTCCATCGGGTTCTGTTTTCTTTGGATTTTCCTCACCAGAGATACGTGCAGTGGATACCAACAAAACCTCTCTGGTTTTATTTGTTCTGCCGTCAGGCTAAGGGGCGTACAATTGAATGACATTAGTTCCCGATACTTATTGCGAAGTGAAAATAACAAAGGGGCCTCGTAATTTGTAACGAATGTTTTATTAGGCTGTCTTGGTTTTCTTTATGATTATTCAATTACGTACCGGTGTTGTGTTTTCGTGGAGCACCTCTCCCTTTCTATCTTTCTCAGGAGTAGCTGCGTCCTTGTTGGAGCCATCACCTTCTTTTGCATCAATCTCGGCGTCACTTTTACCAGTTCTCTCTCTTTCTTGTTCATCCTCTACCGTGCTAATTGTCTTTTTCACCATCTCATCAACAACTGTCTCTTCAGTTTCTATGTTCACAACTGGAGCTCGCTCTGTCTGTAAATTTAATTGAGATTCAAATATAAGGCTGCTCCAGTTGGAAACAAGAAAAATCTTAAATATTTGGTCATTCTATTATTATTATGACTTAATAGCAAACTGGAGATGGAGTATGATACCTGATTTGTGCTGTAACGCGAACTTTTTTTTAATCACGAAACTGAGGAGACTCGATTTGATGCCGACCGACTATTCTTGATAAGGATATTTCAAGTCGATATCATTTTTTGTCTGAACATATTTTAAGATTCAAATCTGATATCTTTTGAAAAGGGCCATGGTAGTGTTCCCTTTACTAGGGACTAATGTCATGAACGTCTGTTTCTTAAATTTCACTACGGCGGTGTATCTCATGTTATCAACTATTTACTTTGTCGTCAACTAAACATTTTAGTTGCCCACCAATGCACCATATATCTTTGATCATTTACCCTCTTCTCTACTGTATAGGTAATACGCTTCTCTGAGTCGCTTTTGGCATCGCCAGGTACTACCTATTAGAGGAATGTAGGTTTTAGTTTTCAGTTGTGATGTATCTTTATGGTAATGATAAACCCTTCTCTTCCTTTCAACACTCAAATCTCTCTATTTCAAAGAAACTTCAAAATTACCTCTTTATGGTTTTCATTCGTTTGACCATTCTGAACCATGCTGATTAATTTATCCACTCTGGCAGAATCATCTTCGCTACTCTGAGACGATAACTATATGGGAAAGAAACGATAATTTATTTTATTTGTAGGACTTTTGATCCTGTTGGGATTAACAGACGACTACTTTATTTAACCACAGAATATAAGCTTATATCCATTACCTAGAACTTGTTAAAATAAAGCCATGCCAGAAGGATTCCTTACTTTGTCCTAACCGGAGAACGTCTGTTTTAAGATATCACAAGCTAAAATGCATTCATTTATCTTGTACCGAAGATAAGCTCAAGAGCAAGATTTTTTCATTCTGCTTTATCATTATCTGCACTTTTATTGGACAGTTTTCTGCGTAAAGCTTTTCTCGTAAATCACTGCTGGAGAAGTGTCGTCGATGCGTCAATCGAAAGCATGCTCGTGTAAATGCACAAACGAGTATATACCATGTTAGTGCTGGAAGTGGATGTTACGTGACTATCTGATGTGACATTTCTGGTGGCGACCTTGTACTCGTATGATTCATTCCATGACATTTGAGGTGACGATGTGAACGTTAGAGGTTCGTCTTTGAGCTCCTGTAATAGTGAAATAATTCATCAAATGATGATAAAGACGAAATTGTTTGTTATCAATCTCCTTCTGAAACCTTAACTTAGAAGGCAATTTCAAGCCATCACTACTTTTGAGGATGCCATTACACAGTTCCGTTGCCCAAAGGTTGTCCAAAATTCGTTTTGCTCCTCGACCGCTAAAGCAAAGCAAGATGACTTCTTAGTTTAGTTCACTTTCAGGAGCTGCCAAGAACCACACTTAAGCAATACAGGGTCTAAGGGTCATTTTGGTTATATGCTTTTGCCGGAGTGTCGGTATTATATGCATTTCTAAATTTTCCTATCCGATGATGTAGCAAATATTCACGTTATCCTCGTTCAAATCGGCGTTTAGGAGCAAATCAAACAAACCCAAGTAAAACCAGACCACACCATACTACATTAAGTCATCTCCTCGTAACAAGCATTTAAAATTTGAATTACAGCGTATGAAAAGAGGCAGACTAGTAGGATGTTGATGCATCACTCGATGCACACAGTTCACTGGCGACACCGCAATTTATGTTCGTAACTTTTTTACTTCACTGGTTTGTCAAAAACGAATGTTCGTTGGACGGAATGAAATGTTCAACCAATTGGTAGCACAGGGTTGGTTCTACCGAGTTTCCCAGGGAGCTGGGAAAAGACGTGATCTAAATATTACCAGAAAGAACTCCCCCCCCTAGGAATAAGGCCTGCAAGAGTAATGCAATCTACCAGCTTAAATCTATCGAATTTTCTTTTCAATACCTTAGAGTCTGGACTTGAGGCTCTCGATGAATTTCTGGATGAACTGCTCGAGGGTTTTCGAAACGGTGACACAACAAAACCTTTTCGCTGAAAACATAAAAAAGTGAATGTCATTAACTTTGGCAGATCGGCCTTTGAGCATCTTACTAACTCACTCCCTAAGATCATAAGCCTAACATGGAGGAAAATTACATCAACTTTTCACAAGAGATTATAAACTCAGATTATCATGTCTTTCATCATCCTGTACTTTTAACTATTGAACGACTGTAAAATTTAACATTACATAATTGACTGCAGATTAATAAATTAAGATGAGAGTGATCTTCCCAGTAATGAACATGCACTTACTGCTTGAAAATATAGCCTAAAAAAATCACCACTGCTTTACTAGTATTTATTGGAGCGAGGATCACTTTCATCTTCATTTTAATTAATGTCAGCATTATTAGCGTTGTACGATTTTGAGTATAATTGTTATCATCACGAAACTCTACTTCGCAGCTTTTATTTGAAACACTAGGGCGGCGTTAGAGGGGCAGTGTTCCGCAAACAAAACTGAACGAACTCGATGGAGAGTCACTTTACGGCTTGCAAAAAAGATCGGTTGCGACATAGACTGGTATCACGAGAGGGAAAATAAGAACTGAATCATCGTACCCCTTGTATCTGAATCGATGAAGGGAAACCAGTCACACGAAGAACTCGTTCATTTCCCACAGATTGGTTTTCATAGAAGACGCTATCATTCTTTCCTTGATGAGTAGTGCTTGTCGTTCTGACATCATAAGTTGTAGCACGTGAACTTGACGTTTCATACCGTGTGGAAAAGGTCTGTACTTTGTATTCCTGTAAAAGGAAGTCCAGAATTTAAAACCCGTCTGATACCTTATTTGTTTGCTTCATTTTTGGCAGATAACGAATAACATTTTTATGCAAGTATACTCACCGTTTTTACTTCAGATGATGTTTGTTTCCTGAATGTTTCAAAACTCTCGACCGATAATGCTCCGCTCCTCGTGAATTGATACAAATATGATAAGAAAAGCGTTATCATATTTTTATCTGGTGTTTCGATTCCAAAATCTGGAAGAATTTAGATAAAAAATTAAATTACTTATCTATCACAGAGAATATACTGGACGTTATCGGTCAAAAACTAAACAGCAAAACCCCACTTCTAGACAAACTGAGTAAAACTAGCTTTTGGTAAATTACTTACATGTGGAAAACATTTTGTGGCTTAAAATACAAAAGGAGTTTGCCTATACGAAATTCTCATTGAAAGATTTTCTTACATAGGCTTAAGGCTAGAGTACTTGCATTATAGATGCCAAGTAATAACTTTACCTTCCAAGTCAAAAATAGGAGGTACTCCATAATTTTTAGTGGCCAGGTTAAGGGCATTTGCAAGACGTTTCTCCCCGTCACTTGCTGATATTGCATCAAAGTCAAAGTGAGATGGGCTATAAGATGACAGAAAACAAGCAACGATTACTAATATCTAAAGCAGACCTATTATGGAGACGCAATCTTCCGATCGTTGAACACTGCCATGAAGATGAGGAATTTCTCTCATATTTGGTTTCTTTAGTTAAAGATATGAGGTGTCTTGGACAGGTCGTAAGTAAAATATACTTATGTTCCACTCGCAGATTGGGCACCAAGGCGACGAGATAAGTGACCCTCGATAACGTTTAATGCTATGCATAAGTATGTTTACCATATCAGCCTGAATGGATACCAACACGAAAGGCTTACTTGAAAGAGTGAAGGAGTGCATTAAATGCTAAACCATCCATCCAGCTCGTGGTTAGGTTAGTCACTTCTACTTTACTTTTGTATCTGTTGTAGATCAAAAGAGTAAAGCAAAGCTATGTTAACTCATCATTAGAATTAGTCAACCTTATTGATTGCGAATTCGTGAGAGATACAAACCCTTTCAGCTGATATTGACACCATCCTAGTAGCTTTTGATCGACTCCATAATCTGTTTGAGAGGGTTGAATCGCCTTGATTACCTTTTTAAGGGACATATGTTGAAACAAAAATTATTTAAGAGATAACGTAACAAAAATCATTACGATGTGGGCCGAAACGTTTATAGTGATAACGAACCATGGAAAGCAGAAAAGAATAAGGAAAAAATAACTGGGAAAGAAGGTCAAGAAAGAAAAGACTTGTACGGCTTCGAAGGAGAACACTGAAAGCTGAAAAATATTAAATTATCAGAACTATGTTAGACATAAAAAAATAAGTTGCCTCTGCATCCAAATCAAAATTTTAACAACCTGAAATTGAAAGATGATACTCCACACCAAGCTTATCGTAGCCCGCTGAACACCGGATACAATCTCGCTGGCTGTAACGCTTCCTGTTCGGACCTAGGAATAAACAAGACATTAGTTGCGCATAACTAAACACAGCATTGGTGATTGACTTCCTGATTTTCTCAGTGCTCAGGTGATCATGGAGCTGTGCAAGCTCTGATTGGTCGATACAGGGCTTCATTACAATTAATAGCTATTTGACGAATTCAGTAACGCTATTATTTGACAGCATTCATTATTAAGCTTGACTCAGTTGCCTCAGGTTTGGCTCAAATTGTCTTGTCTGAAGAGATTTATCTTCTTATTTCAATTACACACGAGTCAATTCGAGGAGCAAGAAATGACAGTCATGGAATAACTCGATCGAATATTTCAAGCTTGTTTTAGGATGCATACCTTGTTTCTAGCCAAGTGTCCCATAGCCTCCTGGATATTTTTAATGTTAGCTATGCGGCTGTTTTTCGTGTCTCTCAAAACTTTGATTCCAAGAAGTACTTCAACAAGTGTGAGTAAAACTTTCCCATCTTTCGATCCGTTGACAAGGTTAGAGACTCTTTCTGGAGGATTCGCCTGTAGAAAATGTTTCGTGAAGTTTAGAATCATCAAGGGTAGCTGAACTGTTTTTGGTGTTGTGAACAAAAACAAAATTAAATTGACGGAAAGAAAACTGAGATTATTAACATGATAGAGAGGATATATACCGTAAGAAAAAAGTAAATAGTTCAAAATCTTAGCTTTACCTTGAATGATTGGGAAACTCACCCAAAAGCTATACATTAGTGAAACTAATTCGGCTTAGAGCTGGACTCCTATATCTACTTTCCTAGTTTTTTCTTTATAGCCCTACCACTCCAAAGCCTCCACATGTACTGAGTATGTCCACTAAAAGCAAAAATGTTAAAGTGCTATACTGGTCAAAGAGAGAAAGCAATCGAGTCGAATTCAATCGAGCAAAAAAGTGAGAATCTTAAATCTAAGACGACCTTCAACTATTACCCTCTGACGCCATAAATCCCAAGGTCATGGCGGCTTACACTCTTTCAAGTGACTCTTACTTTTGCTAATTGAAGATTAATCCATCGAGTAAAAACCCTCTCATGCCTGTCCAATTGACTGTCTGTGGAGAGAGCAAAATTCCTTTAGTGTAACCAGTCATGATCATAATTTACACCGGTCTGATGTAAAAAATAAGCGAGCACCTTCTCTCAGGACACCGGGAATCGAGACTCTCACCTGCTTGGACTTCTCGTTCCTAGCTCATCCCGCATCACGCTAATTGATTCTTTTTCAAAAAGTCAGATGTTTGAGCGAGGGTGCTAATATTGCCGAGATGGTCACAATATGCATGACAAGAAGATTTTTAAATAGTGTTTATTAGACATGATAAAAAAGGCGTTTTGCATAGTTGAAGATCACGGTCGTTTGAAGACTCCCTCATCTAATTGAATTTGCAACGATGCTCTTTTTTCTTGAATCCACAGCTTTTTCCGAACTTCAAGGGCGAGTAAAATATCGATCGTGCTTGCACCAATGTACCGAAAATCTCTTAATAGTTCGGTTTTTTCCAAGACATTTTTTCCCCTTTTGGAGGCCTGTTGACAATGAAATGCTAAAACAAAGATTCAGTTTGACAGTGAGAAAGAGATTACTTAGGGTTTTAGTGGATAAATTTGGTACGCGAAGTGTCGCTTCAGTTGTCTCGTACAGCTGAAGCTCTCGAAAGAACAAAAGAAATTGTTTGGGCGCGTTAAACCCGACAAAGAAGCGGTATCAACCGCCAAAAAAAATATGCTTATTAATGCGCGTTATGAGCTTGCAAAGCACGTAAATCGACTGAATTGCACATTTCTATACGTTGAAGTTTTCAGTAATAAGTTTGCAATTAAACTTATGTTTAGCTGCGATGTAGCCTAGAATAATTTGTCTAAATCCACTTAACATAAGTTTCTTGATTACGCACCATTGGTTTCTGCTCTCTGAGTACGTATGTGCTCTACGAAGCAACACTTAAAAGTCCTACTGATACGTTCACTGCTTTTTAGGCTATAGTAGGATATAATCCTTAATAATTGGCATTCCACCTTCTTGGGTGAGAGCTTGAGATGCTGCTGTTATCTGCTGTTATCGCGTGTAAATTATTACAATTAATGTATATTCAAAACAAACGATATTCTTTAAACGCTAACTTACAGCTTATTTTTCTTCATGGTACCGCGATCTCTCTTACCTTTCATAAAGATGTATTCTGTGTTCATTGTCGATTGCGTTTGGGAGCGATATTGAAGATCCTCAAAGGAATTTCTTCCAAAAAAGTGGTCTTTCAGCGAACTTCGAGTTAGTCAGAGAGTTGTTTGACTAGGGAAGATTGTTTGAAGGCTGTTGATAATCAGTTCAACTTGCCAGATCTCAGTCCATTGGCGGTTTTGCGATCGGGAACTCAGATGAAATCCCCTTGTACACTTCAGGTAAATATTTTTGAATCTTAGCTCGAAGATCTTATATCATTTTCTCGCCATTATGGACAAAATGTCACGCAACACTGCCTTTCCTGTTGTTGTTATCTGTCATGTAAAGAAAAATTTATTGCATGTCACATGCAAATTAAAGTAGATATTTTGTTCTAATGTATAAATAGATTTTTAAGAACATGGCTCCTCGGTATTTCGAAATTCGTTCCAAATACTACCGTTTCTGATAGGTTTTAATCTTCTCCTTATGAAGGGGAAGTAGGATCGAATTGGTACCACCAAAATCATGTGCGGAATGTCATAGGATTCTTTTTAAAGAAAATTCCACCTCATTCGAAGCAGAACGGGATTGATGTCGATCGAAAGAGTCCACCAGTTGAACAACGCAATATCTTAATTTATCAAAAGAGGAAAAAATAAACGCTATTCAGGGGTATGGATCGGTGGCGCAATCAAGATTTGTTAATGAAGCTTATATAGGTAGAAAAATTTCCAGGGATTTTAACCACTCCTACTCCTAAAAGGGAGGCATAACATAACATAAGCTTAAACAGATGTTAATGAAGCTCTGATAAGCAGGTAAGGTTACTTATGGCTTGAGTTTTCCTTTTTTCACATTCGAGTAGGGAATAGTGTGAGTAGTAATAAGTATAAATCTCGAAACTTTCTTTTTGTGATCCGGTGATTTATGATGACATATAATAATTCATTCGAACGCAAGTGAGTTATGTGCATAATGAGCAAAGCTCGGACAAAATAAAAAGTCTCATTAAATCGATGAATACTATAAATAGCTTTTGAGTGAACAGATAAAAGTTTTGATGCATATGTAAATTCCTTTTCATTTAATGCAACCTTAACATTAGAAAGAAAAAAAAACCTACCAACTACCAACAAACTGAAATATGTTTAAGTAAAGAAATGATCCTCGCAAATGGACCGTAATTTTGGTAAATACGCAAAGAAGCCTGAAACATTCAGGCTTCGACGGGATTCGAACCCATGCCTCCCATGTACTAGCTGGTCCAACTGAGCTACGAAGCAAGACAATGGGAGCGACAAACATTTGCTTGGCTTTCATCCGCAGATCAAATAACAATTAATTTCATTGCAGTTTTAAATATAAGGTCAGTATGTTATTAACACATCGCAAAGTGAATGAAACAGTAATTCCCCTGACAACACTTTTGTTCTTCTCTTTGTCGATTCCTCTACATTACCATTGGCCTATAGTTAAGTTTTGCAGGGGAGTACATTCAGCTTAGGGTTAACCCTTTTATACCCTCACATCAGTATGCATATTCTCCATACTCCCCCTATATGTTATCTAATGTGCAAATAAGGAGAATTGGTTTGTCAATCAACAACTTCTTTAGTTGGTGATCATTTCTTTTATTCTTGTGACCTTCAAGTTTGATTCTGGAGTGATTTGGTAAGGAGAAAATAGATGCTAATCAATCTTAGGGGTAAAAAGGTAAAAAAAAAATTTCCTCAGCAATAACGCTACAATATGCTACAGAAAGGTTTAGGGTTCAGAGACAACTGTTATCTTAATGGTACAGAATGGCCTGATAAAAGACCCGACCCATGTGGTAAAGTAAAAGCATAGAGCCGCATTTCATAATAAGTAAGGTTTATCTCCGAAGTTTACTTTAATTTGTAAACGACAGTTGAGTTGCCTTCAGTTTCGCTTTTTGCACATCATTCATGATGACTGAGTTGATATTTACTTAATTAAGAGCTCTAAAATTAATACCATCCATTGTCATTTTTCAAGAATGTAATGTTTTAAAAGCAATTAATGCATAATACTGCTAGTAGGCTGTTATGGCAGACTTGCAGCTGGCAGACCCGTTCTTCCTGGAGGCCTCAGAAAAAAGCAATTTCTTCACTGTCTGAGGTATGTTTGATGTCTATGTGTGAATACTAAACTAGAGACTTTGCATAAGTTTACTATCCCGCTTAGCATTCCAGTAAAATAAGTGTGGAAATTACTGATAAAAATCAAGCTTTACATTAGCATCTGAGCTAAAAAAATCAATCAAGACAAAGAACGGTTTCTAGAGAACGGGTCGGTGACAAAAAAATTGTATTGTTGTTCTTTTTAAGTCAGCTGCATTTTGCATAAACGTTTTTGATAGTTAAAACTGGGGCTACATTCGATGTGAATATGGATGCTAAGAAAGTCGCTGCTGTTGCCCGACCCAAACTTAAATTGTTTCAGCGAGCTGCTAAAGATATCAAAGCTGGAGTTCGACACACGTCAGCAATTGCCCAGTCACGGGGTAAGTACACAGGTATAGAATGTATATAATTTACATACTTTGAATTTGGACTGGACGTTCGCAATTAGAGGGCGTCTCTTAACTTAAACGGGTGTCAAGTTAAGATCGTTTCCCTATAAACTCTATACTGGTAGTCTCTCTGGAGAGCAAATTTTTTTTAACGTTACTCACCAGTAGCCTTCAAATTTAATGATGAGATGGATGTTGCGAAGGGTGCTAAGATGTATTGTGATAGTAGCCCAGACTTTAGTGTCATGCAGTGGTTGTTGATTTTAAATTCTTTAAGATTGCTATTTTTCTTGGCTTACAAAATTCATCAGAATAGAACTCGTTTCATATTCTTTCTCTTTAGTAAATATATTACAAAAAAAGAAAAATATATATATATTTGCTTCTAGTGCACAGTAAGCTCTGCTACAGTTTCTACTACGTCAATGCATATCATTCTGTCCATGACCCGACGTTACAAAATGTTACAACACGTCTTCAATTTTTTCCGAGTTTCGGCCGAAAATGCTGATCGCATACAGGTAAACTGTTCGGCGGGTCAAACACCTGTAACTTCTTTCAAAATAAATGCATTCAACAATTTAATAAAGGATAAGAAAACAGGCTCTGGAAGACCAACAAACAAACGAACAGATAAACAGCAAAGATTATCAAACAAACCAACAAGGCAGGGTCAAAAGGATTTACTTTTCGCTGCTTATTTTCAAGTGGTTATATTGACAAAAAGCTGGATGTTTTGGTCAGTTTTAAAGGAAACGTTAATCAACGATATGTATACCAGCTACATTTGTATAACATATTCATGTTGACACTCAGTCTCTCAGCTGATCTGCGGGGAACTCCTTCAGTTCATCCTCTTTGGGTGAAAATACATAGCAAATGATTTATTTCTCTATGAGATAGCAGAAGGCAAGCTGATTGGTGTATTTCTGTATATTAAGTTTTGGGCAATTCTTAAAAATGTATATAGCTCTTTATCTTCGTTTTTGTAACCAAACCATGAAAAAATCTGTCAATTTCACTCGGTAATTCTACGAGCACATTCAACGTTTTTGGAATCGTAAAAATGTGGAATTTCCACAATATATATTCCAATGTATAAGAGTCAGTTGAATGATTTAAATTTCAGATATCACAGTTCTCAGTTAGGAACTTATTTAAGGAAATTTTCCTGTCAGTTTAGTACTTCGGTTCGACAGACTTTCATAAAAATATCTTCATTATTAAAAATAGAGGCCTTTTTTAGTTACAACCGCGGTTACAAAGCTATCAGACTTTTCTTTTGTATTGACTGATATCTCCATGTTTGCTCAGCCTGTTGAAACTTTCTGTCAAATCAGGGTCAATGACTAACCTTATACTTCAACTTTTCGAACAAATCGACTAAAACCACTTAATATCTGTAAACTAAAAAGACGAAGATTTCGACGGCGAAATTTACCAAAATTACATCTTATTTCGTAATCACAATGAAGTGGACACTTCGATGTTCATTTAAAAGCGCAAGGTTGTTTCCAACAATATATCATCGTACTAATGTAAATGATGTTTATTTTGCCTTCTCGGTTTACAAACGTAGCTGCCGATCCCATGAAAATTTTCACTGAATATTTCCAACGATAACTTTTTGCTTTGCAGTCTCAATAAAAGTTATGCCCAGCTGCCTTTTTAACTAAAAATTGTAATGAGCTTTTCAAAGTTTCTCCATAAGATTTCGATTCTGAAGAAGTCGAGTGTTACTAGAGAAAAAAAAAAGTCAGTCAGTTACTTTTCTTGCAGTACACTAGTATTTCAAAGAAAATGATTGTTTTAACTCGGTGCTGTATTACGGTATCTAGAGAACCGTCTGATGGCCAAAATATGTCATCATGCAGGGATAATCTTTCTAGAATCAAATTTTCGACATAAATTATTTTGACAGTGGACTAAGTGTTTTCTCCAGGAATCAATAAGACTTTAGCTTCAAAGATGGCGTCTGAAAACACATCTCGCAAGTCATCTTTAAGAAAATTTCAAGCAGCAGCGACAACCGTTCAGCGGAATACACAGTACACTAGGAAATTTACTCAGTTGATTGGTAAGTAGGTATCGAGTTGAACAAAATGATTTCCATACTTTGAGACACTAATCAAAGCAAATATTCAATTATATCAACTGGCTACAGGTGAAACTATAATTAATATATTACTCGAGTGTTATTCGACGATGTAAGCAATTTTTTTGGTTTAACATTGTTTTCACTATAATGATTTATATAACATGATGTCGAAAGCCAGCAATAATAAGGAAAAATCGTAACCTGTTTGCGTAGTGATCCAGCAAAGCACAAATAAATTTGATCTTCATGAAACACATTCAATTTACTCATGTGTGCTTCGACTGTAGAGTTGAAAAGAAGAAGGGAAAACATAATCATCTTCTTAGATATTACGAGCGTTTAAGGAAAAAATGGTCGAAAATTGAGAATTAGAGCACGAGTGAATCATTATACGTGACCGTTCATGCAAAATAAAATTGCTGATTCGTATGTTTATTATAATCATAAATCATGAATTTTGGCGGGAAACTAGCTGAGTGCATATTATATGGCCAAGTTCGGCCCAAAAATCTAACAATAATAAAATACAAATAAGAAAGCCTTGAAACCCTTTTGGTGAATCGCCAATTCGGAAAACTGAGAAGGAATACTGGAGCCATTAGTACAATGTGCCCATGCTATGGGCAGATGAAGTGACAACACATCAGACCAATGTAAATGTATCTCTAGTTAAAACTGAGAAGGAATACAAAAGACCAAAAATAAATGCAAATAACATTTTGTCAGTACAAAATACTAAAAAGAACATCCATTTATCCGTTTATCTTTTAATTTGCAGTCCTGAGAAGGCTACAGCTAATGTTGGTTTTTTTTTCTAGAGGAAATCCTCCGTATATCTTTTGCAAAATAGTCTTTGCTTCACTACGTAAACTCAGTTCTGATATATAAAAAGCTTTCCGTATAGTCTTTGGTAAAAAGGGAAAGGAAGTTTGCAAAAATCGTTTTTATGTTTCAAAATTTTTGCTTTTGAATGATCTCGTAACGGATAGCAATATTGCAAAAATGTTCTCCCAGAGACATTTTTGATAAGATAAGGTTTTTATTAGTATTCGGTTTCATGATTCCAGGTTCTAAAAGAAACAATCAAAAAACAATATAAATGTTCGTTCTGTTTAAAAGTTCTTAAAACACGCCTTTTGATAAGATAAGCAGTATTCGGTTTCATGGTAGGTTCTAATAAAAAATAACATAAATGTTCGCTGTGTTTAGTTCTTAAGGTACGCAAGTTTCAATTCCTAAGGTTCAATTCTTAAGGTTCGCAAGGTTCAGTTCTGGGATTCGTTTTCCGTTTCTTCACAACACGTCGCGTTTTTTTCTAATCACAATTAGATAATACGCTTCTAGGATGTTTATATCTGTTCTCACTACTCTTTTGTTCAAAATGTGCAATTATAGCAGAATCGGGTCCTTGCAAGTCTGAAAACGTGAGGTCATTCACCAAATAGCCAACCACTTCAATCACCTCCACGGACCGGAATCGGACCTAACCGACCACTCACTTGCTCTGTTTACCTGGCATCAATTTTTCTTTTTCAGTGATAATCTGACGTGACGCTTAATTTTCCCAAAATATTGTCTGTTTGTTGGAAGGTGTTAATCATTATAACATGCAACATTAAAGCTGTTAGAGAACAAAGTCACTCATAGATTTCGCGAAAACTCACGAAACGAATCTTCACGTGCAAGCATTCATATTCAAATCAGTTGACCCTTTGGGCCTGGGGGTCATCATCAAAGACAAGTCTTGAATATAAATTTGCATACCTACACTAAATTGAACAACACTATTTGAGCAGAATCTTGGAGAGCTGACCTCGCTTTTAAACATGAACGGCCAAGAAGCTGAAGTCGCTCGCCAAAACTCCATGAAAATCAAGAGAATGATTTCGGACCGCTCAGGTAAAGACAATCTTGAAGCTTTTTTCATCTGCGTCATGCTATCTCTGCAGTAGCTCTCGGAAAATGTTTATAGGATTTTACCCTCTGCGATTCGTTCAATCAGCGCAATTTGTCGCCCCTGACACAATTAGTGCAACTTTTCGCTCTTTCCCTGAAGTTCCAGTGCTTTTATAGACAAGTTTGCTCATTGCTTTCAACACTCGCATTTAGAAATTTAGGGCTTGATGTTCTTAATCTGGGCAAAAAAGATCACAACTTGCAATTCTTATAAGTTGTAAACAATCAAAGACACATTACAATGCGTATCTCATCATTCTTTATTATTTCATAACTTTTAATTCACAGGCTCGTTGCCTTTACGTCAACAAGTTTTAACGAGAAGGCTCCTGCTAAGTTGTTAAACTTTAAACAACATTTCACAATTAAGGACCAATAACTTTGTGGTGTTCAAGAGGGAAAAATAATAAGATCTATTTAGTACTTTAAAACTTGACACTCTTGTGTTCTTTACCATATTCAACCTTAAATTTAAATAAGTTTGCTACATCCTTTAAACTTAGCACTGAACATTTAAAGGATGTGAGCATGTTTTCAGATTTCAACCGAAATGTTTACTAGGTAGACAGTTGACTCAGGTATTCATAGAGCAGTAATTAGCACAAATTTTCGCCGTGTTTAACTGTCTACGCTGCAAGATATGCATGGAATGCTACGTATGGCTATTTCGATAAACAAATCTTATCAGGTGGTTAAATTTTACTCATAAAACGTTACCAGCTAAAGAGGAAGCGAGTAAATCAAAGCTTCACCTTTTCTTAGAACGGTATTCTTGATGGCTGTATATGTAGATTTTAATTTCGACAAATATGGATTCACTTCATCAATACATACGAATATTAAAAATATGCTAACCTGTGTAATGAAGTGAGACGACTGTTCATCTAATTACTCTTGATATTTGCATTTTTACTCAATGAAGGGTTTAAAGGAAAAGCAAATCAATCGAAAATCATTTTACAAGGCAAATAGAAAAAGAAGGATTCGATACAGTCTGTTAACAAGGAGGAAAACGATCATGAAGATTTGTCAAAACTGTTAACGTAAATATAAATTTGCTTTTAATTGAAAAATATTTCAGTGTGTGTAGATCTAAAATCGTCGCCGACGAAAATGTTTTTATCAAAAACGCTAGAATACTGACGGAAACTTATCATAACATATTTGACGTAACATCATTCCAGAACTATAAATTTTCCGTGTTTGCCCTGAATGGAATAATCACAATAATGAAAGGGGCACTTGAGACCACTTAACTCTGGTTTCTTTCCATTATTCTATCATGGCGTAAGCTGATCTACTTGAAAAAAAAATAATGTTAACCTGGAGTGAAAATTAAGAGATAACATCGGTTATATTTAGAAAGTGATACTGAAAATCAAGGAACTTCAACAACAACTGTTTAAATCTTAATAATATCATAATAATAAGTGTGTCTAACACTTTGCGACTTCCGATAAAGACAATTTGTAATCAATGCAATGTCTTCTAGTCTCCAATCGATATTGGACGTAATCACAATTATCTTATGAAGCAAAAGTCTTTTTTCATGTTTGTTTGCCAAAAAAAAGAAGAACACTATAACGTTAGGCTTTTTCCTTTCTACTTTCCTATTATGACGAGGCCTTCTTTATGTAAAGTTTGGATAGCGATAGAAACACGGAGACTGGGATATCGAGGTCTTACAAAAAATCTCACTTGATATTCGCGTGGAGAATAGAATGGTAAATTCGAGATTTTCGTAAAGGGCACGCCTACTATATAATGCGTAGGACATCCTTCCTTTTTCTTACTGAAACACAGACTCAAATACGTCTTCTAACAGACAAAGAGACTGCGAACATAAAAGTTAATTTAAACAAAATTCTTTGGAAAAGAGCATATTTCAAATTAGGTCATGAGCAAATTTAAAAATTAAATGAAGCAACGCAGCTTTCTTGAGTGATAAAACAAACAAACAAACAGACGAAAGCAAACACAAAAGAGAAAACAAAAAGCAAAGTCAAAAACCAAGCAAAAACAAATAAATGAAACATTTCTTAAAAAAACACACACACACGCACACATTCACTAGCACTTTTTTAATGCAACCCAATATTGTTGGGACTATCTTAGAATTCCAAAATCCTAATATTGATATCTTAAATAACTGCTTTTACTGAAGGTGAGAGGGAAACACTTCATAGGAAAACTTTTACAAAATGGGTAAACGCAAGACTCGCTCAGGTAAGGCAAACTCTATCTTACTTTCAGAAATATATTTGCTTGTTGAAATAAATTCAATTTTCACTGAGCTAGCCTCTAGTTATTGTATCATTTTGTTTGAGCACATTGAGTAAAATGTCGCAAGGATGCTGTGGCAAACTTGCGTTCAAATTGCTTAAATTAACTCAAGTGTAGGAAAATGCAATGTCAAAGACGGCACTGCATGTAGCTGTGAATCTGAGTTGACGCGAAGACGGATTTTCTCAGCCAGATTCGAAGTGTAGTGGGCCGCACTCTGCTCATTATTTTTCACTATATTTCACTGTATTTACTTACCATGCTCTCACCCTTATCTTCCCACAGCACGATCCTCCCATGGAAATCAAAGATGTTGTGGTAGATTTTATGGACGGGAAGATGTTGCTGAACATGATGGAGGTTCTTTGTAACACAAAATTGGTAAACGCAAGCGAAAGTTGTCTGTTTTTAGGATCTAACCCGTTTAAAATCACCACTCAATTCGTCAAATAGTATAACTAAGATTTGTTATTGGCAGTTCATTTTCAGGAAATTTTATGAATTTTGAAAAATTCTGTCATCACCCTTGTTGTTCCACGCTTGATACAGTTTTCTATAGATTTTTGTAACAGTCTAGCTGACAAAGGTCAAAAGAAGGACTGAAATATATTTTACACTTCTTGATCGTGTAGTCTAATCTTCCGGGTGAGGGTAGTCCTGAGAGGGACTTTTGTCGGTAGTGGGGACGGACGTTTCGAAATTCGACAACCTAAGGGAATGTCATCGTCAGCGTCCAGTGAGAAGTTTTTGTCAGTCGATTGTTGTAAGTCCGGTTCGTGTACACTGATTGTTCAGTTTGGCCAGGATGTTATTAGCTGTGAGACTCAAGTGGTGTACTTCGATCGTGATTGGTCAGTTTTGATCCGTCGGAAATAATTTTTGACAAACCAAAACTGAGTCTTAGTGGCTACGACCTGACCTCAGTATACGCTTTTGTTTCAATGTTGCTGTTTCAGAAAAAAGAGAAAGGAAACTTGCGTGTCCATAAGTTGAACAATGTTGAACAAGCTATGAAATTGCTGGAGAAGCAGAAGGTAACAAGACCGTGCATTTCTTTTGTTCATGCTCATACTCCTTTTCAGTCTAGTTCTTATCTGTGAGTCATTAACGTATTTAGCTCATGATGTGCTGCAGCAGCTGTGATAGGTTTGCTGGAAAGGGTAGTTGGAGCATTTCTGCCAAGCTGCGTTTTCTTCCTTTTTTTTTTAATGTTACAGTCAGTTGGCCATTACATATACGTGAACCACTAACTTCACTATGATATTATGATTCTTAAGGTTAAACTGGTTGGGATCAATGCCTTCGACATTGTGGATGGAAAACCTCGTGTAATTCTTGGTCTTATGTGGAGTGTAATTCTTAGATTCCAAGTAAGAACCTCATATGCAACTTAATATTACCACTGAATACACTTAGTAGATAGAATGCGAGAGCAGGTTACATTGACTTTTGTTTAAGTCCTTTGTAAGAGCTAAGTACGCTTTATGCGTTATTTCTTCATCAAGATATTACGAATATTTGCATAATGAAGAAGACTGTGGGAATGACAAATATGGCTTATTTTGAATCACCGATAGCATAGTAGTTGTGGAAATGTGGAGGTCATCTCTGGTTTAATCGATAATGATGAGGGCAATTAATTAATTGTTCCCAAGAGGATTGCTCGTTGCTAACTAAGCCTGAGGAAAGCCTGCACAATCTTATCTAAGAAAGGTAAAGTGCTGTCAGATGGATAATAATTGATTAGTTGTTGAAGGTCGGTAACACACGTGCCTTCCTAAAAACAGAAAGAAAGTAATAAATTTTATTTTTGACCTGGTAGGTCCAAGAGGTTATGCAGGAAACGGTAACGGAGGAGACAGCGAAATCATTCAATGTCGAAAAGAAACTTCTTGATTGGTGCAAAGAACGCTTGAAAGGGTGAGTAGGATGCAATTGAACAAGTTCCTTGTATATTCTCATTAATCCTCGATGTTTTTAAACCTTTTCTTTCTAACTAAACAATCTTTTCGAATTTAGGTATGAGGAATACGTCACTATCTCTGATTTTTCTTCAAGCTGGAGGGATGGCCTGGCATTCAACGCTCTTGTTCATTCATACGGGTACGAAAAAATTGTGATGCGACTTAATCAACACACACATAAAAAAACAATTACTTTGTATCTGGAAATAACAAAATTTACTGTTCTCTCAGACCTGGATTGTTTGACTTTAATGCCATCGCGCAGTCATCAACTCGAACCAGATTGGACAACTCCTTTAAGATGGCAGAGAAGCACTTCGGAGTTCCACGCTACTTAGACTCGACAGGTTTGTGATGTTTTCGGAAAGTTCCGCGTGGGCCTTTCCTACTAGTGTCGTCTTTTTGTGCGGAAGCTTGCGATATGAAATCGGGGTGGTGATATGGATCATTTCGCTGCAAAATTTGAACGTAAGGCCTGGTCCAACCCTAGAGGGTCCGAATCTTATAAAAAGAACAAACAAACAAACAAAAAACAGGTTGAAATTCTATACTTCATGTCACACCCGCGATGCAATGAACTTTATTATAACGTAAACTGTAACATCTTATCATTGAGTAGTAGCCTTCTTGGCCAAAAAAACTTGTTTTGAAGTTTTAGATTTAACGTAAGGACATTCAAAAATATATTGTTTGGTTTACTTATTAACTGATTGAACGATATTGTCTTATCAAAAGGCTAAAAACCTTATGGGAATGACATCATTCCTTACGGTTACCTCGGAGACGATAGGTTGACTCAAAGTAGGAATACATTTAGTGAGTTAGTTGATTGAATCAATGTCATAAATTAAAAGAAATGTAATCACAAACTGTAATCTCTTACCTGTCGGCATGTTAGCCTGTAATAGTTTTAAAACTTTACAGATATTGACGTTGAAAAGCCGGACAAGAAGCTAATTATCATGTACTTAACTGAGATGTATAACTATCTTGAGGGAAACAAGGCCAAAGAAAGGGTAAGAGGAAAGAGAATTATTAGAAGATCGAATTTCTTTTTCGGGAAGGTGGTAAAACAAAGTAACACTTAAAATCTCAGGCTTAAATTGGCTGTTTGATATATTATCTTTAATTTGCAGAAAGTTTCGGTAATGATGGAGAATCCTTGCATAGTCGATAACGTGGAAGCTGTGGAGGGAGCCTTGAACGACAGCTTTGATAATTTGGACTCTAAACCAGCCTTCAGGTATGGTTACGACTACACCCTATGATAAAATTGAGGGAAGAGAAAACAATATTTGGAAACTTGCAGACTGAAGCAGGACATAAAAAGCGCAGTTGCAACATATTGGTTGATAAATCTAACTGACGAAAGGTGCCGAAGAAGTAGGAAAAACAAAAACACCAGCCTCCATTTCCATGCTCTCCACTAGCAGAGGATACAGTAGGTGTATAAAGAAAGAAGTGACTTTGATAAACTTTGGCTATTAGCGAGGAGATCTTTGCCGAATAATTGCTTTCAATCTTCCTCCCACGGGAACATTCCGATATTTAAGACATTCACTTCAAAATTTAATCGCACAAAATGTTTTCTACTATAACTAATAACTAATAGTTTCGTTTTCTTAGCCAATCAGAACACGATAAAGCAGTTGCAGATCTTGGCAAGAAATTGAATGAGGTGGAAAGTGGATTGTCTCACGCGGAGCATACCAAACCAGTTTACGATGAAAATGATTCAGTTAATTTGGAGGAAGTAACTAAACAGCTGGAGGAACAAAAGGTTGAAAAATTGTTTTCCTGTAAGGCATGATTTGCTGACCATTCATCATGGCATCTCTCTCGTAAAGGTTCTTAAGATGGAGAGATGAGCTATCTATTTTTAGTAACTAATCCTAGAGTTTCATCGCATCAGTTATTGTTGTAGGGCTATCTGAGTTTCAGCAGTAACGTAATGGACGCCTTTTTGCCAAAACTGGAAATGCTGAAGGTGCTTTTCCTCAACAACAACTAAAGATAAATCCTTGTACAGATGAGGGTCTTAAAGGGGTTAACTTTAAGCTGTAGAAAGACCAACGAATTTAGCCATTAAACATACAAAATTATCGTATTATAACCATTAGTCGTCAAAAAAGTTATCCGTGAAAATGTTTCCCTCCTTAAATGTGTCATTTAGGTCAACCGTTAGCTGTAATATGGCCAAGATTTTAACCGTTGCCGTAATGCGATCACCCCATTGAGAACCTCACAGAAGTGAACTGTATTTTTTAACGAACTATTTTTTTTTTGCTCATTCATACACAGAAATTTCGTCAAGACCTCGAGCCACTTAAGTCTCACACTTATGAAGTTTTGAATGAAGGACGGTCCATGATAGGGGAAGGATACTTTGATTTAGGTGAAAAGGAGCACTTCCAAGACCGGATGGATAATGTCGATAAAAGGTTGCAAAACCTTCTAGAGCAATCTAAGAGAGATCAGGACAAGTGAGTTGTTTAGGGATTTGATTTTTAGAACATACGAATGACATTGGTTATATATGTTTTACTATTCATTAGAATTGATCGAAGGGCTGAGTTGACAGTTATTTTCGAAAACGATTAGGCAACACCACCTTGACATAGAATACGTTAGAAATGAATCAAACAAGCTAAATTTTCAACTCAGTTGTTTGCTGGTGTTCTTTGCCATAGGCTTTCACAGCAGAGATCTGTTCTTTTGAAACAACAATTAAACAAAATGAACATATGGTTGAAAAAGGCCAAGCAAAAGATGGACGCAGGAGACGACATTGGCCCTACCTACGAAACTGTTAAAGAGCAGTTGGAGGAACATCAGGTAATTGTCAAATGTCATCGTGTTTCACGGTGGTATTCATATCCTTGCGAGATAGCAAATAACACTCCTGTACTCTTCTAGAAGTGTGTAACGTGGGAAAGAGTAAGGTATCGATAGTAAAGACAAGCTCGCTGCTGGAAACACGTAATTTTGTTGATAGAAATATGTTGAGCATGTCGTTTCTTCATGACCTTAGAAATTTCAAGAGGGAGTTGGTGACATGTCTTTAGTGGCTTCAGTACTTAGGAGTGATTTAACAGACCCAGATTTGGATGACAAAACTCGAGAACAAATCAAAAATGTGAACGAAAGGTGGGCGACGGCCTGGAACTGGAGTGAGGATCGAAACCAGAAGCTAACTAAAGCAATGATCGATTGGCAGAAGTTTCGAGATGAAGAACTTATACTTCTAAACTGGCTCAGCCAGAAAGAAAAAACTCTTAAAGAAGTATCGAACACTGATGTTGCCGACGAACAACAAGTTAAGGAAAGCCTTGAACTTCTCGAGGTAAGGATTACACCTAGTTAAAAGTGTTCAATGGTAGTGCAATTTATGAACGCCCAGTTGGTTTTTGAGAGATATGATTTTCCTTCGGAGGATACTCCTTTGCCACCAATTTTTCCTAACTTGTTTTTACTCTTCCCCAAGCAGCAAAATACTGAACGCGATTGTATCAGTCACCTGTTTACTTTGAAATAATTTTGGGAGTCAGTCCCTAGAGGTGTAAAATGCTACCCCATGAATAATGATCCAGTTTTATCAATTTTACGAATGTACCAACAGGCAACTCAAAAGGAGCTTGAGGAACAGGAGGAAAGACTGCAAAGGCTCCGTCAACTGGGGAAAGACCTCATTGAGGATTCTGGTCGCGACGAAGAAACAACCAAGGAAATTGAAGCACAGTTACAAGACTTTGACGACTGCTGGAATCATGTTGCCAAGAGAGTCATTGATGAGAAAGAAAAGGTGCGTAAAACGTATATATTTTACTTATTGCTAGTCAGTCTTCTAATATGTTAGCCACATTGTGTGGAACTTTGTTGTACCTAGTTTAACCATGATGATGTGATCGCAACAACTCTGGGATTAAATCTCTTTGCCGGAGTTCCCCGATATCTCTACTGGTATTATCACAGATTTATTCAGAGTTCAGATGAAATTTTGCAGTTCACGTATACATGAGCAAAACAGAGTTAGTTATAAGTTATTTGCACCTTCTGGAATCAACAGAAGGGCTAAGGAGATCATAGGGTAAAATTTCTATATTGTGAAGAGCACAACAACAGACGGATTAAACTAGCTATCTAAATTGGCCACGGTGAAAAAAAGGTTAATAAATGAACTCTAGTCGGGCACATGAGAAAAAATGCCAAGATGGATGGGGGTGAGTCACTATGTCCCCTCCCACCCACCCGCCGTTTACTTATTGATCTATTTATATTCTCCTCCGCCTAGTTGATAAATACTCAAAACAAAATGAAGGAGATGTATGACCTAATGGATTCTGTAAATCAGTGGGTGGATGACGGTCAAGCATTGATAAATGGATACAAAGAAGATTTGCCTTCTGACGAGCAAGAGAATCTTAAGAAAAGAGCTCAGGTACTTCACAAATTGTGTCACATTTCATGCGAGGTACTTAATAGGATAACGACTCCTCACTCCTCACTCGATTATGCGGACTTACTTCTCTGGTTTCATTTTTTTTTCACGAATATTAATAAGTCACATTCGAGATCATCGAAAATTTTTTTCCCATCAAACAGAGAGGATGTACTGAAACATCATTGACGCTATGCTATTAACGCAGCCTTAAATAATGATAGATCAGAGACGTGCAACGTTGTAGCTACTTGAACCAGACCGATTTATCTTTGGCAAAAAAATATCTGAAACTTCGGAAATGGAATGCAAAAATTATCTCCAGCAGTTTTTGGACCGCTCTATCCATATTTTTTCCTTTTTGCTCTTTTCAAAGATGACTTTAAGCTTTAATTATTAATACCATCATTTTTTCTTTCACTATTATTTTTCCGATATTTACCTTTCTTCTTCGTTCTAGATTAAACTAGAGGAAAAGACAGCTATGCAAGTCAAAGTAGATCGTGTCAACCGGCTTGGAAAAGACGTATGTGAAATTCTTGACGGACCTTCACAGAAAGCCGTCAAAGGAGAACTGCAGCAATTCAATGACCGCTGGCAGGATGTGTGTGCAGCATTGGAAAGCTACAACGACAAAGGATACCCAGATGTTAATGGAAATGAGTGCTGTGTTGTCAGAATCATTAAAAGAAAGTTTAAATCTCTCTCATAGAATGATAAAGAAAGCTAAAGCTAATGGATAGCTGCAGCAGTTTAATCACATTAGGTTAGATTAAGAAAATTATATGGAGCATCATCGGATAGAATGTAAACTTGAACAACCGCAAAATTCCGACAAAAATTTAGGAAAACGAATTACGGGAAAGGGGAAACGTGTTCTCTCAGACCTTCATCACGGGATGGACATGATTAGTCACTAGGAATTAAAAAGCTTTGTTCTAGCGCGTTTAGCCTCGTAGAGGAAAATCATTTAAATTTGTTCAAAAGTTTAAAAGGGTCAACGGGTGAAAAGGGCCTTCTTTTCCTGAACCGCATAATATAACATGGATAAACAGAACTCTGGGAAACGAAACTGTGACCCTGATTTGTTTTACCTTTCAACGACACTAAGATTCAAGTTCGTGTAGGCAGGGCTTCATAGTCATGTGTGAGGGAGTAAGTTGCAATGTCAGCTAATATAATCACAAGTGTCTCTGTCTCATTATACTGAAAGAGTTGTTTCAGTAAATGGATTCAAAAGATGTATACATACGCCACGCATTTGTTTGTAGGGAAATTATTAAAAATTCGTTTGTTTCTAATTAAATATGGGATAATAAGAATATACAGATGTATACGCCTTAAATGCTAAAATTGATTAATCTTATTGAAAATATCGCAGGGCCGCTGCACAGACAATTGCGTCAAAAGCATTGAGCTAATCAAACGGTTGTAACAATCCAATTTTGAGCGAATAAAAGGTTTCTTTATTGTATCATATATTCCAGTTTTTTTGGAACTCTGTATTTTAGCGTGCAAAACCTTAACTATGAGTATGTAAAGCATGTATATTCAAGTGAGAATAAAGGGTCGATTATGGCGCAGTCAAATGAAAAGTTTGGGATATTTACATATTTTCCTTCACACGATCTCATTAAGGCTACTTAGAATGTGGGAAACAAATTTTTGTCCTGGACATATTTCCAGATCCCGAGAGATGCCTGCTAGTGAGCTCTAATCTGCGCTGCAGTACAAGCGGCTAAGCGCGCAAGATTCGCACAGGTGAGCGAAATCAAACCGCAACTGAAGTCGGTTTTGAAGAGTCTTTATTTGTTCAGGTTTCGACAAATACGTTACATACCGAGAATACAACAATAAATTCTTAGGCAGCCTGTGTTGGCCCACCATTTGACAAACACACACTGAAGTCAATGGCACACTTTGCTTTGTCCTTAAGCCCTGTGGCATTTTCGTAACATTTATCGGCCTCTTTCTTGCATGTTGCCTAAAAGAAAATTCAAAATAGGATAATGTTGAGTAATGGGTAATTAGAGCACAACTTTGGTTCCGACTCTCAAGAGCTCACTTCTCTTGCTTATACCATAGATGAAAGTTGAGAATTCTTTCACGTGCTGAAAGGCATTACACCCTGCTTTCTGTCTCGTACACAAATAATCACTTAAAAGATATTTACCACATAGGGTGGAATGAGCTGAGCCATGCAATCCTTGTAGTCTACCAGACATTCCATAACAGTCTTATCTGGGTTGTTATTACAGTTATACAGGTCGATTTGGCATTGCTGCAAGGAAACCGGATTATTAAATAAAACAAAAACTGCTTTGAATGGGGCGAGGGACTTTATTTCCCAATTCTGTACCACCTTGATACGCTCAATACTACTAATAGCATATATAACCATGTTTACAGGTTCTAACTTTTAAACATCAATCTTGAACAAAAAGAAGAATCTAAAACCACTGTGGATGTGTGATTAGTGATTCCTACCGCCAATGGACCATGAGTTGGAGCCAGAGTTGGAGGCATACGTTTCTCAGGGGCATAAGTTACAGGAGTAGGTCCCCCATCCTTCAAACATTTGCCGTAGTCATAGAAACAGACAGCCTGTGCTTTAATTCCTTGAGCGTGGCTAACACACCAACTCAGGTCTTTGTTACACAGAGTCTGAGAAAAAAGGGATTAGTATAATATGTAATTAGATTAAACTATTAATAATTGAGGACAGTTTTCTCTAGTTACCAAGGTATCTATTTTTGGATATCAGTTTTCCTTGCACAAAGACAATAACTGATAACTTATACTTAGTTAGAGAACGCTATTACTACGTAATCATTGCGAACGAAACCTTGTGTCATTTAATACTTGTACGAAGGAGAAATATATATAAAGGCGGGGTATGGTTTGGGCGAAAGAGAAATATATCTTATTGGACGTTTTGGTATGTATCGCTAAGTATTTTTACGAGTGCTGCCGTATTTTGGCGAGCCCGCAAAGCAGGTCAAAATACAAACTACGAGTGAAAATACTCAGCAATACTACACATCAAATTGTCTAACATGTTATTTATTTTTAATTGCTTTGTTCATACACATTTCTCATACGCTTATCTAATGAAGATGGAAAAACGAAGCAGGCAGAGGAGTGTAGCGCACGCAGTCGTTTGATTAAACAGTTTTTTTTACGGTACAAAATAACCAACTGTCCAATAACGCAGGTATTTGTTTTCGATTCGCGCGTTATTTGTACTCTACTCAGAACAATCAGATAATGATAGTTATTCTTACCACATAATACGGCATTGTAGGGACTAGAGCTGCCATGCAGTCTTTGTATTTAATCAAACATTCCTTTGCGCTGCTGTTTTCAGCTTTGTAGCAGTTATACAGTTCTTTATGACAATCCTGAGGCAAAAGTGATTTTAGGAAACGATGTTTATTTATACAATGTACATGTGGGTAGCGAAAGCAGTTTTCAAGTAACAAACATCGGATGGAAACTTCTTTCCGATCTCTCATGCTCTTGACAAGGCAGAAAAAACACCTTCCTCTACATAGTTAACAACTTTGTAAAGAAGTGATGAAGCGAAATATTTGAATTTTTCATCTCAATCGCAAAAGGCTCACGTTTGCGAACGTACCGTAAACTGACCGCTACTGCTGTCGTCCATTGCATGGTGGGAAGGGGAATAGGTGACAGGGGTAGGACCTCCATTCTTTAAACATTTGCCGTATTCAATATAACAGTCAGCCTTCGCTTTTATGCCTTGTGCATGGCTTGTGCAAAAGGTCAGGTCTTTTTTACATAAGGTCTGCAAACAAAAAAAGATAAAATTACGACCATGTTATGGCTTCAACGTTTCAGAATACTGCACTCATACCCGACAAAAATTTTGTCTTTCAAGCAAATTAAGGCTGAAAATTGACAGGTTTGCATGGTGTGCTAAAACACTTTTTGTGCGTGACATAAAGGATGAAATTTCAATAAAAAAATCTGAATTCTACGAATGTTACATTCAGGCTAATAGCAAACCAATATGTATCACTACAACTAAAACAAAACGAGCGCAAACTCTGAAACGCGTATCTATTATTTAAGTGAAAGATGGGTGAACTTTCTTGGAAAGTTCATTCATTTTAGTTCAACCCGGCTGACGAATGATATCCAGCCTGCAAATGAGAAATATGGTTAATCCTCAAGCTAAATTAGATTAGAGTTAGAGGCGAATGCATTGAATTTCCGAGATTTTTGCTTAGGGCTAGAAAGAAAGAAAACAACAAAAAAAGCGGGGGAGTGGGGGGGAGGAGGGGTTTCAACTGAAACTTGTGCTCGATTACACTGTCTGAAATCAACACAAATAAATGAAAGAAAATCATAAATGACGAAAAAAAGGAAACTAAACAAAAATGACGTATTAACGTAGAGCTTACCATAAAGTAAGGCATAGTAGGTATAAGCGCGGCCATACAATCTTTGTATTTCACCAAGCATTCCTTTGCGGTGTTGGTTTCCTGTTTGTAGCAGCTGTAGAGATCTTTGTGACATTGCTATAACAATAATGCAAAAAAGATGTGTATCTCAGAGCATCTTAAAATGCATTGTTAGATGTTTCGCACCAAAACATTAGTTTTTCTTTCTGACGTTTCCATTGTGGTTGCGGGGAGAAAAGAATTTCATAAGGTAGAGCTATAATAATTCGATTTGCAATTGTATAAATAAACAAGGATGAGAGTTAAGAAAGTCCAGAATCTCACGATATAAAAAGCAACTTTTTTTTAAAGAATTCTTCAGAGTTCACGATTTGATAGGGCCCTCGAGGTACCAAATTTTCTGCTTCATACATTGGAAAGTAGCTCACACCAAAAGCTGTCTCACAAAAGAAAAAAAGTGCTCACCGTGAATGCTCCTTTTTCGTCGTTTAGTTCATCAGCACAAACCATAGCCATGAAGGCCACAATAAGTGAAACAGTGAGGGAAAACTTCATATTGAACTGGCTTCGTTTCCTGAGATAAATGTGTTTTTTTACCTCTGGGTGATTGCTTATAAAGACACCGGGCAGATTCAAAGTTTATTGAGATTTCTTTACAGCATAAAAGGTTAGCGTTTGTGGAGTCAAAGAGGTGTTACTTTGTAAAAGAGGATATCTGCAGCTGTTTAATCTTTTATTTGAGTGTTGGTGTTAAATAGAGATAAAAGAATCTGAGTGAGAACATTTGTTCTGACTAAAATTGCGATTTTCTTTGAATTTATTTTCTCTTTTCTTCCTCCAGTCCTTTTTTCACGAAATAGAACGCTTGGTGCTTCCTCTTCCTTTTCTTAATACTAAGAGAAAATGATACGTACCGAAAAAGAGAGAAAAAAAATTTATATGTATCGCTTTCACGAGCTTCCATGAATAACTACTTCGCCTATCTATAGTGCAAAGTTAACATACATACTAAACAAATCAACCAGAACTAAAATCTGTGTTATTTGCTCATCAATCACTCTTTACTTCAGCCCTCTTTGTATTATTAGTCACCAACAGTTTACCTTCGCACAGGTGTAATTGTGCATCTGTTTGGCTGATAAGCATTCTTAAGAATGAAACTGTGAAATCCAACAAAGGTCAGCGCAGTTAGGGTAGTTCTACTTCCATTGTTGCATTTATGCCTTTTATGATCTTTGTAATCCGATACTTATCACTTCTATAACTAATTGTTTCATCCTGCTCATTTGGAATTGTTGATAATCATTGTTGTTTGCATCTCCTACCTACGTGGAATTATTTTATCCAAGACCGGTTTTTTGAAGCTCCATAATTTTGAATGTCGAATGGGAGATGAGTTATAGTTATAATCACATAAAATAGAGCTTTTCCTCTTTCCCAAAACGTCTTTTTTTAGATAACTGAATTAATATGTGAACTTTAGGTGGAGCATTATGTCAGCATAACAGCCAACAACATACTATATTCAAATAAAAAATATTGTAGCTTTTAAAATCAAGATCTATCTTTATTTTTATTTTTATGACAGATAGCAGATATTTTATCATTGGGCGCGTGTGTGATTACAATGAAAAGCCGTTTACCTTTTGTGAAACGTTTAGAGGTTACTTCAGCTCCTGCAGAAATGGGTAGTGATGAGTTCATCTTTAAAACGAATTGTCATCGAAAAAGAAACTCATGCTCGGTCTGATCGCTGATATAAAATTAAAAAAAAATGTCATCCCAGTTTATCGAGAAATACTTCTCGTCACAATTATGTTGTTTTGGGTTATTTATGGGAGAGAGTATCTCGCCGTTCCCACCGAAGAATCATCTGCAGTTATTTCAAGCAAATTTTATGTCATGATTATATGGCCTTCTCATGCGCTTGTCAATCACTTTTGATTTTCATTTGCTTCTTCCGTCCAATTTTTGTTCTTGGAAGTCTCAGAGGGAAAATTAATTTGATCCAAACGATAGTGACTTCGATATTAACCCGACGTTTCTAAAAGACATTCCTGGTTTTCATGAAGCGAAATGGTAACAGATTGCAAATTAAAGAACGTTCACATCCACGCTGTTTCTTTTTGACAGTTGTATTGGTGGTCCACTGCCCACGTCGAAAGTTATTGTGGTCTTAGATGGCGGACATCCATGCTCATTTAATTGAAGTTAATTTTACAATGTTTTTATCGTTGCAAGCATTGCTACTATCATGGTGTCGTACTCAATTATTGAACGTGAGTGTCTCCGTCTTTATTATTATCTAATTATGTTTTTGTAGTCTCGTCAGCGTTATTTTCATTGGGATTACAAAGAATCCTATTTAAGTTGGCGCTGTTTTATTGGTTTTCCGATTTTCAGAACCCCCAATGTCTCCCTGCAAATTCAGATGTTGGGACGAATTGGTGAGTGACTTCTGAGACCATGGGCGATATATACTTAAACCTCGGCAGATCATAGAAAAGATACTTTCCATGCGGTAACGTCGAACTATGTGATAAAGCTTGGAAGAACATAGCGGGTCCTTTATTTGAACGACATTTTCAACCATCGCCCATATCGCTTACGTCGCTCGCGATATTTAGTGGCACAAAAATGTTCATGAATGTGTGGTGTTATGAGACTTTGCAAATCTTAAATGTTTGCAGTGGGGAGCAATACGGTTCAAAAACAATCTCAGAAAATTCAACGACAAACCAACTTCACATTTCTCATGTTCTTATATTTGTACTCTAATTAAGTACATCTACTTCCAGTTATGTCCAGCACAATTCAAATCATTTTTCGGTTGGTAATGGTGGAGAAGTAGTTGGTGCACCATTTTGGAGACATTTTCCGAGCTGTTTAGCGCAGTTGAACGTTTCTTTAAGAGACTGAGCATCGCCAAAACACTCCTTAGCCTCGGCATAGCACTTTTTCTGTAAATTCAAATCGTAAGAAAAAAAACTCAGCAATAACACGAGTGATGTAAAACGAATAAAAATTGAACTTTTCTTAGCTCGCTATCTCAACACAGATAGTAGATAATTTTCAATTTGCCAAATAGGTTTAAAGAGCATATCAAGCACGAAAGTTAATAATTTCATAGAGAACTTCAATTTATGCGACTTTCTTGAATTTGTATAGACCTTTTGAACACAAATAAAGCAACTTTCCAGCATATAAAGAGCATGCACAATAGGGACAGGCCTAACCAATATCTTAATCTCAATCCTTCTCTCTGTCTTTTATATATTTTTACTACTTTTAGCTTGGAGAGTTTCGTGTTTAATCTCATTATATACAATGGCTGATATCTTTGTTTTATTTTATCAGTAAGACACGACGACAGAAGCAGCAAAATTTAAATCATAAATCATACTTGTCTTTTTCTCACCACATATGCCGGTATCAGTGCCTCCATACATGCTTTGTAATTAGCTGAACATATCTTTCCGTCGTTTTCGTCCTTGAAGCATTGGTATAAATCTTTTTGGCATTTCTATGTTTAGTTAAAAAAAAATTAAAATTAGACAAAAAGAAAACGAATAAGTACGGAATTGCAACGCATGAATATCTCTAACGCATTAGGAAAATGGGAAAAAAATTCTTAGAGGGCTGTGTTTGGAGACGAGAAAGCCAGAACAAAAACTTTAGCTTTATCATCATGGGCGTAGTTGGAGTTTTTCAAAGGGGGGGGGGGAACGTATCATTTCCACCCGACTTCCATTTTGCATTACCCGGTATTTTTTCTCATGGATAATAGTAGTGCATAACTTAAAACAAAAGAAAAAGAGAAAAAAATCTTTCCCGGAGATTTGGTTTCCGTGGGTACCCTTGGAAACCTTCTTTACCTCCTCGCTATACCCCTAAGTCTCATCCTCTCCTTTTAACTGTTGTTTCGATTATTTCCAAAGGTTGTTACCACCTATGGTATTAATCCAAGTCAAAGTATGACCATTAACAGAAATTCTCTCATCTCTAATCTATAAATAGCCACGACAAGAGTTAGTGACTACTGAAGTGCTTCCAAATCTTGGACACGAACTTACTCTGAAACCGTTCGAGTTTTCCATCTGTCCCATGTCTTCGATCGCATCGAAAACAACTTCTTCGGGCCCTTTGTCTTTTATACACACGAAAAGTTCCTTGAGACACCCAGCTTTCATTGCTAAGTTTTTCTTATCTTTCACGCACTGTATGGCGTTGTTAAAACAGGTTTCCTGGCAAAAGAAACTTTAGGCAATGAAATATATAACTTTAACATAGGTTTTTTGAATATCTCTTCCATTAGAACAACATTCCAATGAGAAAAATTATCGATAATGGCCGTCAATTGAATACATCAAGACGGTTTATTTCCCAGATTATCGCTCTCAGTGGCCATAGGATCTCTTGAATCCTCAAGGCTACGGCAACGTATAACTGTGTGTCATCGTTAAGGTTTAAAACGAACTGATAAGAAGCTATTACTTACCACGTATGGAGGCACTGTCGGCATCAGCGCCGAAATGCAGGTTTTGTAATCCTTGAGACATTCGAGTTTATCCTTGTTTCCCTGTTTGACACACTTCAATAGATCTATTTTGCATTGCTAGATGTGCAATACAGAATATAATCATTAGAAAAACAAAATAGAATAATATGGAATTTGAAAGAATATACATAATCAACTAAATTATTTCTGTGCTTATCTGTGGCAACATTCTGGGGGGAAATTTGGCAGATCATATGATTCGAAAGTGGCACTCAGCTAGTGCATATCTTTTAAAACCAAACTAAAGAGCATTTATAGGAAATAAGGGAAGAATAGCTAACAATCACGAAATTAAATGACTACATTTTTGCCTTTGATATCAAGTCTGCCAAAATGGAAAATCCCATCGATCTTTTAGCCGTTGAGGTATTTTCTTCTCCTTAAAGACACAATCCTTTAATGGTACGTTTTCGATTGTATGTTGACCGAGAAACGACTCACACCTCATGGAGGTGTCTGTCATCATGTGAAAGTGATCTGACCAATGCCTTTTCCTATTGGAGGGGATCACGTGTCCCCCAAAAAACCTTATTCCCCTTGGGGTAATTTAGTGTTATAAACTGCGTTGATAACGTAAATTGGCCACCGTAAAGAGTTTAAAAGCTGACGTTTCGAGCGTTAACCCTTTCGTCAGAGCGATTGGGCTAACAAAGGGCTAACGCTCGAAACGTCAGCTTTTAAACTCTTTACAGTGGTCAATTTACGTTATCAACTCAGTTTATAATACTAAATAACCCTGTTATGCTCCTCCACTGACGCAGCACCACAGTTTCTTTAGAAACTTACCCCTTCTATTCCTTAGTTCCCTTAGCCGCGCCCTGTCATAGTTTTACATTCTCGTTGACTCGTTTACTAAAGCTACCTCTGGTTCATTCTTACCAAAAATGGTGGTGGGGCTGTTGGTATCAGCACGGACATGCAGGTTTTGTAATCTTTTAAACATTCGAATTTGCCCTTTTCTCCAAGGTTAAGACAGTCATACAAGTCGATGCTGCATTGCTGAACGTGAACAAAGAATAAAATCAGTAGAATAATTCTAGTAATTATAATTAAACCAACAATGGTGATTATAGCAGTGTACTGAGGAACACACGACTGAAAAGAATAGAACAAGAAAGAGCGCATACGACGTTTCTGCGCTTAACCGTTCGCACCTTTTACTTTTTTCTCGCTTTTCTAAGCCATTGGCTTCAGAGCATGTATGAGTAGGCAACAGAGGAAAGAGTCCAAACTTATGAATGATAATAGTACTTCATGTTTGATAGCCAACCTGTTAGTGTTAAAATGCGCATCGTTTACTTCCTTATCCTTCGGGAAGAAAATTTCCAATAAGTCAATTGGCAATAAACACTTGCGGGACGTTAACTCATGCTTACCACAATTGGGTGTCGATCAGGAATCTCACCGTCTACTTCGGCATCAAAAAGGTACTCGTCAAGATCATTGGCATGAAGGCTAACGATGAAGGGGGCAAAAAGTAGAATGGCCAGAAAAGATTTCATCGTGCAGCTGCAGGTCTCCTTGTAAATTCTTCGGAGGTTTTGGCCTGTGTTATGGTAGACTTTTGCAAAAGAGTGCTCTCTTTTATATCTATCTTTTGTTTTAGGTTTAGAAAAACAAATGCATTATTGACTTTTTCGTTAGAAATAATGGTTTATTCAGTGTGTTTGTAAACCAAAGGTGTGAACAATGAAGTTACTGAAACCTTTTACGGGGAAGGTAAACATTTTGAACAAAAGATTTCGCTAGTTTTCAATTGAGTCAGCAGACTCGCTTATTGAAGCTCTGCAAACAAAGCGTAATGTAAAAACGCTCTCAGAACCACCGATTCAATTCCTGTTTGCTAGATTTTCGGGAACGACGGCTAAACAACAATGATAAAAAACAAAGGCTTTCATAGCCATCGACTCTGTTATTGTAATTTCAGGTATGAAGTTTAAACTTTGCCGTAAATAAAGTGAGATAAATAGAACCACATCAGCGGAGAGAAAAAGGTTGATGGAAGCTCTTTACAGTTCCTTTTCAGCCAGCCTTTCCTCCGTGACAAAGGTTACCCAAATATTGCCGCAGGTGATTTTATGACAATTTTGTTTTCGCTGTTCAGTTTCTGACATGATTCCTTTATGTAGGCTACAATGGAAAAAAATTGAGCTACGAAATTATTAAAATTATAGGATCATTGGCAAAAATATGACTACACCATTTGCCAGTCACATGCTTCGCTGGGTTCTGGACCTCGTTCCTTGTTCCTTGTTCTGAAACTCGCAATGAAAAAAAACGTGTAGCGAAATGTGTGCTTACCATTTTTTTATTTTATTTTCTTAATTTGAAGACGTTCGATAATAAATCTGCATATCAGTCATGAGTTCATACAGAGATTGCGAATGTTTCCGAAATCAGGAATGGTGGCATTGATTTGATGTAGAAATTGCGGGACTTCCGTGTATAAATATGGCCGAAATCGTTCGAGATCGTTAAAAAACAGACTACATTTTACACATCAGAGCATTTCCTTGCGCATTTTTTTCAAGCTTTCTCAAATAATTTCATTTACGGTCGCGCTTTGGACCCGTTAAGTTTAAGAAGTCTGCATGGTCAGGTGTGTCTGGTGATCTATTTTCGTCTCAAAATGAACACCTCCATAAAGTTTGAAACAAAAGAAGAGCATGAATCGTGAATGATCAAGGTCGAACAGTTTACGTTAGCTTTTTTAAAGGCACTGACGTAGCTAATTTCATATGGCAAAAATAGTTTCTTTCGTTAATCATATAGAAACTTTCTATTCGGTTTTTCCAGTAAGACCAGAGCATCCTTCCAAGTGTCACTGTGGCAATTTTTAGCGAAATCTAAGTTGTCACAAAATTAAATTTTTTGCCCTGTCCCTGCGGCATGGGTGACTCGAGCTTGACTATTCCTCACCAGTACACTAAAAGGGGTAGCATGGTAAGATCACAGAAAGCGAGTCTGCTCAGTTGACGGGATTCTGATGAAAATTCCCTAGTCAGATGAATATTGGCATGGGTGTACTAAGGATATGTGCCAGTTTGAGCAACGGTTGTGAATCCCAATGTGGTGTAGGCCAGGGAAACATTTTGCCACAGAGAAGGTTCTAAGGTTTATTAAAAGCAACAAGTGAACTTTAGAGCATTTCAGTAAGCTTGCTCCCAATAATTCCTGCATACATTGCCCTGTTGTAGTCAATCAGCTTTTCCACTGTCGGAGCCATAGCATTGAATGAGCTTCTTACGACACATATTACGTCCTAAACGTTTATAGCAAGATGACGTTTTATAAAGCTCCCGGCATTTTCTCTACGAAAAAACCAAACGACCATGAATAATTTTGCTACTTGGTGCCTACAGTGTACATAAATACAGATAGAGATTTGGTCCATAAAAACCATAAGAAAGCGTCTGAATTCCCAAAGTTTGTTATCCATAAGAGTATCAAGAAATATGAGAAGGCCTGCGTGCTAACGGATACAACACGTTGATTAACTGGATGTCTATTAAAAATGAGGTGTCATGAAAATAATCACGAAAATGTACCTGAGCCCTTGAGCATGTGCGATCTACTCTTTTATTTTTATTCCCTTCTTTTTACGACAGGGAGTTATCTCACAGTTACATACATTATCTTAGGATTTACAAATTGATATATAGTTATGATAGTTAGGCCGCCATAGCGTTTGCTGATTCGAGTATCGCCTCAGGTTAATCATCAGGAAGAGAACTGTAAAAGCAAAATTTTACTAACCGTGTATTGATTTTGACATCGATAAAACTGGAGTAAACATTCTTTCTGTCTCTCCCATATTTTGCAGCTGTTTTGGACACATACATGGTATTTTTGGAGGCATTGCTGAAATTCAAAATAAATAGAACATTCATAGAAAGATGAATAAATGTTAAGCGACCATTAGAAAGATGTAATTTAAGACCGACGCTATTTTCTGATTGAATGAAATACTCCTGGTGGGTAAGATTCTAATCCAACGTTTTTAAGCCTACAATTTCCCTTCTATGTATAATTTCAAAGTAGTATCCCTTGCTGATCCTTGCTAAAATTCCTCTTTCCCCGCATTAGTTTTCGTGTTACATGCCTGACATCTGTACCATGGCGCTAACTGATTAAAAACACGATTTTACACCTACATGCTGTAAGTAACAATGTCAATGTCAATAACCTGGAATGGATGTAAGGTAGGTTTAATGCTGTGGCCTGACTCATCCTTTCCTTCTTCCTCCTCCTCTTTGGCAACAAGCAGCCATAAATCGTTGACGTTGTTATTTTCAGCACGATCTTTCTCTCTTTTTGCTTCAAAGACTTCATCATCGGTTGAAACCAAACCCAGGGCGAAAAATAGACAAAAACAAAACAGAAACCTCATGGCTGTAAATTGAGACAACGATTAATAACTGCGTTCAAATGTGGGCACTTAGTAACCCTGTTACATAACGTTGTTTACGTGTTCAGGCAACTATGTGTGCTGTGCAAGGCAGTCAGTGTCATTTGGCATTAACCCTTTAATTTTCACGAGTGACCAAGAGAGAATTTCTCCTTACAATATCAAGTAGAAAAGTGTAGAGAACAAAGAAAAAAATCAATCTAGAGATTTCTATTTGATCCAATATCGAATTCTCGTACCTAACATCATAATAATTGTATGGCAGACAGTAAGGAGAATTAATAATGAGATCTTGGGAGTGAAAGGGCTAAACGGCTCTTTTTGTCTAATTTTGCATACACACAAATAATTGCAGCAAGTATAACATGTACATTAAATCATTCTGAGAAACAAAAGACGGATAGAAATATAAAAATTAAACAGACGTGTTTGTACAGCTCATTAACTGTTTGTTGACAAAATGCCACGTTGTATCCATGAATAAATTCAATGCGTTGTTAGTTGTTCTCAGTACTGACGCTAAGGTGTGTTTCAACGTAACAACTTTGAATAGCTAAACTACTTAATAATATGAATATTATTATCTCCTTGTCAGGCACAGTGGCGCATTTTGCGGGCTAAAATGTTCTAAAACGTAGGGTGGGGGGGGGGGATTGTTGTTGGGATGGGCTAGAGTTAGAGCCTCCCTGCCCTTGTAGTTATGTTTAAAGACCAACAAAACATGCGTCGTTCTCATTGTAGAAGGTACGATTCCGCTCAAAGAATGACTTTCAGTAAAACGTTTTTTTGTGCTAGGCTTTAACCTCAATGATTTCGATGGATGGATACAGTATTTGATTTTAGGCTATGAGCTCTTTTTTTTGTGTATTGATTAAAAAGCTGGTCCTCGCTGGTTCACAACGCATGCGCATGCCCAACGCGTGTTCAGGATTCTTTTTTCATATGATTCTGTATTTACTCAACGTCGTAAATGTTTATCCAAGGATAAATTCGCTCTGATCAAATAAAAATAGAGAGAACATAGAGCTTGATAGAGGGAAATAGGTAATTTTCTACAACATGCAATAAAGACAGAAGATCACATCGCGCTTATTTCAGATTATTTTTAATGTCGCCAACTAATTTGCATGAGTTTCATGAGTTCCTCATTCAGGCTTATGCCCATAGCATATTTTAAGCTTCTTCCAACACTCTTCTTTCCCGAGTGCTTCATAACATCCCTGGTTTCTGAACTTTTTCCTGCATATCCTCTGCAAAATAAATTAAATAAAGTGAAACGGTGAAGTACGTGTTAGTGGTCCAAAATCAAGAGAAGAAAATTTAACGAAGACTGTCCTTGATAAGTTCCCCTTCCCATGTCTCTGGAAACCGTTGCCATGTTTTCGAAGGAGGAATAAATGGGACGTGCGATAAACCAATCTAACATAAATACTGCATGAAAGCGCCTCTTGAAAATTCCTTTCGCAATGATCGTCTCTTAGGTTGTTGTTAATGAAAGCTGCCACTTCTGTACATGTCGTAAAGAGTTATAAATTGTAGTCAAAGATATATAAATTTTAATTAATTGTAAATGCTTTACTTACTGTGTAGGCATTTAGGCACTCATAGTATTTTGGTAAGCAACCAAAACCTTCCCCGGACTCCACGCATGCGTTCCACTCATCCAAACAAATCTAATCACAAAGAAATGCTGCAGTTAAAACATAGGTCTCCTCGTTTTAAATTGTAGGGTTTACGTATTTTATCGTCGATCTGATTAGGACACATTTCGATTGAACTAACCACGGTAATCAACCTAACCAATGAGATCAAAGAACAATATTACAAAAAGTCAGCGAGAGCTGAAGTGATTGTTTTGAAACAAATATATTCCTGGATTTATTTCGACCCTCAACTGAAAATATCTTTGATCAAAGGAGGTGGTGATTGCTTTCAGCTCGGACGTCTCAACACTGTACCTTTTCTTGTACGTGAGCACTGCATGCCGCACTCAGTTTCTTTTTTGAGAAAAAGGGAAAAGTTAATACTCACGTCTTTCGGATGTTTTCCTCCTGGTGGTTGTGGCCCTGGGGGTTCTGGCCCCGGAGGTTCTGGTCCTGGGGGTTCTGGTCCTGGGGGTTCTGGTCCCGGTGGCGGCGGGAGTGGAGGTTCTTGGGCCAATACAAGACCAACCCCGAGGATTACAGCAAGCGAGAAAAGACTCTTCATCTTAGGAATCAGTTCCCTTCTCCAACAATCACACGGGAAGCTTCTAAGGTATCTGATCACCCAATACACCTCGTATAAGTACTCCAAGAACGATGGTGTGGACCAATAAGATTGATCCTCCTTCAATTCTCGTACAGATTTAAACATTTTCGTGATTGGTTAGTAAGTATTAGGTTAAAGAGAAATAGTATCAGCTGTTGCCATGTGGGAAGCTGTTTCAACAACAATTCGCCCAGCTGTCTGGATGTTTCGCCGGCTGTGTTTGCCCGAATTTGACTTAAGCTAAAAATATATTCCCCTCGAAGCTTGGTTGTTACTAATATCTTTTTTTTTTATTATTATTTTTGGTAATGAGGAAGGGACAAGAGTTTTCCACCTTTGGCCCAGAAGCACACAATCTAAAGGAAAGTAAGCAGTCCACCAAATGCTTATGCATTCATACTAGAAATCAACTGAATGACGCTGTGATAGTATCAAAGTATAACAGCAGGGAGGAAAAACTTGAAACCGCTTATTACATCTCAAAAATGTATGTTTCAGGCAGACATGAAATCAATTTGCCTAAACATTGCAACCTTTGGATATAATTTGCAGCAAAAATTTGTCAAAAGTATGTGATTTGCAAGGGTATGTCAATATTTGTTTCTTTAATCAGTTGCTGGGAAAAAATAGAAAAACCTGCAGCTGATTTTTTGCAGCCTTTACCTCACTCCAGCTTATCAAAATATATATCTTGCTACATACACCAAGGAGATTGTTTGTTCCAAAAGATACATTTCTTTCTTTATTTATTTAAATTTATTCCTAAAATACATCGTATTTAATCATTTACCTACGCATCAGATAACTATTTATTGATGCTGTGAGTACTTAGCAGGTATAATTATCTGATCGATATATTTCCAAACGTTAGATTAGTTCAGTGTAAAATAGAGTAACATAAGAAAAAACACAGGGGATGGAAAAAGATAAAAGGAAGAAAAGAAAAGGAAAAAGTTAAAAAAGAGATGAAGGCACTTATGAATTAGCAGCTTAGCTATCCCAACGATGTGTTCTCTTTTCTTGGATATAATCTCTGGATTGTATATAATTTTTTACTCTGCGTCATTGCGGAATTATACCCATACGAGAATACAATATTACTCTCTCTAATATTTTCATTTGTAAGGAACCCATATTAAACGACTGAAGACTGAGAAAACTCAAAAGATATTGCTCATGTATTTCAAAACAGATACTGACTCTCTTCATATTTCATGCCATGCAGTAAGGAACGCTTTTCTCCTCAGAATTACATTTCTTCCTTAAAAAAGATCAATTTGTTAAATGATCTTTAAACACTGTGTGATTTAATGCTACCGATACGCTCTAAAGTAAAGTATTTATAAGCATTTTTAAAGCCTAAAAGTGATCGACCTATACTTACATAATCGAAGCTAATTTACAAATATGGTAACGATCTTTAATTCTGTCCCTTAACTTATCTATCAAATTTTTGATAGCTGAACATTTCTATTCTTGTCATACTGTAAGCTACTGATAACTTCTGTGCTCGTTCATCGGAATCTCCTGTTGAAGAAAACAAAGGCGGTTCAAGTCACGACAAAGCTCAAACATAAATTCCAATCTGTGATAAAGTGTTTTTTTCCTTTCTCACTTTTCTCTTTGCCCAGATATCCTTTTCTTTAAGCCGGGATGATTTTTAATTGTTTTAATAACAGACCTGTCGACCTATATTCGGAAATATCTCTGGTGGGCAGAAAATCACTTCTTTCATTATTTGTCAATTTTTTGCTTGCTTTTTTCTTTTTGGTTTTTTGTTTGTTTGTTTGGTTTTTTTTTTTTATGATATAACATCTTTTGGTAAGGTAAATTACGCTCAGGCTAGAGATCCTATAATTAGGGCCTTTTCCTGAGATAACAAACCTGAGACACCAGATATCAGAAACAGACTTGGCAGGATTTTGGACACACTCTCTGCACGGATTGTGCATCAATGATATCGTTCCCCTTCTCACAAAGGTTATCTGTATTCCATTGTTTGCACAGATCGTGGTGGTCTTTGCAGTATTCAGCTGTAGTAATGAGGAGTGGAATTAGCGAAAATATATATAATCTGCATATCATGCACCTTTGTTATCTCTATCCTGTTGAAACTACCAAACAAAGAGACACTGAAGGTTTTCGGGAGAGATAATATGCACGGACAGGATAAGGAAAAAATGACCTTGTCCATAGGAACACTACGCAAAATTCTGTTTTCTTGGAAAATGGTGGTCAACTGTCGAGAAACGTTGTAGGCATTAATTTTAGAGATTAACGTCCAATCGTAAATATAAACCAAAAGGGTGCGTGACGAGGATACTTAAATTGAAAAAAAAGGAAAGGCAGATGTACATGTAGAGGATAGAGAATCGGGCGTGCACGTTTAGTGCGACAACAATGGGAATACTTACTATCGTGGTGTCCATTTATGTTGTAGATGATAGATCTGTAAGCAGCCCTTACGTCTTTCTTTGTTCCGCCAAGCCGACGTATCAACGAATAAAGCTTTCTTCTTATATCCTGAAAAGAGTGACCTTACTATTATCGGACGGTTAAAGATTTTGTAGCCACCTCATAATAAGAAATCGGGTTTTGACCACAAGGCGATAGGTGTTGAAAGAATATATGATAGATTCTTTGTACAATTACCTTCCTGAGCTTTTCTTTCTCAATCTCATCTTGTTGCGATTTATTTGTTGCAGTTGAGTTGTGTTCTATTGCATCTTGTTGTTCTGTGCTGCTATTTTCCAAATTCTTTTGTTGGCGAATCATTTTGTATTGATCCAACTGCTTTAAGGTAGCTACCAGTTTACTTGGCTGTCTTTCTTGTTTCATGGTTGGATCTACTGTCATTTCCTTGCCAACATTTGAATCGTTTTTTACGTGGTTGATTCCAGGTAGTGGCTGCTGCTCATTCGTAATAGTTTGATTAGCAGCAGTAGATGAATTAGATACCATTACATCAGGATCAGGATCTGCATCTTTAAAAATTTTAAATATTCCTTTACAAAACCTTCATCACTTACGACAGTTCTTTAGGAATTAAAGCACTGAATTAAATGAATGTATAGAAACGTATATTGAGGCCGCTCAACGTTTCAAAAACTAGACTGACACGCTCTTTGAGAAGACTATAAAAGAATTATAAATAAAAATTTTACCTGAATCTGGTCTTGCAATAAGTTTCCCTCCGACAGCTGTAGATTCATAAATCATTAAATCATGTGAGTGACTGCTACAAAACTGAGTGATATGTTGCAATCGCAGAACTTGATATGTTAAACCTCAGTTACAACTTGTAAATGTTAATGGCGATCTTGGTATAAAAATGAGGGCGTTTAATTTTTGTTAATAAGGTACTCAGCTTGTTCCCATAAATTACTATGAAAGATTTTATTCCTCTATTGGGAAGCGATTGTAGTATAACATACGATATCAACAAAGAATATTTATTGAACATCTTGGTATTAAAATAATGTGGAGAAAGTAGGCCTCACAATTAAAAAAGTCGGCACTATCGCTGGTTTTATCGCTTCGCTGATACAAATCTTACCTCTGCACATCCTGAAGGTCAGCAGCGGTCTAATCATAGGTAGCAGCTCATATTTGGATACAGCCAGCACGTGATCTTGTGCAGGATGTGTTGCTATCTCTTTCAGCTGCCCCCCTTCAAACCCAGATCCAATCCCCACGGCCTCAATTCGAACACCTCGGTCTCGCATCTCACGTGACGGTACTGCGATGTCATCAATTGATGATGCAGTGGCCAGGACAAGAAGAAGTTGAGGAATACTTTTACGACCACTATTCTTAAACCAGCTGGTTTTTACGCCAGTTAGACTTGATCCTGCAATGAGTAATAAAGAGTATATTGAGATAAAATTTCAAATAATAGTTCATATCTATTTTTTTTTTCATGTCATGGGAAGGTTATCTGTTAAATATTCACACGAATTTGGAATATTTAGATACATAAATGTAGTGGAGGTTCTCATAAAGCCAAACCAAGAAGTGATTCTCACTTTTTAATTGTTAACAACGGAAGTCACCGTTATGGTTCTGCTTACCACGTTACTCTCAAGTCACCTCTTTAAATGACGTTTAAGCTTTAATCCGTAACTGGCTTAAATCAGTAAATTTGATGGTCCACTTGCCCAATTACCTAACAAAAATGGTCCACCATTGTATGATATGCGGGATATTGCTGTGTCGAGGCTCGGAATGTCATTGAATCCCTCAAAATCAAAACTCATGCGCGGACCTCTGGACGCGGTGGCAACTGCAATGTGGGTGTGATCCTTAGACACCGAGAAGGATTTAGACAGGCTCTTTGTAAAGTCTAACAACTTGGCGAAGTTAGCTTCCGTTACTGATGATGAGCCATCAATCAGGATTCCAATATCGGCTTTTGCAGAGCAAACTGTAACACCAGAATGCATCATTAGTAGGGTTTAAGGGAAGAGTAAAACCAACATTTTTGTGAAAGTGAAATGCGGTGGTGGTTCTCGTTATTATGTAAGATTTAGGAAACGGGTTACCAATGGAATTAAGATAGAGAATATGAAAACATATCTTCTGTACAATTGTCTTCGAGCACCTTTGCACCAATGCATGAGCATCGACAGGAAAACGTTGAGAGTGCAGTAAGAGGTAGGATGGCGAGGAGGAAAGAATAAATTTAATAAAACGTATCACACAATCAAAATATCTGACCCTTGTAAAAAATCCATTTACGAAAAAAGAGCCTAAAGTTCAAACTCCGTAGAAAATTATATATTTAACTTTTTTTAAATAACCACAACATTTGGCTAAAATGAAAACTCCGAAAATTCTTGAAATTGCAAACAAAGGGTAAAAAATTTGCGCGAACAAAGCTCGAAACAACTAACTAACAACTCTGTAAAACAAATAACAAAAGCAGGCGAAAAATGTGCACGTCAGTTTTCAATGGCTAATTTGCGAAATCACTTGCGCCGCGTGTGAATACAAAAAGAATAAAAGGAGGGCAGAGGAAGAGAGACATTGTAAACTGAATTTCAAAAACGAAAGATATTTTCTTCAGCTCTTTGGCCAGCAGATAGGGCTTACCTTTATTCACTAGGTCCTTGAGTGCAATGTGTTTATTATTGGATTCTGGAGTGCTCTCTAAAATGAAAAACGGGATAGAAAAATTCAGAGTGGTTTCATTACTTTCAAATTGAATTTCAAATACAAAAACACTTTGAGGTGATATCTTCATGAAAACTACAGATTACAAATGCCTAAGGTACTTTTTCATTAACAAAATCAGAAGGACTTGCAACGTCATAGATTTTTTAATAATTTGGCCACCTAAAAATTTATCTTTTTAAGTTGATTCGAAAAAATTAACACCTCCATTACGAACAGTTATTGAAAACCAAGCCTGTTTAGATTACAATATGCAACTGCCTCCAGCAAAGGTTCGAGTCGCCAGAGTCGCGTAATGGAGTGGATTCCTCCTCTACCATTCATGCCACCCATAATCGTTCACTAGTGCCTGATTTTCAGGCTAATTAAAAGCCAAAGGTTATTTTTATGCTGGTATCATTTGCCATCACGAATCTGCAGGGTATATAGTTTATAACTTTCTATCCCACATATCGAAAATTTGCGTCCGTCTTCGATATTTTCGGAAAGTATGGAAGCACCAAGATGGCAGAGGGTAATAGAATATCGATCATAGACCATCTGAATTATGCAAACATTTCGGTTGATTTCTTTCGTCCGTGCTTTTTTTTCTCTTCGGTTATTGAAAAAAAAAGGGGAATAGAATAGTACCTGTTGTCATGTTAGCACTGCTGCTGTCATTTGTAGTTGACTCATCTCTTTCATCATGGTCATCGTATGGGGACGTCCCATTTTTAGGGATTGAGTTTGGTTCTGTCTTGTACATTTTAGATGTTTCTCTGAATGGTTCTATTGTTCTGTTGTCTCGGTAGCTGCTCTCGAACAGCGCATCTAAGATGTTAGAGTGATTTGACGGAGGATTAACCATCGCGTCTTCGAAGGTGTCATCATCGCTTGAGGTGCTTTCCACTTGTGCTTCTTTTCTACTTGTAGCATCATGGCTGGGGATGGGCTTGTGAATTGCATGCACTGCAAATAAAGATACGAGGCATATGTTCCATACTTTATAAATGAAAATTCGTACCGATTCATATACATGGATATCAGTGGCAAATCATGAGGCATGGCGTAGGTGTAACCTCGCTTATCAGCTTTTGGGGCACATGTGATCACAAAAAAATAATATTTCATGTGAAAGACGTAATGCAGAAATATGAATAGATAGTTGCTGCATTCTGTTATCCTGTCGATTTCTCTTTTAACTTGGCTATTAGGATAGGAGTAGTGCGATGAAGGGCTTTTTTATTCAAATTTTTAAAGTGAAAAGAGTCGAACCGTGCCAGCTGCACTTAACGTCGGATAACGCGTAATTTTTTAGCCTTGTTGTTGACCTTCTTCATTGTTGGTTTGTTTGTTTTTCGTTCGTGTTTCATCTCTAACAAGAGAAAGATGAGGCAGAGCTTGAAAGGAAGAAAAGGAAAAAGATATCCTTCTATTAGGTCTATTTTTACCATATGTCCACTCAAGAAAAACAGATGGATTTAACTAGTGACCCAGTATGAAAACTGTACCACACTCAGCAGGTTCACTTATGTATCGACAATGATTTGCCATCAAAGCCGCATATTAGGCTTCTTAAAAGACGGAGAAAAGAAAAACAATGAAGATTCCCACACAAAGAATGAAGCCATTATCTACCATTGGCATCCTTCTTTTTTCCTGCTTTCCTTGCTTTTCTGAGTAAAAGCTTTTTTAAAAGAGCGTCCAATCCACCGCAAAAATTTTTCTCGTAAATTTGAGCAACTATTTTGCTTGCAAGTTTCGCGGCCTCCTTAAAGTCACCGTGGAATACATGTGTTGAACTCGGATAACTAGCAATTTTTTCCAATTGACCAAGAGAAATCTTGTTTCCGAACCCAACGGCAAATATTTCCACGCCACTTTTCTCAAGCGACTTCAAAGGTTGTGTTACGTCATCTGAAGACTTTCCATCTGTTACCACAATCAAAATATGAGGGACGTTAGGTCGGCCACTAGGATTCAAGACAAGTTCTCTCACGTCGGTCAAGCCTTGGCCTATTTTCTGATCACCAAATGGAAGCGGAATCAGGCCAATAGCACTAAGTAAAAGTTTCTTTTTAGTGATTCTGTTGAAGTCTACAACAACGTGAAATGTTCTTCCCTCCACGACAAGACCAAGCCTTGATTCCATTTTTGAGACATCAAAAGCATCAGCCACATATTTCATAAACAAAACAGTGCGAATCCAGTTAGGAACACCCATCTTCCCGGAGCTCTGAACAAGAAACACGAGATCCACCTTGTTAGCCCGTGGACCTGCGAGGCAATAGATTTGGTTGGATTCCTCACTCAGGGACATTTGGCTTCCTATCTCTACACTGGCAGGGAAAAACAGCGTCATGTGTTGGATAAACTGATCCAGTTGTATATCTGATATATTGACATTTTTGATTAATTGATTATAGTTCAATGAATAAAAAATGATGTGTTACCTTTATTTTCTTCAATATTTGGCTTCTTCGGCGAATTTATTGCTGATGAGACAATTTTCATGATTTTGAGTTAAGTTTCTCAAGTTTTTCCGTGTCAGGGGTTAGGAGTCGGCCTTATTTTTAATCCAGACGTTGTTCTTACATGCATTTTGTACAGTCGAGTACTCAAGTGGTCAAAGTTTCAAAGAAATTTTAAATGAAATGCGCAAACGAGAAGAGTTTGTTTTAAAATAGTCTTCTACAAAAATTTTGTCAAACTTAAACCTCAAAATTTTTCCTCGCAAATTACACGATTCTACGAGATCGAAAGCTCCAATTTTCATGTTAAACGGCGGATAAACTCGAAATATTATTAGAAAAAGATCAACTCCACGCTGGTAAAGCTAAACATCTCAAACTAGAGAACTTTGTTCCAAAGTGTGGACCAACTCTAATTCCACCTTTTGTAATAAACCCTTAAATCTTGCAACATTTTCTCATGACTCGAAAAAATGGAGTACCTCTTACTAATCTATCAAGAAAACCTACCATTTGGAGAGTTCGAGATGACTCCTGTATCGGTTTCTTCGCTTGGAGTCTCTAAAACAGGTTAAAAAAATTATTCGTTGGAATTTTTTTGGAGAATTTGCGACAACACTTAGTAAGTAAGCTATTAAAGTTATCAACAAAATTTCCAGTTAGCCCCCTGAAAAACATTTTGCTCATCGACTCTAATGATTTCGTATAAGTTATTACCATCTGGCGTTACAGTGATAATTTCAGGATCTGGCTCCTCGCTTGGGTTCACTTAAATAATTTGAAAGAAAAAGAAAACGTCAGTCAACACTCAGTTACTTTAGTCACTTATTATTTTAGGATTTGACAAGGGTCTGCAAGGTGGGAAGTAGGGGAAGGGGGGGGGGATCAAGATCTGTGAACATCGTGATAAAATAATCAGGTTTTGATGCTTGTAACATAGGATGAGATAGTAATTGCGTTCTCTATTGCTCTCTTTGAAATTAGTACCATTTTTGCCTTGAAAGAAAAGCAAAATCACAGCGCAGTTAAAGTATTTTAGCTATTCCTGCGACCTTTCTGGGGCTACTTTTGTAGGTGCAATGATTTCAATAGACTCTTGGCACAGGACTTCAGTGCGTGGCTAAGAAATCAAGGACTAAATGGCAATTTAATCGATAGTGCATATAAGACAACCCGGGAAATTAGTTTGCTCTATATATTATTAATTCTTGATGGGCATTGACGGAAGCTTGCAATTGGAAGGTAGAGGAGTAAAGTCAAAATATTTTATAACGATTGACTGAGTCTATACTTACTCGCTGCTTCAGAGTCACCCAATGTCACTTCTGTTTGCACTATAGTTCATAAGAATAGAAAAAAAAGACGTTAATTTTAACATTTTAGAGAGATAAATGTTGCACAATACTGCGTCTCTGTCAAATTTATTACTTATATTTTATGATTCTCACTTCCTGATTTGTCAAATTTTGCCATTATATTCTGTTCTGTAACTTCAGATTTTGATGAGCGTAAACCGGCAGCTCGCATATTTGAGAAATCAAGTCATATGTCTCATCAAAAAATGATCGTTTCCATACTCACTCGCAGAGTCTGAGTCATCTGGTGTCACTTCTTCCAATTGCACCATGTAAAGTAAGAAGAGAAACGTGAACATTTACTTTTGATATTACAAAGCGATCAATGTGACAGAAAATTAAGGTAAAGCTTCATTCTCGACATCATATTTTTTGACGGTATTTCAACGATTTCTCCATGTTATATTTCAATAAATTCCTCTTCTACCCACATTGATGTATGCTGGGACTAACATGTGTGCACCATGCTCAACAAAACAAAATTAACCGATCTAAAGAGAGAACAACTCCGATTACGGCGCAAGGTGACTTTTGCTATCTTTGAGTTCCAATAGCCCTCAAAGTAAAAAATAATGATATAAACAATTACTTGTCACATCAGCCTTCAAGCAACGTTTAATATTAAAAAAGGGTAACTGAGAGTAACAAACCTTGGGAGCTACTTCCTTCAATTACATCTGGCAGGGAACAAAAAGATAAAAGCAAAATGAAGAAATTTCTTATTTTGCAAAAGGAACTATTTAGCGTATAAATGTAAAAGCAAATATATCATTAATTAAGGGCAATTGATTACTAAAGCAAATAGTACTCAAAACATTAAGTTCGAAATAGCTCTTGTAAACATGTTCATATTTACTTCAATAGTGCAAGTCTGATTTCCGGGCCTCAATTTCAAGGTAAGAAATAATGAACATTACAGAGAAACTCGAGCATGGAGATCATAAGAAAACTAGAAAACCGCTCAAGATGGAGTAAATAAGGACTATAGATCGAAATTTCAACAACATGTTCTTGCTTGACATTAATTCTAAAATAGAATGGCCCATACTGATGAGAAATATTTACCTCGGCATAGTTTTGGGGCTAATTTTGTCTCCAAAGTGTCCAAATGATTTTCATCTGATATCAAAGTATTCTGAATATCTGAAGCCGAGTCACTCATTTCTAAAGGATCGTTTTCACCACCAATCCCCACTGTAAGAATTTTCACTCCAGCATCCTTCAGATCCTTCACAGCGTGACCAATGGCGTCTTCTGATCTTTTGGATAAAAGAACAATTAACGTCTTTGGAATATTTGGACGCGCGCTTTTATCGTATAGCTGGTTCTTGGTAAACGAAAGGGCCTCTCCAAGGTTGCTCCCAGCAATGGGCGTTTTCACTTCTTCAATGGCTTGCGAGAGACTCGATATTTCAAAGTATTGGTTGAAGTCAAACGCCAAATAAGGCTTCTTGCCATACACGACGAGGCCAATATGGGTTCCCGAATCGGAAACCTTTGCCTTTTGTGCCATATTTCTTACAAAGCGTAATGCTTTTCTGAACGTCATTTCACTCTTGTCCTTTGATTCTTTATAGCTGCCTGATATTAGGAAGCCGAGTTCCATAGTAGGGGTGTTGCACGCTTTGCTATCATCAAAGAGTTGACCTGTATAGATAGTATAAGAAATTGAGTTCCGTTTTTTACCAAATTAACGAACTATGATTGCTGAATTTGAATGAATTGCGTTGAGCTTTTAAAATATAGTATGATTTTTACCATTTGCGCATCACACGAGGCAAACAATTCTCCTCTTCATAAATTAGCCAAAAACAAAAATTAAGTTTTTTGGATGGCAGACTTAACACAAATTATTTTATTTTGTTCCAATCGCTGATTTTGTTCCCTGCATGAGCTTACATTCACTCAACAAAATGGCTCTGCTACGGCTGGACCTTGGAGCTTTCGATTCGAAGAGAAGTTGAGTGCATTAACCAATCGACATTGCGTCTACCTTAATTCAATTAGCGTGATACATGTTTATCTTACCCATTAAATTCGCCACCTCCTGAGTGTCATTGACTTTTGAGCCTAAAAGAAAATAAATACATTTCCTTTGAGATGGTGTGTGCGAACAGCAGCTCAGGTGGAAGCCTTATGTTGTAGCGCATAGTTTGCTTAAAATAAAAGATCTTTGAAATCATATCGCAAATTGGTATTTAAGCACGACTCACACGAATGTTCACTTTCTTTAAGCAATTGATGAAAAATTTTTCGAAATGTGATCTGACGATGATCAACTTCTACCGCTATACTACATTCTATGGACGGAAAAGCACTACTTTTTCTTTGTATAAGCGGGTATTAGTTATTGAAGGCCACTGTTTTAGATCCTGGTTGATTTTCTATGTTGGCAAGATATTACCGTCAGCTACAAGCTACGCTGTGTCAATTCTATTATGAAAATTCGCGCGTCGTGGGAATCTTAATGACTCATAATAATGTTCAGATGAAACGATGCGATGGATAAGATTAAAAATGTTGATGTCATCTCCTTAGGGGTTTGGAGAAAGGATAATACATCTATACTATAGTTCGCATACTGGACTAATAAAGACCGTGTATCTTCACAATGTTCATCTTTTTCTGAGGATTTTGTCCAATTAGGAACGAAAGTTTAAGTTTTCAGCGCACCTATTCACTGAATATTCATTATGGCTATTGTAGAAATTATAAACATTCCAGCCTCTTTAAAGAAGAGACGCATATGCCAAACCTGACGACAAAATGGCGATCCAATGAATCGTAAACACGAAGTAACCAAGTGATCGGAAAGACGATCCTTTTTCATGCAAAAACATGGTTGATGTAGTTTTACAGGCACTTGAAATGGCAAGTGTTATCTCGAAAATGGCACGCTTAATCACATTGTCTCCTCCCAATTTGTATATCATTCAATCCTTTCGGTCTTTCTTGGGAGAACCTTAAACAAAGGCTCCAGAAAAGTGCACCAGTCGCTTTGTTAAAATTTTTTAGGGTTAGCGAAATTTGATATTTTGATTTGTGATCAATCTAATTGGTAGTCATGGGATGGCACCTAACTGACATCTGTCAATAACCTGTTGTAGCTTTTAAAACAACTTAATTCCTTTCAAAAAGCTAAATGAAAACTAATGTGTATACACTGGGAAGAAAATCATTAGGGATAATTTCAAATCTGCTTTCTTGAGAATTTTTATTCCTGATTCACACAGCATGCGGAAGACAACCAGCTAGAATTCTGTTTCGTATAGTTAAAGTATATCCATTTGAACCACTCAGCGCTCAGTAACTAGCCTATCTTAAATACAAAGGTAATCCAAAAATAAGGAAATTAAAATAAATGAAATAAATAGATGTGCTGATTTAAGAAGAGTTCTTAGCAAATCTTTGGATTGATTTGCAAGAAAATAAATGAAATACAAAGATATGCCTATTCAAGAAGAGTTCTTAGCGAAGGTTTGCATTTGCAAAAAAATAATTCGCGATGGTAACGTTCTTTTAGTGAAATAAACAAAACCCATAATGAACGCAGCAGCGCATTCTCAAAATAATACAACATCTTAAAATCACCCACTTGAAAGCGAAAATTTGTGAATAATCAATCATCATGCACAGCGGTGGCCATCTAAAAGTCTGAATAAGTTTACAAAGAGATGAATTCAGAAATTGTTCTAGACACTACACCAGCAAAAAAAGAGGGGTCGAACTCAATTGAAGGAAAAAGGCAACGAAAACAAAGCAAGTAAATTAACAAAAACAAACTAAGTTTCAATCGGTCCCCCGTTACCCCCTACAAGTTGGATGTAGTTCAGTATGCAAGGGTCCAACGAGTGTGAAACTGGTTTTTAGAATCAAGTCGTTGGCTAAACTTTGACTCAATTTGAACTGCTTGTATCATGCAATTTTCATATTAGAGTTTCCATAGACTCTTCTGGTGTTTCGTTAGGACAAAAAAGCTGATTTTACACCTTTGTAAATGAGTTTAAGCAGTAAGCTCCAGAGAAAAGCAGGGAATGAAATCTCCTCGTTTCATTTTAGAGTCGTTGTAGTGCATGTGTAGGGGTGGGATCTAACTTCACGCCTGAATAATTATTTGCAAATCATGGTCTATTGCGATCTGTAATTGGCCAAAGCTTTCTGCTCTGCTCTGGTTCGCTATTGTGCCGACCAGTGTCATTGTCAGGTAACGTTCTCAGCAATATATTGGTCTCTTAAGCAAAATTACAGGTACCAGAAAAATAACTGGTTGTAATGGTTCAACAAAATGATCGTCCCCAAAACGTTAACCACACCACAAAATGACTTCCAAAAAGTCATATGCAAGAAATTATGTCTATGGGTGAGATTGATCCTTTCTTCTTAATTGTACGTGGTTAAATATGGAATGATTTGCTTTCATCTCCTCCGACAGGTCGGCTCTTGAGAATCATCTTGACCTTGATTGCATTTTGCTTTCCTGCTGCTCTCTGTCAGTTAAATAAGATTATAAAAGGTCAAGTATGATACTTATGTACTTAAACAGCGCAAAAGTAACAACATACAGAATTGGATGTTTAGAATAGAAAGTTGGTTTATTACTGTTGCTGAAAGAAACGTAAATAAACAATTTCCATGCTACCTGCATCGGAAAGATATATTATGCGGGAGCTCCAATTTGTAACGGAACTTCGAGAGGTAAATGAGATTAATTGTTTTAAACATGTCAAGTACGCCACTTGCCAGCCGATTGTTCATCCAGCGATAGATGCCATAACTGATCCAGTCAAGACAATTATGATAATTGACATATTTAGTCACAATACAGCTCGTATCGAGTTTCTTTAAGCGAGTCGATGGAATGATATTCATATTCTAGTGTAATACTACTCTCTTTGTTTCACTCAAAGTTCTAATCTGCCATTTAGTGGTCAAAGATAAGTTCAAAATGTTAATGTAGCTAAGAGACAACTTCTCTATCATTGCCGTGTAAAGACTCCCGTACAAATTTGACCATCACAGATTTCAATATAGGACCCAGATAATCATCAGAAAAACTACACGATACCGGGGATTGATTGACTACATATTGGTGTCTGTTTTCACATCTGCAATGAAAAATCGTACGAACACAACTGCATGTCGTGACATATAAGCACCTGCAAAATTTAGACGTAAAGAAAATCCCTTGTTACCCTCTATGCATGACCTATTCGTCTATTCGCCATTGAGCAGTCAGAGAAGACATATGTTGTAATTAAATATGCTTAAGGAAGTCTACCAAAGAACTGCTTTTCATGATTACTGCGATCAAATATGCTATTATAATTACCACTGGAATAGCAGTGAGGATAGATGTATCATACCTCCAATGTCACTAAAATGCAGTTATATTTTCCTTTAAAGCAGATAGAAAAAACGTCAGACTCCTTCCAATCAGCCAAGATGGAAAGTTTATGCGTCTTCCTCTACAGTTCCGCCCTAAAACCAAACACAGCAGAGAGCTGACGTCAAACGATAAAATCAGAAAATTTCCTTCGACCAAAAAACAAGTTAACAGAGCAAGGTTTAAACGCTCAATTTCACAAAACGCAGACGATCTCCCCTTAAGTCGGCTCACAGACGACTTAGAGCAACTAACAGAGCTATTGAAATCAAGGGAAGAAAAGCCTCAACATGTTACCGTCATTGATAACAGTGATAAAAGAGCCAACACTGCAGAGGGTAAAGTTAGTTAAAACTGTCATTTACGAAAGCCTACAACTTTTGTAGACTGAAACAGAATGTTCCGTTCGATGCAAAGGTTTTTTCACACTGTAAGTGTTCAAACCATGCTGGTCTCATAACTATATGATTTTCTAAGGAAGGATACTTCATCAGAGTGGCCGGCATGTCATTTTCCTCTTTTAATCATTCATAGCAATTTGACAAAGGTTGTTTTTTTTCAAAGGCAAGACATCTTCCATCTTTGTTTGATTCATCATGTTCAGCTTTAATCTTAAAGGAGTGTGCGTCGTAAGGTAAAAAATGCAATTATTTCTAAGATACACCTCCATTTCATTTTCCTTATGATTTAGGTAATATTCTTGCTTTTGACCTCGTATTTGTGGTGGATGGGTCCAAGGATATAGATGATCAAGGAACCGGAAATTTTAGGAAATGCCTTGAGTTTACGAAGGAAATTCTCCGTTCATTTCCAGTTTCAAAACAGGGTGTACATACTGGAATAATAACGTACGGCAGAAAAGCGCTCGTGGATATTAATCTCGATACATCTTTGGATCAAACGGGTATAGAAAGCGTTATTGATGCGATTCCATATTCTGGTGATGAGTCATATACTGGTAATGCACTTGATACAGCCATGGGGAAACTCTTCCCACACAGTGGCCGCGAAAAAGTGGCACACATCTTAGTGGTAGTTAAAGGAAGCATCTCACAGGATGAAGTGCAGTCGTCTGCGCAAGAACTGAGGGACTCTGGTGTACGGATCTTTTGCATCGGCGTTGGAAAAAGGTTTGACCAATCGCAGCTGGACTTAATTGCTAGTTCACCATCTGGTACTTATGTGATAACAACTGAATTTAACACCCTGCGAAATGTGGTGCCGACTCTTTCATCGCGAATTTTGTCAGGTAAGATGCCCTTTCCCCCCACAGGACGCATGTTGCTGAGAACATGGAAGTTAGTTCCTCTAGTGGGAGGGCCGGACGGGAAAATATTTCGCTGGAAGTCCGTGTGTGATGACCAATGGCCAAATATATTCCCTTCCTGCATAAGAGAATTGGGCAATAATTATTCTATCGTTTATCCACCAGATTTATTAATTTTTAAAGTACGTTTGAGCCTACTAAATAGGACATTTATATAACGGATGAACGCTGGCCACAAAAAAAAAAGATTCAAGACAGAGCAAAAAAACACAAATCTTCGAAAAACGCGACTTATTTCTCAATTCTGTTTTATTTCAAATTGGAAATAAAGGTTGTTATAATAAATCACTCGCAATAGACCACCATGTGAATGATTGTATTGTTTAGTACTTTACCAAGCAAATTTACAGTTCTCAGCGAACCGACTGGAAAACAGACTCCAGCAACCACTGGGAGCCTATGGACAGATGGAGGAATTGTTGGTAAGAAAGACCGTAAAGTGTAAATTTTGTAGATAGTGGTACAACTTTCTTCTCCTTTTTTCGCGACCTTACTATATTCGCGGCAATGAGATCAAACTTTTCGTTGATGATTGAAAAGCATTCAAGAATTCAACTCAACGAGTTAAAGGGAAAAACATCACAAGACAGGTCAATTTCGATAGGCGACTGACCTCTGGGTTGTAGGGCATTCTTGCTCAATTGTGTATGATCATCGAGATCTAGTAGGTATGTTCAGCGAAAGTTATTTAGTTTATTCCACTAATCCTAAGCTAACGAGAAATAACAAAAAAGGAAACTGATGCCAAGAAGAATTCAAAATTCCCTCACATTTCACATTTTCATCATTTCTAGAGACAAAACATCAATTGCAAACCTAATTAATTTGCAAAGGTTTTTTTCAATTTTTTCCTGTTATAGTTAGGTTGCTCTGCAGATATTTATCATTAGATTGACCTTTAATTTTTTTATTTTCAAGAGGCCAAGATCGATTTAGCCTTTTTAATTGATGGTTCAGACACTGTTGGGGAAAGAAACTTTCGCATTTCACTTGACTTTGCGAAAACCATTGGTGACTCGTTTTGGACCCAATTTGGCAGCCTTCATCTTGGGCTCGTGGTGTTTGGAGCGGATGCGAGTGTCATTTTCGATTTTGATAACGGTTATAAGGACATTACAGATGTAAACAATGCCATAAGTAATGCAGCATTTCCAGGTGGAGGAAAAGTTATGGTTGGAGATGCTCTAAAATGGACTGAAACACATTTGTTTGGTAGCAAACACCAGGATTCCTATAAAAGGATTCTCGTCGTAATAATTGGAAGTAGCTCTGGGGACGACGTATTCCTTGGTGCAGAAATGCTTAAAGAAAACTCAGTAACTACATTTTGTATTGGTGTAGGCAGCAATTTTGAGAAGACGCAAATAGATGGAATAGCGTCTTCACCAAGCTCTGATAACGTTTTGACAGTTTCCACCTACCCAGGTCTTGCATTTTTAAAACAACCTCTTATTCACAAAATCGAGCAAGGTAAGATTATCCTAGCTATCCCCCTAAGTTTGAATTGTATAATGTCACCTTAATTCTGTCTCTTTAAGAACTTCAGTTGGTTATCATTTTGTTCATTCTGAAAGTACACAGGCGGAAAACTCGTAATTTTTTTCTTTTGATGTCTAATAATATACACTTTACCTACGTTAGCAGCTCAAGGTGGCCACCTGCTTTGAGCATGAGCATTTGCAGCTCTTGAAGAAGAAATGTTTTCCAGAATCTAAGCTAATTGTGGGGATTTGATTTGACAATTTCAGCACGCACGACATACATTCCACCAAAAGATCCCAATGAGAGATTTCAACGTTATATACCTGGACAGGCAGGAGCAAAAGCAGTTTTGCTTCAAGGGAGGGTGCCGCCAGGAGGAGTTACTGGGTTTCCGCTAGCAGCAGGAGTGCCACAAGCAGGAGTACCACCAGGAACGATATCACCAGTTGGTGTACCACAAACTGGAGTACCACCACCCGGGATACAGCCAGCAGCTGTTACCCCACCCAGTATTCCACCAGTAGGGTCCCCCCCAGGGAGACTACCTTCAGTTGGACCATCATTAGTTTTACCTACTGCTCCAGTGGCCTTGCCAGGGGGACAAGAAACCGGAAATGAGGCTCTGAGTAAAAGGCCCCTGCACCCGAATCCAGCAGTTCCTTCTCTTGTACCCGTCGAAGGTATGTAAATGTTGCTAATCACACTATAATTAATCACACTTCTGTATTAAACTTCATATTCTACGAGTTACCTCTTCTGTTACAACCAAAAAAACGCTCTCTCATTTCAAATAAAATTCTAAACGAAAACTTATCGTATTGGAGTTAAGGTTTGAAAATTAGGGGATATCAGATGGTGAATATCTTCGTAAATTCCACAGTTTTAGCCGAGGCATATTTGGTAATGATATGTGTCATACCAATCGTGCGTGAGCAAAATTATGTTATGGATTGTAAAATCAATTATTCCTAGATGGACTATCACATAAGCATTTTTCGTTTTTTCAGATGCAATTATCATGCTTTTGTTAATATCATTTCAGATGAGAAGCTGGACCTTGTGTTCTTGCTTGATGGATCGACCTCTATCACAAATGCCGGTTTTCAGGATGCTAAGCTGTTCATCAAAAAACTGTACAGCAATTTTCCCATTGGGGAATATTCAACTCATGTTGGTCTTGTTGTCTTTGGTGAAGAATCGAAAACAATTTTCGACTTAATCGAATACACCGACAAACAAACGCTTGATATGAAGCTTCCTTCACTTCTGAAATATGATTCTTCCGAGAACTTTCTGGGTAGGGGACTGGAAACTGTTAAGAAAAATGTTTATGACGTTAGTGCACGACCGGGAGGACATCAAGTACTTGTGATCATCGCGGCAGGAAGCTCACAGGATGATGTGAAAGCACCTTCGCGCGACTTGAGAGACGAGGGTGTCAGGATTTTCTGCTTGGGAATTGGTAATAACGTAGATGTTAATCAACTTCAAAATGTTGTAACAGCTCCTGAAAGGGAACATTTAGCTACGGTGACTTCAGATGAGCTGGATACGCTGCTAGGACCTGTGGTGCAGAATATCAGAAAAGGTAAGAAAAAATTTGACTTTTAGTCGTGTGGGAGGATTCTAATTTTCAAAATAGTTCCTATTTCGTCCCAAACTGAATCAACGTGCTCCGGACTTTGTTTTCTGTTCTCACCTCTTTGAGTTGACCCATTAATTAATTGTGGTTATGTGTTTAAAATCCCAGATATCACAGAAACTGTGGTTCCATTAAGACTTGCTGGTAAGTAATTGTTTTTTTGTTTTTGTTTTCTTGATTGATAGATTTTGATCGTGAAGTAGAAGATGAAAGAGGAAAAATTATAAATGATGAGGGAAAGAGTCAAGGCCAGATTTCGGCTGTAAATTGTTTGAATGCAAGGGTTTTAGGGGTGTTGTGATTGTTGTCCATCTTAGTTTTAATTTACTAATATAACTTACTTTTCTTTCTCTTACCTTTCCTTTTTATTTTCAGACGTCAAAATGGATCTGGGTTTCTTGTTGGATATCAATTCCAACAACTTCAGGCGTGATGAATTTAGTAACGTTTTAAACTCGATAAAATCAACATATGCGCCGTTTGTTATTGGTGACGAAAAGACACGGATCGGTGTTCTGGCGTACGACGAGCACATTCACACAATGATTGCCATGGGTCAGTATTCTTCACAACAGTCACTCGACATTGCGCTGGATAAGGTAGTAACGTCCACAACATCAGGAGACAATCTCCTCGGACGAGGTCTAGCTGCTGTAAAAAGTCAGCTGTTTTATGGTAAACCTCGTCCGGAAGTTCCCAAAATACTTGTGGTCATTTCGGGAGGAAAGTCTAAAGATGACGTATCGAGTCCATCAAAAGAGCTGAAAGGACTTAATGTAACGATATTTTGTATCGGAGTTGGACAGAATGTAGACAGAAGCGAACTTGAAGCCATAGCAACTCTACCAGCAGTGAGTCACGTAGTAATGGCAACTATATCACACCGAGAAACTGCTGGAGGAAATCTAGCGTCGAGGATCGAAAAAGGTAAAAAAAAACCAAAAAAACAGTTTCCCCCTTGTGGCTTGTAGTAGCCTCAGATTTTTTATGCATGATCCCCAAAATAACAAGGTTCCTTTCAATTATCGCCTAGTAATAGACAAACTGACCTTTCACATTACCCCGCTTTCTATTGCAACGATGAAGCATCAAAAATTGTTCCTTAAAGAATGATTTAATTCCTTACTCATTAAGCGCTGATTGGTGTCATGGGATATCAGGAGCACAATAAGGGAGTAACGATGACGCATCCAACACTCTGCTCTGATTGTCAAAACTAGGTTTCGCTCTATGACTATGGCGTCATTTGCAAGTTCATTTTATTTCAATAGAGTAAGAGAGACGTAAAGTACTGAGCTTGATAAAAGAAACATGGAGATATTTTTTTCGTCTCGTCACGAGCGTGGGACAAGTAAACATTTCTAAGTCCCCATAGGAATCCATTCCACGCTCCGATGCTTTACCACTGAGCCACAGAGACTCGACGGCGAGCGAGGTCTATTACGGAGTTTATAAGACGCGCGTCCTGCATATTGCTAAGATCAGCAATAGAGGAAGATGTTTTTTTCGCGCACCGTAGAGTCTCTGTAGCTCAGTGGTAGAGCATTGGAAGGCGGAATCCGAAGGTTTGAGGTTCGACTCAGAATTTTTTCTTTGTCCCACGCTCGTGACAAGACGAAAAACATCTTTATCTATTCTTTTATTTTTTTAGCATCGTCATTACTAAGAGTGTTTTTTTCGTCAACGTTCTCGACTTTTCTTCAAGAATCAATTAAAAGTCTAACTGGATCCACTCTTTAGCCGCGTCTCTTTTCTGAGATAAAGTACGGGTATTTTTTTTGGGCGTCCTTTTTGACGGATCATCAACTTTTCTCTGCTTTTCTGCAAGAAGCACATAACATCTCACTGGATCCACTCTTTAGCCGTGTCTCTTTTCTCGGATGAAGTATGGGTATTTTTTTTCTTTACAGCTATCCAGGTTGATCTGGGATTCCTTGTTGACGGATCATCAAATGTAATGGAAACTGAATTCTTTCAATGCATGGAAATGGTGAAATATATCTACAGTGCCTTTTCCGTTTCACAAGAAAATGTTCATGTTGGTCTTGGTGTCATTTCGAGTAATCCAGAGATAATATTCGGCTTTGAAAAGTATTTTGATAAGATTAGCCTCAACTCCGCCATAGACAGTGTCAAGTATTCTGGAGCTCAGCAGGTGGCGAACGTTGGACTCAGTCTTATCACGGCTAGGGATACATTTTACAGTAAGAGTACCAGGAAAGGAGTTAGACGAGTTCTTGTTTTAATGATTAAAAGTAAATCCAATGACGAGATCTCCGACCCTGCGCGAAAGCTGCGGGACGATGGAGTAGAGATATATGGCTTTGACTTTGGAGACAGAGTAGAAGTACAAGAAATTGCAGAAATAGCGACAACGCCAACGAATAAACACGTAGTGATAAACGGTATTGGTACTTTTTTAGCTGGTGCACAGAATCTTATTGGGAAGCTGGGTATTGCGAAAGTGGAATCAGGTAAGTTTTTAAGAGGTTAACTTACACATGTAAAGAAGTTATTTACTAATATTCGTCAAAGTCTCATTACTGTTTTAGAGTAACTACTTTAAACATCGCTTCCACCTCGTTTTCTTAGTCTGAGAACCCGAGAACTAGTTTATTACGTCTTCCGTTTGCGATCAATGTAAATGACTCAGATGGGTATATACTTTTGAGAGGGGTTTCCTTGGACCTTAATTATGGTGTTTAAGTGTTGTATCCTTATTTTCATTGAACAGTCAATTTTTGCTTTCTATCACAGCGCAAAGGCAAACTCCCAAACTGCGGATGACCCCACATGGAAAAGGAAGTAAGGTTCTTTATTTGCCGAACTGGAAAATATATTTTACATGGAAACTGTAGCGTTTTTTTATGCATCGTTATGAGAAAATTGGAAATATATATCTTAAGGAGTTCAGTTTACATTGCTTTCTCTCCCTCCTCGCCTTCCTGGTTAATTTTCACGGGTACAAACATCTGAGAAAGAATTGTGAAGGAATTAGGCGTGAAAGATGTTAGCTTTACGCAAGTTTCTCAAGCTTATATGTACATATTACATTTAAATGATAGAAAATCGCTGTGGAAAGTGATCACATTTAGAACATAGGCATTTTATGATGACATACATATGGATAAAATGTGAATAAAGTGGTTAAAGTCTTTTATCTTATAGATGCTATTGACCTGGTCATTCTGATTGATGGAAGTGCCAAAACTAAACTTGAGGATTTCAACCAAATAAAAGAAATTACTAAAGCTATCTATTACAAATTTGGCGTGTCTCTTAATGGAACTCATGTTGCAGTGGTCGTATATTCTGAAGTGACACAGATCGTTTTCAATTTGAAGAAGCATTACGATCCCCAAGGTATGGACAACGATATAAACACTGCTCCTTACCTCTCTGGACTAGGTATGATGGGGAGTGCTCTAAGAGACGTGAAAACGCACATATTTGATGTTTATTCTCGACCAAATGTTCCTAAAGTGTTGATCTCTGTATTGACGGGAGCGCCTGCAGACGAAATTGAAAGATACATCAATGAGTTGAAAATGTCTTGCGTCTTGTTATTTGCTTTGGGACTCACTTCCAATTACAGTCCCCAGATTTTGGATCTTGCATCCAGTGAGCCTCATTTTGAATATGTACTGACCAGCGAAACTTTTCCAGAAGCTAATTCAGTGGCACAGAAAATGGCTGCCAAAATAAAGAAGGGTAAGTTTCTCATTAGGCCCAGTTTCCAGCCGTGTGTTTCGGTACAAAGGAATGCGAGCGGGCCGGACGCTAACAGCTAGAAACTAAACTTGGCTTCGAAACACGTGGCTTCTTATTGGCTAAATAAGTGAAAACTGATCTGCTTTAAATGTATTAAAAATATTTAAAGTTATGGCTTTTCTTTTGTATTTAAAATTCTTCAACGATTTTCTTGACATGGTGATGACCTATGAAAAAGTAATAATCAAAACGATGTGACTGCTTAGGTCACGCGTTAAAATAAGTGGTACATCAGTCATTATTGCCGCAAAACGTTATTGTTGCCCAATACTTACGTTGATTACATTTGAACTTGCTTGAAATTTTTATTTTCCTAAATCTTATAATAGGAAATAGGCGGGAATGCATCTATTTCAATGACCAGCCCTTAACATCGAAAGCCGCAAAAATAGCGTTTCATCTACAGTAGCTTAAAAATGTCAATGCCGAGAATGTATTAGTAGTCAAAAGCGAAGAGCTTTCATATCAACAACTACGTTGCCTCCACAGTTGTCTCGATACAAAAGTCCCGCTCTGAACTTTGTGTGCAGCCGGGAGGTGAGTGCAATAATTTGAACACGACTGAACAAACCAATAATCAAACAAGACAAGACATACATGTGCAACAGTTTATGAATCTCATTTGTTTTCAGATTCAAGACTGGATTTTGTGCTCTTACTAGGCAACTGTGGGAATAACTCCAAAGAATATTTTCCTCGACGGTTGGATTTCGCGAGAAATTTAATGCACTCTTTGACGGTGAATCCTCGAAGCGTACGCACTGCTCTCATATCAGTTTCTAATGGGGCTGAAATAGTTCAAGGTTTGAAAGCACAACCATACAACCCCGTCGCAGTGTCTTCAGCTTCTCACTTATCTGGCGGACTCTGTACTTTTGGGCAAGGAATGGAAATAGCGCTTGCTTTGTTTAGGAACAGCGGAATAAGGGGTATTCCCCAAGTACTGATCGCTTTGTTGGATGGGAAATCTGATGATGATGTTTCGAAGCCTGCAATTGAGATTAGCAAAGCAGGTGTCCTAATGTATGCAGTTGGGTCCAAGAACAAAGTCAGTGAACTCTTTGCCTCCAACATTACCAGTGACCCCACTAAAGAATTTTTTATACCAGATCCAGGCATTCTACCTATTGAAACCATGAAGCAGGCAGTTGTGGACAAACTAGAAAGAGGTTTGATAAATGGAGCGTTTTATTTTCAGCCACCCAATTTCATTTAAATACCAGAATTTTTGCCAATTCTTAATTCATGACAAATCAAAAGTTATGGTCCAGCATATTAGAAAATAAAAAGGGGAAAACACAATCAAGGGCATGGTGGACAATTCCAGGCATAGCAACTACAAGGCGGCTATTCTGAGTTAATAAAGAAAGCCCAAAGTAGCATATCAATAGACAAAATGTTAATAAGCTCTTGCAAAAAACTTAAGCTTTCATACTCAGTGCCAACCATGACCCTTTTGTAGATGATAGGTCTAGGTTAGAAGCGTATTCTAAGAAATCGAGCAGCTGAACTCTTTGGGTAATCAAATCCTGAGCTGATAAAAATCGCCTTTTGAAAACATATTGTAGGTTTGCAACGACGTGACTTGTTTGTTCATTTTATAATTTTAAATACGATTTTGGCATGCAATTGCCTTTGGTAGAAGTTCAGGTGCAAATCAGCCTTCGGTAGGCTTTTGTAGCATTTTGAATAGAAAACCAATAAAACCAACGAGTGTACGTTTCGCCGCTAATATTACAGATCTATAATTTTTTAGCTAAAGCAACTAAATGTCGCAAGAATAAGCATTCTGCGTGGTGATGATAAGAACACAACGTCTAAAAATTAAGACTTTCGTTTTCTTTGTTTATTGAAGATATTGAAATTGGAAAAAGACTTGTTTGTCCTGTGAGAGAATGTAGTCATAATGGTAAGTTTGCCTTCTGATTATTTTACACGTACTTTCAGTGTGGGTGTTTTTGTTTGAGTTATACGATGTGGTACCTTAGTCACCTTGAAAATTAGATTTACACACATAGAGGGTTTAATAAGTTCCCCGTTCATCTTCTGCGTTTAACTTCTCAATGTCCCTCTTGTTTGCTTTGTATTCTCCAGCAGAATATTCAGAGATTTCTATCGCGAGTGCTTTTTAGTGGTTAACAAGGAAGTTTTACAGGCCCAATTCAAAATGCCGTGGAGAACCTCCTTATAAAAGTAAAATCGCAAACAAATGAAGTATCGCTGTCTTTTTTGACAACATTACCCGGCACCTGCTATATGATAGAGCTTTGTTTATTTTTTTTTGCTTTTGTTCCGTTTCTTCTTTTTTTTTGTTTGTTGTAGTTTTTTTTGCACTTCTTTGTAGTTGTTGTTTCTTTTTGTGGAAAATTTTAAATTTTATTTTTTTGTTTATCAATCTACATCATCTTTATTCATAAATAGTTGGTCTTTTTTTGACTTATTCAAATAATTTTCACACTTTTGCCTTCTACTCTTTACAGAGACGAAGCCTTCATCAGAGTTAAAGCCACAACCTCAATCACAAAACGCAACAAAATCTCGTCAACCCCTTGCAGCTAAGATAGGACCAGTTGATTTGGTTTTCTTAGTCGAAGGCAGTGATATGGTTAATGAGACATTGTTCAGGGTAATGCTCGACATTGTAAAAGACGTCTATAGTCGCTTTCCAGTCTCCTTGAATGAAACACACGTGGCCGTAGTCGTTTACGGCTCCAACACCCAAATCGTGTTCAATCTCAAAGACTACCTCAATGCTAGCGAAATGAACAAAGTTTTAGTGTCAATTCCAAAGCCCTATGGCGCTGCTTTTTCGGGAAAAGCTCTGAAGGCTGTGAGAACGAAGGTTTTTGATGGAGCTGGAAGAACGAATGAATCTGGTGTATCGCGTGTTCTCCTACACATTACGTGTGGTAAGTCAGCTGATGACGTAGTTGGGCCAGCTAAAGTTCTTAAAGAAGCAAAGGTCAAAATAGTTGCGGCCGGCGCATGTCCTGAGGCTAATAAAATGGAACTTTGCAACATTGGAAGTCCTCCGGTATGTAATAACTCTGTGCTTATCAATACACTCAAGCCACCGAATATTCCTGGGAAAGAGCTGGCCAATAAACTGAAGCAAGGTTAGAGAAAAGTTAGAGATGAATTTTTGTGCTCTCCATATGTTCTAGAAGACATTCTATTTACGTACGCTACAAAATTAAGTCTAGATAGATTGGTCGACTCATAATTGAGAACGTAAGCTAGTTCAGGCAAAAGTGGTAGATAAGTAGAGATAGGGGTAATCAAATGGAACAAAAGCCCCAAACTGTGCCCAACCTATGACATTTATGAAGACATATTGGCTGTTTGATAGCTTCTGATGCCGCACACACGTTAATTGAGATCAATAACACTAGTACGTGCAGCCGATCGAAAGGACTCTGAATTTAATACTGTCTCTTTATCTATAGATATTCCTATTCAAAATACCACGGAAAAAAAGCCAGGTAAGACTACTAGAATTACGTGGGAGGCCACTTGAAATTCGAAGAAATGACCCTCTTCCTACCCCCCTCCCGCCAATACCCTTTCATTTCCTTTAACTCGTCATCAAGAAAAGTAACATTTAGATTCACTTTCAACATCACATTGCTGGTTTTGCAACCTTACTTTCGAAAAGAACTGGAAATACTTCCTAATCTTTTGCATGCACTTGCAGGTCAAAATGTTTCTGAACCTTCAACTGGTGAGTATAAAAATCAAGAATCTAACTTGCCACTTTTTATGAAAAACAAAATTGAGTCAATTGGTCAAAATATTTTCAATGACAATGATAAACGTTGGGCCCAAAGGAGAGAACTTAGTATTGCGTCTTGTGTCGGTATTGGTCTTTTTGTTTTGATCTTCCTTTTCTTGGACTTTAACGAAGAACGAAGCATACATGTCATTTCATACATATTTCACCTTTCCATTCTTTCGATCGATTAAGACTAAGTTATGACAGGGAGAGACTTCGAATTCCATTGACTTCTCGAATCTACATTAGGTACTCTTGTGCCAAACATGTTTTGGAATAATGGACCAAGTGAAGCCGTTCTTCCATTGGTTCCTTCTCTCGTCCCAGTTCATCCTCAAGCGCTTAGTCCAGCCCCTAACATTTGGAACTATGAAATACAAATGCAACGGAATCCTGTGCCCCCAGATCCATACACTCTTCCTGGCAGTTCCTATCAATACAGTAGTGAGTCATCCATTTGATGTTAAGCAGTTAAAGCACACGCAAGCACCGCGTCAGGGTAGTAACGCTCTCTTCCTCAGCACCGTTGAATTTCACCCAATTAAATAACAGTTACATAACCCTCTTGAAGGCAGTGCTCTCGTGGTATGCATTATTACCCCAAGCTAGATATAAAGACGATGTATTTTGGCACGAAAAAACTAAATTTCTCATACCTTGTGAAGTCCGCTACAGCTTCTTTCTAAATATTTTCAGTGAATGAGACTCACATATTTTGAACTGTAAAACTCAGTATTTCAAGAGTTCTAAATTTCCACGTGTTCGCGTTTTTTTACACTGTGAGGTAAGTGGAAACGCCAAAGTGATAGGCCACTGACCTTTTCAGTTTCTTTCTTGTGCGTTGAATTTTCTACTACAATTCATGAAATTGTCAGATTTGCCTGATGAAGTTTATTGCACTCGTTGTTGTTTAGCGCAATGTGAAGATTACGACCCCGCCTGTTCTGGATATACCATCAACGGGTATTGTGATGGAGATGCGATTGGTTTTAGTAATGACTACTTAATGAAGATGTGCAAAAAGAGTTGCAACTTATGCAAGACGTAAGTTACATACCTTTCACTAAATCCAGTTAACACGATACCACACTCGCACTTTGTTTGAAGATTCTTTCAAGTTTTCTTTACGCGGATTGATTTTTTCCACGCGATCAGATCTTATAATAGGCTTGTTGTGCAACCAAGACGTAAAACAAGACCCTTAAGGTAATTTATTCGACAACTCCATGACAGTGACATTTCGTTGCAACTGTCCAACAGTTTTTGAGTGATACTGTCACATATGACCTCCCATAGCTAGCAATCTATGTGGCGTGAGTAACAAAAGTTGAACGTGATTATGTGGAAATGTTTAGTTGGCACAAGATTTAATTTCTCAATGTTAACGCCATGTGTAAAGTCAAATATAATTAATTTGGCTATTTTGTTCTTTTTCGATGACCGAGGAAATGCGTTTTTATCGCAACTTTTAATTTCTTAGAGAGCAAGATTATACATCGGGAGGAATATGGATAAAGAGGGACGAAATTCCAAAACGAACTGATAATATACAAAGGAAGAAGGCCGCAAATTCAGAAAATCGAAAAGAAAGAACTAAAAGAGGAAAAAAGAGAGAGAAGAAGAAGCAGGAAAATGTCAAACCAGTGACGTGATGTTCCCATACACTAAGCTACCTCCTCATAATGGAGACGGTTTTAGTCAAACCTGAATAACAGCTACATTGTGAGCTCTAAATTAAACCTTTTAAATATGGGGGAAGACAAATACACCGGTTATACTTATGTAGCCCTAAGTTACGACAAATACCCTTTCTAGGCGATCTTGGTGCTCAATGAACTTATTTGTAGATTTGTATTTTGACGTTGAATTGATCTATGATAATATTTTGGTTAAAATATATAATTCCCCTCGTAGCATCAGCGTTTTCTCAAATTTTCTTACACTATGAGAAAATTACCGAAATTCGTCGATGTGATGCGATCTTACGAGCGAGAGCATCCCGATGATTTTGTTGTGATACTATATCAAATTTGAACAAGTTTATCGACGTCATCACCAGAGTCAAATAAAACTCAACGGCAGATCCGTTCTTCGTAACTGCGTAACGCCTACATGACCCTCACCATTCCCCGCGCGTGTTTGTGGAAAAAACAAACGATTCCTGTATGTAGACCCGTGCGTGCATGGACAGAAATAGCCATCTGGAAAAAAAATTTTTTCTGTAGTCTTTTCAGTAGTTTTCTAGTTTGCGCCCTTCGTTTTTAGGCAAGAAAGTCCTATTTAATTTTCAAAATTTAGTGGCCATATGATAATGTACATCATGACCCCAATCTAAATGTTTTCCCGTCCTCCCCTCCCACTCAGTCAATAAGGACACGATCATGTTAAGAGAAGGATTTAAGTGGTTTACCGAGTGTCTCACCGAGTGTTGCCCTTTGCAATCCATATTAACCAGTGCACAGATAAATCGTTCACCACACAACTCATGTAGACCAGATACAACTGACTTTACAAAGCTTATATGACATAATCGACCTTAACCTGGCTTTAGTCCCTTTCTTGGAAACTACTTTGAAGGAACACAGTGCAATAGCTCGGTCAAGCTTTTCAAATTATGTATCTAACGTTTAAATATTATTTCACCCCTCAACCGTGTAATTAAAAGACGATATCAGTATTTTTGGTCTTACCACGAAATGCTTGATCCCAGAAGACCTGAGGACATTTTTTATCTAAATCGTCAGCTGCTTTATCTCATCTTCTCAGTTTGGTCCCAATCAATGTATGTTACATTGCCGGTTTCAGTACAACTCAGCAACGTCAGAAGAGTTTTTCTTTGGGGCCGTGAGGTAATTTTGGTTATTGTTGAGTGACTTTACCCTCTTTGGCCGAACAAGCGATAAGTTTGAAGTTTTTTGACGACACTTTTGTTTCAAATGACCTGCGCTGGTGTTTAGACGCTGAAGACCTTTGCGACCTGATTTTTTATTTATTTCCATTTTAAGGTGGTCGTTTGTCCTAGAAAAAACACCACCAGCCACTTTTACCTCTGCTTTTCCGAAGTTGTATTTACGGCACTGGAAATACATAGCAAAGTTCAGTAACATGTGATATTTCCTGAAGACTGAAACATGCCACAGAGGAATGGGTAAAAGAACATTTACACTCTACAAAGACTTCTATTTAATGTGGCATTTTGTCAGAGAAACCTTCTCAAGTGGGTTTTACCATGTGTCTTCGACTTTTGGAAAATTTTAAAATATTTCTTGTAGCAATCTGCATTCAAAATGTTTCGACATTGCGACTGAAATCAGGTTTGTAATCATTTCTTTCGTAGTCGATATTTCTTTTGGCTTTGGCTTTGGCTTTATTTCAGAGTCATCAATTATTTAGAGTAGAATTGTGCTAAAATTATCAACCAAGGTGCTGATTTATTGTTTTTTTAATCTATTTGTCTTTATGTTAAATGGTACTAATGGTTTTTTTCGTTCTTTCGAAAGAAAGAATTGAATTGAAAAATTAACACACTTAAGCCTCAGGAATTGTATTTGTTAATCACATATTAAATTTCTTTGAGTGGCCTCATTTCCTACAAACATAGAAATCTGCAGAGGAGCAATATAAATTTCTCTTTATTATTTTCGTAATTAAATTTACCCTTAGACTGGAAGTCCATTGCTTTGTAAGTATCAACCATTTATTCTTAAGGAGGTTTATGTCACATAGATCGACCAGCCGAGCTGCGTGCTAAATAAGTCAAAATCCAGCGTTCCTAAAATAGATGGACTGGGACATTTGACAATTAGTAAGTGGAAAAAAAAGACAGTGAGAATTCGGAAGGAAATAATACTGACATGTTTGCAGTTTATATGCTTCACGATAAGCATAAAAAAATGATACTAGTAAAGGGTAGAATTCCGTAGAAGCATTACTTTCAAACCGTACTTATTGATCATGTTTGATTGGTTTCGCACCGCGATAAAAAATAGCAATAAACCCTCAGGTGTGAAAACGTGCAATAAAGTATTTCACCTTATTTTTTTTACTCTAGAGAAACATTCAGTTGAAGATAAAGACCACAATGCATCGCGTCGTCACAACGTGAAAGATTTCTACAACAGCTCATTGGCGTCCAGGCGAAGCACATATCGCATTAACATGCCGATGAAAGTGGCAAAACTTATACTACCTCAAATCACGAATAAAAACCAAGAGACCATCATTAGAATATATCCTGATAAATCAGCCAAGGCACAAAGTGGAAATGGAAGCAACTACTTGTTAAGCCTCAGTTATAAAAAGCTAAATGACATGGGTGCTCCAAACAAACTCCAAGCTGGAAGGCGTGCCTGTTATTACGGCGAACGCCCTGGATGTTGCTCGGTTTGTTGTCCCGGATGTGAGTGATTAACAAGCTTTTTTGAGGTTGTGCATGATATCGAAAGCGTATATCCATGTTTACACAAATATTATGGGCTGCTTAGTACCACATGATGGAACACTTAAGATCGCCTCCCGATCACTTCGAACAAGTGAAATGCTTTCATAACTCTTGAATTAAGACCAACAGAGGTATGATATCTGAATCAGCTATTTATCTATCAATGTTATACATGCCACTAGAGATCCGTTTAAGGCTAAGAATCACCTTTATCTAGCTTCGTGAAGAAAAGGAACGATAAAATTGAAAAATATATCATTATTTTACCTTAGCATAGGATAAGATGTCCATTGGTGTGTAATACAAGTTATAACACACGTGTCTTTGTCATTTCCTTTCAGCAATGTGTGGTCCATCCGCAATACCAGGTAATCTCATTTAATCTTAATTACCTTGCATTGAATGAAAGCGCCAAATTCAAATGTTCGTGAAGGCTATACTTTCAGTATGCAAGTCATCGAAAAAAGAAAAAAAAAATGCACGTCCGTCAAGATCCTGTAGCAGATCAGATTAATGCAAATGTCTATCCTAAGTCCAATTTTTTTTCCTAGGATCATGCATCTGCTGTCCTCGGCCAAGTAAGTGTCATGACTTATAAAATAAAATTTTTCCTCCCAAGTTGTCCTTGCTGAAACTTTATTCGATTGCAATAATATCAGACTCAAATGTTACTCATATTCTAATTCACTTTCTTTTCTTTTTATATCGCATAACAAGTTTGTCCACGACCGCGTAAGTACTTTGCAGCCCTTATTTAGATCAGGATTTGGTGAAATAGCACTTCACATCGAAGTTCTGTTTAGGGATTTGTTATCCATATGTTTAGGGATTTGTTAACTATAGTCCAGTTTCTTATTGAAATCTTAACGATTCCAGCCTGCTGTTGCTGCTGTTGCTGTTCCAGTCCACCTCCGCCGCCACCCCCTCCCCCAAAGAAACCTCCACCTCCCCCTTGCCCTATGGTATGTGTACCATGTAACCCTTGCCCTAGGCCCCCATGCCGTCCAATATGTATTCCACGTCCATGCCACTCGCCGTGCCGTATACCCGCACCACCAGTACATGCACCAATCTTAGGACCCTGTGTGCCAGCTCCGCCGGCTATGGGACCATGCCATCCTCCGTGTTTTCCTCAAAGGCCACCCTTGGTGCCTGCTTCGCTCCACCCAGCCCCTCCAATCATATCTAACAGGCCAATAGTGGTGGATCATCCATTAAAAGGCCCCCCTATATTCATAGGTAATTTGCTGACAGTTTTATGTTTATTATATCAAATGACAAAGAAGCCATTACTAGCATTTAGGAAGTATTAAACTAACTTTGCGAAAGAGTTTCTCCACTGAGATAGATATGCATAGAATTAGATGATTGAATATCATTGTTAAACAGCTTTGTGAAACTTGTAACATTGCATCAACAATTGACAATTTGGTAAAACTACCACAAATGAATTCGTTTTCTTTAACACGGTATCAATTTTTTCTCTTCATTAGGATTTGCTTTTTCTCTCTCATTATTATCCTTATCAGCCCGATTATTGTGGCTTTTTTCTTTTCTTTTTTTTAACAGATCAGTGTCGCGACGTTCTACCGGAATGTAGACAATATGCCAAGAGGGGAATGTGTAATCATGCAACGCCTTTTCACACCATTCAACAAATACGAAAAATATGTCCTTTCTCTTGCGGGATTTGTAATGAGTGAGTAAATCATCTATCCATTCCAAGTATCCTTCCTTTACTGTTCTACGCCTTACCCAATATTCACTGCTCCTAAAACGTACACTCTAAAGGCATCACCGAAAGCTAAACATCTGTTCCCGATTATTCTGTTTTAGTTACGACGAGAATGCGGCACTTCTTCGAAGGCAGACACCTTCTGGACTCCATGTGAGGCCTGCAATGCGTGCGAAACTGAACAGAGCCTTAGTACAAATCATTCGAAATAGGGATCTCGAGGGAAATTCAACACTCGAGTCTCAACATGTTAAAAGCAACTCTAGAGAAGAACAAGTTGGAGTAAAGAAAAGTCATCAGGTCTTGGGTCGTGTGATTCAGTCAGAGAAGCCTACCGAAGGAGACGAACTGAATAGTGGATCGGGCGAACCATTCGATAAATTGAAATAATTCACACGAAACAGTTCTACTTTTACGAAAGATGGGGAGGCTTAAATTGCCCGACGAATAGCTATTTTGTAGGATAGCCGTGATACATGCACAGCCACGAATGGCAACAAAAAGGGAAAAGTGACGATAAGTTTAGAATAATTTAGCTTTTGAATAATTTAAATGGCGAAAAGCTAAGTTTGATGGATATATTTTTATTTCTAAAGAAACGAGCGTAAAAAAATTGTCCAATCCAAATAAATTTTAGAATTTTGTGAGACTGTTTTAATTTTACATTGATTATTGTAGAGAAAATAAGTGCCGTGTTTATACTACACAACCAATCAGAAAATCCTCGTTACACTATACGTTGTGGACGAAGATTACCTGGTTTTGTAATAATTTTCTCCATCTAAAGATGTAATCCGACCTTTCACCTTACGATACTACGGTGTTGTAGTTCAGTTTATGAACAAGTGAAAAAAAGATCGTGACAGTCGAGATGCAAGTTAAGATGTTGCAGAAAAGAAGCCTGAAATAACCGAGGCTTTGACCGGATTCGCGCCGGTGCCTCTAGGGTACTAGTTGAGCTTTACTTCCAAATAAGCCAAATCTCAAATACATCTGCAATGTTGGACTCGATTGCTATCATCCAAGCGACGAGAGTCTAGTATCCTAGAAATTAAGGACTACTCAAAGGCCTGAACCAAAATTAAAGAGATTTAAGGGGAATCGTCATTATTACGAATTCTGTTAACCCTTTTGCAAGCTAAAATCAGCAAGCGTATTCACAAATTGTTCTTTAAAAGCCCCTGTGATATTGACAAGGAGAATTTATCTAGCAATCAAGATAAACTCCAGGTGGCAATCATTCCATCTATTCTCGTGACCTTAACGTTTGATCAAGCGGTGCTACTGTAAGAAGAAGTTCGATTCTAGTCACTGCCAAGGACTTAAAGGAACCTCGATCACCGACTAATTAATTCCATAAGCATTTTTCCTTTGTTCTTTGTTTTACTTAATAAATACACTGAATAAAAAAAGTAGTAGAGACATAGACTCAGGGTGAACAATCATGTGATCGTTAAAGCGTAGCAACACAGTTATTAAAGCAATGTGGCTTGGACATGAAGCAAATATCATAAAATTCAAAAAATAAAAAGCGCATGGAAATGACTGGAGTACATATTTTTGGACAAGTTTCCTTCGCAACCGATCTGAAATTGAACCTTACCAGACATCTTTAATCTAACCTACATCAATACACGATTGAACACTTTGTTTGCAACCAGCCTTGATTATAAACAAACTTTCTTTCGAGTACGGTGTCGCGGTCCGTTGAAACTGGAATTAGTCAGGAAAGAGCAGATATAACCTTTTTAATGAAAAATATTGAATTTGCACTTGTTTTAATCACTTTAGCAATGAAAGAGGCAGTAAAGCTGATCAAAGGTCGTATCGCCAGGCTGGAAAGCGATTAGATCAGATATCACATTATGGTTGGTTTGTTAGCGGGTGGTTTTGTTATCTTACTCATTAGGACATACACCACTGATAATTATTATCTAGGACTTCAAGTGATATGTCAGTAAAGTCTTCTGTATGTTTATTTTTTCCATATGCTATTGTTTCAGGTTAACCATCATCTTGCTTATTAGCAAATGAAGATTTGTAAAACTGATAATATTGCTGGTATAAAACTTCATTCGCCCTATTTACTCCCCATGTCAATCATCAGGATATTCAAGGGTGAATGGCCGCACCCCAGACAAACAAAACCCCCTGTCGTAAACCACTTAGAAGGGAAGCAATCGACTTAGGGAGGCTATCGATTATTCATTGTAGTCTCGACTGGAAACGACTCAATGCTGGCTCGCCGCTATAATAATGATCGCCCGTTTTGGACTATTTCTCTGCTTATTATTCGTTGCCATACCATTAGTCTTCGTGACTCGTCCGAGAAACCATCACTCGGGTAAAGTACATCAGTTGTCATTTTATTTTTAAGACTTTTCTGCTAGGTTATAGATTCACAAATGAATCTTTCAGTTCATGTAATCCGCAAACGGGTTAAATGGTGTCGTATTTTTCTCGTAATACGATCGATGTATAAAGGCTTAATCCATATCAGCCATACCTAATACATGAACTATTTGGTGGTTATCCCATTATTATTTGGTGCTACGATTTGTCTTATTCATAAGGGTCACTCTTCATTTTTGATTGAACTACTCATTACAGCCCTCAAGAGGCTCGACAGCCATTACAAAGAGGACGATGGCGATAAAGCTGCTCGAGCAAAGTTACTTTGGGATCTCATTTTAACAAGAACCAAAGTCAGACACAAAGAGAGCAGGCAGCCTCGTCCTTTGCGAAAGAGTTTGCAGGTGTACACTGTTCCACTTAAAGTTGGTAAGGCTATATCTGTACCTTTTAAAAGTGCTGTTAGATGCTTATTTAATTATTTGCTGCTTTTAATGAATTTTGATGTTATGTAGCTTAGGTAAAACATTTAGGAATGGACTGATATTTCCTGTAAACTAGGAATCTGTTGGCAAAGAAAACTAAACTTTTTAGCTTTTTGAATACCTTGATCTTGACTACAGACAAGCGAGCGATTTATGCCCCCCCCCCCCTTCAACCCTTAAAAATGGATCATGAGGTGATGCAAAGCCCCTTGTTTCCCTCCGCGAAGCAATTACCGTGTATCCTTTCCCACGAATCAATGGGGAGTTAGCATGAATTTCCTAATTCATTCACAGAAACGAAATCATTGTCTGAATATACTCTACAAATCCTTAATTGCAGGTCTTTGCAAAGACCAGCATCCATTATGTGGCTCCTACGCGTTAAACGGACTTTGTGATTGGCCTGGACTCTTCCAAGACCTCCGCGACATCCATGAGACATGCGCACTTTCATGTGGATACTGCAAAAAGTACGTCTGAACTTTTATTTTAAGCTTCTAAGTAATAAACAGCAAACAGTCTCTTTAGATAGCGCTTTCTTAGAGACTTGCCCTAGCCTACAAACAACATCGCTCGATGGTGTATAGTTAGGCATAGCCAGGTTCCCCTATATGGTTTAAGAATTGATTTTCGGTTTTTTTGGATGAATGATGCTCCTTGATATATTTTTTATGGATGAGTGATGCTATTATCATTGTCATTCTTATTACTGCTATAAGTATATTTACCATAATCACTATCGTTAACATGATCATCATTAGTGGTATTGTCATCAACAACAATATAATTAGTACTGTTCCAATTAGCTCAATTGAGTATGTTTTTAGTATTTGTTTAATTTTTTTATTGTTTCATTTTAGGAACGTACGAAATGGGGAGGTAGATTTTGTTGGAGCTAACTGGAATAACCCATGATCCCTTTGTGGTTCGGGTTTTTTTCCTTAGACTAGAAACACAATGTAAGGGCTGAACGACGTCTACTATGGCCGAGCCAATCGAATTGATATGTTTTAATCTTAGCACCATAAACCTAGGACGGGTTTCTTGAGACTTCAGTAATTGTTATCCTAACTGTGTGACCAAAGACAGCTCAGGCAATCTTGGTAGTATCTAATTTTTCCTCATTGTCCACATTGTAGTTAATGTTCATCGAGGGAGAGAGAGAGAGAGAGAGAGAAATAAAAATCGCCAGGATCGACATCATTTACCTAGGACTTAGTAACTTGTTTTGACTTCTTCAAAGCGCTTGATCTCATCAAGCGTTTAATACGTTGTGGTAAAGATAAGTATGAAATTAAACGAGAAATAAAAGTAGCGTTTTTGACAAAGAAGCTTTTACATTGTCATTCCAAAAGAAATAAAAAGAGGAAAAAAGAAGTAGGAATTATCTTTTGAGTTCTGGGAAAGTGATACATTGTACCTATGATGTCTGACCAACGTTTATTCTGGTATATTAATGTGTAGGTTATGTTATTGAAGAATAAAGGAGTTTTAAAGTTGGCGGTAGTTAATAATTGATGAATAACTTTTAAGTGCAGACCACCAGTTGACTTGAAAAGGGTTTTGTTGGTCTTATATTGAGGTCTGAATTAACGGGTCAAGTGTTCTTTACTTCCCACTTAATTCTTCAACTAGCATAAGTAATTTTGAAGATTGCTTATCGCCGGGGAAATTGAATATAACGTTAAAATGACGATGGCTCACGAGAAACATAATACCTGGTCCATATCGGTGGATTTAAAATGAGTCACTATGGTGAAAAACGTCCACATTTTAGATATTTCACCACAAAAGCACCATGTTTCCATTCTATTTTTGGCGTACATTTTTTTGTTGGAAGTTGTAGGCGGGATACCAAGACCACCACAATTTAAGGATACTTCCGGTATGTATATATCCCGATCATTATTTTGGGATCTAGACAGCCCCTAGACTTACATCAAAAGCAGTTACATGACAATTGAGTGATAAGTTATTTTTTCCAAGTCATTTTTGTAACTCAAACTCAATGAAAGCAATAAATATCCCGGAACTCGATGATTTTAATTAATTTTTTTTTCGAAACAAATTTAACGTAGTGTTACCGCTAGATCTCTGATCGAAAAACGCCTGAAACTGACGGAATAGATATAATAGTGGATGTGCTTGTGTATTACTGTTTCCTTATTACAGAATAAATTTACTAAGCCTCGAGCGACAAGAAGAAATCTTAAGTACATAAGTTCACTGGGTTATCCTTGCTTAATGATCATTCTTTCAGTTGAAAGCAGTTTCATTAAAATAATCTTAAATTTAAATAAAACTGTTGCAGAGTGAGACCAATGAAGAATATGCGTACCCCTACGAGCTTCGTCCCACACTAGTGAGAAATAAAAATCTTGATCCATCTCCAGCGACCGAGCACAAACTCTGCCGTCTTAGTATTTTACGTAATAATTTCTGGGTCAGCCAAACATTCATTGTATCAGACGTGATCAATTGGAGAAACCAGTTCTTAGAGGGTGCCAAATTCCATTTGTGCAAATTGATTGTGAAAAGTATTAAAGAAAATACGTGATTTTGGGAGAAAATACGAATCTTATTTTTGTTACTGTAAGGATTCATATCATTACATGATACGTTTATTATGGCAATGGTATGAAATCAAGTTAATGAGGACAAATAATGGTATAAGCAAAAAGATTTCTTGGATGGAAGCCTGAAAGGAAGGAGCAAGTGACTGCTTTAAGTCATGGTAGAATAAAAGTATATAATGAATCGAGATGAAGCAGAAGCACAGGAGTTCCTCACTAATATAGTGAAATTGATCGTTTTCAGTTTCATCGTCCTTTCATCGTGAACGCAGATGGTTAATTGAAAAGGTACGTCCATTAAACATGACACCGTCCAGGGACAGCTTGAAGCACAAAAAATACGTCCAACTTTGGAAAATTAGACAGGCCCTCGCAACTGGAAGACACGAACCCTTTAAAAACTTATCTAAAAGATCCTCAGGTCGGGACTATCTGGACAGGATCGCGTCATTCATCAAAGAAAAGGAAGATGCATCGTTACGACCAGCTGGTAAGAAAAAAGAGTAATTTCAGTTTAGTTAAACGAGGTGTTGATTACAGTCGAACAGGATAGGGGTATGAAATAGATGATTGTTAAAGTGAGGCAGGGTAGAGTGGAAGATAGTACAATAAGAGTAGAATAAGACTTCAGATATCTGAAGGAACATATTAAAGCAATAGGAGTTCAAAGGTAAATTATTGAGCGGTGAAAAATTCTGATTCTGTTCGTAATAGATGGTTTCTGATCCAGACATTGGAAAAACATTCATTTCTTCTTCTTCTTTCTCCTTTAATTTTTTTTTTCCATCATCATCTCCTTACAGCTCTTCTTCTTTTGTTAATCAACTGCCTCGAAGACAGATGAGATTCAAGGTGTCGTATTATACGTAAATGATTTTCATTAAGAAAATTATTCAAGGGTCGTTCGTCTTAAAGCCAATTTCTTTAATTATTTCAGGCTCGGCAAAAGTGGTGTTCTTACTAGATGGCTCAGGAAAAATCGGCAATGAAGACCTTAACTCGTACAGACTGTTTGTGAAAAAGGTGTATAAAAACTTAAACATTCCTACGAGAGGAATTACGTTTGGGCTTCTAGAATGTGGCAGTAGACGTTACACCCAGAGAAACATCCTTCCCAGAAAAATTCAAAATTCCAAAGTACTTGACCTCACACTTGACAAGCTTATCCCCGTAAGAGGAAGTTGCGAGTTGGGAAAGTCTCTTGAGATCTTAAATAAAAATGTTTTCATGAAAATGCCAAGTGGTTCTCCAAAAGCCGTGGTGGTGGTCATGGCTGGAAAATCGGTAGATGACGTTTCTAACGCGGCGAAAGAACTAAGCAGATTAAGTGTGAGAGTCGTAACCATAGGTGTGGGTGGTCAAGCAGATATGAAGCAGTTGGCAACCATTGCTGATTCACCACTCTACGCTTTCAAGGTTCCGGTTATCAAGTATTTGCCAGCAATGTCCGGTACAGTGGTTGGATTTTTAAATGGAGGTACATGCTTGTCTAGAGTAAGCCTGCGCTTTAAAAATGGAAATAAAGGAACAAAAGAGAGGATGGCAAAATCTGGGATATATTATTCTTATTGACATATAACTATTATCAGCGAACTAGAATCTGTGTAATATGTTAAAGTTCACACGGAAACCAGGTTGACAATCAGACATGGTTTGATGCTACTCTGGTTTACAGATTTAATGAATGTTACCAAAGAAGTTACGATTCATAGACCCAACGTTTTCGATTAGACATGAGTGTCGAAACGTTGGGTCTATGAATCGTAACTTACATTACATTGTGGTTATCGTAACTTACATTACATTGTGTCATTAAATCTGTAAACCAGAGTAGCATCAAACCATGTCTTAGAAACTGTTTGTTCATGATTGACGTTTTCGCTTAAAAAGACCGTAAAATAAAACAGAAGTATAAAAGCTGTGCTGAAAATTGTGTACAGTGTCTCCCAAATCTCTTTGGTCATATTGCTCAGGTTATGAATGATACTCAGCAGTTCTCACATACTAAGAAAAAAATGACATATTTCAAAAATTGTTGTTTTTTTCCTTTCTGTCGAATTTCTGTATTTCCATGAGCTTATCTTTACTAAACTCGTGACTTTTAATACTATCATGAGGTCTTTCTCCAACTCTTTTCATGACCCCTGGCCCTATATTTATACTTATGTATGTACGCACCATTTCCTTTTGAAACATTATTTCCTTATCTGTGTAACTCCACAGTGACCGACTCTAAGACGCTCAATGCAAATGTAGTTGTTTCTGATCCGTCCGTCATTCAAAAGGGAAAACATAGTGGGTATTACAAAGAAGAAAATTCTTTAGATGCCAACGAGATCGAAGAGGCTCCCTACACAGATAACGACTTATTGCAAGGTCTTCCACCAATTCTTGACCAATTGGATGGGGATAAATCAGGTTGGTTTGGTGAAACAGTATTGTAAGTCAGGAAGGAGTAGTAGTGGATCAAGATATGAAGAAAGGCTAAGTACTGAATGCCACATAAGTTCACCATATATTGGAAGGCTTACTTTGACTTCTAGGGCGGTGGAATGAATTTCATGCCCAGGTCCCACTTCATTTTGGTATCAAAACTTTTTATTACTCAGTTATGATATACACAGTTTGAGTTAAGATGATCAGTTTTACTTATGTTTCCCGTTTTCTTAAAACTAAAGCAATAGATTCTTGGATCTCCGCCTTGGGAGGTGACAGTACACAGCATGATTACTCATATCCGGGCCCAGGTGTTCATCCTTCTCAAAGACCATCAACCACAGGAAATGTTGGCACACGACCCACACGTACTTCTTATGAAGTGGGAACAACTCTTGCAGCCGCTCCCCTAAATAATTGGAATGATGGAGGATTTGCATTTAATCCGACTTTAGCTGCAGAAAATCCGCTCCATAATGTCAATAGCATTAATGACAGCCCACAAAATGAGCTCCAAGACTCAGTAAGTCAAGTTCCTATGAACCCATTACCAAATAATAATGGGTCAGCAGGGCAGGCATCGTCTGGTCAAACTGGTGGGAAGGTCACTACTCAAGGGTCTGGCACTAATAGTGCAATGAACCCGTCAAATGCTTCTACAAATGGATCAGCGCAAGGCGGTGTTAGCCAGGGACAAGGAGCAACGGGTGAAGTTTCAGCCAGCCCTGCTACAGCAGCTAATCCTAATCCAGTTGGTGGCAATCAAGGAAATGGTAAACCCTCTGAAGGATCACCAGGCAATAATGGGGCAGGCAGCTCCGTTACTTCAGAAAATCCAAATCAGATGGGTGGAGGCCAGGTGAAAGGAGTTCCAGAAGAAGCCCCAGCTGTTTCCAGTGGCGCAGTCACTCCAGGTGCCACAGGTAATCCAGATAAGGCGGGTAGTAACCAAGTATCAGGATCAATTCCCCAAACAACAACTGGCGGTGTGGCAAATCCCAGTAGTTCTGGACCAGGAGGAATAGGAGGGACAGGAGGAACAGGGGGGACAGGAGGAACTTCCGGAGGTGCTTCTAGTCCACCAGGTGTTACAAAAATTACAAATAAGAATATAAGTTTTAAAATCCTCTTAAAAATCATAATCAGGAAAATATCTATTTGATTGATGATATTATAAAAATAAACTGAGCTATTTTTAACTTAAAGACGGGTGATTACCTCATTTAAGGAAAATTTTTGCATTTCCCTAACACACAAGAGATTTTGAGACACAACTCTTGAATATGTAAGATGTAACTCCAAAACACATGCTACTTATTTCGGTATAACTGATCCTCGTTTGAAACGTATTTTGCATTTGTTACAACAGGTGTGGTACCAGTTATTCAAACCCCGTTGTTATCTATACCAGTCCTTCCAATTCAAACCATTCCGATCCAAGCACTTCCATCAATACAGACAGCAGGATCAAGAAATTCCCAAAAACTTCAGCCTCAGTCTCCAAATAATACAAACCAACGTGAGGGCAATGGAGAAACCATTCAGACTCCGACCCCAACAACTAGTAAAGCAGTTGCAGCTCCTAACGAAGGCAACCAAGAGGGTAAAAACAGAAAAGGGCCAGAGGCACCCCATAACCCGTCAACTTCTCCAGGAAACCAAAATCCCTCAGGTTCTGCCAACTCTAGACCAGAAAAATCAGGAAATGGTAGCAACCAAGCACCTAGTTCTTTAAAGCCAACGCCTGTGAATAAAAGCTCGGCAAAGCTAGAACCTACGAGCGCGCCGGCAGAAACTTTAGCAAAATCGGGAACCTCTGGAAATCCAAATCCCACCACTCCTCCTTTGGGTACATCCAACAAAGAAGCGCACTCTGGAAAACCTGATGGTTCGAAAAACAAACCAATTTCTACGTCCGCAATTAAGGGTGGTGCGCCTGATGGCGAATCTTCGCCCAAAAAACCAAGCAATAAAGAGAGCAGCCAGTCACATCAACAACAACCGATTGTTTTATGCCAAATAGTTTGTGGACCTGGCTGTTGTCCACTCATTTCAACAACAAAACCAACTGTACCGACTACGAAGGAAACAACTACTTTAAAGACCAAGGAAACAACAAAACCAACAAAAGAGGCTCCCCCTGAGGTGCTGGCAGGCCCACCTATTCCTATACATTATCCTCAGAGACCAGGGTGGTTCCCTCAGAACCTTGCTCCCTTACCCATGCCCCCTAGCTCATTACCATTTGGAACTGATCCTGGATCAGTCTCAATTCATCCTCAATCGAATATGTATATGACTCTTCCACCTGCAACAAGTGCTCCTAAAATCAGCTCATTTCGCAAAACAGACAAACACGACATTTTTGCTGGTAAGAACTAATTCATTTAGAAATAGTATTAAATCACTTTTCATTCTGTTAATGTTTTTGGTGAGTTTTTACTATTGAGATTAATTAGTTATTAATAGTTTAGTTATTAGTTATTAATAGTTAGTAATTATATTCCTTAGTTAAAAAAATTAGCTTTTATTGTTATTCACCACGATGAATAACCACAACCTTTTCTACGCAATTAGTTACTGTTTTGTAGCAAAGATGAAAATTGACGTTGTTTATATCCACACCTACGTCGATTATTCAATCCGTAGATTACAACATTATGTCGCAGCAAATAACGCGTAGACAATTCAGGTCCTGCTGTCATTGCAACAATTCGTTAAACGATCCTTTTACACCTACCAGATAAGCAGAAGGTTCATAAATACTTTTGCGGCTAAACGTGTTTGTCCTTGTCCAGGTCAGTGTGAAGATTACCACCCTGACTGTCCTTCTTTTCTCTTGAGTGGCCTGTGTGATCAGCCCAATCCTTTTTTAGAGGTATTTAATGTTCGTGAGGTTTGTATGCGGTCGTGCGGCGTCTGCAACAGGTACGTTTGCATGCAAATAGCGTTTTATTTATTTAATTTTTTCATACTGCAGTTAAAGGTCCCAATCTCGAAGAATCCATTAGGCAGTTATGTCACAAAAATTTCGAGAAAGCTTTGTTTATGCTCTTCACCTATGTAATGTTGCTGTTCATGGTATATGAAAACCTGTGAAACAGCCAAGTCTCAGGAATTGAAATATGGCATAGCTCCCTTTTTTTTTATATATATATTCTTTGTTTATACTTTTTCTTGCGTTGATCTCCCACAGTTTCGTGAAACATGGACAAAAAGATACCTTTGACTTGCACAAAAAAGAAAAGAAGCCAGAGGATATTGGATTTCCCGAGTACAGCAGAAAGTTTCTAAAACGTAACTTACGAGTAATTCATATGCCTGAAGAGCTGCAGCGATAACCGTTACATAGTCTCGAAAGAAAAGCATGTCTATTGTATATAAAATTAACGTTGCCACTCTTACTCAAACGACTTTCTTAAACGTACCCCCTGCTATCGTAATATTTCATATTAACTTATTTGTTAAAATAAACATATTAAGATATTCTAAGTTTGCAGGGTAATAAAGCTTTGATAGGCGATGAAGCGATTGTAGAGATTTAACAGGTTCAAAGGACTATTTACTTCATTTCAATAAATAAAATGTACATGCACACCGGATGTTGGTCGTCGATATCGACTTTGCAGTTGTTTTAGAAGGAGCACAACTATCAATCTCGGCATGGAAATGCAGCTTTATCATAGTTATCGGTCCGTTTATAGGAGTGGTTGTATCTTCAATGTTTAAATTAGCTGTTAATAAAATGAGAATCTCATTATTTGAGTCAATATCATGATTCAACTATCTAACGGGGTTAAAAAAACAAACAATCGCTATGAACTGTTAATTGTCTGCATTTTATTACATACGCCTTCAATAGATTGGTGCCCCATTCAAACTATGAGGATAGGCAAAGAAAGTTCAAAGTATAACGAAAAACTATCCTTTATATTAAGTGATGATTTATTTGTCTACATTTTTACCATGTACGACTTAAATGGATTAATAAGTGACCCATAAAAAAGGGAATAGATGTACTCCTGTTTACTTTAAATAGGTGCCACTTGCCACCCAACTTCCATTCCTTTTCCCTTAGTAGCGATAACTTGATACCTATGCACCTATGCCGGTATACTTTGCCATTATTAATTTGTCTATACACCCTGTTACCACTACAATGATTGCAAGAAAACCATTATCCATTGTGAAACAGGAACAACAAAAAAAGGTGTGGTTCGGTCAGTCACTAATTCACACTAAAAACAAACAGGCAGGTCATGTTACACTTCTCTAACGCCTCCATATTTTTTTAGTTCATTGCATCCATAGATGCTGGTCAATAATTAACATTCGGAGGAATGTCTTTAATGGCTGAGACTATGTTCTCTCGAATGATTCGAATGGATTTTTTATCGTATGCACTCTTCTTATGTGTTTCGTTTAGCGTTGTTATTCCTTCACTTGAGACCAAGCCTAGACAAATTTCTCCGAAATTGGGGAAAGGTATGTGCTGCTCGTAATAAAACGCTGCAGATAAAAGAAATTTAGCAGCAATGCATGTTATGAATTTCGGAAAAAAAACTCTATGTTTTGAGATATTCTGTCATCTAAATGATCAGAAAATTAGTTTTGGAGGACTTTGAAAAACAAATTATGAGGTCACTATTAATGTAGATGTACTTCTACGAAGACTTTGTAAAGCATGGGAATTTGAGCTTGTTGTTTGTCCTGTTACGTTGTCGCTTACCGCGTTCTTGAGCAAGACACTCCTTCTAAAATGGATACCCTCGTAAAAAAATAGTAAAAATTTCAGGGGGTTACATGAGATCTTAGCGCGATGTTGTGAAAACAGGAAACAAGCTCTGGCAGTCAGGCAATTAGGCTTTCAGATCTCACTAATCCGTGATAAATAAGCCTTTAGTGGCCAAATACTCAATTCTCTTGGATATTCACATTTTATTTTGACAGACTCTGGGACGTCTCACTTGTTCAGCGTCGAACTCAAGCGTTTGTTAAATTCCAGGTTGAAAAACAAAACTTCAGCTAAAGCTATTGGCTTTCAAAATATCCAACGCGTCCATATGGGAACACTAACGAAGATGATGGTAAAAGCAGGGTATCATGAACAAGGTGGAAGCGCAAGAACTCATCAGCAGATTGCAGAAAATTATAATAATAAAGAAGAGGGATTAAAGATGAACTTCATAGATACATCACAAGAACCAATTGGGGACCAAATGAGAACAAACTTGCTTTCAAATTCGAAGGAATCGTCTCTTCACTCCGACGTTGTTAATGGCGGGGACAAGAAATTACTTGGCCATATAATGGAAGCTACATGGAACCCAGTCATACCAAGAAATGCTGCTTTGCAAAATGAAAAGGCACTTCCTTCAAAAACCGGCAGCACGCAAAAACCAAACGGAAATGCACCAGGTAAGATTACTTTAAGGGGACTTTACGTCGTTACATGGTTTATATTAATCAAAGACTATTTGGTATAAACCTGCGCAGAGCAGAAGTTAAGTGGAAATCCCTAATAGCACAGGATAAATGTCCTCGGTCAAGTGTACGCCAGTCATCTAAACAATGTATCGTACGATCGCGAATCTGAAAGTTAGAAGTCGTTGATGAAGTAATAGCTGGTTCCATGCTTTGATACTGCGTGTATCTTCATTCACAGGGCAAGAAATGAGAGCCGTATTTAAATGTATGCGTCCTTTTCCTTTTCAGTGCCATTAAAGATTCAATTGCTTCCTATCCCAGTGGTTCAAACTCAGAACTTTCCCGCTCATAACATTAAAATTCTCCATTCCTTGTTCGGGACTTTAAGGATGTCAAAAAGCAGTGGTGTCGGAAAGAAACAATCTACTAGAAATCTAGAGCAATTCTCGAGCAACAACTTTCAACAGCCCATCTTGAATACCCCTCATGGCACCGGCAACAGCGACCAATTGGAACTTCATACTTCAGGAATAACACCGAAAGGTCAGCCGCCCGCGGCAAAGTGTTCTTCCGGGAATTCTACGTGTATTCATCGACTGCATCCGACTTCTCAAATATCTATTCCTTCCTCAAATTCCACGCAGGCTACGAAAAAATCGGGAGGCATCGCCCAAAAATTACCACCAAACAATATCAGCTCCAGCACATCCAGATCGCAAGGAAATGACTCTCAATTTGTCCCTTCTGCACGTATAACTAAGAATATCCGAGTAGGACAGTTGACCACTCATGATGAAGCTTCGCCTTATGGAGGACGCAATAAGAAAGGATTAGTTTTACAAAAGAAACTTAAAATCAAACCCACATCCGTGACGACTCTGGCCAAAAAGGAAAACATTAGGCAGGGCTCTCGGACGCCCCCAGTAACATTACCAAAAACGGCGAACAAGCCAACAAAAAATCATAAAATTATGAGGGAAAGAATACGTCATCATTCTTCAGGCTATAGAAAGGCGTTCACGGAAGCAAATATTGCCTGGGGTACGCCAGCTCCAATCTGGGTTCAACAAGGAAGCATGTCTTCCGATGCCCTTATGATGGCCGATCTCCATGGGAAGCATGATTCAGTTACCTCGCCAAAGCCTGAAGTCTACGGTAGTAATTAGCTAAGATTGGAAACATCAATTTGTTATTGTTATGGATTTTTAATTCTTTCACAGCAAGAAAATTCTGCACAGTCTCTTGCCTAGTCTTCATGCTATTTAAGCACCGCGCTTTACGTTGAAGTTCCAAAAACTCGATTTTTTTTCTCTTTTTTTTTAATGTGCTGCTCTTGTTGCTTGTTTGCTTTGCTTAAGGCTTCCTATGGAAACTTAAAGGCGTAACGGGCCTTGAGTACAATACTTCAGTCTATTGAATGACCTGTGTTTCTTGTATGTAGGTCCTTGTAGGGATTACGATCCTCGGTGTCCCATGCTGGTAAAATTCGGATGGTGTAACAATCCACTTTCACTCACTGACGAGATCAACATCCGAGACTACTGTGTGGTTTCATGCGGCTTCTGCGATGGGTAGGTGTTTTTATGTTTGTTTGTTTCCTTTTTTTATCTTCCTTGAAATAAACGTTCATTTTTACCATTGAAATTGCAATCTCTAAGGCTAAAAGATTCGGCTCAAATGAGTCTGAGCATCTTCGAATTTGGAGGCTGAAAGATCTCGCCTGTTACTCCTTTATTAACACATCTTATTAATGATAACAGCTATAACTGTTACTGAACACTTAATAATTATCTTGTAGTAAGACTATTCCATTAAGGTCTATTATATTTCTGCACTTAGGGGACAAACAAAAGACAAATTCATTGAAGATGACGTTATGAATGAGGAGGACGCCGGATTTCCAGAATACAGCCATAAGTTTGATAAATAATTCCACAAGAATCAGTTCCCTCGTTCATGTGTCCGTTAGAGCTGACACACGTGCAAAAAACACCGGCATAGTTGGAGACAAAGGGTACGAAAGAACGGACAAATTTTAAGAATGAGTAATCGTTGCCGTGATCAGTAACTGGATTGCTGGTCAAGTTTCTGATGTAAAGTATACCATCTAGTGTTTCACTTAATTTCGAGAATAAGTTAAAAAAAGAATAAATAAATAAAGCGAGAAATAAATCATAGCGTTAAAATCATTTGCTAAGATGCAGTTGGAGTGTCCGGCTACCATTAGAGCGGTGGTTAATGTGAAGCTTCAACCGAATGCAATTTCACTGACTTCCCAGCATCATTTTAGCATTTTGGAAAAGCTCGCGGAGATTAGGTCCTCACTCACAACGAGTGCGGTATTAAGGAAACATTTTGTTTCATGAAGTTGCAGATCGGGGTTAGATTTTTGAGCCCCCTCGATTAAAAAATTTCGATTATTTATTCTATGGCAACCATGGAACTTGAAACTCGCTCAAACTCCGCTTCCTTAATTCTCGGTAGAAGACGTTTGTCAGTTTTGTCAGGTTCAATGCTCTATGAGCTTCTTATATGGAATCCCACAACATGGCCACGTTTGAGTTTCTTTAGATCTTCAACAAACAAAGTGATTCCTGGCATGTTATCTACCTGTCTAAATTCCAGCACCATGAAATTGCGTTTGTCTACCTGCCTTGATCTCGGCACCACAACATGTACTGACCATTGTTCCTAAAATAAGACCAGTTAAAAGTTTACTTTAGTTGGTAATAGTAGGTTCTACAGTGTTACATAAAATTTATTATGCATATCTAAAGAACGAGTGATTTTTGCAAGTAAATATCAAAGAAGGGGAATCTAAACACCAACAAGACGATCTCGAGGGGGAAAAGGTTAGTGAAGTTTTTGTGATATGCCACTTTTTTTTTTGTTACGTTGCACGACAGCTTTGATTGGACTATTGCTTACTATTGCCATTTCAGTACAGTATTATGCGGTTTAGGTGAAGTTTTGAAGGTAAAGAAGATGGGGACTTATTTTTGCTAGTTCGAGAGAAAATATTTGAAATTTAAACACAAATATGTTTTAAAAAAATGTATGCGTTTGAATCGACATTCTAGGTAGGAAAAAAAGTAACACTAATAATGATAACTGATAAATTTAAGTGTATATACCGCGAGAAAAGCAGCTGCGCAGATTTCGAATCGCTACAGGAAAAAGGTTTTTTTCAAAGCGGTTTGATTTCTTTTCGGGAATGCAAAGATGTCCGATGTCCATAGTCGCAAACTATAAGCAAGAAAAAAAAAAACAAGAACAAAAAAAAAAAAAAAAAAAAGGAAGGAAGAGTGGAGTGGTCCAGCGTAAAGAACGTAACCAAAATATTCTAAATTTTTCCTATTTCTGTCACTCGTAAAAATAAAGAGCAGTGTTACTGTTATTACTGTTCTTTTCCACTTTTGTTATGTGAGATCTTCGATGTTTCTGCATCTAGTAACCCCTCTGTTGGAGCTTGTAACCTAATACTTCTTGCCTTGAGAGATATTCACATTGTTCTTTGAACAGAAATGACCTGCATACTTCATCTCCTTCTATTGTGGAATGTCTTCATACGCTGTAGCAGTGGAAACTTTGGTGCTGAAATAAAAAGAGGTGGGGTTCAAAGAGGGAGTTATTTAATTTCCATATGACACTTTTATGATGGAATTAAAAGAAAAATGGCGTCAGACTAATAAAATAAAGCCATAATAAGTTGTAGATTATAAGTTTAAAACTGAGGTGCTTAACGCCACAAACTGAATATAAAGGCTAAAAGCCCAAAGACTCTATTGTTTACTAAGGAGGTGAAAGTAATCATCAATTTTTCGCGCCTTGTCTCGTAATTTGCGTTTGGTTCCGCCATGATTAATTTTTTTTAGTTCGACTGGTTTCCAATATTTTTTGCTATTGTAAATAACCGTGGAAACTTCAAATTGGTGCATTGGGGATATATTTCTAGTGCGTTCTGTCGGAAAATAGAAAACGTTTCACGCGGCTTAAAGCTTTAAAATACTTTGTTTCTCAAACAGGAAGAAAGAGAGTTGGAATAAAATCAGCCGAAAACGCCAGCTCTAAAATTTCAACTTCGACTCCAAAGAGCCCTTCCAATGAGAAAACAACGAAACATCGCTCAAAATTAAAATCAATCTCGCAAACATCCTGGGACAGAAGACAGCTTATTGAACGATCATCGACAACGCAAGGTAAACACGATTATCACTCAACAACAAACATTAATTTGTGTATCACTTCTATAACAAAGAGGCCTGTCATACCACCATAAATCAGTAAGTATGATGTAGAGTTTCATCTTTCTAGAAAAGATACATCGGAATGCAATTAAGCTATTAGCTTGACCGGTGAGGATCCCTGAATCAGCTGCAGGAAGCCACAACTAGAATGGGCCCAGAGTGCTACGACTATTGAGATTCGGTCGTGATTCAGAAGAAATTTTTTTCGTTTCTGAGCCAAGGCGTTCGAAATGAAGAGCTATTATTATGTGATTTGCATATCTGCATGTGCATACCTCAATTAACGGTCGCAAATACAAGTTTTTATATTTACTAGTCAAACAAGTCCATTCATAAGAAAATAATTGTAGAGATGTTCTAATTTCTATCAAAGAGGTACGGATTACAGCAATATGCGACCATTTTAACCAGTTTAATCGTGCAGTCACGAAACTCATTCATTTCTCGTAGCTTGCAAAACCAAAGTGGACCTTGGATTTCTACTAGATGGTTCCGGAAGTGTCAACCAGTATGGTGCTGGTAATTTCGATAAGTGCAAGGAATTCGTCAAAGCCCTCATACACGCTTTCGTTATATCTCCTGATGATACGCGAGTTGGTGTAATCTTATTTTCCTCTAGAAGTGAACTTCAGTTTGACTTCACTCAGTTACAAACAGAACAGGCAGTAGAAGCCGCCATTGACAGAATCAAATATCCCGGATATACGACGAAAACTGGCGCTGCACTAAAGATGGCGGGAGAACGTTTATTCAACAACGTTAGGGGGGGTGTACCCCGAGTGCTCATTGTTATAACTGACGGGAGAGCAGGCGATGACGTGAGAGCTCCCGCGGAAGCTCTTAGAAACAAAGGAGTTATTATATTTTCAGTTGGGCTTGGCAATTTGAGACGACTAAGGAGATTTCAACCCCAGCTGGAGGCTATGGCGAGTGAATCAATACCGGAGCATTTGTTCACCGCTGATTTTCCGGATATGATGTCTATAGTTACAGCAATACAGACAAACCTATGCAGATGTAAGAAGTCACACTTAATTAATGTTTACTTTCCTGATGTGAAGATATGCTTTGTTTTCATTTGCTCTTCACCCGTTTATGTATATCTGGTTAACCTATGAATGGAACATGTTTTAGAAGAAACTTATTTGCACTTTGTTTCTAATGTTCCTTGTTTCGTGATATTTTTGTTTGTTCGTTTGTTGTACTATTTTGTCGTTGTTTAATTTTGATTTCGTTTTTGTCCATAGAATATGTCAATAGAAGCGCCGAACAATATTCTAACATTCAAATGAAACCGAAAATTAGTTCTAGTCATCTTACATTTCTAAGTCTTAACATTGAGCAACTTGACAAACTCTTCCTCTTTTTCAAAGTTTCTGAAAAAGATATTTCTTTTCTTTTTATTTCTTACAGCTGCAGCTAAGGCCGTCGCAGAAGGAACAAGTAAGTTTATAAGATAAGTTTAAGAAATCGCACTCTCTTGACGAGATGAGCAGCTCAATCGCTTTTTTTTTTTAATTTTTTGTTCGAATATTTTAGGCTCTTTGGATTTTGTATATTATTCACCAGTGTTTGAAGGGGAGACCGCCGCTTGTTGTTCCAAACCCTTGTCATTAACTGAATCCCTTTCGATCGAAAGATCCTTCGTTTCTATAATTTCCATGAATACCTTAAATTTTACCGTTGATTGCTACTGAATTTCTTAATCTTTTGGTGTGAGTTTCACCGTATGTTTGCGTTAAGTTGAAATTTTCAAATATGATAATCTTGCTTTTTTACTTCTTAATCTTATAGCGGGAGGAGCAAAGAGGGCCGGTGAGTATAAACTCGCTCTATTAGCGATGTAACAATCTCCACAGACATTCTCTCTCGGTAAAGCTTTCCATACAGTCGGTTACTCCCGACAACAGCAACCACCACAACTGCACGATTGAATAGTTACATACTTTTGAAAGTATTCTAAAACATTCTGGAAGCATACAACACAACTATTTTGGTAGCATTACATCGTGACTACCTGACCTAATAGAATCCTCCAGAAAGTTCCATGGTATGCATGTCAGCATGACTAAGAATTCAAGAATTTTTTAGATATATATCTTACAGTTGTTACCCATAAAAATCTCTTGAAAGACAAATTATTATTTATTTTCAGTGGACCTTGCCGTACTTGTAGATGGATCAATGAATATCAAAGGAGGACTGAAATTCCAACTCGTTATGAATTTTGTCACTGACTTCTTCCATTCATTTACTCTGGGGGATAACGTTAGATATGGATTGGCTGTCTTTGGCAGCAGCGTTAAGGTAAAATCATGACCATATTAAGCGTGGTTTAGCTCAGCGCTAAAAAATGGCTTATTACAATATCTAAATCGATTTTATATCAGAAACCTCATTTCCTCGGTCTATGATTTTATTAGGACGGGAGTGATTCAATTACTTGTTTGTAAACGAGTGCATCACTGGCTAAAAAAACAAAATAGCTTGAAAATCTTCTTTCTCATTTTATTAGGTCGTATTTGGATTTAACCAGTATACCTCTATGTATGACGTCGATGCGGAAATAGCAAGTGTAACCTTGGTCGGAGGCAGATGTAATGCAGGCGCTGCCCTGATAGAATGCCAGAGATCTCTATTTGTCGGTAATGCAGGAGGAAGGAAACGCATTCTTCTTGTCCTCATGGCAGGGAAGTCAATTGATGACGTCTCAGTAGGTGCTGGTTATTTGAAGAAAGCCGGAGTCAGGACAATGGTTATTAGAATGGGTAGTTCTTACGAGCAGTCCCAGCTCTCTACTATGGCGTTTACCCCAGATTACATTCTGAGAGCAAACACACTCCTTGAGTTACCTGGGGTTAGGGAAGAAGCTGCTGGATTTTTATATCAAGGTCCATAGATTCCTTTAATTGATGCTTCTTTTGCCACTTGAAGTGATATATTTACGTAATATGGATACGATATGATATGCCGTGATACAATACATTGCCATGATACCCTACGATACGATACAGCACAGACTCGCTGCGTCTCCCACATACATAATGACCACATTGAGATGTAGAGTTAAAAATATGTGAAAAAATACATATCACAAAAAATTCTAAGGAGGACTTGCTACTGTTTGTTTTCCCAGCCAGCGGTATTAATCTCAGAGCAAGCGCGACCCAGATGGGAGGTATGTTTGGTCTCATGTTGACTGAAACAAGTTTAATTGTTTAATGTCTACTTACCTCACCGGCCGATTCCTTTCAGCTTCATTTTTTTGAGGTCACTGTCCTTAGCTTAAACCTAAGCATAAACTATAAATCTTAGCTTAGCACTTTCCTTAGCCTAGCATAAAAAAAAAGAACCCGCGTGTTTTTAAAAAAGTGAAGTTGACGAGTTAAAACGTAACAAAACTATGTCTCGGATATTAAAAAAAAAGACCAAGAAGGGATACCAAAGACGAGTTATTATATTACTGCCATGAATGATTCGTGCAGCTTGCTTCCTCTCAAAAATCTGGGAGCACCTTCAACCACGTTATGACAACGCATTTCTCGGTTCGCTATCCTTAGGAATTAGATGATGTGGCGTTAATTTTCTGGCTGAAGACTAACCTAATTGTCACTTCATGTCTCCCTCACAGGCTGTAAAAAAAGGAATTACGAATTGACGAGTATCTTATCTACAATCATATCAATTAATTTATGCATTGAAATGTTCTTTGTATAAGGTGGTTGTGACCTTGGGTTTATGGTGGACGCCTCATCAAGTGTTGGTGCGAATTTGCCAAGTGTTCTGAATTTTGTAATCAGCATCGTTCACTCCTTTGCCACCGGTATCGGTATGCGGTATGGAATGGTTACGTTTGGTGCTCATGCTCAGGTATGATTACATGATTTCTCAAAACATTCTCGTTTGCTATTTAGCAGTAACCGCTGTTAATATTAAATGTGAACATAAACAAGTGACGATCTGTGAAAATCAGCCAATCGGCGCTGAGCATCACCATGTAAGTGGTGATAGTTTGCAAGTTCAGTTTTGATTGCGGTTGAATGAAACATTCAGGTTACTCTTCTGGACTAGTCTCTTCAATTTAGTTTTGCAAAACAATAGCAGCAAAGTGTAGGGCCGCCTAAATATGACTCTCACAAGGAAGATGGAATCATGCTTTCTTTAACCTACAACTCTAGTCTATTCATCCACGTGTCGGGTGATATGAGAATCTTTTTTCAGCTTGACTTTGATGTTGTTGTTGTTTTGGTTGGTTTTTTTTTTTTGCATACTATGCAGGTTTTGTTGGAGTTCTCCGCGTTGTCCTCCCTCCTAAAAAAATAGAATGGAAATATTATCATCAACTAAAAGCATTATCGAAACGATTCAATTAGATAGAGAATAATACATGTGTAAGGTTTTTTTTTTCATTTCCTTGCAGGTTATCTTCCGATTTAATCAGTATACATCACTCTCTGACGTCGACTCAAAAGTTGCAAGTGTGAAACTGCTTGAAGGCTACAGTAACGCCCACGAAGCTCTTACTCTATGCAACTCAGTTCTTTTTGCCGGTAATGGGGCTGGGAGAAAGAGAGTTTTGATCGTGCTAATGGCTGGCAGATCGACAGTCAGTTTGACAACAGCTGCCATAACATTGAAAACGGCTAAAGTCAAAGTAATTGCTGTTGGAATGGGTAGCTCATTTTCGAACCAAGAGCTTATAACTATGGCATATTCTTCAACTTATGCTCTATACTCCAACTCCTTTACTAGTTTAGCAGGAAAAAGGCAGACTGTTTCCAATTTGGTATCTGAAGGTAAACGTTATAATAATGAATAAAAAAAAACTTGTAGAGCAATTCAGATTGAGCCGTTTTTAACGTAGTCCGGGAAACTTGCGCCATTCCTTCAACCAATTAGGCGCAAAGCCTAAACCAATAACTATTTGATCAAACACTTTCTTCCTGGCCTGTGGTAGTGTTTGAATTCTCGAGTTCACTTCAGTTCTCATTCGATCCTTACGATATTAAAATTTGTTGTTATAAACTGTTGTAATTACATACGCATCGGTCTATTGCGACATTAAATCGAAATAAATCCCACCATGCGAACTCAATCTGTATCCTTGAGTCGAAGGTCAACTTAAAAGAAAACAGTTGATAATGCAGTGAATTTTGCAATACAACATTTACATAACTACAATTATAAAATTTATTATGACTTTTCAGCAATCAGATATAATCTTTTTACCTTTAGCATCTATTTGCACAAAACTTAAATTAACAATCAAGTTCATGACTCTCTTCTTTATAGTTAGTGGTGTGACTGCCATTGGAACTGCGCTTTCCGAAAATGGAGGTTTGTTAAATCATTATTTCAATAGTTTAATGTAATATGGAACTTTGATTCAGTTGTCTTCTTTGTTTATTATTTATTAGGGCATTTATTATTATTTATTTATTAGGACTCGTTTTTCAAAGACAACAAAATTCCTCTTTTTACCGTTCACAACAAATTGCAAATCAATATTTTATTGTTAATAATCCACAGTGGAGGGTGCTTCAATTAATTCAATGACTTAAAATTAGAACGGTTCTTCAAAAAATTATTAACGTATAACCTTTGTTGATTTTTATTTGTTTTGCTTCGTTTTCGATATGTTTAATTTTAGCCTGACTCGTTTACCCTTCCTCTTTGACCGTTCACCTCGCCCCCTCCTAGTGGAGGGCTTCAAGGGTTCAATTACTTAAAATTAGAGGTTCTTCAAAAAAATGTATAACCTTATTTAAGGTCTTTAATTTTTTTGTTTTTGTTTGTTTGTTTGGTTGTTTTTTTGGTTTGTTTTTTGTTTATTTCCTTTCTCGCAACAGCAAACTTAAATTCTCAGATTGACGGTAATTTTGTGTGGTTGGCTTTTCTCAATTAAGTTCCCTTAAAATGGGCATATAAAAGTATGCTTAATGCGATATTTACCTTTTTAGCTTGCCAAACTCAAGTGGACCTTGGATTCCTGATTGACGGCTCTGGAAGCATAAATTACTTTGGCGCAGGAAATTTCAGAAAGTGTTTGGATTTTGTAAAAGCTCTTACTAGAGCTTTTGTTATTTCTCCAACGAAAACAAGAGTTGGGGCTATTGTTTTCTCATACCGCAGTAAAATTCAATTCGACTTCAGCCAGTACCACAGGCAATCAGATGTAGAGGCGGCAGTCGATCGCATAGAATACCCCGGACGTTCGACGTACACTGGTGTCGGCCTGAAAATGGCCGGTGAAAAATTATTCAGCAATATCAGGAAAGGAGTTCCACGTGTACTTATTGTTATAACGGACGGCTTTTCCCACGATAATGTCGCCGAGCCTTCTGCAGTGCTTAGAAAGGCTGGAGTAATAATACTGTCCGTTGGACTGGGAAAGTATTACAATAAAGCTCAGCTTAACGTCATAGCCAGCAACCCACAGGAAGAGCACGTGTTTTCGGTGGATTTCTCTCAAATGCCGATTATAGTTAGGGCAATACAAGATAGGTTTTGCAGAGGTGAGAAGCGCGTTAGAAGAAGTAACCTCAGATCTCGTGAGGATGATATATTGCCTAGTACTATATATTGATACCTGGTGATATACAGAAAAAAGAATATAATCGATATTATTTAGTGTACCTTGTTCCTGTACCTGAAGGAAAGTAAATAGCAAATAGCGTGCTCCACATTTAAAACACAAGTGTACATTGCAGTTATTCGAAAAACAGTTGTTTGATCTTAACGCGACCGTTGCCTTGTTGATAAAGTTGTTTTTTTTTTTTCATCGCGCATTGCATCATGGTTAAACCACATTTTGACGTTCAGTCTTTGGATGGTTGACTGCACATAGGAATCTCCTTAAATTTTAAAAATACTCTGAAAGATATACATTTCATCTCGAGCTCAATCCGTTCTGACAAGTGGCTAGCGATAAATGAAAACTGGTTCTCGAGAAAACAATAAATATAATAAATTATTGACTTTCTATTAAAAGAGCCTACGCAATGACCGCCATTTAAAACAACTGATTCAATTGATATGTTGTTTTGTAGATTCCGCAAAGGCCGTCTCTGAAGGAGCAAGTAAGTAATACTGAGGCGTCAAAAAACTAATTTAGAGATTCCAGTGCATGGGCCGACAGGTGAGTGAATTCATTGATGAACGACTCAACTGATGATAGTGATCGATAGCCTGGTCGATGGACTGACTGAATCACTTACTGCCAAACTGACTGCCTGCGTGATTAACTAAATTATCAAATGACACTGACTGATTGATTGAAGTTTTTTTTGATGTGTTACAACTTTCTTTTATAATGGTTTATTTCAGCCGGGACAGCTGTCACCACCACGGGAAGCGGAGGTAAGTCTTTCTATTGTAATTATACTCCGTGAAGAGATCCATGAATTTAATTCATTGTCGCATGAATAATAATAATATCATTGAAGGCAAGTTTGGTACTTCTTTCAGTTGGTGGAGTCGGTAGCGGAGGAATTACAGCGACAGGAACGTCAGGTCAGTTCTTTCCACCACATTGCATAGGTCCTGAATAAGGATTTTTCGATTCATGCACACCAGCTAAAATGTCCCTGGTGAGTTTTACCGTGGCAAATTACTTTGTCATTTAGTTATTTGGACAAGGGGTCTTGCCAAGGTCAAAAGGTCAACTTATCCGCCAAATAGAATTCCTCAAGGGAATTTTTGTCGAGGCTATGGCTATGTCATGATCCTGCAATCTCTTCCACAGCAGGACTTGACTTGGCCATCATGGTGGACGCCTCAGCGAGCGTCGGAGGAGCATTGAACTTTCAGGTCATCATGAATTTCGTGACTGATGTATTCCACTCGTTCAAACTCGGGAATGGATTGAGATACGGATTAGTCGTCTTCGGTGGCAGGGCAAAGGTGGGCGTTCATTTCTTGAAATTGACTTAAACTTTGTCAAAACTGTGATAAACAAGAATTTCATAATTACACTTATAACTGCGATGTGGAATCGTTTTGTTTATGTCATGTATAATTTTCAGATGAAATTTATGATTGATTATATACTTACGTATAGTGCGGCGGTTTAATTTTCTGGTTTGTTACCCACTGTGAAGCGCCTTCTGATCGATCTCGTGAAAGCAAAAGCAAGCTTAGTTCTCTGAGTGGCTATTCATGGCCTAGGTAGATGTCGTAAGGAGCCATGCTTAACTCACTTGAAAACCAACTAACAACGAATCGCTAATTTCTGATTTCTTCTACTCTTGAATCAGATAGTTGGAGATCGTGGTGCGAATATGATTCGCCAATCCCAGAGAGAAGCGATGGAAAGCAAATTCAACATTTCTGTAATATGTAAACTAAATTAAGTTTGGAAAACATTTACATAATGCAACAAGTACCATTATTTCTTTCAGGTCATATTTGGATTTAATCAATACAGCTCCATCTATGACATCGACGCGGAGATTGCTAAGGTCAGGATGTTGGGTGGCAGCTGCAACATAGGCGCTGCTCTCTTAGAATGTAAAACATCCCTGTTTGCTGGTGACGCACGAGGAAGAGCACGTGTTCTTCTGGTGCTTGTGGCAGGAAGCACTAGTACGGACTACTCAAATGTGGTCGGGTCATTGAAAACTGCTAGAGTCAAGATTTTCGCTGTTGGAGTTGGCGGCTTATTTGTTCAAGCACAGATAACAGCTTTGACAGCATCTACGTCTAACGTGCTAAACACTGCCTCATTTAAGGGTTTGGCAGATATTACAGGAAGCGTTTCAACAATTATATCGCAAGGTACATGAACGCACTGCTTTCTGGTTTAAGTATGACTCAGAGTAGTCCCTGTTTTCTACTGAACCCGAGATATTGTTTTGTCTAATTTTATTAAACTGCATGACAGATTCTGTTGAGGAAGAGGAAGATCTCTTGGAGTTTGTAATATTAAATGGGAACTCTGTGTTAAGTATAGGAAACCGTATGAATTGCACGACAGTTGTCCTTAAATTTCTCGTAACGGCACGAAGAATCCCTGTAAGCAAGAGTATTTTTGGCGCTCTTCTGCATCTTATATTCTCACCAACGTTAAGTGCTTGGTGCACATTTCAGGAATCTCTATTTAATTACAAATTCAAGACTATACTAATATTGAATTTGTAGTTGAATAGAATAATTATCATGAATACCTATTCGATTTTCCTTAAAATTTATCATAGTTTAGGGTTTAATTTCGGAAGCTAACTTGGAAAGCATTTATCTTCTATGATGCTTAATATTATTTGTTGCTATCGTTTTAGCTGGAGGAGTCAGTACCATTGGAAGATCCATTGCAAAAGGGAGGTGGGTGCTGTACTGCATAAATGATAGGGAAAAAAGGAAAAGTGGTCGCTACCAGATGAAAAGAAAACTTAAAATCTCTTCGAAGAAGCAAGCTGGAAGTGTTGGGTGAAAGAATTTTCTGCATCTAAGAGCGCCAGTGTCTCAGTATATGCATTACAAAGTGTCCAAGAATCTCGTTTCAGTAACGAAAAAGGGGGCACTGCCACTATTAATTCATTCTTCACTCATCTAAATTTTTTATTTTGTGTCATTGAATTGAATATGTCCAAGCTTCACCCATTCGCTTTATTTCAGGTGGATGTGACTTGGCTTTCTTGGTGGATGCGTCATCAAGCATCGGAGACGATAGAACGCTCGGGCTTGTTATGAACTTCGTAACTAGGATTTTCCATACTTTTTCCGTGGTTGGTGATGTGCGGTACGGATTGGTGGTATTTGGTGACAGTGTTAAGGTACCTTATCGATATATTTAATTTAATTATAGCATCGATGTATCATTTTTAATAAGCATTCACTTGATCATTCATTAACCCCTGCAAATTCGAACTCCTGAGAGAAATAGTCCCACAATCACAGGACAGAAGTAAGAGTTGGCTAAAGCGGATAAATGGGGGAAAGCAGTTTTCAAGGAAACTGCTCTACGTTCCAGTCTGCGAATTCTCCCTCATCCTGAAATTATCACATGGGTGGGAGGGCAGATATAATCATCGGATTATGGTTTGATCCTTATGAACTTGATCATGACAGTAGTAGAATTTGAGGAGGATGTTGGCGTCTCCCTTTTGATGGAATGCTTTAATACAAGTATCAATCATCACAAAAACACCAGCCCACGCCGATTCAATATAACTTTCATTCAAGCTTGTTCCCAGAAGGTCGACTTATTCCACCTTTAAAAGGAAATATAATTGACAAATAAGTTAACTTGAACATCGAAGTAAACTTATTAAAACCGTTTGTGCGCAATCTTTTGACCCTAACCTTCGTATAGTACCTCTTAGACTCTTCTTGAGCTCATAACGAATTGATTTTGTTATAGCATTCATAATTTTTGTTGGCAGATTGTTTTTGGATTTGATCGGTATTCCTCACTCTCTGACGTGGACTCAGCAGTTGGCAATGTCGAGTTGGTGGGTGGAAACTGCAACGTCGGTGAGGCTCTTTACCAGTGCGGTTCCAAACTGTTTACCGCTGACACGACGGGGAGGTCGCGAGTGCTGATTGTCCTTATGGCGGGAAGAGCACAGGAGGATCTAGGCATTAAAGATGCAGCCGATGCCTTAAATCAAGTTGGAGTAAAAATCATTGCAGTAGGAATGGGATCTTCTTTCGATAGAGCACAACTTCAATCGATGGCTTTCGCTACATCTTACGTCTTAAACACCTCCTCTTTCGGCGGATTCGCAAGCATCACTGAGAAAGTGATCGGCCTTGTCTCGCAAGGTAAATAACTCTCAAATCTTTTGTCTTCTTGGTAATATAATTCATTAGTTTCTGTATTTTCACGATTCCTTTCTATTTTGAGAGTGCTCTTTTTCCCCTTGCATCCAAAAATCCAAAAGATTTGCACCCAGGTTTCGGATACTCTGCATTTTTGATGTGTTCGCTTGGCGCTATTGAGCCAAGTCTTTGCATTTAGTTCGTAGTGTAATTTACTTTCATAGGAAAAATATACAGAACTCTAATCGCAACACTAGGAACGTGTAACTCGAATTCAAATTATGGACTTTTACGTTTCGTCCATTTTTGTTTTCAGCTGGCTCGGTTACTGTCACTGGACCTAAACCCGCAGTAGGAGAAGGTTTGATGATTTGAATCTTAACTCAGTCTGTCGTCGCTAAAACACTAGACGACTTAATCTTTTTTTGCAAAAGGGTGAACATTTGTGTGCTTACGTTTCGTCGTCTCCATGTTCTTCCTTAGCCTGCAAAACGCAAGTGGATCTTGGTTTCCTTATAGATGGCTCAGGAAGTATCAACTATTACGGGGCAGGAAATTTCAGAAAGTGTTTAAAATTTGTCAAAGCTCTCACAAAAGCGTTCGTTATTTCTCCTACTGACACAAGAGTTGGAGCAATTGTCTTCTCATACCACAGCAAGCTCGAATTCGACTTCACTCATTACAAGACGCAATCAAATGTGGAGGCCGCCATTGACAGAATTCAATACCCTGGATTTACGACGTACACGGGTAAAGGGATAAGAATGGCGGGTTCAAAGCTTTTTAACAATATCAGAAAAGGCGTTCCTCGTGTACTTGTCGTTATTACTGATGGATATTCTCATGATGCGGTTGCTCAGCCATCTGCCGACCTTCGATCGGCAGGGGTTAAAATATTAACCGTTGGATTGGGAACTCATTACAACAAAGCTCAGCTGAGCGTTATGGCAAGCTATCCGCAGAAGCATCACGTGTTTTCAGTTGAATTCTCTAAAATGCCACAAATAGTCATGGCGATACAGGATATGCTTTGTAAAGGTAAGAGCTGAATTTACTTTGGTCTAGAGTTGCAGTAAAGTCCTTTTATCAAATATGTTATTGATGCCTGAACTTAGTCATTAGCAAAAGGATAAAATATTTGTGGATGCTCAACTTTTCTGTCCACGTAAATAAATTAAGATGTGATGAAAAGTTTTGTTTTAATTTAGAGCTTATATTTCACGATGCCTCAAGACATAAATTGGGAAGGGCCTTGTTAAATTTGGCAAGGATGATTTCATTTTCTTACTTTATGATTGGTACTAATGCCAAAACTTGTTAATCCACTATGATGTTTCCACAGCTGCCATCACTGCTGTCACGGAAGGAACAAGTAAGTGCTCAAAGCTCCTCACAACAGAATTGAACCCTAAAGGCGGTCATTTCATAGAAAAACCACATATTAGCTGGCAATGAAATAGTATGGATTGTCTCACTATGTAATCACTTCTGATGTGCCATTCGCGTCGGAGGTGATCTTTAGTCAACTAATAGGAAAATTTTAAACTTGATATATTCAAGTATTTGTGTTATTGGTATTCATTGATTAGTTAGTTATGCGCGTAGATTTGTCTTGTTTGTATGTCAATTAATGCAGTTGTTGTTTCTCTGTATCAATGTTTCGCTACGTTAACTGATACTTGTATTTATTTCACCTTTAGCTAATGGCGTTACTTTACCCTCAGGGGGAGTAGGTGAGTATTCTTTGCTGCTTACATGTTCATATTGATGAAAATTTAGAACATAACTAGCCTTTTTTATGTTTAGGTGCCGGAAGTAAATGTGACGGAAGTTCATGTTACTTGTTTACCAAAGCTGGTAAGACGTGGACTGAAAATCAAAATAGTTGCAAAGACAAAGGAGGTGACCTGATCTCCATTGAAACAGAAAAAGAATGGACATTCATAAATAACGCGATTCAAAGTCTCAATTTTGTGGGAGTGAGTGAATGGCACATAGGTCTGAAGAATCAAGGAAAAACATGGCTTTGGGTTAGTGGAAAGCCGCTGACCATCGCCAAATGGCAACCAAACGAACCATCTGGAAATGGAAATGCAATTGTGATCTCTAAGAGCGCAAAGGGACTGTTTGGCGATGTAGAAGATGATAGTGCAAAAGCCTATATCTGTGAAATATCTCAAGGTAAGACTCACTGACCTTGTCCAAGTATATATAGCTACTTCAACTAATTTCATTCATTTGTCCTTGTTACATTTGCGATCATAAATCAAACAGTTTTATTTTATTCGTACATTGTTTCAGTAACCGCCAGTGCTCTCATTTCGCAGCCGACAACAGCAGGAGTGGGTAAGTGTACATTGTAAGTTTCTTATTGAAATGACCCAAATATCAATCCCTCCAGGCTAATCTAGGTAGTTTCATTGCATTTCGCGCGGCAATAACGCATTTACCACCCCTATTACGATATCAGCTAGATTACTTTTTCTTTACAATGTAATGCCATAAAAGCACGTCGGGTCGAACCAACTAAATTTCCAAAATCTGCCAGATTCAGTCCTGCAGCGCTATTTTAGTTGGCTCAAGGTAATTGACAGATAAAATATATGCACAAAAACTGCAATGAAATGGTCACATTATATAAAAGGATTCCCATCGTTATTCTGTCCTTTTGAACCGATTGTTTGAGGCATAAATCAGAAGCCCAAAGAAGCGTTTCAAGCGTTTCAGTTGAATTTATTTCTCTTTAGGAGGATGCGATCTGGCCATCATGGTGGATGCATCGAGGAATGTTGGAGGAATAGGAAACTTCCAAATGATTCTCAATTTTATCGCAACTGTTTTCCACTCGTTTACACTTGGGAATGGTATTCGATACGCACTTGTTGTCTTTGGTGGCAGAACCAAGGTATGAGAGCGAGGAGGTATTTAAAATAAATATACCAAATAAAATGTTCTATATTTGGTTTCTAAAGGACGAAGGATACCTGATAAGTGAGCATAGGTCACAAGAATAAAAACTACCTACGAGATAAACAAACAAACAACAACTTCGATTTAACGTTCTTTTTTTTTGTAATTTCAAGGGGTGCTTAAATAGAAGATTGAGTTGTAAACAAATTATTGTCTGCGCGGTATTCCAAAAGAGAGGTGTTTAGCTCTGTGGATGGACTCGTTATCATTTTCAGTTACTTGTCAAAGTTATTCATATTTACCGAGAAATATAAAATTAAGTTAAAATTAAGTGGTTGACATAACCAGAATTGCTTATACATAACAAAGAGGGCTTTTTTCTTGCGATGTCTTCTCTTTCAGGTTGTATTTGGATTCAATCAGTACACATCAATCACCGACGTTGATAAAAAAATTTCCAGTCTTACATTTGAAGGTGGAAGCTGCAATGCAGGTGCTGCTCTGAACGAATGCCAGACATCCCTATTTGATGGTGATGCTGGAGGAAGGAGACGCATCCTTCTGGTAATTATGACAGGGACGTCTGATGACGATATCTCAACCACCGCAGGATCTCTAACAAAAACTGGGGTTAAAATAATCGCCGTGGGAATGGGGCTATCTTATGACAGAATGCAGCTGTCTGCTATGGCCTTTACTCAGTCTTACGTATTTACAACAGCATCAATTGACGGTTGGGATGGCATTATAGGAAGCGTTTCTCAATTGATATCACTAGGTAAGTCAATGATAATACGTTTAATTTCGTCAACCTGGCCTTTTTTGATACCTCATTTCCTTTTTCTTTACCTGGTGCACTTGGAGCAACCCTGTAAACAAAGCTGGTACCATAAAATGTTCCTCTGTAATAATTGACGTAAATTCATTTATATTTTTATTATTTGGCAATTTTTTAGCTGGTGGGATCGTTGCTAATGGAAAGGAACAGGCTAAGACAGGTACGTCATTTCTTTATGATATTGACGGTTTTGCGTTTCAATTTGATTCAATTTATAAAAGAAAATTCGTAAAAAATGTTCCATTTTTTCTAGGTGGTTTAGACCTTGCGTTCTTGGTGGATGCATCTTCGAACATTGGTGGAGAGGCAAACTTCCGCCTTGTTTTGAACTTTGTCAGCAACGTTTTCCATTCATTTGCACATGCGAGAAGCGTACGGTACGGACTGGTTGTATTTGCAGACAGTATTAAGGTAAGCAAAGGTAATTTTTTAAAGGTTGTTTAATGTTTGGATAAAATATTTCTTTGGATATCGCTCTCAATGTGTGTGAAACAAAGGTTAAATTGTCACTGGCGCAAAGTGGCCCGCACAGTCGAAGCTTATACCGGTTTCAACGGAACAAAGTAACCAGGAAAATTGCTTCTCCCTCTGAATGGGCAGCCAGTCCATCACAGGATACCCCCACCCCCGAGAATTTAGTCAGGTTTCTCTTACAGTCTACCAGTACATATTTATACCCATGGATGGAAAGAAGCACCGTGAGCGAAGTGTATTACCTAAGAACACAACATTGTGACTATGACCTACAGATCATCGTGTTTCCTCTCCGTCTATCTCGTAAGTGTATCAAACTGGGACCATTTAATTGCAGGTGGTGTTTGATTTTGGTCAGTATACCTCAATATCGGACATTGACTCAGCACTTAGTGGTGTGGAGGTGATGGATGGTGACTGTAACGTTGAGGAAGCCCTTTATAAGTGTGGCTCTGCGCTGTTTACGGATGACGCCAAAGGAAGGCAGCGGGTACTCATTTTTATTACAGCAGGAGTATTGAAAGGAGACTTCAGTAACGCTGCAGCGGTGTTGAAAACGACTGGCGTAAAAATAATCGCCGTCGGAATTGGTGCCTCAGTTGACAACTCGCAGCTTTCCACCATAGCATCTCCTGCATCTTCAGTACTAAATGTTGTCTCATACACAGATTTGACTGACATCACTGATGGCGTATGTAAAATAGTACCAAAAGGTATACGAAACGAAAAAATTCAAATTCCTTATCCAGTTCTCATATTTGTTACAAATTCCCATCTCTCCCCAAACTTGATGAATCAGTTATCTTTATCACAGACAGTTATTGACTCTTGCGTTTTCAATTTCTAATCTATTATTTCAGATGGTGGTTCGAATATAGCAGGAATTACACCCAAGCCCACAGGAAAGGGTTTGTAAAGTCTTATCTACTAGGAATGTGGAGCCTGGTAGTGCCTGTGATAACGTCCATTTCATTTTCGATATAGGAATTTCTTCATAACTTCTCTTTTCCTTACCATGTGATTAGTCTCGAATACATTAGCAGCAAACAGTGGATATGAGGTACTAGAACGAAAATTGGATAGTTATTCCAATGATTATGTGGAAAATGAGCAATTACTCCTATACTGTTAAAAGTCAATCAGGAGGTAGCCTGCATGACAGTTAATAATCACTTTGCCAAGAAATAGACGTTTGGAACTTCTAATCGTCTTTTTCTCACCTAGAATGCAACACCAAGCTATACCTGGGATTCTTACTCGATGGTTCCGGAAGCATAAACAAGTATGACCCTGGCAACTATAAAAAATGCCTGGGATTTGTGAAAGGCCTCGCAAAAGCTTTTCCCAATTCGAAAATTGGAGCTATCGTTTTCTCATATCAAAGTGAACTGCAATTCGACTTCCATCAATACACAAATCCAGCCGATGTTCAGACGGCGATCGATGGCTTCAAGTACCCTGGACATTCGACGTACACCGGGAAAGGATTAAAAATGGCAAAGGAGAGACTATTTAAGGGTGTCACAAAAGGAATTCCGCGCGTTCTAATTGTTATAACAGATGGAAAGTCACATGATGATGTTATCATTCCTTCGGAGGAACTTAAACAGTCTGGTGTGATTGTTTTATCTGTTGGAGTGGGAAAACGCTTTAACAAAGCAGAATTGTACATTATAGCGAGCAACCCAAAAGAAAAGCATGTGTTTACCGTAGATTTCTCTCAAATGTCGAATATTATTACGGCGATACAGCAATTAGCATGTAAAGGTAAGTACAAATTGTTTCGTTACTAAATCTTTATCATAAAACTTAGAAGTGTACCGATCGACTTTATGGTTTCTGAAGCACTGTCTTTGCATCGCTACGTATCTAAGGGAGGCACTTGTGTAGTTTCGTTTCTTGAATTCAAGTCCAGTGAAAAATACCTGAGTAAACCTAGTGATATTATTAGAGAGTAATATCATTTTTGACGAACTCGCCCTGTGCAAATCTATTTATAACAAGAAGCGTACGAAGAGTTTTACTTATCTATTTCCCATCACCATTGGCAGATAACTGGACTCTAACTCAGGAATGCAACCCCTATTCTTCCAGTAAATCATCTGGCTAGGTGCCACTACTAGTGGTAATTTTTTAATTCTTTTTCTCTTTAAAGCTGCTGTTACAGCCATCGAAGAAGGAACGAGTGAGTTTCACGTATTTGATCATCTGTAGCCGAGATATTGTTGTTGGTGGTCTGGTTTTTTTTTTCTCGTAGTCGTTCCACCTTTTGTTTATCTTAGCATTCGCTAAGAATTTCTACTTCCTAGATTTTTTAATGGGTTTGAATTCTATAGAATGAATAAGTTATAACAGTTTTTAAATGAGATGTAACTACCGATTTGGCTGAGTAACTTTTAATCAAACAAAAAGTGTGTTTGATAAAATCGTTATTTGGAGTAAGTTTCTCTATTGCATTAAATCATTACTTCTTTTTTTCTCCATTTTCATTTCTTAATTTTTTCAATTTTCTTAGCCGACGGAGTGGATCAGTCAGGAGGTAAGAAGTCTTTTACACACTGAAAATATGTCTTCTTTTCTCTATGAAAATTGGTTCGATTAATAAAATTCTCTTGAACTGTCCGTTTGGAATGAATTTTGAAGGGGTTAAAGCTACAGAATCTTTTGTCGGTAAAGCTTAGCAATGTAAAACACATTTTTATAATTGTCATCGTTTCGGTAGGTAAATGTCTTGCGGATTCCTGTTACATGTTCACTAAGTCGGGCAAAACCTTCACTGAAAACCAAAACAGTTGCCAAGACAAAGGAGGGGACTTAGTTTCGATGGAAACAGAAGAGGAATGGACATTCATAAACAGTCAGATCCAGGCCTTAACTCTTGCTGGCGGTGTGAATGCATGGCAGATTGGTTTGCGAAAAACAGGCCAGAACTGGGCGTGGGTTAGTGGGAAGCCTCTGACCATCCAAAAATGGCAACTGAACCAGCCTGCTGGTGATGGAGCCGTAGTTGTGATATCAAAGGACAAGCAAGGACTCTTTGATGATGTTGCAGATGAAAGTGCAAATGCTTATATATGCGAAATACCTAAAGGTAAAAAAAAGCTTTATCCATAAAATAACTAAGTATGATTCTTCTATTATGAAGAAATTATTTCATTTTATTTTAACCTCAAAGATATGTGTGCACATAGCATTTTTGATCCGCTCGATGATATAAAGTAGGCAATTTGCATATGGAATATGAATAACTATATCTACGCATTGTGGGGAAAAACAGAAAAAAACTCCTATGAAATGAATTGAAAATTTACGTTCTTAGTGTTATCCGGAGCTAGTTGTAATGATCGGCCATCGTTTTCAAATCCCATACGGTGCTTTTTTTTCTAAATTAATTTGAGTTCCATCGTTCACTATTTTCATCTTAAAAGCTGTACCCACCAGTGTCATCGTAAGCCCAGGGATAACACGTGCAGGTCTGGCCATTGATTTTCTTTGCTTGTTTGATTGTTTGTTTTGATTGTTTGTGTTTTTGTGTTTTTGTTTTTACATCTACGGTTCCCTATAGTCCATTCGTGCAATATGATCATTGTTTGTATATCCGTATGTAGGTGGATGTGATCTTGCCATTTTAGTGGATACGTCTAAGAATATCGATGAAAATAATCTCCAGGATTTGTTAAATTTCGTCACGGCTGTGTTCCATTCATTTACCCTCGGTAATGATGTCAGATACGGATTGGCTACTTTCGGTGGCAGTGTTGAGGTATTTCATAGCAACGTGTTCTCGCTCATCTTTATTGTTCCGCCATCCTTTTGGTTGCTTAAGGATCCTCTTTATCCTTCTTTATCTTTACACTCTTCTCACCAAAGTTATTTAAGCCAGCGTATGTCTAAACTTTTTTCTAGTTATAGACGGATTGCTTTTCAAAATAAACACTAATTTATCTCCTTGTGTCTCGCTTAGATTGTCTTTGGTTTCAATCAGTTTTCCTCTATCGACGACGTTGATAAGGCAGTCTCTGGCGTCAAGCGCAAGGGTGGCAACTGCAATGCTGGTGTTGCTCTTCGAGAATGCAAGACGTCACTGTTCGCTGGTGACGCCGGGGGAAGGAAGCGAGTCCTTCTCGTCCTCTTGGCAGGAAAGTCTGATGGTGACTTCTCCATAGCCGTTTCATCGCTTGCAACAGCTGGAGTCAAGATCATTGCTGTTGGTATTGGCAGCTCATTCGATCGTTCACAGATTTTAGCTTTAGCATCTTCTTCGTCCTCTGCTCAAAGTGTAGGCACATTTGGCGGTTTGGCATTTACTGTTGGAAGTTTCACAGGTCTCATATCGCAAGGTGATTATAATTGTGCTTTCGAGCTCTTTCTTGGCTTTGAATAAACTGCTGAATTTAAAATGACATGGCAAAGATTTTAACCTTTTTGTACCACTTACCCTTAGCTGGAGGAATTAGTCCAAGCGGAACCACATCTGTCCCGAAAGGTAGGGTTACTTTTATTAATTTTGTGTGACCTTTTTATATCTGCGTGGAAAGCGAGGAACTTGAATGAGGTTATTAATTGGTAATTAGAGAGATAAATAGCTAGGTTTTTAAACTCGCGGGTAGAGTGTAATAAAACGAAACAATAGCAAAAATAATAACTTGCGAGGCCTTTTTTTCTTACCACCGCCGTAACACGTTACTGAGCTAAGGCGATATTTCCTGTGGAAGAAAGGGCGCAAGATCTCGTCCAGCAAAAATCAACTAGTTTATGCCACGCCGCTTATATTACATATCAATATTTTTTTTCCACGACTGCGATTAAATGCCGCGAGAACAACACGCATTTCCCCCGATTTCCTCGGACTCTAAGTTTAGGAGGTCAAAGATGACATGCCCACCCTATAAAAATATTACATTACTAATAAGCCGATATTAAGTGATCAAACCTACGTTTATAGATGGCTTCGACCTAGCGTTCATGGTGGATGCTTCGTCAAGTGTTGGATCCTTCGATCTGTCCAAAAATTTTGTTACTGGGATCATTCAGTCTACTGGTCAAGTAAAGGGTGTGCGGTATGGACTTGTTCTATTTGGGGATAGTATCAAGGTAAAACAGACATTAATTATTCTTCCTGTGTATCTTATCATTTCGAATTACGGTTCATACGCTTAATTCCTTTTATTTTCTCTTAATATTCTTATATGTTGCTTACGTTTATCACAAACTAATCAGAGCAGCTGTTATTGACGGTATTATTAATGCACGTAGTCCCATTTTGCTACAGAGAGCTTAACCCCTATAAAAACTTTGCTTCATCTTAGGTTGTCTTTGGATTTAACCAGTATACCTCCATGTCGGACGTTACCTCAACAGTTGGCAATGTCGAGCAAATATATGGTGATTGCAACGTTGCCGAGGCTCTTTATCAGTGCAGTTCAAAGCTATTTACTGCAGGAGCAGTGGGCAGGAAACGGGTTCTAGTAGTGCTTATCGCAGGAACTCCCGTTCAAGACATTTCAAACGCAGTTTCATCCCTAAAAGCAACCGGAGTTCGGATAATATTGGTCAGGATAGGTGCTCCTAATGCACAGCTGACAGCAATGGTGTCTTCTTCGTCTCTGGCTAATGTCCTAGGTAGTGCTGGGGACTTAACAGGTGTCGTCCCTATTGTGACGTCCCAAGTGTTCAAAGGTAATCATAAAAAAAATCCAAAATCTACTTTCATGAGTTGGTTAACTCATTTGCAAAGCTGGATTTCAACTCCTTTTCCAAAGCCTCTAAGTCGAGACTTTTATCGAGTCTCTCATTTGTTCTTAGCGATGCCAGAAGGCATTTGAGACTCAGTGAAGTTTTGAAGACAGAGAAAGTTATCATAATGTTAAGATAAAACTTGGTATCTTTCAGGCCTGATGGACTTTGAAATAATTTTCAACTTGAAACCTCAGTGTGTTGGAAAGTGTTCAAAACAAACAACAGGCAAACAACAAACAATAATTTCCATTAATTGAAAGCTTTAAAAATAGCTAGGAATAAATAAGTTTAAAAACTAGTAAAAGTGTGGTTTTGGGTTTTAACCTTTTCGTTCGTATGAAAGTAATGCTTACTTTTGGCTGGTATCAGTTTCCCTGTACGAAAATGATGAAATTTGGTGTTGTATTGACATAAAAATTCAATTTCTTCTCATCAACCTTTCGCTTTCAGGATACTCATTTGATATCTTAGGGAGAAGATACATGTTCATCAAGGAGTTTAAGGGTTCATGAAAATAAACAATGTGATTTAATTTATCGATCAATGTAGTGTTCAGTCCACTACATTTGTTAAGGGTCCTTAACTAACGAAACCTCTCCACTAATCGCAGGGATTATCTTTCGTCGATTACAACTCTTGGTGTTAGTGCCTCAACCCCTATCTTCATTTTATAAATTCATCTGTTTGTTTGTTGTTGTTGTTGTCTTTTTGTTTATTTTTATTTTTTCATTGTCTTTTGCAAGCTGTCGGTATCAGTCCCTCAAGAATAACACAACCACAAACGCCAGGTTTGCAATCTCCTTGTTGATGTATGCTTTTTCTTTTGCTTTACGTCGACTTTGTTATTTTTCCTGTCTTCTCTCGAATAGATCGCTTTTACATCCACCTGCAATACGAGATTGGTTACACATTAAATGGTGTTTTCCGAGAAATTCAGAGTATCTTGTTACCTATTTGCGTGTGTCTGTTTAATTTAGGTTCAAAGTGCAATACGCAAGTGGACCTTGGATTCTTGATAGACGGTTCCGGAAGCATAAACAAGTACGAACCAGGAAATTTCAAACGGTGTTTAAAGTTCGTAAAGGAAATTATAGGTGCCTTCGTCATTTCTCCCACGGCTTCAAGAGTTGGAGCGATTGTATTTTCATACCATAGCAAACTCCAGTTCGGTTTTAGCCAGTTCAAGACTAACCAGGAAGTAGAAGAAGCGGTTGACCGTATAGAGTACCCTAACCATTCAACGTACGCCGGCAAAGGCCTCAAAATGGCGGCTGAAAAACTCTTTAACGAGCCTAGAAATGGTGTTCCCCGCGTGCTTATTGTAATAACTGACGGAAGATCCAGAGATGGCCTTGTACAACCTTCAGAAGAACTTAAAAGGTCTGGGGTAATAATAATATCGGTTGGAATCGGCAAGCGCTACGACAAAGCTCAACTTAACGTCATGGCAAGTAACCCGAAAGAGAAGCACGTTTTTACTGCTGAATTTTCCCAAATGTCGAATGTAGTCAACGCCTTACAGCAATCGTCATGCGAAGGTAGGCTGTGGAAGTACTCTGAAAGCTCTGATGATAAGACTGTGATGAGACTAAAATGTTCACGATATATTCCCGTCAGTTGTAAAAGGTTCTAGTTGTATCGAATTTTATTCACACACTTCAGTATTATTGTAGTTAAGAACATTTTTTACAATAACTTACGACACTATCCTACGCCTAGTGGTCGAGAGCCATAACAAATAAAAATATATACAATGAAAATTACATCATATAGCGTTAAATAGGCGTGGAAATAACGTTCTCTCCCCTATCGATGAATAAAAATTGATTGCATCTTGTATTTCTTTCACAAGTAGGCCTTTATCGGCATGGACCTGTTAAATTAATTTTAAGCTACGTTCTGTATCCTGGTTATGTGAGATTCATTCATCTAATCGAATTTTTGTAATAGTCTCACATAAACACTTTTTTTTGTGAAATTAAGCTTTTAAACGATTTTAAGTTTGCTAAATAATTTGGTTATTTTTGTACTATCTGCCATTTTTTTTCTGAATCACTCAACCTTACGTCTCACCTTTACTTATGTGACATAACTAGTGTGCAATATTAGGTTTATCGTGACAGTATTTCTTTCATTCTGCCTTTAGCTGCCTCTACGGCTGTTGCAGAAGGAACGAGTGAGTGACTTTGCTTTCTTTTGTCTATGCTATATCTGCCTTGTTGTAGCTGTTTTTTATGTGCTTGAAATTCGTTGTTCGAGTCCCCCTTATTTACATCAGCTTCAATCCCTCCCATTCATACACACTTTGATGCTGTTGCAGTTGTCATTTCAAAGGATCTTTCATCCTTTTGCTTTTTCATGACAGATTCAGTCCGCATATATGATAATTTTACGTTTGATGTTACTTAAATATGTGTTAGCTTTGCGTTTGATCTCACTTTGATATGCTTTTTTTGGCTTCTCAGCGGATGTTGTAGACTCTTCAGGTAAGTACATGGGACTTAGTGACCTAGTGTAAATTTTCTTAATCTAGATTTTATCATTTACACATCAGAAATTAGGGCTTATGGTATCAGTTAGCACAGTCACACCAGCTTTATCCTCTCTCGCTTTCCTCTCAAATAAATACCTAAATGAGTGCATTCTTTGGTCTTCTGGTGAGACGACGATTGTGCACTATGCTGAATTGAAGGATTTTCTGCGCTGCTGAATACGGACAGGGATGCAAATTTTAATAAGTCCTTAGCCGACACTGATAAAAGTTTGAATCCGTAAAATCTGTACAAATGAGACCATTCAGTAGGCGAAATTAAATTTCTCAACTTTCAAGTGACGCAAATCCATTTTTTAAGGAGACTTTTGTAATTCAGTGGGTGTCCGCCTAATAGACTCCATTCTAAATCTGCAGACTATCTGTCTGTCCGTCTTTCCGGACGTCGGTCTGTCGACGTTTCCGACCGTCTGTCCAACAGCTTTTTCGTCTATCTGTACGTTTGTTGACTAACCTTGAATAACATTCCTTTGATTAGGGGTCGGGGATAACTGCTTTGCAGATTCCTGCTACATGTTTACCAAAGCGGGGAAAACATGGCCTGAAAACCAAGACAGCTGCAAGGACAAGGGGGGTCACCTGGTTTCTATCGAGACCGAGGAGGAATGGAAATTCCTCAGTGGAAAGATCAAAACACTCTCCCCTCCCGGTGTCCATGAGTGGCACATAGGATTAAGAAATGTAGGTCAGCAATGGATTTGGGCTAATGGAAAACCTCTCACAATTGGAAAATGGCAAACAAACGAGCCTTCTGGAGACGGGAAGGTCGTGGTGATGTCAAAGGCTACAGGACTGTTTTCGGATGTTCCAGATAACAGCAGGAAAGCCTACATTTGTGAAATACCTCTAGGTAAGAAAACTAACCTACAGCTAATCCCAAAATCCCTCAAAGAATAATGAATTACGCTGATAATTTGAAAAAAAAAAACATCAGAAAGATTCGAAGAGAATTTAATGGCGTGACATAATTACTCCAACATTATATACAATAAAAAAACATCGGGTCGAGTGTTTGATACATTTAGCGATTCTTCTGTGTCTAAATAGTCGGTATTCTTCTATATTGTCAGTATTCTTTGCATAACAAGTTTGCATTGAATGCTGTGATACATATGGCATAACGAGCCCCCCACCTCCGATTCCCCGAACTGAACTGTCCTCTATTGTAATTCTGGCTGTTTGTTCCCATGACATTCCACTTTGTGAAACGGTTCAATTGGTTCTCTTGTATTCCTCAGCTGCTGATATTACCAACAGCAAAGGAACAGGTCAGTGACTTACAACCATAATAGCAAGACAGGTTTAAAAGCTATAGACTAGTAGATCACATTATGTGTTAAAGAATCTCACAGAATGTTTATAAGAGACGAAAAAAGCAGCTTAAAAGAATGTTAACTTTTTTTTAATGCTTGACACGATATTTTCGGGAGATTATTGAATACGAATTAATTGAATTTGGATTGGATTGTATCCCCCTTTCCACTCTCTAAGCCTCTCTTTGTCACAATAAGTAAACATTGCGTGTGGAGGTCGACATGAAAACCCGGGTCACACTGTTTGACACAATGTGACCTCCCCTCCCCTTTAAAAAATCCTGGCTACATCCCTGAAAGGGTGTACAATAAACGAAAGAGGGATTGCGGAACTACTTGCCATGTATAATTAAAATAAATTTATCTCGAAAATTTCTTTCTGTAGTTGGTTGTGACCTGGCCATCATGGTAGATGCTTCATCCGGTCTGGGTGGAAAAGAAAATGCCAAACTTCTGTTTAACTTTGTGACGGCTGTGTTTCACTCGTTTGATATCAGCAGTGGAGAAACACGATATGCATTAGTACGCTTTGGTAAAACTACTGAGGTATCGGTAAAATCTAACTTTGTCTTCTTTTAATGAAGTTTATAACGTTTGCCTCCTGATATGATTATTACGAACCGTTGGAAAAGATCAAGCACGAATGTAAATGAACGATTTAACGTCCACGCAGTTAGGTATTCGAGTACCTTCTTTGCTGGGATCAATTATAATAATTATCTTCTTATATTTTTGGAGAATCAGATAGCTAACCTATAGACCTCGCTACCATAACAATAATAAAATAAACCTTTCAAAATAAATCTTTACAATTTTTTTCTGTTTGTGTTCTAATTCTATGCAAAATTTAAGCAGATTAAAAAAATTAAATTTCGCTTTTTATTTAATTTTCACGGATAAAAATTTCGCTGGTGATGAAGGAAACGCCTCCCAAACTTTACATTTTAATTTAAGGAATATGAAGAATTATGGTGGAACGTCATCGAACACCAATCTATGCAGCTAAGAAATCAATAATGGCGTAATATTTATTGTTCCATTTATACCAAAAAGACTGAAGACTGTAATAAAAAAATTGATAGTCCTTATTCCTGATAAACTAGTAGATTTTTTTTCTACTTCATTAGGGAACGAAGACGGTTTCTAACAGCCTTCTATACGATATGTTCTCTAGGTTTTATTTGGGTTTGATAGGTACAAAACTATCGATGATATTGACGAGGAGGTTGCCACTACATCCTTAGCTGAACTTGGCAGCTGTAATGCTGGTGCAGCTCTACAGGAATGCAAAAGGGCACTATTTGTTGGTGCCGCTGGAGGAAGAACACGTATCCTGCTTGTACTCATGGCAGGAAAGTCTGCAGATGGCGTCACGAACGGTGCTGGATCATTGGCATCTGGCGGAGTCAAAATAATCACTGTTGGAATTGGTGGTATTTTTGATGGTTCGCAGCTTTCAACAATGGCAACGTTGCCTTCTTATAAATTGAGCTCCATATCATTTATAAAACTTTTTAGTATATCTAGGAGCACATCTTCTCTCATATCCCAAGGTACGTACATCTTTTTTGCAACCCCCATTCCAGTTCTTGGAAGGTCACTTTTTAATTCTGAGGAACACAAGCGCTTTCCAAATTTTGATACGGGGAGGCCTGGCTTACATCTTACCCCAATGCATATCACTTTTATCCGAAAAAAAAGAAACCCTGCCGAAAACTTCAAATTGAAAAAAGAAACTCTTTTCAATAAATATGTCATTACGAACGCTGTAGATCATTGGAGACCCTCTCATATACCTGGGTGACAGATCTCTTAACTCAGCATTATTATACTTTCACCCATGAAACGCCATTTAGTACTGTCTGAAAAAGGATCATCATCAGCTGCCCCACTCCCTTCGATCACGTTTTCTCGCTGATAGCAAACTTTTGGAAGGAGCTATGAACTCCACAAAAAACAGCTAGCCATCGCAGAATACTTGAATCAATTAGTAATGTATATTTTTCTTGCTACGTTTTGTTATGCTTGATTGTAGCTGGTGGTATAAACGTTGTTGGAAACATGGACACATCAGAAGGTAGGGTGTACCCTCCATATTCTGTTCTTATTTTCTATTCATTTCACGATGCATTATGACATTTGCACTAATCTGAAATCTATTTCAAGGTGGCTGTGACTTGGCGTTTATGGTGGATGTTTCATCGAGCATAACGAGCCAAGACTTGAACCTTGCACTGAACTTTATCTCCAAAGTTTTTCATTCGTTTACTCTCGGTAACGGCGTGCGATATGGACTTCTAGTTTTCGGGGAAAGCGCAAAGGTACGCTCAAGACTGCTTGTCTCCTTGCAACACAGATATTCCAGTTACTAATAATTAGCGGAGAAAACAAATTTAAAAAATCATTTTAAATTATTGAAGTTTCGTACATTTTCTTGCAGCTGGTGTTTGGATTCAGTCAGTATAGTTCTCTGGCACAAGTGGATTCGGCAGTCGCAAGTGTAGAGATGATAAATGGCAACTGTAATGCAGAGGATGCCTTTGATCAGTGTGGTACAGAGCTGTTTTCTGGTGACAACTCTGGCAGATCTCGTGTTCTGGTTGTGCTTATGGCGGGGAAATCAGCACAAAATGTATCACGTTCCGCTGGGTCATTGAAAACAGCCGGAGTGAAAGTCATTGCTATCGGGATGGGTGGTTCAGTTGACAAGTCGGAATTGTCAACCATGGCATTTTCGTCTTCCAACGTCAAGACTGTTGCTTCATTCGCTGGTCTAGGACAGCTTGATAAAGTTGTGTCTCCCCTTGTGTCACAAGGTATCAAGTTAAAGTTTTGGTTCTCTCTTTGATTACAATTGATTTTCAAAATACATATCTTATTGGCAGAAAATCGAAACATTTTTAATGGGGGTGAAATGTACGGAATAAACATTTACTTTTATGGCTAATATTTGTTATCCTTTGCAGCTGGTACCATCAAAGGCAATGGAACCGCTCTGGCAGCAGGAGGATCAGGTTTGTAACATTCTTGATATTAACAATCGCCAAAGCATTTACCATATTCACCTAAAATTTGAAACATATTGAGAAGCATTCCATACTATCGTCACGGGTTGGTACGTAGTTTAGTTTTACTACTGACATGCTGACGGCACGACACGCTAAGAGGCTGACGAAACGAACAGACGAACTAGCGAGGCAACAAATGAGAGAAAGAAAGATGAAATGAGTGTGAAATTGACTAACAACATTCTGTGCCCGCGATTTGAGCAAACCAGATACATCTGAAATAAGGCTGAAATGAAACGCAGATAAATTGAAAATTAAATTCGAAAATATAGCCAGCAGCATGTTAGAAGGGTATTGCCCTGCATGTTCGATAACTTATTTTATATATCATATCATCGGCATCTTACGTGTGATACCTATATTCTAATGCATCATTTTATCCTTCAGCTCTACGACAACATTTTTTTAAGTGTACGTGTCAACTTTTATTCCTAGCCTTTAAAGATCAAGTCGAAATTGGATTCCTTATCGATGGATCTGAGAGCATAAACAAGTACGGCCCAGACAATTTTAAAAAGATCTTGGGATTTGTAAAATCCCTTACCAAGCCTTTCGAAATTTCTCCCACGAAGGCAAGAGTTGGAGTAATCGTCATGTCGCAGAAAAGTGAATGTAAATGTGACTTTAACAAATCTAAATCAAGGGCAGAAGTAGAGGCAGCCATAGACAGCATAACATACCCTAATGCGCAGACGTATGATGGTAAGGCGTTGGAAATCGCAGCCGACGAGTTATTCAGTGACGCCAGGGATGGTGTACCTCGTATACTTGTGGTAATTTCAGGGTCATGGATCGGTAATGATGAATCGGAGACTTCTGGCGAACTTCACCGAGCAGGAGTAAAAATCGTATCTATTGGACTTGGAAAGTACTTTAACCTGGCTCAACTTTATGTCATGGCAAGTCAAACAAAAGACGATCACGTATTCACAGTCGACTTTCCTCAAATCCCAAATATCGTCTGGGCAATACAGGATACTTTGTATATTGGTTAGTGCTATTACTCAACATTATCACCCAAAACGCACGTTAAACACTCATATTATCGCAGTTTACGAGAAAAACACAATTCAAACCGAGGCAAATTTGAAGTCCTCATGGCACCATGAAATGTTTTACAATAAACTCCCCGGTCTTGTTTCTTTGTATAATAATTTTTGGCTTTTTTGTTCTTTTTTAGTCGCTGCTAAAGCTGTCAAGGAAGCACCAAGTAAGTACAGGTTTTGTTCTTTCCGTTTTTCAAACGGTTAGTACATGCATGGAGAGTTATCAAATCACCAGGAAACTTTTCAAAACCTAGACTGTTACTACCTTCCTGAAGCCGTAACGAGGCCAACTCATCTTGATACCTGATCAAGTTAATGTACAGTTAAAATGCCAAATAGAAAAAATTATCATAATTATTCTGTATATAAATTCTGATAACTTGGTAGTGTTTAATCATTTTATCTTTCCATTTTATACCACCAGAGCCAACTACAACAAGCGGTGAGAATTTTTTTGTTACTATTTGAACAGTATTTTTACAGTTTGATATTGTATTTCATTCAAGTTTTTCCTATTTATTGTCCTCGTTGTTTTTGTCAATGTCTTGTTTAAGTCATGAATAGGATTCTTTTGTACATTTCTTTGTGTTATACTCCATTTTATTCCTTCTATACTCATCATTTACCTATCTAAACTACCTTTCCGTCTACAGCCCCAACAACTACAAACGGTGAGTAGTACCACTTGACTAGTTTTTTTGTTTGTTTGTTTGTATGTGGTTCTGACATACCTTAAAATAATGTTTTGGTGATGATTAAGTTTGACATATCTCGAATAGAAAGTAACACTTTTATCTTCCCAAATGTAGCACCACAAGTGACAACTCAAGCCAAAACAACAAGTGGTAAGCAACTGTGTTAATTTTGGATTTTCTGATCAAATTATGCTACTCCATAATATTAAATATGCATTATTTCATCTTCTGCAGCATCTCAAGTAACAACTACAAGTGGTACGTCAAATCTGTTAACTTTAATCCCGTTGCCTTTTCATCACTTCATTTCCTTAAATACTTTCTGTTTTAATCTCATTTAAGTTTAAACACGCACTAACAATATCATCATCGTTATTATCATTATCATCATCCCTGTTTTCCGATTTTGGTCGGGGTTGTTATCGTTTCCAGTGTTCTTTTTTTATTCAACACCAAAAACTACAAATGGTGAATCAAATATATCAATTTTTGCTGCATTACCTCCCTACAGCACATAGCTTTCTTCTCAATATTATTCGCGCGTTTCTGCCTTTTTTCTTTTTCGTGAAAAACATTTTCTCTCTCCAAACACAGCACCTCAAGTCACAACACAAGTAACAACTACTGCTTGCATTTTGTCTTCTCATCATTTGCCACACATATTTTACTCGGCTTAATTAAGTCCCGAGGCTATGTCACCTTATAAAGAACGAGACTGACGATAGTTACCCACATCAATGGCTGTCAACCTCTTTATACGCATACGCATGCACCGCTTGAACAAAATCCTACAGAACGTCATTTCAATCCAAGCAAACACATACGATAATGTTTTTCTTATTTATTCAGCACCCCAAGTCACAACTCAAGTTACAACAACAAGTGGTTTGTATGCCTCGTTTCTTTTGAGCTGGATTTAATCTTTCTCGTGTTTTCAGACATAAAAACTGCTCTTGACTGTCAAATATGGTTCATTTTTGATTAACCTGTTCTCTTTCCAAACACAGCACCACAAGTGACAACTCAAGGAGCGAGTACAAGTGGTGTGTCACGTTTATTCGTTTTCTATAATCATCTGCATAACTCGAACATCTCCTATGATATTGCCTATGTTCAAAAAATTATATTTACCCTAAGGGAAGACACGCCTGGGGAATGCAAGAAATTCATCGCCGAAATTATATTAGTTATTAAGAATTTCATACGCTGATCGCTGCAACTGGTTTTAGTGTCCATTGTCTTGGAAGACTAACATATCTCTTTCGTTTCTGTCTTTTTGTTGTTGTGTTATGTAGTTTTTATTTTGCACGTTTTATTGTCATTTGACTTGAAAACATCGTTTTGAAAAAAAATTCCCCCGCCTTTCCATTCACAGCACCACAAGTGACAACTCCAGGAGCAACTACAAGTGGTACGTTTAACAAAAACATTCATTTCTTCTCCTTCATAAGGTTTTTTTAGCTCTTTGTTTGAACATTGTTCATTCATCTCAAATCTCCATCTTTTTTTATGTATTCCTCCATTGCCAACAGCGTCAGGAGGAACAACTACAAACGGTAAGTTTAAACTTTGCGGTAATTTAATTTGTAGGCACCTTACCTCAAACTGAAGTTTAGATACCGATTTTTGGATAGCTAACATTTGATTCATATGATGTCAATTGCAATCTCTTTTAATTCTTTAGATTTTTCGTTAAATTCTCACAAAGCCACCCTAGAAATTCCTTTTCTTTACTCTTTTCTACAGCCCCCTCCACAGCCCCCGGAGTATCTACTACAAGCGGTACGTTTATACTTTAGTTAGCTTTTACGATTGCATTGTCAGAAAGTGCTCACAATTCTAACGATATAATGAGATGTTTAAAGAAATTTTTCTTCACCTTACCTCCGCTATTTCATGGTGTACAGCCCCTGGAGTAACTACCACAAATGGTACGTTTGAACTTCCTCGCTCTTCAAATCGTCAATTCCTTTAAATTTAGGCAGTGCGTATAACTCTACCGCTCGATAGCGATATTAAATTAAAGGTTTTTTTTCCCCTTCCTCTTCTCACCTATTTCATCTTCTACAGCTCCCGGACTAACATCTACAAGTGGTATGTTAAAACTTTCCACGACTTGAAATGTTGAATTTCTTTTGAGCTTAATCACGCAATGCAAACGATTCTTACGCTGTAACGCAATCTTAAAAAAAAAAAAACTTCCCTTTTACTCGTTCTTTTCTTCTTCATCATCTGCAGGACTGAAAACAACGAGTGATGCATTCAAACTTTCCAACATTTCAATTTGTCGATTCCATTTAAGCATACAATGCACACAGTAAGGATAACTAATATCTAACTTTTAACTTTTATATGTCCAATTACAGCGCCTCAACCAACAACTCAAGGAGCTGGAACTGGTATGTCTGAATTTCTGATTTGATAAAGTATACACTGGTTTTTTCTTTTTTTCACCATCACTTTCTTTAGTTTTTTGTTTATCTTTATGTTGACTGTGTGGTAAAGAGAGGTCCGGTTTCGAAACCTGACCGAGTCTCTGTGTTATGTTCTTGTGTAAAACAGTGTACTTTCTCTCCACCCAGGTGTATAAATGGGTACCGGCAAATTGTCAGAAAGCCTGCTGGGGGTGGGGGGTTAGGAGGGGGGTTAATCTTGAAATGGACTGCCATCCCTCCTAGGGGGAAGAAGTAATACTCCTAGTCGCTTCATGCTATGGAGACGGAATAGGCTCAGCTTAGATGGGCCACTTGGCTCTCGTAGAGTCTTTACCTCGTGACCTTTACCTAACGTTGGCTGTAATTTATTTACATGTGTGCTTGTCCTTTTTCAGCGCCAGCAACAACGGCCGGTAAGGGAGTATTTTCTTATCACCTTATTTTACATATACCCTTCGATCCATTCCTGCTCAGTCTGTGCTCACGTCATTTGAGTTTTTAACCTCACAAAATACACTTGGATGCTGAATTTGCCAAGTAAAACCTCTATGTCTCTTAACAGGACCACAAGTGACAACTCAAAAAGCATCTACAAGTGGTAAGTCTGAGATAAATTGATCTTGCTTTCTCTTCTAAATTAATTCAGTATCTAGATCTCTTGTTACAGGTTAAAGTCAACATAGAATAACCCATTTACTTTTTCTTGGGTATTTCATCTTTCTTAGCCCCAGGAGCAACAACCACAAGTGGTAAGTTGAACCTTCATACTACGTTTGCAGCCCAAGCGCAAATTATCAGGACTTACACAACTAGTGTACTTGACAATAGCCAATAGCATGTGGGCTTTGAAGTTTCTTGTGCTTGTGTTTGTCCTGTAGTGTGGCTGGCCATGATTTAAATAATTAACATAGCACTAATGGGACTTGGTCGGAAATGTTGGAAAACCTGAGGTGTCTTACCGATACATGGGTCCAACTTAGATCTCATGATTAAGATGATTAAAGGCAGGAGATAGGATAAAAATCTTCAAATCAAGGCAAAATCACGGGTGGAAACTTTTTGCCAACTTATATGACGAAAATTTAAGCAGCCAGTTTCCACTAGAATTTAACAGCGAAAAATTTATAGTGTAGTTTGAAAAGTGTTGCACCAAACTTAGTAGCACCTTAAGTGCCATTCGGTATAATAGTAATAATAATAATAATAATAATAATAATAATAACAATAACAATAATAAAGAAATGTATTTTTCATTCTTTAATTTTTGCTTTCATTTTGCTTTCAACAGCACCACAAGTAACGACCATAAGTAGTGAGCGAACTCACTTTTAATTGAAATAATAAACTTTACGAAACATTGTTTCTGAATTTATCTTTTCTCGTCTTGTTCTTTACAGCATCACAAGCTTCAACTACAAGCGGTAAGTCTTATTTTAACTTTGCTTAACTCCCAGTGTCAATGTTCTTCAATTTCATTTTACTGAAATGAACACTTTGTCTCATTTACAGCACCAAAGACAAAAACTACAAGTGGTATGTCTAAACCATCGTTGTTTCGATTAGTATCCAATAAAACACTTTTCCATTTTTGTTTGTTGATATTTATAAATTTAACAACCTATTGCTTCATTTATATCGATATTTTTGGTGTCCAATCCTTATCTTTAGGGCCAGGAGCAACAACAACAAGCGGTATGTTTTTTTTCTTTTTTTTTTTTTGAAATCAATGCTGCTTTGATGTCTTCGAAACTAAAAATTGAATTTGACTTTCTCGTGTCATTTCTCCACTTACAGCACCACAGTTAACAACTACAAGTGGTACGTGTATTCAAACTTTAAAAAATAAGAAACTTTACTCCTAACAATAACATTCTTAAATGTAACAAATGTATGGTGTTATGTAATAAAGACATTTCAGTGACTGTCATAAGAGTGTCAGAAATTGGCGAGCATTTGATGTGTCGGCAACCTCTGATGTTCTTTCTGTTTTTTTCTTTTTCCCTTGTGTTTTTGTTCTGTATTTCTTTTCCAATTCCTCGATATCGAGTAAAATTTCCAGCTTCAGTTTTACCTTTGATTAACGGTTCATATAAGATAATATTTCTAATATATTTATATCACTCATTCATATTTCAATCTTCTTCACTCCTGCCTTGTCATTACTTTTCAGCTCCTGAAGTTGCAAAAAGTGGTAAATACGATAATGTTGGTCTTGAAATCACAAATAATTGACAAAACTCTCCCTAGATAATATTTAGATTAGATTCAGAAAACTAAAAAAAAAGTTGCCATGAACAATTTTTTTTTCCGATCCTGGTAGTTTCTCACCTCTTTATCTTTATTCACAAGTTTCCGTCCAAACTAACGATCCATTTCATACACTTTTTTACCTAAGATATAAAAATGTGAAACATGAATTTTTTTTTAGCTAAAAACCTGTTTGCGATTGAAAAAATTTTTTCACTACACTAATTGGAGTTGTGATCGGCTGACTTGAACATGCTTTATCAGAGCACAAATGGATGCTGAAGCCGCTTCACTATTAAGGGAAACCATGGTTTATTTTGAAAATGAAATGTCAGCCTAATGCATGGGAGATCGACGTTTTCTTTTTCTTTAAAGTTCCCTAAATTACCTTACATTTTCTTCACCCTCCAACCGTTTCTTGTTTCCTTTGCTACTAAAAAGAGTACAGTTTTTGCCCCATCATTTGGTAATACTACACATAAATTTTTCCATAAAAACGTCTCGAATTCTGAAAACCTATTTTTAAAGTGAACTTATCAAAACAATGTTTAGCATGCTCACTCGTTGTCTTTTCCGGCAGGTGGCTGTGACTTAGCATTTTTGGTGGATGCCTCGTCAAGCATGGATGTTACAAATTTCCGACGAGTGATGGATTTCGTCACTCGCATTTTCCGTTCATTTCCTCTCGGCGAAAGTATGCGATACGGATTAGTTCTCTTCGGTGATAATGTAAAGGTACGTTGGTCAACTGGTCATTAGTATACCGTTGTTCATAATGGCTGCAGAAAATCAAGAGCAGTTATAGCATAGGCGCCTTCTATTTCTATGCTTTGAAGATTGTAACTTGTTAGTGTGCGAAGGACCGGCCTCGCCTAATTTGTACGCAATGATATTCTTTCCCTCAGTTTGACTAAAATTCTCGCTTTTTTGGGAATATCTGCTATTTTATACATGGTTCATAAAGTAACTGACACTTTATCGTAAATAAAACAAAGTGAATATTTCTTTAGGTTATCTTCCGATTTGGACGATACACGTCAATGCCTCAGGTAGACACGGCTGCCGCCAATGCAAAACAGATTGGTGGTGGCCGTAACTTGCGAGGCGGTTTGTCAGAGTGCAAAACAGAACTATTTAAAGGAGACGCCGGTGGAAGGGCACGCATCCTTGTTGTACTTGTGGCTGGAGAGTCAGAACACGACGTTTCCAGAGAAGCCAATTCCTTGAAGAGAGTCGGTGTCAAGATCATCGCTATTGGAATGGGTGGTTCATATGACCAATTCGATTTATCATCCATGGCAAATTCTCTGTCCTACATTCTTACAATTGGGAAAGTCAGCGATATAAACAGCTTACAAGGAAGCTTGTCGACCCTTATTTTACAAGGTAATTGTTTCTCCAGTTTTCCTCTCCTTTTTCTATTACTTTTCCTCTTTTTTTTTTTATTTCTTTTTGTTTGCTTCTTGACTTTCTTCACTCTAAAAAGCATATAAAGGTTTTTTAGCCGAGCACATGGTCAGTTGACAGGCTCTAAAAGATTTTAAACGGTTCATTTCCAAATCTACTGTAACCATTTTGCTCCTTGTTCAATTTTCTGGTTATTTTGTTCTTTGTTGTTATATTTGATGCCTCTGGCGGTCCTCTAATTGACGCTTTCATCTGAATTAAAAACAACTTTCGGTGACCCAAAAGTATCTTGCCTTTAAATCACTTTGGTTGTTTGATCATGCCTTTCGTTACATCTCCTTACCAATCCGAAACACTTTTTCATCTAAGAATTGATGAATTCAAATTCAATTTCTTTCAGCCGAGCAAGAAGTAACCACCTCAGGGCGTGGTGGTGAGTATATGCGCGTATTTTAGAAGGACAATGTAGCAATAATAGTCAATTTATTGTTTTCAGAGTAACACGTTTGGTTTTTTTTGACTCCCTTCTATATTCCGTCTTGTGTTTTCCCTTTTTTGGGGGAATTTCCCAAAGAACCTACAGTTTTTTTAAAGTTGATTTTGTGAGGTTTGTTAATGTTCATATCTCAATTGTATTATTTTGTTAATTTTCAATCAGTTTATGTCACAGTGGCCTGAACTGAGGTGTAATCATCGTATTCCCCTTTGGCCATGTCAACATGTGGCGTCGATCTCAAGTTACTCTTTCTCGTCGCTTTTTATATGAAAGATACGGTTTCTAAACATGGAAAATTACAAAATAAATGAAGTTCGTCTAACGACTACTATGTTTTTCTCAGGTCGTTGTGATCTTGCCTTTATGGTAGATGCATCATCAAATATTAACGGAAAAGGCAACTTTCAACTGTTAAAGAATTTCGTCAGTAACATGCTCAACTCATTTTCTCTCGGTGGCGATGTGCGATATGGATTAATAGTCTTCAGCGACAAAGTTGAGGTGAACTTATGACTACGCTTATCAGATTAGATAGAGATTATCAGATAATTTGTTCGAGAGCTACCCTAACCCTAAACCCTAACTCCAATGACCCGAATCTTTGAAGGAAGTCGAAAAGAACTAATTAAATTTAATCAACGGGAACAGAGAGTTTGCATAAAATGTAACGAAAAGGTGAGACAATCTCGTATTGTGATAGTAAATGTAAAGAAAAACTGAGGAAATAAAAAAGCGAGTCATTTACCTTGGGAATAATGAAGGCTCTGGTGGAGGTTCAAAGATAATTTAGATTAACCATTCTGCATAACCACACCACTGCACCATCAAATATAAGCAAATATTTTTTTTTTTGAGGGACGACAAAAGAAGGCTGAGTGTACCAAGTGTAAACAAGCTTAATATTATTCTAATTCTTTCAGGTCGTGTTTGGCTTCAATCAGTTTACCTCTATGTTCGAAGTTAATCTGGCGGTGAGCGAGACCCAACTGATCGGTGGAGCTTGTAACGCTGGTGCGGCACTCACACGCTGCAAGACAACACTGTTTCCGACTACCACAGCCAAAGGAGTTGAACGTGTTTTAGTTGTGCTTCTTGCTGGAAAATCCTCAGATGACGTCTTACCACCCACCGAGTCTTTAATAAATGCTGGTGTGAAGATAATCACAGTTGGAATGGGTTTATTTATCGATAGGTCACAGCTTTCGGAGATTGCATACTCTCAGTCGTATGTTCTAACTACTGACCTGATCGCTGGTTTACCAAGCATTAGCGGGAGCTTGGCTACGTTGATTTCCCAAGGTTCGTTTTTCTTCACACATTTTAACTGTTTTAGAACACGTAAGAACTTCACTTTTGTCAATTGGCCGAATATCGTCTCAGTGCCACGAGGGTTCTTTGTTGGAGCTGCATTTCTATAACCATCTGCCAGATAATTTTGTGCAAATATAATTTAAATTAGCTACACATTTTTTTTTAAGTCCAACGATGAACTTTTTCCGTCAATAACAGACAAATTTTGAACGATGATTCGCTGCTGGTGTGTTTATCTCAAAAAAAGGCAAGGACTTTGAGTACTAATCTAGTAATTTCTTCTTTCCTACAGCTGGTGGTATCACCTTCAGTGGAAATTCAGGGGCAACAGACAGTTAGTCCTTATTTCAATTACTTCTCAAATACTGATTCAAACTTTTTTCCATAGATAATTAACGCTACTGATTGATCGAAAAAACCCGCCATGATATTTAACATGAAGTTTCACGAAGGAAGCCCATTAGCTGGCTCTTATTTCTTATAAATTTTTCGAATGTTTCATGTTTCGAATTTTTATTATCTATTTGCTTTTTTTTCTGATGTCTTTGTGTTCGCTCGCCGTCTGCTTTGATTTTTTTAACCAGCTCGAACATGACTTTCGTATACAGTCATTTCCTAAACACTTATCATACAACCATAGAAACTGAGTAAAATGAGACGAGCAGGTATGAAGCAATCATGTCCAAAAGGTGAACGAACGGCATAAAACTTTTATCAACAGCGCAATTGAGGGGCAGAGAGGATCTAATCCCCTCTTTAATGGTTTAAATAAAATAATCCCCATTCCTGGAAACCGATACATGAAGTCAGCATAAATTTATTTTACAAATCACTTTTTGCTAACCAATATTTCTAAAGGTTTCTTCTCGTGATGTGCTGTTGCTGTATTTGGACACCAGAGCTTCTTTTTTTTTCTAATTTGCTTCTTTTCTTTTCGTCTAGTAATCCTTGACCTGGGATTTATGATAGATGGATCCTCCGCCGTGGGAAGTGAGCAGAACTTCAAACAAATTATTAAGTTTGTTAGCGCTGTAATCCATGCCTTCCCACTTGGCCATTACAAAACTCGTGTTGGGCTGGTCGTGTGCTCCTCCGAAGATTTAGTAGTCTTCAACTTCTACACATACTTTGACATGTTTAGCATAGATCAGGCGTTGTCTTCAGTGAAATACCCCGGGACAAACTCGGCTGGGAAGCAGCTACTCTATCTCGGACGTGGCTTGGAGGTCTCCAAGCATTTCTTATTTGACAGCTCGTGGAGGAACCATGTCCCGCGGCTGCTTGTTATGGTGGTTGCAGGCAACTCCGCTGACAGCGTTGCTACCCCATCGATGGAGATCAGATCTTATGGAGTAGAAATCTTCTGTATTGGAGTTGGGAGTGTATCTAGTAATTGGCAACTCAATGCCATGGCCAGTTACCCCTATAATGCGCATGTCTTCAAGAGTAGCTACGAACAAATGGGAAAGATTGCAGAACTACTTGTTACCAACATTTTGAGAGGTAAAAGGAAATTTTGTCAATTCGATTCCCATTTCATTACACGCAAAGGGCCATTCCGTCCTATATAACTTCGTTCAACCATAAACAACTTTTTGTTTTCATTTTCCTTCTAATTCTTTCCAGGTATTTTCAGGAATTATTGTCGCCCTTGTTATTGCGGTAAGTCGACAAGTCTATTTATCACGGTTTGGCTTAGTTCACAGTGCTTTATTAATTACGAAAATAAATTTTGTAACTTTTCAACTAGTCATACTAACTAGAATGACCATTGCATTAAAGGTTATCGGGATTACTGTGGATACTGTCCCAGCTATGTACGAAAGAAGAGAAGCGCAGTCATTTCAACAGAAAACAAGTACGACTGCTCACGTCATTCCATTATTCATCCTCTGCCACGTCGTTATCATCATCGACCACGCGATGTCCACTATAGTCGCCTCATCGGCGGACGTCGACACCAGACGGGTTGATCAATGATCTTTCAGGGGGGAGGGTGGACACGAGGAAAAAGCTAAGATAAATGGCTTTTTTCAGTATATTCTTAATTTGTTCCCGGAATATCGAATCAAATCGATATCTTATAAAAACAATATCAAATCTTACAAAAACAAAAGCGACAGAGCTAAAAACTAGAAAAGAGAACTTTTTGGGGGAACACTCCTAGGCTTTTCGAGCATTTCCCGAACGTTGCTTATAATTAAAAGTATATGTTTGAAAGGCTTTCTTGTAACAAATGCAAAAATACAGGAGACACACTGCTCTAAGTTTCTCTGTGCAATCGCGATATAAAAAGCGAAGATTTTTAGGTTCAAATATTGTCGGAAGGCAGTGCTTCCTATTTCAAAGCTCTTTTGTTTTTTCTTCCTTTTTGGTCTGAGATTCGTTTGGTTTATTAAATAAGGGATTTGCTATAGATACTGTTTAATAGATCTCTTTCCCTCAACGTAAATGGGAAATTAAATGTCTTCTTATCTCTGTTGAAGTTAATTCTGAATAAGAAATAAAGACTTAAATTTTGACGTGATCAGCATCCGTTTTTATGCTCCTACATATAACTTTTCTTACCCTCGTCTTACTAAAGGTATTGGGGGACCATCTAGGTAAACCTAGATTACAAAAAAATCTAAATTAAATAGATAAGTTTAAAAATTGTTACCCTCTAAATTTATAACATAGAAGTCTCAGCCTGAAATCCTTGAATCCGTGACTAGTTTAGGTTGGTTTCTAAATTTCTCGCAATTTTCCTCGGGATTACCTCTCTCCAGCTGGTTGATTAATAGTTTTTCACCTGATACGAACATCTGTACTATGAAAGTCGTCCTCCATCGCTTCCCTCTCTCCGTTCCACATGACACTTATGTCTGATTGACGATGAGCTGGAACTCAACATACAAGTTTAGCTAGCTACGAAATGATGTAATTGAGGAATACCCTGAAACTTTTTTAGATTTTGGAAGTCATGTATATAGTTTCAATACTCAACCTGGCATTGTAAATCTTTTTCCTTTGGATGTTAACACAGACCCGGTCCTAAAGTGGTGCACGTATAGCGTGGTTATTTCCCAAAGCATGATGGTGAATTTAGTATAACAATCATTCCATTCACGCTAGTTGAATATGCGATAGTGGCTATCGGCAAATCGGTGCTCTACTATCTAATGTCCACTGCGCGCTCATAGAATAAGTGATGAAACTTCTTTCATCTATAGTTCTTTTGCGACTTCTTTCGTTTCTGGAGATCACAGAATTATCTAGTCAAAATCAATCCTGTAAGGTTATTATTATTTTTATTATTTATTTATTTATTTTACGTGTACTTACCATGTGTATGCTTTCCTTTCGAACAATGTAATAAATGCATCCGCTAAGTTTATATCACATTTTACATCAATTTTCAAAATTCATGACTAAAACAAATCTTAACTTGGTCATTGGTATTTTTCCGGCGCTTAAGGCTGTTTCACCCTGAATTCTTTGCAATAGTTCTTTTGCTTTAATTGGTTGTTGTGATTACATGTACTTTGGTTTTGTTATCTGATACTCAATCAGATGCGCTCTTTGAGCGATAAAGTCGATCTCTCGGGCCAGCCAACAGACAAGTAGATAGACAAACAAACAAACAAACGGACAAATATGGAAGTTCCTCGTATTAAACCATTATTCCACAAAGGGTGAGGAACAAAGCCTTTGAACTTTATGCAGCGCCTGATCACACTGTTAGTCACTACAATTGAGTATAAGAAGTGGCAGACTGGCTAACGAAAAGGTAATTAATTATGGCTGAGTCTGGGATGATCGCGCAGCTTGAATAATGTTGACGCCTTTCGTCCTTCAAAATAATTGACGAAAGTGAAATCCTATTTAACCCTTCTACCCGGATAGAAACCAGCGCTACGAGACAAGACAGAAGAGAGAATTTGATGGCAAAATTGGAAAAATTTTCTTGATATACGAACTCAATTTCAAACAGTTATTTCCCTAATAATTTTCGTCGAATCGATTTGAAAGTGTTTTCACCAGTGAGCCCTTTGAAAGTTCCTTGTCCTCTCATGGGAACAGCAATTTATTTAGCTACATGATAGTTATCTAATCATAGCCAAAAGTGATATTCGTTCAGAGAAATAAACCTCTTATATACTTCATAATGGCAATTTGTAAAAATGACCGAGCAGAAGTAGTCAGTACCAGTTCGCCAGGTGTCCGTCTTTGACAATGGAGACCGCTTTGTAATTAACAATTAGTACTGGCCGTCCGTAGCAGATTGAGGAGAGAACGAAACCACCGTAAAACCATTGAAATCATTTATGAGGAAATGAATCCTATTCAGTACCGGGTAGCATCTATTACATTACTCCCTCGAAAAGGATATCTTGATGAAAATGTGTTATGTCCTTCAGATACGATGAGATTTCAGTATCGGATACCAAAATCAATTCTGCCAGCGACTCTGAGCTTGGCCGAGCGCACCTGTTGGTCCGCCAACTTTTCTACGGTGATCGTTTGTGAATATAACATGGCATCTTAAACTTCGAGATGTTATGTCGTGGAAGTGGAAGTATTTAGTCGAATGGGGATTGTTTACTTAGGATATGCAAACGAATGTGATTTGAAAATGCAAAGAGGTTGGAAAACAAGGGTCGACAGAGAACTCACCCATTTCTTAATTGAGCTGTCATTTTTATCATTATCTCATCATTTCCTGAAACAACATACAATTGAACCAGTCACAATCCAATAAAAAGTGAAGATCTGTCATCGAAATTAGATCCATTGCGATGAAGTTCCTGTATAAGAAATTATCTAAAAGAAATACAATTAAAGTTGAGTTTTTTCTGCTATGTAATAAGAAACTCACCACATCAAAGATAACAAAATCATGAATTGCCTTTTATTGTCAAAGGAATCTTAAATTAAGCTAATTTTATTAAATTATATCTGCTTGACGAACCGCTTTGTGAGTAATTGGAGCGAGTTTGGAAGTTAACCACCCGTGAAGTGTAAACACACGCTTCAACAGTAATAAAAGACCACCTCACAAAGACAAAACCGATTGAATTTCATGTACCTGCAAGAGCCACTCAATCGCTGAGTCTTCAACTATATCAAATGTTCTTGTACTTAGGAAGGCGCCGGTGCCGTCTTCTGTAAAATACGGCCTTGATCAAATATGCATCGTTGTTCGAATCTTTATTGTACTTTAGGTCCATGAAGACAAAACAACAGTCAGGGTAGCCTTCAACATGGCGTAACCTAATCTTGTTTGTGGCTCTAAAACGAAAGTGGAAATTTTTTAAATCGACGTGAGCTTAGTTTGAGTTCAAGTAAGTGGCTTCATCTTCTCCGTGATAAAATGATACCCGGTACTAGCCAATTTTAACTATGCTTTGTTCGTTCATCTTCGATCGAACATTTGTTTAGTCTTGGAAAGGTGTTATTTGAGTTTCTTTCAACAGGAATGAATGTTAACCTTTTTTTCGTGTTGGCGTGGAACGTCCTTGTCATCTTTAAGATCTCAACAGTTTCTAGTGCCTTGAAAAGAGGTAAGGTCAAGATTCTAAAGCGACTATTGTTCAGCGAAATGCTATGTAATTACTTTTTAATCAGTAACAACACGCTTAATTTCCAATAAAGAGAAAAGTATCAAATTACAGCTATTTGACTTATGATTAGCTGTTGAATTTTTTAATTTCAGGTTTAATCTTATTGCGCTATAATGGCTAAATTTTACCGCTGGTGCCATTTACTGTTACAGTATATTCAGAAACAAAATTAGACGCCACTAATTAAGCGCAACGATTATGCTCTCTTGCCGGTATATGTTAAATCTGTGTCACTGCTTTTAGATCTAAAGGAGTGTATGATCTTATCACAGGAAAGGTTTTAATTCGGACTGCGTTTCAGATAAGCAACGAAATTTCGACTTTTCAACGTCAATTGAAATTCTACCTCGTCAAAGGCTCTCTTTTGTCTGCAACCAGAAATTGGAAAAAAAAGGTTGCATTAGTGTTCCGTATACCGCAATTAGACCTGTCGATTCAACTGTTTTCGCAACAATAGACAATCGCTGCGAAGTACTGTTAGTACTAGCTCAATTGATGCAGTTTCAAGCGAGCACATCCATTTCGGTTTGCTTTCTGGTGAATCATCTGACCTTAACCAAATTCCTTAAAGGGCATGTGGTACCTCCCAGGATCCATTAATTCTGAACAGGAGGCAGCGAGCGACCAGGCTTTTTTATATTCCTTTCATCATCGTTTTTGCGTCTCCTCAAAAAGCTAACTACGGACGAAAAGTGATACTTGATTCAAAAAGAAAAAAATAAAATGTTGGTAGCTTAAATAATTCATTCGGAATGCCATCGTTAGCTAGGGTAATGTGTGTAGCCTCCCTTCCGCCTCGACATATGAACAATAAGTATAAGTCTAGTCTTCCCTTAAAATTTAGGAACCCACGCATTTTCAATATACAGTCATTGTTTTGTAAAGGTCCTACTGGTTAGTTTTATAAAAGAACTAATCGTACTGATCGCACATCATAGTATTTAGAAGCTTCAGGGGAAACTTGCTTGGTCTGGGGAGTTGGCTGTTGGCTATATGCTCAGCGGGATGATGAGAGTGTATCCCACTTTGATAAATTTTTTTTTTTTAGCTCTAAAAGCTCAGAACGCCGAGAGCAGGTTTCTCATCGAAAGAATTGGTTTGAAAGCCGCTTATTCCATCAAACCGCCACACATTAAGTCATCACCTCTGGGGAAAAGACGAAAGCAACACTCAAAAGAAAAAGCTCACTTTCAAACATTATCCGGTCATGTGGGAGTAAAGAGGCAATTTAATACACAAAACAGTTTGATTCCACGACCTTTTGATGTATCTTCAGTGAAAGGTAAAATGCCAATATAAATAGTGACATGTTGGCAGTTATCATCATGCATTATATATGAATATAACTGCGTTTAAAATGAAGTTCAGATTACATTTTAGAAGCCCACATGAAGTGCAGTTTTTATCAAATTGTTGTTTTTATTTGGAAAGTTATAAATATACCAGGAATGCTACATATTAAGAAGACACCTGTGACAACGATATAAGACAAAAAAATAAAACGAATATGACAAAAACAGCAGAACAAACAAAGCAGAATTCAATCCCTTCAACGTCAGCCTCATTATTCGACTAGGATTTCGAGGCACTGGGTTGTTTATTCCACCGTAAAAATAGTGTTTTCTATCACCGAAGGCCAGAGAACTTTGTCTCCTTGAGCCATACCTTGAGATTGGTATTGAAATATTTCTATTATGATTTTTTTAGGCCACCCGGCTAAGATCGACGGAGAATTTCAGATTCGAACCCTAGTGTTTGTGTACTTTTTTAAACAAAAATTATTTTGCTCTTAAAGTGCTTCTCCCCAGCCAGAATATTACGTCTGAGGATCAAAAGGCTGTCAGGTGTACCTGAGAAAAAGCTTAATATGTGAAGATCGAATTAAGCCGTCAGAAGTTATGGTTCCACTAACCTTCTATCTTTTGCCCAGCCTGTAAAACCCAAATAGATCTTGGATTCCTCATAGACGGCTCTGGAAGCATAGAGATGTACGGGAAAGGGAATTTTCAAAGATGTTTGGATTTTGTGAAATCTCTTACGAAAGCTTTTGTCGTTTCTCCCACGGACACAAGAGTTGGAGCAATTGTATTTTCGTCTCGAAGTGAACTTCAATTTGACTTCAAACAATATAGCACGCAGCAAGATTTAGAAGCTGCGATAACTCGCATAAAATATCCAGGTTACAGGACAAAAACTGGCGCCGCACTCACAATGGCGGCAGACAAACTATTTAATGACGTTAGACAAGGCGTGCCACGCGTCCTTGTTGTCCTAACTGACGGCGCATCCAACGACGACGTAGTTAAACCGTCCGAAGAACTTAGAAACGCAGGGGTGGTTATATTCTCTGTTGGCCTGGGGACACATTTTAGATTAGCACAACTAAATGCGATGGCAAGTGAGCCAAAAGCGGAACACGTGTTTACAGTTGATTTCCCCCAAATGGACACAATAGTTACAGCAATGCAGAAAACGTTGTGCAAAGGTGAGAAAAGAATTACAGCTTGGAATTCGCCATTTTCCAAGAAATGGAAGTAACACGTGGCTGGCTCATAAAATCATGTGATTCTGATATCGTTGGGCTCTCTCCACGGTTTGTCATCTTACATTGACTAAATGACTGAAAAATAGACTGAGAGACAGACTGGTTAACTGACTTAAGAACAGACCTTGTGACAATGTTAGAATTTTCAAATTTCTGTTTGAAGTATGAAGTTTTCAATTTGAACATTATTATTGACAGTTTTTTGTAATTTCATACAGCTGCTGTAAAGGCTGCCGCCGAGGGAACAAGTAAGTATACTTCAATTTTTCCCCAGTCTTAACGTAAATTACCCAATCATGTCGAGTCCCACTCTGAAAACTTCAAGCTTTTAAACCTGACCCGCAACACTTCCATCCAACGTATAGTAAGAGACTTGCAGAGGGATTTCATGAAGAGCCTTGCCAACCGACGAGGCGGTGGTTTTTCAATGTCTCAGACCACTACTACAAGTGGAGGCAGCTCCTCCGGAGGAATGTCTGCTGGAGGTGGTTCTGTTTCTGGTTCTGTTCATGGAGGCTCTGCTAGTGCATCAGGTGCAGCCGGAGGCGGCGGTGAGTAACTTCACGTGACAAGACAAGAATTTGACGCAAGATGATCTACGTTCACAACGAAGTAATGAAGAATTCGAACTTTATCCCGCCACATTGGGCAAGTGGATCACACTACATTACGACAAAACATATATTAAAGGGACGCAGAAATACAACTGAGACAAGACACGTTCCTTGACAATGGATCCTAGGATATCGTCATGGTATCGCACCATACAAATGACGCACAGATAACGGAAATAATCTGTGACATGTTTACATTGGACAGGGAATCCTAATGGATCATATAAACATATCATTAGCCCATGACAGTGGACGAGGAACAAATAGAGGCCAATAGACGATACAGCTATGACCAGAACCCAACATACCCTACCACTGATATTGCGACTCCCTCGTCAAGCTAACAATGCTGTGCATTAAATAGATGTATAATACGTGACATCGGTTTGTCTAATTTAGTTGTATATTTCTTCTGTTTATTTTTGATAATCATTTAATTTTACCTACCAATTTCATTTTTTTTTCAGCTGGGGGAGCTGCTGGTGCCTCGGGAGGAGGTGTGTAGCTTCTTTCAAAAATTACAGTAATTGGGTCTTACTAAGAAAACTAGAGCTCGTTATGCGAGTCTCTTCACGTCTGATTTTTGCCCTCTGCCGGAGGTATTTTCATTTTGTTTACCCTTTTCCATTCTTTCATGATATTCATTCTACAATTCATTCGTGGATCTAAGAGTATGGGCGTAAACTGTTCGATCCTCCCGTTCAATGCCACGGTTCTATGCCACCATTTAGTTATGAGTTTTGACTTTGGTATTAAAAAATGTTCAGAAAGCCTTTCCTTGTTCAAATAAAGTTATGTTGAATTAAGGTTTTATGTGATGTTATAGTTGCGTTGCAAACCGGGCAGCATTGACTGAAGGATGGTGAGAACATTATACAACAATCAAGCAATTAGAAAATTTTTAATCTTCCTGACCGTTTTTTTTTTTTTTTTTTTGCCAGGAGGATGTGATCTTGCCTTCATGGTGGATATTTCATCAAGTATTGGTGGCGATGCGAACTTTCAACTCGTCATGAAATTTGTCATTAGCATTTTTCACTCATTCACTCTTGGCGGTGGAATACGCTATGGTCTAGTCACGTTTGGAAGCAGTGCTAAGGTAAAAGTGAATTAAGGTTACCCTCTAAAGGTACTATACATCGAGTCAAGCACCTAGTTTAGTAAGTTCATGACCTTGCAAAATTCTTTTTACCTTAGGTGGTCTTTGGATTTACCCAGTATTCCTCAATCTCAGAGATAGACTCGGCAGTTGGCAGTGTGACATTAATGAGCGGTAGCTGTGCTGCAGGTGCTGCGCTTTCTCAGTGCAAGTCATCTCTCTTCGAGGGTGACGCCGGAGGGAAGGCACGTGTCCTGATTGTTCTAATTGCTGGAAGTTCTACTGATGATGTTTCAAGCGCCGCTAGCTCATTGAAAACAGCCGGAGTCAAAATAATTGCTGTTGGAATGGGCAGCTCATTTGTTCAGTCACAACTTACTTCCATGGCATTCTCTTCATCCTATGTCCTTACCGCCGCTTCGTATGGAGGTTTAGCTGGCATTACCGGAAGCATTACCTCACTAATATCTCAAGGTTTTTGAGAGTTTGTCCCTATTCTTTATTGTTTCTTCGATTCTAATTTAGGGACACTTTCTCTTCGGGTAATTTGGTATTATCAACTGAGTTTATAACGTAAATTAGCCACCTTAAAGAGTTTAAAAGCGGCGTTTCGAGCGTTAGCTTTTGGTCGGAGCGAATGACATATGGCTTACGCTCAAAACGTCACTTTTAAACTCTTAATGGTGGCTAATTTACGTTATAAACTCAGTTGATGATATTGAATAACCCTGTTATACTCTCCCGCCGACGCAGCACCACAATTTCTTCAGAAACTTTCCCCTTTTATTCACTTTCCCTTCGACCCTGATTTTAATTTCTTCTAGGCTTTCCCTCAGTGCAGACAAGCAGGGTTACTACGAACCAAGGGATCATCGAAAAAACAAATTTAAAGCTTCTTTCAGAATTTCGTGTTCTTTGATATGCACATATGTTCAAAAAGATTTTTTTTAAAACTTCATGGATTTTACATGAACCCCGACAAAAATATCATTGAAAACAGCTAATGATATGCTATAACGCCGCAACCCCTCCTTTTCCTTATCTTTGAATCATCGTTTGCTAGAATTGAATCATTTAACTTTATGCTTAGTCGTGCACTGATTTGATACAATCTTGAAATTATAGCCGGCGGCATTACCGCTAGTGGAGGTGCCGGAGGTGCCGGAGGTATGGACTCATACGAATTATGCTTGTCATCCTTTCCATCCTCGATCGTGTTTGTTTTGATTTCGTTGTTTTTGTTGATGTTGTTTGTGGTTTTGCTTATTTGGTGATTTTGTTTAACTTACTAGCTAGATAACTGAACTGACGGTATCGTACTTCTATTATAGACATCATGCTTTAAGACAGGCTCCATTAACATCCGAAAATCAACCCAACTAGAGGGCCTGAAAAAGCAAGTTACGGTTGAGGGAACTTCATTGAAGATAAAATTTATTCCCATAGGCTAGTCGTGGGTCTATTGAAGTTTCTCTACTTTCTTATTCCTCTTTAAGCGCTGCATGTGTAAAAAGCATCATAATTATACATAATATATGCGCAAAACGCCAGCACTCCACTATTACAATTATTTTGCTTGTCATAATAATAATAAGTTTAACGTAAAAGTTCTGAGTTAGATATTGATTCAAGCCTTTGCTATTCCAGTTTAGTAACTGGTTGAACTTTCATACTTTTTAGGTTCCTGTGATCTGGCCTTCATGTTGGATGCCTCGGACAGCATTCAAGGGGAAGCAAACTTCAAGTTGTGTATTGAATTCATCTTGGTAATATTTCGTGCCTTTGGTATGAGTGGCGGTATACGCTTTGCTTTAGTCCTATTTGGAAGTTCAGCTCAAGTTGCATTTGATTTCAGCAAATATTCTTCAATCTCTGAAGTTGAAACGGCCCTTGGTCAGGTATGTGTATTATTTTATTTGCATTATCCCATAACACTGCATCTGAAAGTGTAAATTAGTTTGATTTAGCGAGAGAATGACGAGGACACTTGTCGTGAAACTCAAGGATAAATATACCCGCGTACAATTCAGATTAAATTAAAAACACTACGGATCAAATAAGGACACCTGGCCTTCCGAAAGCGGTAAGGAATGTCTCACAGGAGATAAATCCCAGTCAAAGAGGTGATCAAAGTAAGAGACCGGGTTTAAAAGGGAAATATCTTATAAATAAACTTTGACAAATAGGTGATCAAACTGGAAGGGATTTTTTTAAAAATAAGAAAAATTTTGAGTGCTATCGTCTCGCAGCTTAAATCGCTTTGTAATAGCTGCGTATAAAGATAACTGTTGATTCTTCTTTTTAAACCTATAGGTTAAACTCGTCGGAGGATCTTGTGCCGCGGGAGCAGCGCTTTCCACATGTCAATCGTCTTTGTTTGCAAGCGCTGGGGGAGGTGGAGGTGCCGCTGCCGGTGGTGGTGCTGTAAGTGGAGGAGCAGCAGCTGGGGCGAGTGTTTCTGCGCGCCTTCTTGTAGTAATGATGGCAGGAAAATCAACAGACTCCGTCTCAAGCTCATCTGGTGCACTGAAACAAAGTGGTATTAAAATCCTATGTCTTGGAATGGGAGGAAGCGTCGATGCGGGTCAGATGAAAGAAATGGCTTCCTCCGCCGAGTATTTTGTCTCAGTAGGATCGTTTGCAGAACTCTCTGGGTTCTCGCAGCAGTTTATCAGCTTAATTGGATCAGGTGAGAAAGGAATATGATTAACTGCGAACACAAAGTAACAAAGATCCATTTCGATAAGATTACCAACGCTGTTCGCCAAACATCGCACAACACATTAAACAATTGTTATCTGTCCCGGAACACTTTATAAAATCGTGATTAGGTAAGGATTACATATTTGCGGCAACGTTTTAAATAATATAAAATAAGGCTTTTTCGGAAAGATAGTGGTGTACTGAGAAGCAAAATAGTTGTCTTCCACGTGGTTTCCGTCTGGAAAGGCATCTTATAGAGTCAGCTTCAGTCAGGTCTAAAAAGGCTGCCAAAGTATTCTAAACTTTTCCAAAACAGATTAAGGCGTATGTGATTAATTTCTATGTTAAATAAGCTGGAGGAATTTCAGCCAGCGGAGCAGCTGGAGGAGCCGCCGGTGCAGCTGGAGGCGCCGCCGGAGGAGCAGCTGAAGGAGCTGCCGGTACAGCTGGAGCTGCCGGTGGAGCAGCTGGAGGAGCAGCTGGAGGAGCAGCTGGAGGAGCCGCTGGAGGAGCAGCTGGAGGAGCAGCTGGAGGAGCAGCTGGAGGAGCAGCTGGAGGAGCAGCTGGAGGAGCAGCTGGAGGAGCCGCCGGTGGAACAGCTGGAGGAGCTGCCGGTGGAGCTGGAGGAGCCGCCGGAGGATTAGCTGGAGGATTAGCTGGAGGAGCAGCTGGAGGAGCAGCTGGTGGAGCCGCCGGAGCAGTTGGAGGAGCCGCCGGTGCAGCTGGCGGTTTAAGTGCTGGAGGAGCAGCTGGGGGAACAGCTGGGGGAACAGCAGGTTGGTGCATTAGTTCACATTGCATATATGAGTTTTGATACAAATTATATCGGGTAGTGTGCCATTCAGGGAAGGTGTGCTAACGAGGTTGATTTTGACGCCAACCATAAAGCCATATTTACATTTGACAAGATCTTTACAATACGTGACATTTTCTGACATCACAGCTCGAACGAACTTGACTTTGTACTCAAAATGAAACGAAGCTTCACTGTACCAAAAACGTGTGACTAAAATTCCAACTAACTGAATGTGAAAATTGCATTCTGGATACACTGTTCTCTCCTGCTGCATCAAAAAGAAAAATTCGAATTTGCAGTATTAATTGGTGACTTTTATAGCATTCTCATCAAGATCAACATACATTTTGGAGCATTAGCCATTTTTAACTACTAAGGTGGGTGTCGACACACCAGAATTTGTGATAGTATTGTATGTACTGGTCAAGACTGTGAATTAGTTAGACGATGGACGCATTGGATGGTCTAAATGTTGTAACATACATAACAGCTAAAGATATGAAACTCTTCGTATCGCTTTAAATGGTCAATATTTTGTAACTCTGTTTGCGAAATAGGTAAGCAGGGCTTTCAAACAAGTCTGCTTCCACGTAAGACGACTCTCAGAAGGGCAAAACAAGAAGAAGCAGGCCGTGGTACAGAATGATAACAAATACTCCTTAGTATCCCCTTCCTATGTCTGAGTAAAAGAGGCTCGCATTACGACGTGAAAAAATATGATATTTATTCCTTGACATTTATCTTGTCAATGAGGATGCTGATAAATAACGGCTTCAAAAATCGTTGTTTTAAAACAAATTAACATGCTTTTTTAAAGGAGCAGTCGATCTGGCTTTCATGCTTGATGCCTCTAGCAGTGTAGGTGATGATGCAAATTTCCAGCGGTGTCTAAGCTTTGTTAGAGCAATCTACAGCGGCGTTACCATTTCATCAGCGGCATTTCGCATAGGATTGGTCTTGTTTGGCGCGTCCGCCTCGGTGTCGTTTGACTTCAGCAAGTACAGCTCAGCATCTGAAATTGACGCAGTTATTATAGGAATGAAAATGATTGGTGGAGCGTGTGCTGCAGGTCAAGGTTTAAGTACATGTCAAACTCAATTATTCGCCCAATCACGTCAAAATGCTATCAAAGTCCTGTTGGTGATGATCGCTGGAAGATCAACAGATGACGTGTCAGGCGTGGCAGGAGCTTTGAAAAGTTCTGGGGTCAAGATCTTCTGTCTCGGGATAGGAAGTTCTATTGAAAGAACTCAGCTCATATCAATGGCTAACTCAGAATCGTACATTCAAGTAGCACCCGACTATAGTCAGCTAGTATCATTGTCCAGTCATTTTTTAACACTGCTTGGTCAGGTAGCTGCCGGTAAGTAAATTTTGTACCTACTTACAAAGTATACCGTAAAGGAGGGGAGTCGATTTTACATTGGTAACCCATACCACAAGTGAACGATATGTGTTTGAGGGTATCTCATGGTCCGTGACAAATGTAGGAGGCTTGGTGCCACACAAAAGCAGCCATGAGCAAAATAGCGGGCGGATATTCAGGATTTATAGCAAAGGGGAACACTCGGAAACTATTTTTGTTAAAATAATAGCAAGGCTACCACCACAGGTGCAGGAATGACCGCTGGAACAAAAAAGAAAGGGAAGAATTTTACTTGGGTAGGCAATAATGCAGCTACAGGTACCTTGACATTCATTCCTGGAGAAGGTAGGAGAGTGGATGTCCTTGCTGGATGAGGTACGAGAAGAGGAACTACGGGTGGTGCAGAGGGACAACTGCACTTAGGAATCATACCCAATAAAAGTTCCTCACTAGGGTGGTAGGACCATTGGATCAGAAGACGGTGTAAACGGGACTTACTAGGTTGTCACCGGGCTGAGCTTCAGTGGTGAAATGAGAGGTAGCCTAGGTGGAATAGGCGTGGGTTTCACGGAATGTATACCTCTTGGAGACAACGTAACGAGTGTCCCTTGCAGGTACAGGCATGACCGCTGTAGCAACAGCAGGTGAAGTTGCAACAGCCACAGATCTTCCCAGACCTATCCTAGGTGGAGGTGGAGTCGGAATCAAAGTTTTCTTTTGCAGAGAAATATTACAATATATTGCCTTGTTGTTTCATTTTCATGGCCACTTTCTGCTTTATTCTCAGCATCATTTACAAAACGATGATCATTTTCCCTTCTTCCCCTCTCCTCTTCCAAGTAACAACTTGAAGTCCCACTCGGTGTTTCTTTTGAATCCTAGCCTGTTTAGAACACTCTCTCGTTACAGTTCTGGCTTGAATCGGCGTCTGCGACATATGGAGTTAGTAAGGTCTTTTCAGGGAGGCTTATCGAGAGAATCGTGAGGGAACATGTAGAAAATGAATGATGAATGAATATGACAAACGTTTGAATTCATGCTTCAATGATTGAGAAATAAAGACAAATTTATGTCCTTGGAAACGAAACGTTTAAATGAAAACTTCGTTTCCGATACTCAAAGTGAATATGAGAATGGTCTAGTGTTGCATTTTTAACATTTGTACTGATGCAAAAAGGTCAAATTAAAACTGTCACAGCAGGTCGTCATGCCTATGCAGAATGCATAGAAACTAAGTCTAATGCACAATATCCTCCAAATCAACTTCTAACAAAACCCCTGCAGCAATATCTAGCGAGTGCGGCTCCGAACACAATTGCAGCTACGACAAAGAATTACAAATTACAACACTGCAACGTTACGTGACATTTCACTGTAGTATATAACATAACGTTTAGCTTCATCGTGACTTTACATGGCTTACTTAAACATTAAAAGACAACATGATATTGATTTCAGAGTTTAACATTGCAATACAGTATAATCGAATAACGTACCCAGTAATTACCAGGACGTTTTTTGTGCGCTTTGAAACATTTAGGGGCGAAGTCGCTTCTTTTATTGTCCTGGAGTGTTCGTAAAAAAGCTGCGTAAGTTACTTCAGCCAGGCATTTGATATAGAAAAATCTATAAACATTTTAATCAGTTTTACTTAACTTATGGACACTTAAAGGGCATGATAAATCCGTCCCGTAATAACAATATCTTTTATTCAATAAAGCCGGAGGGATGGCAGGTGGAGCTGGCGCTGCCGGAGCAGCAGGGGGAATTTCAGGTGAATTGACAACCACAAAACTATTATTAAATTTAAGGTGAAGCCTATCGGAACAGTTGTGTTCATTTCTATTTGAACTTTCTTATGTACCCTGGGTGTAGTGATCTGGTTTTTAGTAACATAGCACATGAACCTCACACTCGTATGAGGTTTTTCGAAAATGCATTGAGAAGTTTTGAAGCTTTGAAGCTTTGGTATTGACTTTGAAAGTTTAAAGAGTCCATCAAACCAATTTTGAACTGCTTCCATTCAGACAACAGAATAAGGAATGGGAAATTGAGCTCAATATCAAAACGACCGATTTTGCATGTGTATCTAGTCATGTCTTGATTAATATTTGGTGGTCTTTCGGTAAATAGTCATATTAGAGACGGTTAACTTTTTTTGAGTGGACTGAACGTTTTCCATCGCTTTCATCTCTCCTATTCAGGTGGGATTGCTGGTGGAGCTGGAGGAATGGGCGTTGGAGGAACCACTGGAGCAGGTGGAGCAACAATAGGAGGGGGTGGTATGTTAAGAATGTATGATATTCTTTACACACTTTCACGATTCATCAATAATTGCCTCCCTTGCCATATTTGCTATTGTTTCTCAGTTGGTATTGGCGTGCAACCCGTAATTAGGAGACAATCATTATTTCCCATGATTTGCACTACTGTTCATATCGTTTTTTCAATCCTTTCACACTAAAAATATAAAAAAAAAACAAGAAAAAATTTGCAGTGTACAAAAAGAAACGACGCGATACATTTTCTTATTTTTCTGTTAGGAGGAGTTGCAGGTGGAGTCGGTGGAATGGGTGTTGGAGGCTCCACAGGCGCAGTCGGTGGTGCCATGGGTGGAGGAGGAGGTGAGTTGAGCAACTGCTTATTTCTATCTTTCAAGGAACAATTTTTTGTTCGAGTGGATCCTTTTCTAGTGCTGTTTTCTCAGAAACTTTCGTCTAAGTTTATCCGAGATGAAATCAGTCAGTCACAAGAATATATAACACGTATAACTGTATTCTCGAAAAAAAATCTATAAATACAGGCGAAAAAAAGGTTCAACTTTTGATTCGTCAAACGGTTGCAGATTATAAAAGTTTCCTTTTCATTTTTCGATCTCCTATTTCCTCCATGAGCGATCCTATTTTTCCATCCAGATTAGATGTTAATTAAATACTCTCCGACAAGTCAATAAATAATCTAAGGACGAAACTTGACGGGTTTAAGTACTCTCAGACTGCCTCGACCCTGTGTATGTATATGTGGGTATCTTACGTGTACCTGAGTGTATCAGAAAACTGGCCAAGAAGCTTAAAATACTTAATCTCCCCGTAAGTCGTCCTTGGTTAATATTCAAGGAATAGGTCAGAGGTGAAATAAAATGGAAACTTTTAACAGATAATTGATCCAAAAAGCTTTCAATGATCATTGTTTTCCGTGTTTTAGAAACTTAGCCATTGTAAATGTGATCTACCTTCAAGGGAGAGGATAACAATTTACAGTCCATTTCGGCACTGCCAGTATGTAGACCCGGATTCGCGATACACGAATCGTCACTTTGTAATTTGTGCGCGACGCCAGCAAGTCGAAATATGCCCGTAACCGTTACACTCTCACTACAACCTGTAGTGATTCATTCAACCGCATTCCAAGATGGGAAATGATGAACGATTCATGTTTTGAGACCCGGAGTCTACAAACTGCACTAAAATTAGCTGTCAAATTCTAATTCTATTATACAGGAGTAGGAGGGGTAGGTCCTGGTTGTTCTGTAAGACCGCTTCATTTGCCTCACCTCTGTGGATGTCAGCCGTTAGCGCCCATTTGCGGAACGCAAAACGTTGGCGAAGGTAATCTTTTTATGCCACCTAACCATAATAGAAAAAAATCGTAAAAATCAATTATATTCAGATTGAAAAATTACCAACAATGTTTACAGAAGAACAACTGACGGCTGACATTCACATCTGCAAGTTACTTCTGCATTAATATCAGCGGCTTTACCTCGCGATAACAATAAGAGACGTTGAAAGGACGTATGTGTATGTCATTTGAAAAAATTTCTCCTGGAAACTGGCGCCCACCTATAGGTGATGCCATGGCTGAGGTAAGAAAACCACGAAGATCTGCAATATACTCTGTCGAAAACAACATATCGATATCCAGTGGAACAGAGAGACTAATATTTGACCGGGGAAAGGTGAATGCCACCAATGCAAACAACTCTCTCAAACATCCAGACACAAGGAAACATACGGTCCTTCGGATAACAGTTGTAAAACATGGTCGAAACCAAAGTGGCGAAACACCCCAAGTTCTGTCTGTAACCAATGATTTTAAACAGGGAAATATGAGAGAGACTGGAGCTAATGCCAGGAGCAAATCTTTAGATATCATGAAGGGAGCAAACGTTCCCATTTCCTTTCAAGTCAGCGATAGGGGATCGGGCGAAAAGGACGTCTTACTTAACGACTTATACGGCGGCAAGCAAATTTCTTTTGATGGGCGTTCTTCAAATGAAAGCAGTGAAAACGTACCACAACAAAAAGAGGCTTCTGATTTATCAGCTCAAGACCCGGATAAGCAGCAAGGTAAAACAGATTCGAAGGTGTTATTGGAGGCGAAGTTGAATCCGCTTAGAATAGGTATTCAGCTGGATGGTGACAAAACTAGCAAAGAAGAGTCCACTAATCAGCCTACTGAAAGCATTTCTCTTCAAGAAGTTTTAAAGGATATTGACGATACATCACAAAAAGCGGATCCTTCACTGGATGAAAACAAGGGTAAAGAAGAGAACGCAGTTCTTATAAGTTTAAATAATGAGAACGTAAAAGATGACGATTCGCATGGCACGCAACAACATGTGGTCAAGGAGGACGAAAACCTGGGTAAGTTACATATACAGGCAACGAGCAACAAAGAAAACAAAAATGGAACAGAAGTAAATACGGCGGGGGTTTCCATAACAACGGAGAGCAAGGGGCTTCAAACGAATGGCCTTATGAAAGTTCTTTTGACCAAGTTACTTGGAAGCGACATAAAAGATGCATTGAAAGAAAAGGAATCAGAAGCGCTAAAGCCAACAGGTGGCCGAAGAATTTCCTCTTCATTAGATATGGCATCCACAACTGCTGCTGGTACTTCTGTAGAATCTCCTCCGGGAACAATGAAAGGTGTGGACACAGCCGAAATGAACAACAACGCAGGAGCAGTCAACAGTATTGAGCCACCTTCAATGCACCAAACTGATCCTCAGTGCCTCGGAGGAGAGCCTGAACCGGACCTGTTGCCTACTACCGGAACAAGAGTTCCAGGAAATCTTCGTCTACCAGGCGGGAGGGACTGCTCTCAGGGAATGGAAAGTTTACCCTCTTCAAACGTAGCGTCGAGTTCACCGACAGGCATGGTTATAGAGTCTGCACCAGGAACACAGCAAGCAGTCGGAAATGGAATGCCCCTTCCCGCCCAGGTGGTGCCAAATCCGCCTCCCCTTGTTCCCTCTAACCAAAGATTTGGCTCCACAACGCCAGCTGGGGTTGGTGTTGAATCACCGCCTGGTACCATTCATGCGGTTGGTACCAGTATTCCTGCAGAGGGCATCAGTGAATTAGGTGATAATGGTAAGATAAGATGGTGAGAGAAGCATGCGCATGGACTCTCAAAGCGATGACTGCATGGTGGCTGACAAGACTCCTCTAACATACGGGGCGCAAAACGCATGAGACTCTCTTCTACTTGAATTCAAGAGAAGACCCAAGACGCATAAAGTTTTCAACTCTTCTATTGCATCTAACTTGTATTATAATATCGCTTGTTACCTTGGGCTGCAAGTGCAAAATTTGGCTCTCGCCTACGTTTCTTCTAACGCATTCGCAAAAACCCCAAATACTTTCTTCATTATATTGCCATAATGCAATAACAAAGGCACTAATTAGTCCATCAATATTTAATATCAGCATATCTGTAATGAAAACTAAAATAACATGAAAGTAGACTCTGAAATAAAATACGCATAAATTCGTGTGCTGCCGTTTGCTATTTAGTGAGTTCCAATTTAACGATGAAAAGCTAAGTACTTACCTCATGACAAGCCATAAAAATCAAAGCATATTTGCTCATATCTGTAAACTAAGCGACATTTATAACATAAGATAAAGGTACCCTTGAGTGAAGATAAAATACAGTTCTTATTAAATAGTGGTTTGTGCATATTAAAGAGGATGTTGCTGCGGTTTCATAATAATGTAACGTTAACCTCATTCTCACTGATATGCAATTAACATGCTGTTTTTCGCTTGCTAAAACGCAATAAGGAATGTTTCAATTTTTTAGGAGAAATAGGCTATTATTTTTACTGGCTCACATAGATAGCATTTATAAGCTACTTCTTCAGGTCCTAAACGATATTTGATTTGAAAGCAAAGTCGTTTTTTTCTCGTGAATTTCCGAATAATTAATAAGCGCGGTAAAATAAAATTGAAAAAAAGAAGAAAAAGAAAAAAAAATCAAATTTCGTCGTTATAAGTTTCTGTTACTAAACAGATGCTCGAGAAATTATAATCTGTTTCTCTCATTTATTTTTTAATTTTCCCTAGGAGCGTCAACAGGAGTTACTGGCGGGGTAGGGGGAAGCATTGGAGGTGGCATTGGAGGCGCGGGGGGTATGGTAGGAGCAGGCGGAACAAATACTGGAGTCGGAGGGGGAAATATAGGGGGTGGACTTGGCGTTGGAGCTGGAGGTATGACTGGAGGAGGTGGCGGTGTTGGGGCTGGTGGAATGGGTGGAGGCGGCGCTGTTGGAGCTGGTGGGATGGCTGGAGGTGGTGGGATGACTGGTGGAGGCATGGTCGGGGGTGGCGGGATGGCGGGTGGTGCCACGGTTGGGGGCGGCGGAATGGCGGGTGGAGGCATGGTCGGAGGCGGTGGGATGACGGGTGGTGGTATGACTGGAGCCGGTGGGATGACGGGTGGTGGCGGAATGGTAGGAGGTGGTGCTGGCGGAAACGTGGGAGGGGTAGGAGGGGGTATGGGAGGAAGTATCGGAGGTGTGACCGGTGCTGGCGGGAACATAGGTGGAGGGGGTGGGGTTGGAGTAGGAGGTGTTGGTGGAGGCATGGGAGGAGGGGCGGGAGGGAGTATCGGTGGAATAGGTGGGGGTATGGGTGGTATTGGGACTGGCGGTGGAGTAGGTATCGGGGGAGGCATCGGTGGAGCTAATATGGGTGGAGCTGGAGCGGGAAGTGTAGGAGGAGCAAGAGGAATGGAAGGTGAGCACGTAACAGCACCTTAAATATTTGATTTCGTTGTTCTGATTTTAATATCTAGACACAAAAGTCATGAATGACTGGTCAATTCTTCTCTCTTGTCATTTTCTATAGTCGTATTGGATTTGGCGTTCTTGGTCGATGGGTCTTCAGCTGTTGGAAACGAACAAAACTTCCAGCAGTTACTCAACTTCGTTAGCGCCGTGTCGCATTCATTCTCCATCCATCACGACATGACTCGCGTCGGAGTTGTTGTTTTTTCTCTTGAGGCTTTTGTCATCTTTAACTTTCACACATACTTTGATATACAAAACATCGATCAAGCACTGTCTTCTGTGCAATATCCTGGAACAGATGGTCCAGGAACATACATAGGACGGGGTTTGCTTGTTGCAAAGCACTACCTCTTCAGTGCCTCAGGAAGAGGACATGTGCCGAGAGCCATTGTTCTTCTTGCTGCCGGAAGATCTATTGATGATGTTATCACACCGTCTATGGATATCAGGTCGAATGGAGTGGAAATGTTTTGCGTGGGTATCGGCAACCTTTACAGTAAATTACAACTTCACGCAATGGCAAGTTTTCCACACAGTGAACACATTTTCAGGGGTGATTACTCACAAATGGGGCGAACTGCACAACAAGTCGTCACCAAAATATTAAAAGGTCAGAATGACACTTTTTTAATCAATTTGTGAAATGAATAGTATATGCTTTTCTCGTTGTTGAAGTTATTTCCTTCACGGGTTGCGACGTTTCAACCGATTCTAACAAAATGTACATTTATCTTAAACAGGCATTTCTGTTCACTTCTGTCGACCCTGCTTTGACGGTGAGTTCGATAAGAACATTTTAATAGAAATTCCTTGTCAGAGGTAAATTATGATTTTTTTAATGCATGTAAAGAACGTGTACATGTGTTATAGGGCATCAGGAACTGTGTGATTACTGTCCAAGTGAATTTCAAGATGACGATGAAGTGGAAGAGGGCTTCAAGCGTCACCATCATCATCATCATAGGCATGATAAAGTCCACGTTCAACCGTTTGATGGTGAGCGGAGACATTCCAAGAGAAAACGACCCACTGCCAAAATTAGTGGAGATTATGAAGTCAAGCAACTAGCTATGGGCCGACAAAGACATGAAGAGCAAAGCTATAACGCTGACTCATTTAGCAACACCAATGACGCCGTACACCCCACGACAAATCCCGACACAGATTATTATGGTGAATACAAATTTGATGACGGAAAAATGACCGTGGAAGACAATGGTAAGTATTCCTAAGAAAGTATAAAGAATTGCCAATAACTTAAGATCAGTTCGGTTTACACGTGAACAAAAATTTCTTTGACAAATGAAATTTCTCCCAGAATTTTGGACTCTCTGCTAGATCTTAGGCTTAAGATAATCAAGTATTATTTGTTGCTGCTTGGTATTCGAATATTTACCACCCGTCTAATAAACGAGGCCAGCACGGTCAACCAAGCGAGCGACTTTGGTTATCTCACAGTTTAAACTGGCCTGGTTTACTGATCGCTAATCAAATGGATCTATAAACGCAATCGCTACCCTTTCAATACTTATATTTTAGTATGTGAAAAAGACCATTAAACTAGTAAATGATCCAGTCAATTTTCTATCTGTACCGTTCCGAAGTGGAGGTAGTCGGAGAATAATGAAAGTGGGATCATGATTTATTTCTATAATGACAGACTGCAAGGACTACTCAGATGACTGCAACGACTATGCATCACGTGGTTTTTGCAGTGAGTATGCTCCGACAGCCAGCATAGGAACCATAAACATGATGTGTAAGAGAGCATGTGGTACCTGCTCATCCAATACAATGTGAGTGTACATCTCCGCTGCCTTCAACCCAGTAACTAGTATAAAGATAACACCAACTTAAAATCCTTCGGCGCCTTTGAAGGTAATTCGTACCAGAGCAAGCTAAGTATTCTTATACATTACGGGCAGCTTTTGTTTCAGGCGAAAATTTCAATTTCAAGGTTGAGTTTGTAAGTTATACCATGTCTCTAAGTGCGAGCAAATAGAGACTGCCTTTCTTCAATAACGTTAGTTTCATGTTCAGTGACATGAAATGTTCAGGTATGAATCATTCGCCTTCTTTATCTGAGAGTTGTTCTCCCATTAGACAATTTTTTTTAATTTCAGTCGACTTTTGAAAGAAATTTCTTACGAACAATATTATATCTTAATACATGCCCAAGAAACTATTTTACACCACATAACTATAAAGTAACACAGCTCATCGAACAAACAATCTTTATCGAAGATATTGTATTCTGAAAGCGCTGATTGTGCTTTTTTTTCTCCTTATTTTGAAGGCCCAAAGAAAAGCAGGATACGTACGAGCTTAGCGAAAGAGATCCTTTTTATAAGAAAGAAGAAATTGAAAACGCCAAGGATCAAAAACCGAACCACCTGAAGCACCGTTTAAATAAACTGTAACGCAATGGTCACAGTAGAGAATCATTCTAGAATAACATATCTTTCAAAGAAGATTTGTTACTGTCCCCCCCTTATAAATTATTCTTTAATCACCCTCTTTTGGAGATGCGAGAACTATCTAGATGTTTCTATACATACAGGTATTACCTGTACGCTTTTGCAAACTCTTGACGGTTATATAGCTAAACCATTTTCTCCATGAAAATTGTTTAGAAATCTACTTCATGTATGTGCACATACTTAAGGACAGGACAAACACAATCAAGAGTACAATCTCGTGTTGTTACATAAAGCAGATTACTGAAAAAGCAAGAATCCAAAATCCACTCGGTACAAATGTTAGGCTTTAAGCATTACAACAAATTTGTTACGGACCTGTGCCACGCTTTTCTTTTGAAAATGATATATAGCATCTAATGAGGGAAATGACTGAAATCCTTGCAGCCTTTTATTATCTCTGAATCTCATAGCTGGCGTTTTCAGACTAGCTTGTTGCACATTTTTACAAAAATATAAGTTGGGTCGATCATCTTTGGTATCACATTGTGGCTATCGAAGAGTCAGTACAACTACAATGTCTAAGGTGCAACTTGTTTTTAATTAGAATGCTTCGATTACAGCTTTGAGAAAACTTTAACGTCTACGATACTTTAAAGCGCTGTGAAGAAGTTTCTTCATTTATTAGATGCCCACTTCCTTCTCTGGTTCTGAAAGGAACACAAAGGTAAAAAAGATACTGATATGGAATTAAAAAGACTCAGAAGAGAGAATCATAAAAATGTAATAAACTTGCCTTTTTTGACTGTTAAGCTGGTACACTACAAATCAATAAAAGTAATACCCTAGAAGGTTAGCTGCAATCTAGCAATTGCAAAAAAGAAGCTTGAAATATATTTTAGGCATCGACAGGATACGAACCCTCACTTCCCAGATACTAGCTGGGCGCTATTATTAACCGAAACTAAGAAGCCAAACGTTGGTTGCACGGAAAATTAAATGGTGTTCTTCTTTCCCGGTGGAGATATCTGATCACAATTTGTAATGAAATAAATTTCATCCGACCTGCCGGCTGAAAATCAAGTACATCCATTGAGCTGACACACGTAATTACTTATAACTAACGGACGGCACCAAAACTGACTTGAATTGATAAGATTATTTTATGAGTGCCAAAACCTTCCACGTAACACTTATTCTTAGCATAAACAAGGCCGACGCTAAAGAGCTAAGGGAAAACAAAGGTAAAGATCAGTCAAAACCTAGAGCCAAACTGAGGATGGACCGATCAAATGATAAATCATAAAAAGCAATTGAGTAGATCACGAATCTCTATATTTTATTTATACTCACCTTCTAGCAAGAGGTACACGAAGTTGGCGTTGGCCTTCCCAACACACTCGCCTTCATCATTGATATTACACATCGTGAAGTTCTTACCGATGCACAATTGGGATTCTCCATGAAGAGAATACTGGTCACATGACCCTGGACCCGACCAACATTCTCCATAATGCTGAAGACCAAACATAGTGTATCCATGCTGAGAGGCAGTCTGGGCACAACGGCAGGCGAGGCTAGGAAATGATTATTTTTCTCGGTCAAGTTTAGAAATGAAGATTCACATTTTAAATCCATGCGGCCAAATTGAAAAGCATAGATTACAGAGTATTAATTTGTCCTGAGAACCAGATATATAACTTTGAATGAATGTTAATTAACTGAGAGCCACTTTAAGAAAGTCAATGCTTACTTCATGACAAAGGTTGCGAGACTGTTTTCAAACTTGAAGAGAATTTCAACACAAAGACTACAAGGAATAAATAAAATGCTCAAAAGTTCAAAAGCGCGCGCATAAATATATCTTTCGCAAGAAAGTCATGATGCCTATAATTATGCTTTCCCACATTCATATCAAGTTATTCGTATTCATTAACTGTACAAACCCATGCATGTAAGCTTCCCAGTTCTTCCAGTCGATCTGTTGACTTTGGGATGACCTGCCGCGGTCATTGATAAGCAGTTTAGACATGGATCTGGACCATGTCCTGTCCTGGAAGCATCCTAACTTGTAGAAGGATCGCTCGCATGTGACATGCTGACCATGCACTAGTCAAGAAAAGGAACGAATTGGTCAAAGTAAAGCAAATGATTTGAACCTCATCGAAAGGGAAATGTTTTTCAATCTGCAAAAATTAGCTACAACAAAATTCACCTCATTTTTTAAGTAGGATTCGGTTAAAAGAAAAACGCGAAGTCGTTTACTGAAAAAACAAGTAGATCCTTGTATCCGCTAGTTCCCATATTAAGCTAATTTAATTTTAAGTTATATATATAGTCAATAGAACTACGATTATCAGGTTTATTCTATGATGCTTGAGAGCTGCCAGCGGGAAAAAATTAGTTAAACATATTTAGATATCAGGTAAACAATTTTTATGAACGACTCGAGAATTGTTGTTATCACGATTTATCGCCCCTTTTAACCCTTCCATTGATTTCCATGAGATTCTATTTGCTACTTTACATTACATGGTGCATATTCAGCGAACAGTTATCACGCAACAACCCCTATCTACGTCGATATTTGTCCCATGACTATTTTCGTCGAAAACAAACAAAGCTGGCGGGAAAAAGCCAGCTTAAGAGTTTTGCTTTTTCATCTTTCTTACTTCACATGAAAGAGTGACGAACTCAAAAAGTCAACGGAATTTCTTGTCAACGCGCGATACGAAAATGAACGGAAGGGTTAGAAAATAAATAGCCTCCCTTCTGGTTGGCTGATATGTCGGCTGATAATGTTCTTGGCTGAGAGATTGTCCTCAGAATTTATTTGCCCTTGAAGCTTCGATTCTCGGCCAACTTTTCATTTTTCGGACAATCTATCAGACGTGGACATTGTCAATGGACGTACCAGCCGCCTAAAGGGGTTCGTCTACTGATTAATTCATCACACCCAAGAGAATATAATCTCTTTTCATACCTTCAAGAAAAAACTTCTTCCCCTTACTTAATTTCGCGATAACGTTGAACAACAACAAGCGAGTTAAAAAAAACGTTTAGGGAGAGAGGGGTCAAAGGAAGGACGTGGCATAGCTGAAAATGATGTTAGGATCTAAATGGTGTCACCACCGTAATTTTGATGCCAGTCGCCGGCCGGTTTATAAATGTTGTGCCGAGATAACCCCTTTACGTGGCAAGTGCAAAAGACAAAATTACAGAGTCTACCTGAAGAGAATGACACTCTGAAAACCAGGAATGCAAGGAAAAACAGCCTCATCATCTCATCAAGCCCTGAAACGAAGTTCCTAACAGAAAGTGACAGAAAAAGAGAGCTTAAGTACACTCCGGAATTATGAAACATGGAAATATACTGATTTGAATTCATATCCGACATCAATTTCATACTAAAAGTTGTGTCTGTATTGTCGATGGCGTTTAAAAGGTCAAAATTTGCATTAATAGAGAATTCGTCCATGCTCAGCACGCGTCTATCGAATTGAGGATGCGGGAAGTTTGGAGTGCACGTGAGAAGCGTAAAAGTTGCTCGAGGCGCAGGACATATCAACACTTCAAAATAGTTTTTACCGTTTAATGAAGGTTACCCAAAATCGCAAGGCCTCAGTTGAAGTCAGAAAGCTTAGGTTTGTTTTCAGCCATATTTCGCTTCGCGAATGAAGTATCGTTAACTCCAAAATTTATTTCGTCGCTTTAAAGAACTAAATACTCATTGTTTTTCGAAACGAGTATTATTTAGCAAGTTTTATTTCTATTTTGAGCTCCAAAAGGTCTATCTCAATCAAAATAGAGCGGGTAAAAGTTTTGAATCCTCGCGGCTAAATTCAACGGGAACTTTCAGCCGAAGAGAAATCGCACATGTCATGTAATAGATGCACGGCTGTACTGTACATAGCGATTTTTACCATGCTAGCTCCTTAGGAAATAGATAGGCCTTGCACGCGCTATGTTATAACAATACTTCATCCTCTATCGATGTTAAACAATAAAATTCAATTTCCTTCCTTAACTAATGCACGGCATGATAAAGGCTTTTTCCTCAATATCGGTTCCTTGGTAAATTGAAAATTCAGAAAGCTGAAAGAATTCTGAAAGGTTCTCGAATCTTTGTGTCAACAGAGAAATTGGACATCGGGAATATTTTCCTTACTTGTAAACATCCAAATGTGCAACAAACGAAGGGCAACTAAAAAAGTATAATCTAAGGATGCAGTTATCATCGAGAAAGATGACAAGAATGACAAGCGAAGTGGTTGACTTGGTGTGTATGGTGTTTTCATTCAAAATCAGTAACGATATATTGCAGATGATATATTTAAAATCAGTATAACGATATAAGCAAACTAGGCCAAGTGTTGAGGAGTCAGTCATTACTATGTCATCATCGAAGCTAACAAAGATACTGACTTATTTTAAAAAATGATATGGGATTTAAAATATATATATATATTCATACTTACCTGAGTTTTTAGTTAAACGATTTGAAATTCTGCTCAACGATGATATCCGTTCGCGTTCGCCAAACTAAACTCACATGTGAAGTTTTGTTGTCTCAAAGATGCAGTGATTTACATTACAATAAAACACTTTTCACACGTCGACGAACCAATTACCAACATTTGTCTCCTTACACGGAGAGAAATTTAGTTAAAGAATTCAGTTCTGTGAGCCAGACAATGAAAGGAACAACGAAATAATTCTCTGTATCCTGATGAAATTAAATTTCAAAGTTTTTGACCAAAAAAAGTCAGTCATTTAAAAATCTATAATCATTTTATAATTGGCTGTGCGCACGAAGTCAAATAAACAGAACAATCTCCAGTTTTCAGCTTTTGATTAAGCTCAAAGAAATGGTGATTTCAAGTCCTCATTCTCTTTTTGTAAAATCAAAATGTATTTTCAGATGACATACCATTATGATGTATAAACAAAAAATAAAAGACTCTCTCACTAAAAATAAACATTTCCTACAAAATTCATATCCGACAATCGAATAATTTACATAGACTAACTGGTATGGTTATCATCATTTTTCATTCAAGACAAATTTCTTGTCATACTCATATGAACGATGACTATGCAGTTGCTCCTGCAACCATCGCTTGTTTCAAATTTGGATCAATTGCATTGTGATTTCTTCCATAAATGAGAGTGGTCTTAAGCAAATGAATCAATGGATATGAGCTGTTAGGTGAACAGTTTGTCAGTAGGTGTCAGGCTAGCTAACCAGGAGCAAAATACTCTTTTTTATTAACTAAATATTGCTTCAAGGAGAATTTTTGTCCTTCCCCTGTGTATTTTTTTGATAATGATCATCTCATATCACACAAATCACACATATTCTGAAATACTCATTTATTATTAGCTTTTTCGGTGTTTAAGTGCGCATAGACTCTCAATCAAGTATGGGTTCTACTCCACTTCCGCCTTCTGTTGAATAAAAATAACACAATTTTAATTTTTTTTATTGTTTGATTCTTTCACCTCTGTAGGGTTGTCTCAGTCTGTAAATAAGTCGCACACATGCACACTGGTAATGTAATCTTAATAAACAAAGAAAGCATTGGCTAACTAGAATTAACTACGAGAAGCCTCTCGGTATTCAGCCTGAGCGTTCTCTATTGGAATAGGATCGAAGACGGCAGAGGTGACTCAAGTCAAATGTAATAAGAATTTCTTCAAAAAAATTATCTTGGAAATGTTGGGAACGGAAGGATAGATCATAAATGCATAGCCTGAAACGCACGTTTTAGGCTATCGACGCGCTCGCAGCAAAGATAATCCGTAATTTAGCGCAGAGCGCAAAGCTTGTACACCGAGGCTATTGTCATTACCTGTAGGTATAATACGGTAAATGTAGTTGGCGTGACCTCCACCGACGCACTCTCCTTTATCTCCGTCATCACATTTTAAGAAGCGACCATCCTTACAGTCCTTTGACTTTCCGTAGATATCAAACCTTGTAGCAGCCTTGAGACCCGTCCAGCATTCAGCATAGAACTGAAGACCGAAATGACTGTAACCTCTGTCTTCCGTTCCTTTGGCACATTTGCAAGCCAGCCTAAAGTTGAAAAAAATTATCTAATCACGAAACGAGATTATCTTTCATAATTAAACTTGCTGATTTGGCTTAAAGAGGAGCTTCCTGAGAAGATTTTAAAAGTCCGCTGACGGTCTGCTGAGCATTACTCTTGATCCTTCGTATGGGTTCCAAACACAGTTTCGTCCCCACCTCCCCTCTCCTCATCTCTGCTATTCAAAAAGGGGGGGTCAGTTTGCTTGTCCAAGCATTAAGTTCTTAAATCAGTATTTCGTTGAGTAAGTTAGTTGATTGTGGGACGTGGTGACTGTAAACCGATACGACTGCACCTGAAAGTTAATGATTTGTTAATTAAAAAAACCAAAAGTAATAAAAACCTTCCAAAGGTAAACTGATGCCTAAAATTGCTATTTCAGCCATTTTATTCGGGAATCTTTATAAGAGAATGAATCGTCGTTGCGTAAGTCTGTATGAAAACCTATTAAAATCGTGTTGTGTTTTTTCGAAAAACTTACTGTTTTAAATAATCTCCCCATTTAGCAGGCTCCCAACTGATACTGTCTCTTTGGTGGAAGATTAATTCAGGAAGAGCCCGTATGTCAACTTTGTCTTTAAAGCATCCAACTTTCTCAAATTTCACTTCACAGCCAGGTTTCAGCCCTCCCACAGGAACATCTTGGTCTGAATCGAAGACAAATATACGATAACTCTTCATGCCAAATCGATCTACTCATAGATTTGGCAGATCGAGAGGAAAGTGATTGTCTAAAAAAACTCCACTTTGAACTACGTCGCACTTCGCGAGACTGAAGGGACTGGGAATATTTTTTCGCACTTGGTCAAATGGAATTCGTCTTACCTTTTAAGTAACAAAAGTTGTTCCTGTTTTTATTTTTGTCGTTTTTGCTGTTTTTATCGTAGCTGCTTCTACATATGTATCCTTGGTCGACATTTCAGTCGACCCATCTGAGATGGCCATTCCATACTCTGTCGATAGCGAACTGATGATAGACCGATGGTCGGGCGATTGTCGGCCGACATGTCGATCGAGATATCGGTCAAGTAGGGGGAAGAGAATCGATCTACCATCGGGCGACTATCTAAGTATCGACTATCCACTAACAGAAGCAAAAACTGAATAAAACGAGCTAACATATACTGATCGTGTCAATGTTTGTTTTGTAAGAAAGTGTAAAACAGGCTTAAAATGTCAAACAAGAAGCCGATCGTGGCAGGTTCAATCTGTTCAGCGTCACTGCTATAATCACCTCATGCTAAGTGATTAAAACGTTAAATAATGAAATCCTCAACACTAAAGTACGCTTTATAACTGCCTTGTTGCTTAAATCATATCATCGTTAAGACTGTTAAGCCGTCGTTATATCTCTTTCCCTTTACCGCGCGCAGTTAACGAACATCAGACAGCAAAGCATTTTCATTACCTTCCATGATAAATCCATGTACACAAATCAATGGTAATAAAATCAGATAGGGACTTGTTAAAGTTAGCTTCATACTAGGTGATCTGAAAGGAAGAAAATCCCGTGAAAACAATTTAAAATCGATATGCAAGAACACTTCACTCGGAACACTAGCAGGGAACAAATTACTCCGGAACTTGGAACAGCTATGGCGAGATACCTCAGGCCTTTAAATAGCAGTTTAAATACGGTGAATAGAAGGTTTCCCCTATGTGGCGTTGCACTACTTTTCTTGTAGAGAAGACTCAGTTCGGTGTGAACAAGAACCAGAAGTGCGCCAATAAATTTAAGATTTTGACTTTTTCTTTTCCAAAACTTTTTAAATGTGAATTCATTTTTCTTGCCCATTTGCTGCGTTCCCGAGCTTGACTTAAATGGCTAACAGTTAACATCTATTCAATATGCTTTCCCTGGATGTGCTTGGGTGTTATTATGAGCAATAAATTTTAAAGCCAGATTCTGCTCTCAAAAAGGATCGAATATTTTTTTGATGTTAGTTCTGAGGTAGGCGCATGTCTTAATAAAACTTAACTGTTAATTTTGAATAACTTCCCTCACTCATGGCGAAAGGCCAAGTATAAACAAAGACCCGTGAAATTTTCGTCTTTTTTCGTTTGGGAAAATTTTGTGCTCTGTCTCTGAAACACGAATAGCAAGGTAAAGACAAAAACACCTTTGTTTAATTATGAGGTGAAAATAAAAAAAAAAAAAAAAACGTTTTCAATTTGAAGACATTATCAGATTCAATCAGATATCAAAATAACATAAAATACCTTGTTCGCGGATGGAAGATATTTTGAATAGATGGGAACAGGATTACTTCCTCAAAAAGTGTAGCGAGTAACATTACATATCACGAAAACTGTTAGGATAAAGATGCAAATTAGAAAAAAACAAACTGACGCTCACGTTTTAAATTTCCGGTTGTGTTAGCTTAAAAAAACACAGATTGTTCTTTTCTCAAACAGCTCAATCACTAGTAAATTTAGACGTGTTTTTAAGTTAATCAAATTTGAGTTGTATTCAAATCAGTGGACTACATTTGTTGTGGTGTTAAAATTGTCATGATGAGCGAAAGAAATACACTTCTTCCCCAAGCATTTATTACTGCCTCTCTGCAAATTTCACCCAACTGATAATTAATTTTCGTCGATTTGTATTCTTCGATAGCACAATTTATTTCATAAGGAAATACCCCTCTTTAAATTTGACACAATGATTGACAATTCAAAAAAGGCATATCACGTTGCTTTTTCAAAATTTCGAGTATACTTATCCTTTACGTGTGAGTGAAACAGTTGTGCAAATTTTGCAAATGAGTGATGATTCAACGGAATATAGCGTGGCCCCATTTAAAAGCATTTCGCTATTGTCATGATAGCAAAGGAAATATTTAAGTCTAAGACTCAGGAAGGCAGAAGAGCATTTTTAAAGTAGGAGGTGGCTTGGTGTTCATTGTATACCAAACAAAGCGCATATCTCTTTTAAAAAATTTCCCCCAATTCTTTTATAAGTATAAACCCAGTTTATAAATATAAACCCTTGTTCAACCTTGAAAGGTTTTCCAGAGTGTTATAAGTCGATCTCCTACGAAGCATAAGTCATGAGCTCTTGTTCATTTCGTTGAACTTGATCATGGTGAGGCGATTTGTAAAAAGACCACGTAAAAGAAAAATTTTGCAAGGGCAATTCTATTCTGCGCTGGTGATGGTTACATGACTGAAAATCCCCAGTTCGTGGTTTCGGTGTTGGTGAAATATTTTATGTCATGTATAAAGAGTAGTGGGCTTTGTTGAACTTGTATTTTATTTGAGATATATTTCAACTGAAGCGACCGTGTAATGAGTCAAAAATGGATTAGTTCTTCTTCATGCTTTAGGGGGTCCACCTCCGCTTCCTCCTAAAAAGAAAACAAAAACAAAAACAAAAAAAAAGAACAAGAAAATTGTTTATAAAAAATCCATGATTTAGTTGCCAGGTACTTGTAAGCAAAGCTATATCAAAATATTGATTAACATTCTCATTGTTACATGTTGAAGAATTCCCATTTTCTTTTCCTTTTTGAGACGTTTGCCGACCATGCGTCATTGCCGTACTCGTTTCGCGCGCTAGAATTGCCATGTGGTATGCGATCATTTTTCTCAAAACAGCGCTAAAAGATTCTCCAAATAGCTAAAGAGGGTTGTGTCATAAAATGAGCATTCTGAATCATTACTTTGGCCCGCGGTTTTGCGATCCGTTTGTGGTAATTTTCCCCACATTTTTGCGTCATCGTTCTTTCCCTGAGGATAAATATCTCTCAATTGTTTTTCCTTTGGTTCTACTCTGGTTATATCTCTTTGATTGGACGATAGTTTTGCACGGCGTGTCGTAATACGACGGGTCCATGTTTAAAAGTGCTTACAAAGGGGCAGGGCTGTTGAAAGGGATTTTTTAGCATTTGTCTATTTTTAACAACGAATATCCTGTCCACTCTCATGCATAAGAACATAACGGTTATCTTTGTTTTTATCTTTTTTTTACCTTCCATAATGCGGTACACGTAATTAGTCATAGCTTCTCCGACGCATTCATTGGGGTCGTTGTTTTGGCATTTCTCGTATTGAAAACTAATACACTTTTTGGATTCTCTATAGCTATCAGACCCAAGAGGAGGCCTGTTTGAACCACTCCAACATTCACCGTAAAACTGAAGACCAAACACATTGTATCCTTCGCCGCTTGATGCTTCCGCACAGCGGCAAGCAAGCCTAAAAGTAAATATTCAAAGCGAATCAAAAAGCATCATTGTACTTTTCCGCATTTTGCTAAACGGAACACTGCACTCTATCTAAAATCTTCTTAAAAGCTTTTTCCAGTTTGTTATCGTTAGACCAAAACCAGAGAAATTACACAATTCATTAGGAACATGGTAATACTACTAAAAAGTTATGATCAGTCAAAGCAAAAATCCCCAAAATGAAAACCCATGACCAAAAATAAAACAGGTTGCCAAGAGGCTTTAGTCTATACAACTCACCAGCAAAGTTTGATATCTAATAGTCTTGACTCATGCTCCTTATTTATGGCCACGGGAAAAAATCTTTCTCGTGTTTAAGATTTAGATGTTGAGCCTAATGAAATCGTGAGTGAGTACCCTCTGTTAAAACCCTTTCCAACCTAGTTCCCAAGGCTCTACCCATGAATAAAAGTGCAAGGAGCTGGTAACGAGATTGGCCCCTTTCCTCTTTAATTACCCATAAAACAATCCTGAAATCAGGGGCCAGTTACTTTCCCGCTCCTCTCCCCTTACCTCCCGTTGAATGTTAATAGCACTGGAGAGGCTTTAAAACCAATATACCTGTACCCCCCTGAGCTTATTTCGGTTTTCCAAGCTAAGCTCGCTAACCATGTTACACCCAGTTTTTCCTTAGATTTTTCTAACGGTTTAAGGCACCCGTTTATCGTTTGCAATCCGTTTCTGTAGAAAGAGATGAACTATGGGAGTAACGTTCATTACCCAGGAACACGATAAAATGACCCGGCATGCGCTTCAAGCAGGACCTTTCAATCCGGACTCCAGCTCCTTCGCGTCTAATTTCCCAGTCGTTCAACAAAGTTTATTGTATAGTATTATATCTTATGTATGCGTGTCATTCAATAGTTTTACCTCTTTAAATATTTCTCCCATTCTCCCGGTTGCCAGTTTATTTTGTCTCGATCACTGAGGATCAGTTTTGGAAGCGCCCTGTTGTTAGGATTGTCAGAAAAGCATCCAACTTTTTCATATTTTACGTCGCATTCTTCTACTACTGCATCTGAAAGATTCTCTGAAACGAAAAAACGTAAAAATCGATTGAGGTAGGAAGAACGTCCAAACACGGGATGAAGCTCATCTCGAAAACTTATTAATCTTGAAATTGCTAAGAGAAGTGATTAATTGATATTTCAGCTTACCGTCTTCCAGAAATGCTCGGTACATCCGTTTTATTTCCTTGTCGGTGCCCAAGCCTGAAATAAAACGTGAAATCTTTGATTATGCGTATTGTTAGACGATACAAGCAAATCAGAGATCCTTAAGGAGGGATCCTGAGCTTGAATTTACTAGTAATGCACTCTTTGTACAACCTCAGGCAGCAGGCGTGCAGAAATTTTGGTATGCATGTTTGAAAAAATTTAAATATACGCAGAGGCTGGCGGTATATATATATATAGGAAACTCTTTCTGTACTTTAAGTAGCGTTCGGATAGAGCTTAGTCGGAATGCAAATGAATCGTCCCAATTGTTCCACGTTTAGAAACGATTAGAACAATCGATAATAATTGGAAATCAGCCCTAAAGATTGTGCAAATAAACCAATACAATAATGGCTCTTAGTTACCCGTGACCGATGATTCCACAGTCAAAAGAACCAAAAAAATCTTTGTTATCAGCATGGATAAACTAGGAAGAACAAAAAATGATGGCTGTTGATTTTTCATTCGCAACACTAAATTTATACAACAATGTAAAACCAAGCAGAAAGAAAATGCATGTCAAAACAGCGGTTCAATTACTGCCTAACACTTTTTTACACGTGCACAAGAGCCTTTATTTTTAGTTTAATCTTCAATTTCCTAATTTAGATAACTCAAAATTATTTGTCAAAGTACTTGAGACTACACCAATCCCCTTAGCAGGCACCAAATCAAGAATAAGTCAGTACGTAAAGAAAAATGACTTTCGTTAACATAAATGATCGAGCTCGATACACTTTCCCTTCGTTAAGAAACTGACAGAAAAATTTCTGTAAGGATGCGGTGTCTTTCAATTTTTAAAAGACAAATAGAATCCGGAGATTTTATGAGCACAATTCAAGATATCCTTCTTGAAATGTCGGTACAATTTTACTATAGGCTTCAAAAATAAAACACTTACCTTTGATTTTCAAATTGGAATGGGATGGCTTTTCAATGCACCTAAGATCGGCTGGTTATAGACGTAAACACGAAAGGCAAATTTCAACGTATGCAAGGCGATTTCGCTTTTATATCTATCTCACCCCCTTTGTCAGGATCAGCTGTGTTGTCTCTTTCAGTAAACAATTGATTTTTCTCAGATCATCAACACACAAAACGAACCCCTTAAATTAAAAAAAAATTCTCTCTGTATAATTTTGATATTTTTCCTCATTTGATACAACCTTAGAGGCCTCTTCAGATTAAGGTGATTTCAAACCGAGGATGAAAAGAATTTTGAAGCGAATGAAATCGACTTTAGCTATAGATATCAAATTTTTTTTAAGTAGAAAATCAAAAAGTTTGTTGCTGGGGTAACAACAGTTGATAGCTTGAAAAGGTCTCCTTGTCTAGTTTTCTCGTAAAAAAAGAGAATATGTGGCCTAAGGTTCTGCTTTTCTTATCATATTTTACGTATAAAAGGATAATGAGGTATCGAACGAGCTATATGGCAAGCACTGCCTTTTTTACCGTCTGCAGTTGTACAAATAACCAACCATATTTCGTGCTAATGAGCAATAGAAAAACGGCCGTCAATAATTGACGAAGCTAACTCAAACACTAACCAATTTTAATAATTGTTCAGCATGATTTTACGGTGTAAAAGGACGTTGAATCGCTGCTATTATGAGCCATGGGAATTGAAACGGAGCTGAATGGAAGATTTTTTAGAGTTAGACGATAATTCTTAATGGTGCCTGCTACTGTCTTATAAGCAAAACTATGCAATTATACAATAATTTCCTTTTTTATACAAGAATATTTACGATTAATTTTCGACGTTTTACTATTAGTTTTCTTCTTGTGATCAATTGGCGTGTCGAAAAAATAAATAGTGAACATGACTAGCGTTGTTTTTGTCTTTGTTGAACTACTGGTACATTGGAAACTTTCATGGTCGAATTACCAGCTGAAGAGCGAAGAGACTTTCTGCATTTTCAACAAGCTCTGGTAAGACGATATGCTGCTATGGAGCCCACCTCAGGGTTCCACTGGATTATTGTCGAATTATATCCAGAGATTGTAATCTCTTGATTATATCAAGGACATGTACGAGCTATTTAGTGGGTTAGACATGCTGAGGTATTTTATCGAGGGATCACCAAGTCCTGGGGCCAGATTGAACGATTGATCGAAGCACTCAACCGCAGCCAGTAGGTATTAGCCCAAGCACCACGTATGACAATTAATATATTCCCTAATACCTCTCAGCAACGGCTTCTACATGCTCAAATTAAAGCCTTCACATGACTGAACACCTAAAACTACAACGTCAAACAAGGTTTCCGCGAATTCAGAACCACAAAGAAACTATGAACAGAAAGTAAATGAGCTTACGCTGCTTATGCGGCGTAAGCAGGGACAATTACAGGACCAAAAAGTTCAGTTGAAGGACCAAAAGATCATTTAAAAGCTCAAAACGATCAATTAATGGACCAAAGAGATCATTTATAGGACCAAATTTAAACTTAGATATGCAGGTGAACGCACGGATTAATGGTCTAGCGTAACGTGGGCATGGAACACGGAGCAACCGAGATAGGTCTAGAGAATTAACAGACACGTTAACACGCAATACGAAATCCAAGCGGTAATTGTCCCGATGTAAAATCTAGCAAGTAAACAATTCATGACATTTTTAATTGCAAACGATGTATTAAGAAGAATAGCTTGGAAAGGTTGCTGTTTTTCGACACCGTTCGCGATATTTATTTTCAAGAGCGTCCACACCCCTCCATCTAGCTTGGATCCCAAACAGCTTATCAATGGAACGAAAATTTAACTGTTCACATTCTGGGTTGATCGGCATTATCTGAAACGATATTCCTCGTTATTAATAGAATAAGTTAACTCTTGGTTAAAAGCAACGAACATAACGCGTACGAGTATCATTGTTACATTTTTTTTTCCTCCTGTTTATTTAAACATCCTTACACAGCAAAGAGATGATTGAATGATCTTAAAAGTCATTCGTCAACACCAGTGTAAATGAAAAAAAAGAACATTCCAGAATGCAAATAGCTCGATGCCTGGCTAAGAACAAAAGGAGGATAACAATGTAATTAAGAGGGTTTATCTACCATCAGGATTTGGCTAATTATAAGTATTCAAGTCTTTAAGGTCCACTTGGTCGTATGCGTTGCCGTAATCAATCTCGCCATTACCACTGCCATCTGTAAAGTAGTGTGAGAAAAAAAAAATCCTTATGCAACGCAAAAGTAAACGTACATGATGGGTAGTGTAATTCAAAGGGTTTATTTTACTTGCTTGAGTTCTTTGTTTGTTTATCTGTTTAGATATTAATTTGTATATTTGCCCTGTATATTTTTCACATATTTGACAGGGAGGCAAGAAAATGCAGAAGCTCAGTTCATTTATGAGAGATCTGGAAGAGGTCTCAAGACAAGCTTACTCACGGATATAACATCATTTGTAATTTAATCGCCCTGTACCTTGAGTCCTATAGACCCATATAGTCTGGTTATTTAAACAAAGTTGAGCCGTTGTTTAACAAAACCGCGTCCTGAGCAGTCCTCAATTTAGCTAAACCTTTTATCTGAACATTTATTTTTGTGAACAGCGTCAAGGGGGCCGAGAGCTGTGAGTGGAAGGACATTTATTCATTTAAATCAACCCACTTACAGAGAGTGCCTGAAGCCCACTGACTGGGTAAAACCCTGGTTTTGGTTAGACCTCTTGTAAGTAACCGGCCCAGTTGGGTTTCGCTACACTTAGAATTCTGAAACAGTCAAGCTCTCTCTTTAGTATAACAATAAAACATCTCTATCCCGGCTGAAAAACAGAAAGGAAAATGTATATAAAACCTTAGGTAGAGTACGTATAGTACACTTAAGAGTCTTGCATACCATCCATACTGATTTTGTATATGTAATTCTCTTGTTGGTTTTTCCCTACGCACTGCCCGTAAGCATTGTCATCACACGGCTGGTGGTATTGATTAGAGCAACTGCTCGAGTCTCCATGCGTGCTGTAACTTGTAGAGGCATGTGGATCACTGAAGCATCGTCCGTAGTCTTGGAGACCAAAGTAAGTAGAACCATTCTGGGCACTGCTTTTGGCGCAGCGGCATGCCAGACTGTAAGAGGTAGCAATATACACTCATTAGTTTTTTGTCGTTTTGGGAGCTACAACTTCATGAAGCGGAGAGATTATGAAAGAATATAAAGAACGATCTCGTGGGATGTCTTCACAAACTACTCAAAAAGCGATCCAGCAAAAAAGCATTAAACCTTCCTGTGTTCTGAGCCAATCTATTTTAAAACGTTTATTTATTGATATATCTTAAGACCTCTGGAGAAAATTTGAAAGACTTCTTATTTTAACATGACGCACGAATTTTAAGTTGAAAAAAAGCCTCGCCAAAACATAAAATATAAAAAGTATGTGTGTAAAGATGTACAAAAAAAAAAGAAGTGAAAGTAGTAAAGCTCTGAAAACCCTGTATTTAACTATTTGGTCTCTCTCTGAAGATCGCGACCATATTTTCAATTTATGGCAAACAGGATGAAGTTGTGGAAATATTTTACTTTATATACTGTTCACCTTTTGAGGTATGTACTGTAGTCGCCCCAGTTCACCTCTTGTCCACTGTAATTTGGGTCGCTTGGTATCCTGTCTTGGAAAAGTTCCTGTGAAAGCGCTCTGTCGCTGGTGTCTTCTTTGAAGCATCCGACTTTCACATAGTTAACCTTGCAGATACTGCGTAATTTGATAGGATTCTCTGGATAACCAAGAAGAAAAAAATTGTAATACTGAGAGTTATCATTTTTCTATCAGTTTGCTTAGCTAGGCTATGGAAGAATATGAGACTTAAATCTTAAAGTATAGGAGATAGAGAGTAAGGAGTTTCTCTAATATAAATTGACAACCAGGGCCTGGAGTTTGGAGGACTGAGTACATTTAGGGTTTCTTTCTTCCTTTACCTTTTGGATGAAATTTTGGCCCCGAAAGGAAGGAGTGAGAGAAAAGTTTAAAAGAGAGTTAATCAACATCCATGCCTGATACTTAAGTAAGGTGGTTGGACATGTAATGTAAGTTAGCCCAAGTAAAACGAGTGAAAATTGATAACAAACAAACAAACAAACAGGTTAAATTTAATTTACCACGGAACACTACTTCATGAAAACAGCTAGTAAGTTTGTCGGAAAAAAGACAAAAGTGCACGTGGCATAATGAAAAAATATTCTAGCCAAGGAAAAGGCTGTCCATCATTTTTCTATGGGTCTAACAGCGTAATAATCCTCTAAGAATTCTGGAATCATACCCTCATATCGTTTGTAAATCTATAGCCGACACAGATTTAACGCGAATTATCAATCATGTCTTTGAGCTAAGACGAAATTAGGTTTCGAATTTTTGTCTAATTTAACTTACCAGCTTCTGCTAAGTCCTCAAAAAGATTATTCACTTTTTTTCGTTCATCTTTGGTTTCTAAAATAACAGAGTAAGGTGAATTAGTGCATTTCAACGTTCAGCACTGTTAATGCGTAATGGAACTTGAAAGATTTGTTACTTTCATCTCACCTCTTTTTGAATTACGTTGAAGCCGTGCGTGTGACACAGCGATGATGGAGAGCAACAGTAAGGAAGAGGCTATTACCTGCATATTTTGAACTGTTAAAATACTCCATCATTAGAACAACAACTGTTTGTAAAGTATATTTGGACACCATGTTAGTCGTAATAAACAATAAACGCCAAAAATCTAGCCAGTAGGCGTAAAAATTGACGGGAAAGGTGAGAGTTTTAAGGGCGTCCCCCCCCCCCCCTCCGTCTTTGTTACGAAAAAGCAGTAATTGATGATTGAAAAGGCCTGGTATTTCCTTGAAAACACGGGAGCGAAGGTTTCTTCATCTAGAATCCACGTCTTTTACTTAATACCGAGAGAATGAATAAAGAGGGTAAGCTTCTAAAGAAACTGCGGTGCTGCGTCGGTGGGAGAGTGTAACAGGGTAATTTAGTATCATCAACTGAGTTGTTAAAGTAAATTGGTCACCGTAAAAGAGTTTCAAAGTTGACGTTTCGAGCGTTAGCCCTTCGTCTGAGCGATTGACAAAGGGCTGAGCTCTGATGAAGGGCTAGCGCTCGAAACGTCAGCTTTTAAACTCTCCATAGCTCCCAATTTACGTTACCAACTCAGTTGTTAACACTAGTTATCGAGATAGTTTTGTAACATGTAATTTTGTTTATACGAAGGCCTTACTTTCACAGAAAATATCTTTAAAATTCCTGAACTGTCAAAGGATGACTGTTGTTGACAAATTAAAACAAAAAGTGTCATACAAAGCACACATCTTTGTGTATCTAGGTTTGAATATTTAAATTTTAAATGGCTGAGATATGTGGTCGCTTTCTTGTGTCATTGCATTCCTAGCGTAATAATTCAAGATCGGTCCATACTATGCAGTCGGATATCTCACAAAAACATCCGACACATTTAGGCACAGCACTGAGCCATTTTAAAGTGGACACGTTTTTGATGTACGATATTGCATGTCTCTCCAAATTGAGTGCGATCTTGTCGAAGTCATATTCTAGACGCGTTAAATACTTCTTCCACTTAACATAATACTAAATATCTCTGTTCTCTCGAATCATCTATCATGAGCAAATTTCTTATTCCCCGCATTCAACGCTGGATAATGAAGTTTGACTGGTAAGAAAAATACCGTGAAGGTTTCGCCGAGATTATTCGGGAATGTTTGAGACAGACCATATTGTTCTTGTTGGCAACGCAAAAAACCTCTGACAAAATGATATTTCAAAAATAAATCTTATATCCGTTGAATGGCAAAGTGAGTTTTTTTCCCCAAGGATCTAAGAGCTATGAGGTTCGACAATTTTTCTGTAAATTCCAAATAAGACAAAAATGCTGTTAACGAAGAGGCAAAATACACTTTTAGAGAAAAAGAGAAATTTAGCCGAGTGCGGATAAGATTCTAACCTAGAGTAAAAGGTATGAAAAAGCATTTTAAAGCAAAATATTCTCTCTTGACTATAGTATAGTCTCATTCTAAAGAAGAAAAAACTACTTACCCTCTCTCTCCTTTCAGACCTCTTTTACTGCAAAACCTTTGACCTTCCCGATGCAGGAATGCAGTCTTTACTCTAAAGTTAATGCCCATCTTTTAAGAAACTTGATTTGCGCATTAAGTATGATTGACGAAGACGTCATATATTTTGTCACCACAAGACAAACATGACCGGGAATCCATAAACACGTCAAGATGAACCATATTATTTGGTACAATTATTGCAATGCTGAGAGCATTTGGCATTAAAAGTGTATGTTTCCATTTTTCTGATCATGAAAAGGTTGGAAAATTAAAAGTATTATACGGCACTTAGGTTTTTTCGTCTTACACACTCTTTTCGGTATGTCCCTGAGTGAATCGTGGGAGTAACTGATCCTTAATCCCACCTTAAAAAATTTCCTAGTTTTATTTGTTTTCGATTATAGCTCAATTACCTTACCTTACCTCAATTACCAGCATGACCCGGGAGCTTTGAGCCGGGAAAAACGGGGGTGGGGTGGGGGCGCAGGGCGTTATGCTTTGGAGGCGTAATAAATGAGTAGGAGATGTTTTCATTTACGATAAACCTTGCTGTAAAAAATCGCTAACCGACCCCAATAGACAGCAAACAAATTCTTTACGATCAAATGAAAGGAACTGCGGTGCTAATCCGATAACATCATTTTTTCCTTGCATTTCTAGAAGTAACCCACCACTTTAAGCAATCGGTTGCCAGATGAATTGAGTTTTATTATATTCGGCTTCCGACTTGAGGGTAAACTTCCGATTTCTAGACGGTGACCGTCAACTTCAGTTTAAGACCTCTAACATCACCAACTTTTATCTTCAAATTCGTTATTTTCAATCAAATAATTCCATCTACTTGCTGTACCTTAGTTACAAAATGTCTGAGACGGCGGCAAGATCGTAAACAATGACGATAATGATGATTACTGTTGGGCAATGCCGAGTTGCATTAATTTTCTGTTCAATATTTGAATCGAATCGAGATGCATAACAAGTTCAATCCTCAATTTAGCTGAACCTTTATCTGAACATTTGTTTTTGTGAACAGTATCAAGGGGGCCGAGAGCTGTGAGTGGAAGGACATTTATTTATTTCAATCAAACCCTCTTACAGAGAATGCCTGAGGCCCAATGACTGGGTAAAACCGTACTTGAAAACCTTAGATAGAACACTTATAGCACACTTAAGCGTCTTGCATACCATGCACGGTGATGTGGTATATGTAATTCACTTCTTTGCCTCTTCCCATGCACTGCCCGTAAGCATTGTCATCACACGAGTAGAAGTATTGATTAAAGCAATGGCTTGAGTTTCCATGCCTGCTATAACTTGTAGAGGCATGTGGATCACTAAAGCATCGTCCGTAGTCTTGAAGACCAAAGTAAGTAAAACCATTCAGGGCACTGCTTTTGGCGCAGCGGCATGCCAGACTGTAAGAGATAGTGATAGCCACTTAGTAGTTTTTCGTCGTTTTGGGAGCTACAACTTCATGAAGCGGACAGATTATAAAAGAATGTAAACAATCATCTTCATAAAGTACTCAATAAACGACGCAGAAAAAAAGCATGAAACTTTCCTCTGTTCTAATTCAAATTGTGTTGAAACGTTTATTTATTGACTCATCTTAAGACCTCTTGAGAAAATTTGAATGACTTCTCGTTTTCACATGACATACGAATTTTATGTTGGAAAAAATATATCTCGCTCAAACACGAACACGCAAACTGCATGTGTGTGTAGAGGTAAAAAAATGAAGTAAAGCTCTGAAAACTCCGTATTTAACTTTATGGCATCTCACCGATGATCATGACCATATTTTCAATTTATGGCAAACACGATGAAGTTGTTGAAATATTTTATTTTATATACTGTTCACCTCTTGAGGTATGTATTGTAGTTGGCCCAGTCCACCCTTTGTCCACTGTAATTTGGATCGCTTGACATCCTGTCTTGGAAAAGTTCCTGTGAAAGTGTTCTGTTGTTGGTGTCTTCTTTGAAGCATCCGACTTTCTCATAGTTAACCTCGCAGATACTGTGTAGTTTGATAGGATTCTCTGGATAACCAAGATGAAGAAAAATTTTAATACTGAGAGTTATGATTTTTCTCTCTATTTGCCTAGCAAGGCTATGGAAGAAAATGAGACTTAAATCTTAGAGTCGAGGGGATAGAGAGTAAGGAGTATCTCTAATATAAATTGACAACCAGGGCCTGGATTTTTGAGGACTGAGTACATTTAGGGTTTCTTTCTTCCTTTACCATATGAATGAAATTTTAGCTACGACAGGAAATAGTCAGAGAAAAATTTAAAAGAATTGATCAACATCCATGCCTGATACTTCAGTAAAGTGGTTGGACATGTAATGTAAGTTAACCCAAGTAAAACGAGTGGAACGATTGAAAAAGAAAACCGATTACATTAAATTTACCACGAAACACCATTTCATGTATACAGCTATTTCGAGAAAGGTTGTCGGAAAAAAAAGGACAAAAGTGCACGCGACATGATGAAAAAGTATTCTAACCAGCAATAGACTGTCATTTTTCTATAGGTCTACCAGCTTTTAAGCTTTTTAAGCTTTTAAGCTTTTAAGCTTTTTTAAAATAACCCACTTAGAAGTCTAGAATAACACCCTCATGTAGTTTGTAAATCAAAAATAAATCATATCTTTGAGCTGAGACGAAACTAGGATACGAACTTTTGTCTATTTAACTTACCAGCTTCTTCTAAATCCTCAAAAAGCGTATTCACTTTTTTCCGTTCATCTTTGGTTTCTAAAACAGCAGAGTAAGGTGAATTAGTGTATTTTGACGTTCAACACCGCTAATGTGTAATGGAACTTGAAAGATTTGTTACTTTCATCTCACCTCTTTTTGAATTGCGTTGAAGCCGTGCGTGTGACACAGCGATGATGGAGAGCAACAGTAAGGAAGAGGCTATTACCTGCATATTTTGAACTGTTAAAAATAATTTATCATTAGAAACAACCATTTTTTAAGTGTATTTGGACACAATGTTAGTCGTAGTTTTAGTCATTGATATGATGGTGTAACACCTCAAGGCGCCCCAAGTCGATCGCTGTAGAGTTGTAGAAAAAGCTATCCACTCGTTTGGTACCTAATAGTTTCGTACGCTGTAGTTTCGTTCCCAAATTAAGTGCGTTGTTAAATTAAATTGATCACCGTAAAGAGTTTCAAAGCTAACGTTTCAAGCGTTAGCCCTTCGTTAAAGCAATTCGCGAAGGGCTTGCTCTGACGAGGGGCTAGCGCTCGAAACGTCAGCTTTTAAACTCTTTATGGCAGCCAATTTATGCTATCAACTCAGTTGTTCAACACTAAATTACCCTGTAAGTATCGAGATAGTTTTATAACAAGTGATTTTTTTAAACGAAGGCGCTACTTTTACAGCAAATACTGTTAAAATTCCTGAACTGTCAAAGGATGACTGTTGCTGACTCTGATAAATTAAACCAAAAGTGTCATGCAAAGCACACAACTTTGTGTATCTAAGTTTGAATATTTAAATTTTAAATGGCTGCAGATATGTGGTCGCTTTCTTGTGTCACTGCATTCCTTTCGTAATAATTCAAGATCCGTTCATTATATGCAGTAAGATATCTCACAAAAAACATCCAACAGATTCATCCAGCACAATACTGAACCCTTTTAAAGTGGACAAGTTTTTGACCTACGATATCGCATTTCTCTCCAAATTGAGTGTGATCTTGACCAAGTCCTAATCTAGACGCGTTTAATTCTTTTCCTATTTGATACAATACTAAATGTTTCTGTTCTCTCGAATCATCTATCATGAGCAAATTTCTTATTCTAGATTCTCTGCATCCAACGCTGAATAATGAAGTTTGACCAGTAGGAAAAATACCTTTGATCAGTCTTAAAGATGTACAAAAGTTAAGATTCTCTTTTGCAAAGTAGCGTCCAAATGAAAAGTTGAAAAAAAAAAAAACCACAAGGAGAAAAAGTCCACCGACAGCACGACATTTCACGATATCAATGATAAGTATAGATCTGAAAGGGTTCTTATTCAGAGATCCAAGTTTTTTCATGACGAGATAGATGACGCTCAAAGATATAAATTGTGACTCTCTTACATACAAATCTTTGTACATTTGTTTGATATTTTCAAAGCTGAATCAACGCATGGCTGAGTCGCACTCTATAGGAATTGGAAAATTAAAGGTGGCCTATGTGGATTACATTTGAGGGGCGGTAAACATTTTCAGTGCAATTTGATATCAAGCTGGTTTTACATGGAGAGGTCAACTCGACGAAATTAATGATGCATGGGCGTTGAAAATGTGACACCCACAAGTAGAACGGCGAATATTTCAAAGCGCTACCCCAGATATGAATAAAGGTAACTTTTTTTGTCTGTGAAGGTTTCACCGAGATTATTCGGCAATGTTTGAGACAGACCATATTGTTACTGTTGGCAACGCAAAAATCTTTGACAAAATGAAACAATAAAAAAGAAATCTTATATCCATTGGATGGCAAAGGGATTTTTTTCTCCTTAGGATTTAAGAATGAGGTTAGACAATTTCTCTGTAAATTCCAAATGAGACAAAGATGCTGTAAACAAAACGCAAAACACACTTTAAGGGAACAAGAGAAATTTAGTCGAGCGCGGATAAGATTCTACCCCCTAAAGTAAAAAGTTCTCCTGACTATAGTATGGTCTCATTCTAACGAACAAAAAACTACTTACTCCCTCCTTTTCAGACTCCTTTTACCGCAAAACCTTTGACCTTCCCGATACAGGAATGTAGCCTTTACTCAAATGTTAATACCTATCTTTTACCAAACTTGATCTGCGCACTAAGAATGACTGACGAAGACGTCATATATTTTGTCACCACAAGACAAACATGACCGGGAATCCATAAACCCGTCAAGATGACCCGCATTATTTAGCACAATTATTGCTAAGAGCATCTAGCATTAAAAGTGTATGTTCCCATTTTTCCTGATCATGAGAAGGATGAGAAATTGAAAGTACTGCAGGGGACTTTTGAGTAAGTCTCTGCGTGAATCGTGGGAGTAACTACACCATACTCCCACCTTAAAATTCCTCGTTCAATTTGTTTTCGATCATCGTTTAATTATCAGCATGACCCGGGAGCTTGGAGCCGGGAAAAACGGGGGTGGGGTGGGGGCACAGGGCGTTATGCTTTGGATGCGTAATAAATGAGTAGGATATGTATTCATTTACGTTAAACTTTGCTGTACATAGCAAAGTAATTCATATACGATCAAATAAAAGGAACTGCGGAGCTAATCCAAAAACATAATTTTTTCCTTGCATTTCTAGAAGTAACCCACCACCTTCAGCAATCGGTTGCCAGATGAATTAAGTCCAATAACATTCGGCTTCCGACTTGAGGGTAAACTTCCGATTCCTAGATTGCGACCGTTCACTTCAGTTTGAGACCTATAACATCTCCACTATCGACCGTCCTTCTTCAAACTCGTTATTTTCGGGAAGAATCAGTGATATAATCTTGACGTCTGCATGGAGAACTTATAGGGCCAATAACAAAATACTCATAAAAAAAATGCGCTTCACTTGCCAGTAATCAAAGATTTGCATAAACAAACTTTAAGGCAATTAAACCTGGTAGAGAGAGATGATAATGACAGCATATTAAAATGAGGCAAAATTATTTCGACTTATTTGAGAATATTTACAAATAGAAGCGGCAAAAGAGTGAATAAACATTAAAATAAACGAAAACGGTTCAAGGATCGTAGCTTGCAGTGTTGAGAATGTATGGGATTTAAACCGAACATTATAACAATCACTCACTTTTGTCTACAAGTTAAAATTAATAATGCTGAATTCAAACATGAAAAAAAAAAAAATTAACTTTCCAGGCCTAAAATAGTATAAGATTCTGGTAGAGAATACAGCGCACGCTCGAATTGAGTCGTTCCCCCACCTTCATGCAACACAGATAATAAATTTACACTCTAAATAAGCTTTATTGAGACAACTAGGCAAAAAAATTCAATAAAATGATTCTATCTACTTTTACTGTACTTGAGCTAAATAATGTCCGAGACGGCTGCAAGATCTTTAACGAGTAGAAAACAGTGATGATGAGGATAGGAATGTATGACATATTGTGCGTTTTTCAAAAAAGATAAAAGAAGATGAAAGAAAAATTGTTAAACGAAGAAAAAAGTGTGTGTGACGAGTAACTAAATCTTATTTTGTTATATATTTGTACATTCTCAGATCTCAGTTTATAGTCGCTGGCTAATATTCCTCCGGTCTGAGCTCACCATTTCCACTTTGAGCATCAGATTCTGAAACAAAAGGAAACAACAAATCTGAGCTTGAGGCAAATCAGCTACCTACAATTTTGATCTTTGGATTTCCCTTAAGGTGTTTTTTGAAGACCGGTTAAAACATATTTATGCTATACCCATACGAGACATGTTGGTGCCTTGTAAGGGGCATATTTAATCTTCTATGCACATATCACAAGAACTCAGACTGTGCTGAATGAAAATATGGATTTACATCATGTAAAATTGGACTATCTTTGTCACAGTGGCTAACTTACGTTACCAACTCAGTTGAACTCAGTTGATAATACTAAATGACCCTGTTATACTTTCCCACCGACGCAGCACCACAGTTTCCTGAGAAAATTGCCCCCTTCATTTCATTTGTCTTTGTCATTTGATTGGATATAACTCACTGTCTGATGAACATACCTTCTTCAGTGAGCGCTTTCAATTGCTCCTGATAGTTATCTTTTGCAGGGCCTTTATGGAGGTTTAGCTCTAAATAGATTAAATCAAATTGAAAAAGTTAGATCGTACTAAGGAAATATCAAGCTAAGAGACTTGATCTCAATAAAGAGCTTTTCTTAATTCATTCTAAGTAGTATTCGTTTCTTCAACCGCAGTTTACATGTATAATTTTCATGTATTTACAGTCATTTTTCGATCATCGCCGTTTTCCCATGAGAATGTAGAACTAGCCAATCATACGTCACTCATTTTTCTCACGTGGACATTTCGTCAGCGCCCAATCGCTCTCTACCAAAATATTCAAGCAAGTCAGCGCCGGGTGCAATTCACATTATTCCCTGAAGAACATTTTGCCTTTCAAGGAATTGCGCGCCTTCAAGTAAAGCCACAATCAATTATTCATGCTTATTGTTTTGAGCACTTAGGAATCATACGTAATTTCACGTGCTTCATAGTCTGTGTGACTTCATGGTAAATCCCAATACAGTTTCAAGATTTTGGGTCCCCTGCACTCCAACCCAGCCCTCCTTGAATTAAGAAGGTCACTTACTCTTGAGTCAATGCACATCAAATGAAATGATTCACATATCGTCTGCTCAATTTTTAAAACAGCTTTGGCTTACCTGACTCTCTCAAATCCCTCATTGTTTCTTCGAGTTCCTCGGCGTCGGTTTTATGTTCTTCTAAACAAAAACAAAAAAAATTATACTTGAGTCCCAACACAATGGTACAATACTTGGAACTCGTTTGGGAGTAAAAAGATTGAATCTATAATTGATTGCCTCACCTTTCTGAAGTGATATGGATTTAGCTTTCATTCCCAAAACACAAATGAGAAGCACAAAACATATCAACGGTGTGCGCATCTTAGCTTCTGCTGAGAGAGAGGTAAAGAAGGAAAGAAAGAAAATAATTCATTGGACGCTTAAAACGTGGCAAAAATAACGTTAAGAAATATATTTTTCTCACTTATCACAGAGATTTGAAGAAATTTGAAAGCAAACTATATCAACAGGTTTATATTTTTTAATTAATCTCCGAGATGTTATAGGTGATATTAGCCTGTATATTATTTCATTGTGCATCTCAGTTAGATCATGACATGCTACGAAATATACTTGTAAAGTCGCGGGCTTGAGCTGTTTTGAGAGCTGTGTCCATTAAAGGATCCAGTTTTGTTTAATTTCTTAAGTTTTCAGTTCGCATGTACGCCTTAATTATCAACAAAATCCCTGAAAAAACTTACTACAGAGATTCAAAGAGGACATTTTTCAATCATTAATAGTTTTTATTGTAAAATAGGGATTCATTTAAACTTTATAACACATTAGGCGAATTGTTTAAATATCTAGGTCTGATGAAGATTGTTGCCCTGAATAACATGTTAATGAAATGCATGCCAGAGAAAAAAAGAGATACTTCAACTTAAAACCCCAATTAAAAATCAATAATTTAAATCCTCGATAAAAGCAAACATACCTGCGACACGAAAAATTAAAAACCCAACGTGTTGCGCAAAACTGAAGAAATTTGGTGGGGAATTGATCTCACAAGCCTAGTATCTAGTTAGCTTCTGGTTTTCATTACCTTGGAGTAAACTAAAAACTTATTTATGGGCCAAACCTCATCCGCAAGTTTAATTGTAGGGCTGGGTTGTGTAATTGTATCCATGCTTACCTTGTAAATGAAAAATCTTAACAAAATGTGAAAAACGTAGATCTCAAATCTCGAGCTTAGCATCCCAGCACCCAGTATTATGGATCAAAAAAGTTCTCCACGATAGTTTTTGTCTTTTTACGTGCTAAATGATAAATTGCCTCTAGCTACATTTAGGCAAAGAACTGATGACAATCAATTTTCTTTGTTTTCGTCAAAAGAGCACCGGCAGGGTTTATCAATAGTTCATTGCCTAGCCTCTCTCTGCTAATTCTTCGAAAAATGATTCTCTCCAGTTGTACGAAACGGTACCTTTGATTATTCGAAGTCATGAGTGATTCAAGATTCTCTTGAAGGTAAAGAATTTTTAAGCGAGCTAGATGAGTAAAATTAGGGGAAATGTAAAACTCCGTGTCTGCCTTAGTGTTCAAAGAATGTACTCGCTGATTGCTTCACAGAGAAAAGAGGTCAATCTTTGTCAGATCCGAGATAAAAAAAATATGTGTGCATTATATCAAGAGGTTTGGACTCAACGTGCGTTTCACAGCATTTAAATATGTACAGGCTGTTCCTAAGAAGTACGTATATGAATTACACTGATTTACAAATATGATTTGGTGCACTACCGGTGCGTGAGTTCCTACCCAACTTCTAAACCCGTCCAATTGTTTCAAAATTCTAGATAACTAGAATTTTTACAGTTACCTCTATCCAACGCTTGGATGTTCTTCGTCCTTAGTGACAGTCGAATAAGGTACCCGAAGACTGAAGCAGGCTTAAATTTAACCAAAACACGAGGCAAATGGCACCAAGGACTTTGCACACCGCTCGAAGCAGGAGTTTCCTAACTCCTGCAGGATTTTGTCTTCGTTATGCAGGAATGTTTTTCCACCCCCGTGTTTGCTAAATCCACATATAGGCTTTAATAAAGTGTGGTTAATGCTTAACGAGCTCAAGTCCTCTATTTACTTAAAAGGGTTTACCTTTAAAAGTACTTCAATAGATTTAAATTCTTCACTGGAGAAGCTGATATTTCTCCTTTGATTTTTTGCGTTCATTCTCAACCAAAGTGCCCAACTTTCTTTGCATTGATCTCAATTTTTTCTTGTGGGAAAATCTTTCCGAAATAAAATTATCCTGCGTTTATTTTTTTCGTGATCGACTTGTTTAACTATTCAATGACATCTTATGACCATTTTCATGCTAATTTTTCGGTCTCCTAGAACAAACATTCTCTCAGGAGACATTTCACTTAACGATTCAACTTTTACTACTGTTGGGGTCTCAAGTATTACCAAGTCCCGGATGAAGCCTTGACATTTTAGCCTTCACAACATGACAGCTACGGCAAATACCTCAGGAGAAATTGAAAGTTCAAGCGGAACACTGTTCAGTTTCCATAAGTCATTTTTAAACCTTTCAACTGACCAGTATGCTTCTTTCAAAATTTTGTCATTTTTCAAACGCGGTGAATAATTGAAGAGCCGGATTTGTTGCCCTAGACTTGATCAACCTTTAACTCTCACAAGTGACTAATAGAGAATTTCTCCTGACGATATCGATACCAGACCAAACACAGTTGTGACGAGAATAAAGGAAAACATCAATTAGAGGATCATTGGTTGGTCCAATACCAAATTCTCAAAACTAACATTACAAGATTTTTAAGCAGACAGTCAGGAGAATTACTAATGAGATCTTGAGAGTGAAAGGGTTCACAATTAGCCCTCGACCCACCCAGTAAAGTACGGATTCGACCACTGACATTAAAAGTGTTGCCGTAACATAGTCTACTCCTTATCGTTAGTATTAAGAACATGAACCTATGATGTCCTCGTTTTTGTCCGAAAAAAAACTTATAAAACATCACACTGATAACATGGTGCTATTTATTTCAAGAAACATACAGTGCACTAGGAAAATATTTTTTAAAAAGCCCTGACTGAAGATTCATATGCCACTTGATATAACTTTTGCTAATTTGTATGATGACTTGCTGTTTCTCTGTCTCCCAAACACAGATCAATGAAGGAGAACGATCTTAATGTTTCTGAACATGGCACTTTCTTCAGTCTCGGCGAACATTTAAGCGTCAGTACTCCTCTGGGTTTATTGGTGGCCCCACACCACTCCCATCTGGATTATCTCCTAAGAGAGAAAGAGGGAGAGAAAAAACATTTATTTTAGGCCATTTAGTTGAATCAGCTCCTCTAAGGCATGTTGCTCCTGATTCTCAGACAGTCCGACGTCTAGAGTCCTGCAAGTGGAGGGCAGGTTAAACAAGTGGCTTCGTAGTGTCTGAGATTCCGGCAATAGCGCAAGGCACTACAGGAATAGCAACAAGAGGTTTTGTAAAGAGGCAGTAGGTTAGATGTGGTCACTGAATTTGATTGAGGATTGCAAATTTTTAAAATGTATAGACTTGCACGCGGTTAGTGCACAAAGCTGAAAGGAGGGTGAGAAACGCAAGTTTTGATGAGTACAATTATAACGTTCAAAAGCGAACATTAAGCTCTCGTTTCTTCTCAGGTTCTGATTTGGCTGCCTTTGGCTACCTGCAGCACCTTCATATAAACCTTAATCAACTTTCAGATTTACAAGTAAAATGACAAATCTGAGGTAGGCTTAATACAAGACTCCTTAAAAATAAGCCTCCTATTATTATATCTACAGAATTAAGTGAGTAATAAAATTATCTAAAAAGTCGTTATTGTAACATGTCAGTTATAAAAGACATGCGACGTGAACTTATTATAAATGGACTAATGATTAATAAAATTATTAAAATGGACTAAACTTTTCATGTAAAAGGCCACAAATTCTAAAAAGATTTAAAAAACACTCTTATAATTAAACTTATCATGATAAAACGGCCATCAAATTCTCCACGAAAGATCGACAAGTGGTTTCCATTTCGAGTGTTCTCCCAACTCTTTTACATTATTTTATAAAATAATTAATGAAAGAGGAACGAAAACCGTGTTTACATACGCTAATGTAAAATAGTTTTATGGCATTCCACTATTTGAATTATTTTAAATAAGAGGTAGTTCTTTTATGCTTCCTTTTGCACTCTTCTTTTCGCCATAACGGTTATCTCACCTGGAACTATTTGATAAACAAAGTTCACATGAGCCACTCCAGCACACGGCTTGTTTCTAATGGTGTCACATCCGACCTTGAACTCTGTATCAACACATTTGTCGCTTTTACTGTAAATGTTGAACCGCTGTGCTGCGTCTGCAGCACTCCAGCACTCTCCGTAGAACTGAATCCCAAAGAAAGAATAACCTTTGTTGGCTGCAGCCGTGGCACATCGACAAATGAGACTAAAAGAAGATCGGAATGAATAGATGGAAACTTGTTAGTATTTAGTAAATCACGCTATAATGTGCATTTCAGATTAGGTGAAGCCTATAGAGCTGCATATCTGATTTCTGTAGTGTCAACGACCTAAAGATTATTCTACACTTTTGAGTTTACAAAACTCGCTTAAAATACGCTCTACGTACAAGAAAATAAATACTTACTCAGGGAGATACGAGTCATATCTTTCCCAATCTATTCTCTGACCGCTGAACCCTTTTCCTTTGTATCGATCTTGAAACAACAGTTCATTCATTGCCCTCGATGATGGGTTTCTCTTATCATTAAAGCAGCCAGCTTTGACGTGTTTTACTGAGCAAGAATAGTCTGTTCGATAGAAAGTGCTGAAATCAGAGTTTATTGCAAGATATACAATTTAATTTTGCCATTTCGATCGAGTCGCTAGCTAGCCAAGAGGTAGAGCAGAAGCAAACTCGTTCAGGAAAGGATAGTGGAACTCAATGAAAATCGTAGCATAAACCACTTTTCAAAGAAAGGCCCCTGATTTGGACGCAATTCAAGTTTAGCTCGACATATTAGTTAAATGCGGTAAGATAAGGTTACATTAGCCTACACAACTCTAGGATCAAAAGTTCCTACCCCCCACCCCTCTCTGAAGACGATGAGTTGGCACGCTGGCTACTCATTTATATTTCAGTTACTCGCCTCACGAAATGGCTTACCTACGAGGAAAGAAATTTTATCAAAATCTGTACCTGACAAAGGTCTTTTTGCGCGAGGGACGTCTTTTAAACCTATACAGATGAAAAATGACTTTATTACATTTTACATTTGTCATTTCCTTACCCAGCTGTAACCAAAAACTAAAATTGTGTCAGCGCACAGCACGGGTCCCTGAACTATTTACTTCGAAGGAAATCGAGTTGTCTTCAATTGCGAAATTTAACCCAAGTTTTCAAGTGTGCATCCCATGTAAATCCTCACAATATTTTCGTTCTGTTTTGGCTTATTATTCTCTTTGAAATAACAGCATGTTTGCCCATAACCTCCATGATACCAGAATGCAGTTACTTCTGCCTCTGGTCCTTTTCCCTTCCTTTTCTAACCAAACAAACGATTTCCTTTGACTTTTTATCACATGAAAAGGAATTCTTTCCTCTACCAAAATTTCGTGACGTGGGCTTTTATTACCCTCCGTTTCCCCTTCAAACAACAGCCACGAGAGCCTGTTCAGAACCGGCATCCCTGAGGCAAAAATAGCAACTTTAGTGCTTAGATCTAGGTGAAGCGGCCACGTTTCTTTACCTACCAAAATCATGCCCTGTGTATATCTCTTCGATGAATTCACCATAAAGGCCAGTGATTTTAACTGTCCATAGACATACAAATACACAGAGAAATATATGTCTATCCATGGGGGTTCAATATGCACTAGTGAAAAAAATAACAGAGAAAAACACATTCAAGCTAGCCCCAGGCAAATTTTAAACCTTTAATCCCTAGGAGTGACGTCTACGAGATGAATCAAAGACATGAATCAAGACATACGAAATGAATAAAAACATGAAGGTCACGAGGATGAAGTAAGTAATCGCCTATCAACAAGCTCTTGGTTGTTAAACGCATTTTCCTCATCAGCACCTTAGGAAATGTATAGAAAAGTCAGTAGGGATGATATACTTACCGATCTTAGGGTGTAAGAAGGTAACACGTTAAAGCATAAAGCTGAGTACAAACATTTCAAACGTAAAACCAGAAGGAAAAAAATTAATTGGTTTTCTGGTCAGCTTGCATGTTATTACAGTCAATTCTCAAACATTTTCTCGCGAGGGTGGGAAAACCCAAGTGGAGAATCATGCATCAGCTTTTCTCAGTAGTAGACCATGGTTCTTTGAATTTGTTGTGCGCCAGTGGCTGTTGGCAATTACAACCAAAAACATTCAAAACAGTTAAGGCAAGATAAGAATGCAAAATTGTGATTTACATCTAAAACCAGCCTCTCTTTTTAAATGTCTACAAGTAAAGTAAACAAAATTTTAATTAACTTGTGAAGATGTGGATCTTTAAAATAATGAGCAGATGTGGTGTATTGAAATTTTCCTTGAACATATCTCGACCAAAGAATTTCTCGAAGTCGAAAAGTCGAAGGAAGCGGATGTCATAGGTGTATGGCTCCTTTCCTTATCAAAAATATTCTATAAGTCACATAATAAACCAGGTTGCTAGGGTCCGTAAGCATTTCAATTCGCCTGAAAGGATTCGTACAAACCTCCTCCTAAGAACTATCATTCAAGAGTCCTTTTCCTCCCTCTGATTCCACCCAACGAGTTAAATTAAGTATCGTTCGTTTCAAACCTCATTTACCCCTCAAAACTTTCCACAAGCAGTAAGTGATCTGTGCACTTTAGTTAACGAAATCTAAGATGGTATTAAAATGCAGGCATTATAAAGTAATCTATATGCGAGCGAAGACAGACACCGCCTTTGTTGCTATTAAACTTTAATCCAAATTCTGACAGGTTGACGCAAATGATAGATATCCAGCCACCTCCACTCTTTAATAAGTTGTTGATTGACTTTCATTCGTTTATTTGCGCTAATTTACGTAATAAAAGCCATTTATTCCAAGACTCCTCTCCCCCACGTATTCTATAAACGTCACTAGTTTGGATCCGATTTTGTACGTGGCAAAATTGACTAAGTTTTAAAAGTTAGTTTGTAGACCTTTTCTTCTGAGCCATCGGCTAGCAACAGTGAACTATTTATCTTTAAACACCTCCATGCCGCTGTGATTAAATTTCGCGATTAGTGAAAACTGTCCGATTTCTTAAAACGGATATGAAAATGTAAACCTTTAAATAACTTTGGTTGAAATCGCAAATTTGTACCCAGAGTCCCGTTACGTTTGTCTAGTCAAGGGGAGCAAGGACTCTGGGCACGGGATTCCTGAAATGGTGCCGGTATATAGGCCTTTATAGATTGTGTTAGCATGTCTGGCATAATTTGAAAAAACAAGCTTAGTTTTTTTCAATTTTTATAAAAGTAGAACAGCTTGATTATTTGATGATTATTTGATGATTATTTGATGATTATTTTCAAGTCCGGTCCACGGTTCAATCAATTATCAATTTTGCCATGTCCTGGGGTAGAAGGTAACTGCAATACTGCGTCATTCGTCGTCTAGATTGTGTCGGTCCCATTCCGCTTTCCCAAGCAAATAAATAGCATTGTGCAACTTACAAATACGAGAAGAAGAACAGCCACCCCACGGGTCAGAACGTTAGTATCACCATTATGTTCTGATCATCAGAAAATATCAAACGTGATATTAGCATTGTACATTTTAACACCTTGAGTCACTGCTTCTAGTCTGGAATGAAGTATTGTAATTAGCTGTGTTTTATCAGAGCAAATGTGTAACTTAGGATCAAGAAGATATCATACTTTATTAACAATAGATATATAATTTTGATTTTTCTCCTTTTTCTTTTTTTCAAAAGCGTACTCAAAAAATGTAGCGTCAATAGCAAAAACCGAGCATAATTTTGAGCATAATCTCAATGTACAAGCGCTCTAGCAGTGCTATTACTGGAACCGAATAGGGGCACTTATGGAAAGAGGGTGCTTACTTAATACGGGTGATTATTAGAACAGGTGTGCTTATTGGCAAAACAGGTTCGAGGGAGGCTCTCATTAGAGAGGGGGTGCTTATTGGGAGGAGGGCGCTAAATCGAATCATCTGATGGTACCTTACATTCCGAATTAGGCAGAGGTACACCAACACTCCCCGGTTTGCTTTCTCCTACAGGCTGCAAATGCGTGGCAAGAACTTCTGTCATGCCAAAACCTGGAAGTCAAGATTAAAGTCACGCAGTTGCGAGTTGTCTGGCAGGTCACGAGGTTAAAGGATTCATACCGTCTTCCTTTATGGGCTTGTTTGAATGAAGGTGGGGGACTCCAGATAGGTGAGGTAATCTGCCTTGCCATGCTCAAAAAATAGCCTGCGTTTAAGAACAATCTTACAACCCCGGGAGCCCGAGGTGAGGTTTTTGGCATGCTTGCTGGCTCGCGATTCTCAACCCTAGCTTCCAGCATCTCCGCAAGGAACGTTTGGGACCATGATGCAGTTTTGGTGATTAGAAGAGAAAAAATACGGCTTGAATTTTTCGGCTCGAGCGTTCCTACGAAGCTCAATTAAAGATTTGAGCATTTTTTAGTTATATTTTTTCTTAAGTTAAGGTAAAGTAATACGATACGTGCCCTCGTCCTATACGTAACCGCTTTCCAGGGCCATATTGGCCAGCTACATATACTCAGTGGACATATGAAACCTTTCATGGCCCATTCAATAGAGACGGTGAGAAACTGGTGACGAGTCAATAAACAAGATGGCGGTCTCAATGGTTGTGTTCGTGCTCGCGTATGTATTTGTTATGAGAATTCTTTACAAATCGTCCGGATTTCTGGCTGACTGGGTGAGAAATTAGTACATTAAGTTTATTTTCGTTTGCGTGTTCTTAGTACACTATGCATATGTACTTACCTCAGCAGGATTAGATTTTCTCCGAGAATTTAAGGCGTTCGTACCTATTTAGAGCAGTTTAATTCGTATTTAGGGTTATCAATCGATTTTCTAATTCCTGGTGTAGGTATCGGAAGAGAATGCAGCGGGCTAGTTATAAATTAAGTAAAATTTTTATTGCATTGAATTCCGTATCGATGCGAAACTACAAGGTAGTAAAGAAAAGAAAAGTAAATAATGTTGATAACTGAATCGCTGTTGTAGTAATTTTAAGAGGGAAGTAGATCGCTGTAGATAAATGTCTGATAAAACTTAATTGATCAGGATCGATTTTGTTAGATCTTAAGCAAGTGAAGGAAAATTCAATTTATTGACTACTACCGCTACTACAAACCAAATTTGTAGGACATGGCATTTATTGTATTGGGTCACCTTCAATAAAATTCCTTTGTGGTTAGTTCCACTTTCAATGTAAGTTTGCATCGATTATATTTCAAAAACAGTTACCAAGACTCTTGATGAGTAAAGAACAGAATGGGAGTCACCTAAAAGACACAATCATTCAACTGAAGAATGAGCAAATGAAGATAAGTGCTCAGGTAAAGTGGAGATTATCTATGTTAAATCAGCTTTGAAATGTTACCATGAACATCAGACTGAAATGGCAATAAGATGATATGCAATATTATGACTTGCAATAACTTTAATGCATGCTGTATTACCTTGGGTAAGCACCCCTGCTCCAAAAAGCATCCTCCCCCAAATAAACATCCACCCCCTTGACCATAATTTCAAACAAGCATCCCCCTCAATTAACCACCACCCCTCCTCCATCACTTTCTTAACCCTTTAACTCCCAGAAGTGATTAACATGTAACTTCTCCCTGCAAACAGGTAATGAGAATACTCAAACATAGCAAGTAGAAGTTGTTGTCTTGATCTAACGCCAAGTTCTTGTAACTAATATAAAAGGAAATATGTAAAAGTTGGAAGAGAGAATTGACTATCAGATCTTGTGAGTTAAAGGGCTAAACAGTGTGAATAAAAAGAAACCAATTTCATTTGCCACTTCATCTTTAACTTTATGAGCTTCAGTTACCATGGGGAATACTTTCTTTTCCTTTTTAGTTTTTTCTATCTACATGGCCTTGCAGAGTTCTCTTATGTGTGTTATCTATCCTTTCGATTTTTGTCCTATAGCTGCACTGAGCAATAAGTGCCCCCCCCCCCTCAATTAGGCTCCCTCCTTCCAATGAGTGCCCTCTTTTTTTCTGAAATTTTAAATAAGGAAGTGTGTTATGTAGGAAGCCAAAGTTTCCTGGGTAACATCAATTTCAATTTTTTTTCAGGATGAGTTTGCTCGATACATACGCCTTGAAAGAGAAATTAAGAAATTGAATGAGAAGCTGTCACAAATAGGTACTCTAAGTTAAGTGGTTGATATTGCTTCAGTTCTAAATAGGTACCAAGTGAAAGATTCACAAAGTGAAATTATGAACATTACATTAACCCAGTAACTCCAAGAAGAGTTTAAAATGTGACTTCTTCCTGTAATATCCATACACCATCAAGAAAACAGGTAATGGGAATTCTCAAACTTATCAGGTGGAAAATTGCTATCTTAATTAGACATCAAATTCCTGTAACTAATTTACAAGGAAATGTGTGCAGCCAAAGGGGAGAATTAACATTCAGATCTTGGGGGTTAAAAGGTTAAGCATTTTTATGTCATATGGTCTTCATCTTTCAGTCGTTAAGTATTGTTTGTTCATCTTTTATAAAAATTTGAAGTTGGAAATAAAAATGGAGCTATCCTAGAATATTTTTAGAAGCACCAGCACCTTAATTATTTGGAATAATGCACAGAATTTCTCTTTGATTGTTGTTTCTTACTCTTATCAAGGATTTCAGACTCATGTTGTGGTTCAAAATTAATATAGATTGAAACATGATCTTAAATTAGTATGAATTGTCATAATGATAACTCATATACAAGAGGAGATACAGATCAACTTAGTTTTAAATCATTTGCAAAGTTTTCTTTTAAAAAAATTTTAAGCTGCTCAATGCAGCTGGCTGAAGTCCCCCGTAGAGTTTAATATGGAGCATATTATAACCATAGAAAATGCTTTATGTGAATGCATCATCATCATTATCTCTTACTCTTATTAATGATCAAGACGTTTATCTCTCTTTATAATATCAATAAAATATGAAGCAGACAAATGATGAGAATAGAAAACAAATCAATGAGAGGATTTTTAATTGATCCAGTACTCCTAACTAACATCATAAGAACTGTATGGCTCAGAGTAAGGAGATGTACTGATGAGAACTTGGGATTTAAAGGGTTAACTTGAACTTCATTTTAACTTGCAATACCTGTATCTATAAGCACAGAAGAACTCAGGGATAATTCACCATTTTGATACTTGCCTGTGATCCAACTCACTTGTAAGCTCTGACCACAAAGAAATAGTAACTTTGTTGTGATGTGTGCATTTTCATTGCACATTAAATGAAGGGGGAAGCAGGAATACACTGTACAGTACTATGGAATTGCCTTTCTTGAATCCCAATTTGTTTTTGTTTCACAATCTGAAATATTTCCATTTCTTTAGTGAAACAGAGAAGTGAGAAGATTACAGTTAGGAGTAAAATATTAACAGCAATATTTATGGGACTATTGGTACGTGTGATCCACATAGTATCTGTTATGGTAAATTCAAGTGCAAACCTTTTCACTTCCAGAGGTGGCCAGGAAGTAGTAGAGTTGAATACCAATTTGCTTTCAAAACATGCTTAGTAACCCTACACCCTAAATCACTCCCAAGATCTTATTGGCAATTCCCCTTAATGTCTGCCACATAATTCATATTAATGTTAGTTTGGAGAATTTTTCCTTTATTCTCCTTACTTGCCTGCTATATATTGTATTGATATTTTGCAGAGAAATTCATCCTTGGTTACTCATGGAAGTGAAAAGGGTAAATTATCATTCTTGGATATCTTTTCAACATGAAGCAATACATTGACTTTAAAAGTGTAAATTTGACAATACCAAATCTACTCTCAATAGAAAATTACACAGATGGCACAAAAAGGAACAACTCTTGCTGCCTAATGTAACCCTTTTAGGACACCTCACAATGGAGTATAGTGCTGTCATTTTTGATCATGGATATGCAAAACATAAGAATGAGTAATGTGGGAATTCAATTGGAAAATTTTTGTGGGGTCAGCTCAGCCTTAGGAGTCAGGGGAGGGCATGCATCTTATTGAAGATGGCTGATTGATTGTTAGTTATGGCTGATCAATTGGCAAGGACTTCTGTGGAGATGATGGCTCAATTCTGTTTCTTGGAATCACAGGATTACTGTACAAGTACTGCATATTTTAATGATATTCTGCACAGTATATCCACAGATTCACCATAGTGTCACTTTGATTCATCTTAAAGGGAGTCTGTCATATGGCATTTGTGTTTGTGTACAGAAAGGAGCCAGTGGTGTTGTTACCTGTGCAATGGTTCTATCCACTCAACAGAATTTTAGCCTTCCCTACTGGAATACCTGGTGAGCTACAGTATCAAATGATATCAAAGCAAACCAAGACTGAACAAAATTTTCCTTAAAGAGAAATGATAGCTCTATGACTAGCATGTTGGACTTCAGATGATATTGTGTTCCTTGGTAAGAGTGTCTGTGTCCACTCAAGAGTATAAAAGCTGTGGGTACCAGCAAACTGTAATCTCTTTAACCCCTGGGAGAGAGCTGCATCTAATATCCTTTAACCCTTTAACTCTAAGAAGTGATTACCTGCAACTTCTCACTATAGTATCCATATATTATCCAGCAAACTGGTAGTGAGAATACTCAAACTTATCAGGTACAAGATATGATATTGATCCAACACCAAATTCTTGTAACAAATGTACAGGGAAATGTGTAGCAGCTAGAGGGGAGAATTAACAATCCAATCTTGGTAGTTAAAATGGGTTTACATTATTACAGGTGAATCAAACATTAAGGTCACAAGAATTAAGGAAATGATCAATATTTGAATGAGACCTTGATTTTGAAACAAATTCTCCTTGTCATTAACTGTAGGAAAGGTGAAAAGAGCAGTTAGGTGAATATGTATGCTGATATTAGGGTGTAAGGGGTTAAAGAAAGCTTGAAGAAATACTGCAGAAGGGTGGGAGTAACATGATTAATTTTCATCAACAAGCTCCTGATTGGTAAGTGTAATTAATTACACTTAGTTCCTTAGTTTAATCACCAAATAATTTAACTTTTCATTGTTATTGATCCTGATAATTTCAACATTTTTCCTGACAATAATTTCAACATTTTTCTTGTCACAGGGGCTGTTGGACTTCCATGCTGGATTGTTACATCAAATAAAATCATCTCAACTGTGCTGTTTTGAGATGAGCAAGGACATACCTGCACTGACAGTGGCAAGAGGCATTAAAAACTGAGACCATGAAGATGTCAGTTCTAATTGCTGGCCTAGTCATGGCTGTTGTCAGATTGGAAGAAAACATAACCTGTCTTCTTGGAGCTTAACAATGGAGAAAATGCACTGCAGCCAAAGCCAGAACAACAGAGTCTGACTAATTTCAGTTAATAGTGAAAGTACAAAGAGGTGAACCCAGATTCAGGGGGGTAGGGGAACTTCATATACTATCTTGATGTAACAGTGCCCTCATAAGAAAACTAAAACCATCATTTGTGATGTTTTCATCGCCAAGTAAAGATGATAATTCACTCTTGGCTGTAGGTGTTGCTAGGAGTGAGAAAATCATTTAAGAAGTGCATGAAGAGGAATGGCTCACAGCCACTAAATTTAATAAGAAAGAGTAATAATATTGCTGAAATGTTGAGAAAGGACTGCTCTTTTTCATGGACAATTAAAGTGAAATGTTTATTTTGAATTGTTAGTGCTCCATTTAATTTTTGATTGAGATCACTGAAGGCGTATTGAAATAAGTTCCGAAGTTTATTTAGTGAACAACAAAATTTGAGCATGTTAGAGCACTTCAACTTATTTTCTTCCTCTAAGCTTTGTAGGAAGATTAAGAACTGATGCAATCATTGAATAAGTTCATGGATCCTGTTTGAACATGTCGACCTCTTTTGTCTTGGGAATTGCACACACCCTGGTTATCAGCCACAAACTTACAGACATGGTGTTAGTAGTGTTAGCGGGAATATATCTGGATGGGCTTTAGAGCAGAATGATAGAAATATGTGAAAATAGGCTGAGAAGGAAATGTTCCAAATCTCCATACAATCCCAAATGAAAAAAGTCTAACTTCAAACAATTAAAAATAGGATGGGAAAAAATACTGCACTCACACAGCAATTGAGGAGACAAAACAAAGTTCTTTGTCTTCGTCACTGTTGTTGTGCTTTTTTGTTCAAGCATTTCAGTGGATGATGTTATGAAGGCAAAAATGCGTTAGAAAAGGCTTCTCATAAGGAATATTCATTCACGAAACCCCTTTTGGGTTGACCACCTATAAACTGATGGGGAGAGGGAGAGGGGTGTTGTAACCTGAATGATACGATACGGAAAGAGCCACCAAGTGTTTGTTTGACAAGCATTGCTGTTTGGATATTGTGAACGCATTAGAAGCACACTTCGACATAAATGTCAGCCACACATGCAAAAGGGCTCAACGAGTCTACAACTGCTAAGTCAAGCTACAAAAAGACAGACCCATCTGATGAGAAAATATTTTTATTAGTGAGATTTGCGTCATCTATTAAAACACGACATCGATTAAAACACGACATCGATTGAGTTTAGCCTCAATAACGGACAGTACTTGAGAAAATTAATAGAGGTTCTTATAAATGGATGTCACAACAAAAAAAAAATGTCATGGCTAACTTCTCAAACTATCCGAAGATCTTTTGCGCGAAGGTAACGCGTCTCTTAAATACTTATCTATATTATAATTTAGATAATTTTTAAAACTCTTTATTATAGAATAACTTCCTCAATCTCGTCATCAATATCATCCAGCGCATTATCTACAGCGCGTACATTTTTCTCTGTGCTTTTTCCGATACTTTGCAAATGTTTCCTTCGAGGCAGGAGAGAATCCTCTTGAGATACGTTAGATCTTGTAACATTTACTTTGTTTTCCCATGGGTAAGATGATTTGTCTTTTTTTATGGAGCTGTCTCCAAACAGAGGATTACCTGCAGGTTTGACTTCCTCATTTGTAAAAAGATCGTCGTCAAACAAAGAAGCTGTTTTACCACCATAATTTCTTGGTCTGCGACCACGTGGGGGACTTGACTTTCCCCCAACGTCACCGTTTGGTAGGCTGGAAGCTGCTGGCTCACGCGACCCTCCAAAAGAAGGGTTATAATCCCCAAAGATGACACCGTTTTGTTCTTTTTCAGTAGCGTTTTTCTTCCCGGTGCCAAAGTTAAGACCGCTATTTTTGCGAGCTGTCTCTTTATTCGAACCAAAAGAAGGATTATACCCTCCAAAACTCAAATCGTCTTTATTGTCTCTTTTGGCGGCAGCCCTTCTGCCCAGTGTAGGTTTGTAAGTACCAAAACTTAGATCGTCCGACAGAGAGTCTTTCGTGTCCGATTTTTGGGCCTCTGGTTTTACGCCCTCCTGTGCAGCATGCGCAGGGAGACCATGATGAAGATTTTCTACAGTTTGTTTGAAATCGTACGAGAAGCGGCTTTGTCTCGAGCTGGCGCTGAACTTCTTTCTGCCGCCACTGGTATCGGACAGAATATCGTCATCCGAACTTGCCGCGTTTGGAGGCTTCACTGGCTCCTGCTCTGTTTTCACAGGTTTATCGCTCTGAAGGAAAATCGGAACTTTTTTGGGTTTGTCTTCCACAGGGGGACCAGTAGTCCCTCCGGTTGCAGTCACAGTGTCTGTTTTCTCGTTTCCTACATCAATCGCTCGCATGCGCGCCAGCAGCATATCTTTCTTCCGTCTGATCCCAGCTTCTTCTTCAAATCGCTTTTTTTCTTCTTCTTCCTTTTGTTTCATGGCTCGTTCCTGTTCCTCTCGTTGTTTCCTTAATTGTTCCTCCTCTTCGCGCAATCTTCTCTCATGTTCTTCTTCCTTTCGTTTCTCTTGCTCTTCTTTCCTTCTGCGCTCTTCCTCGTCAATGCGCCGTCTCTGCTCCACTTCCTCCTCATGTCTCCTTCTCTCCTTAGCTTCTCTCCTTTTTTTCTCTTCGTCTTCCTTTCCATCAACTTGGAGGACCCCTCCATGTCTCGTCTGTTCAGAAACCACGGGAAGTTCATGATTAACGCTGACTTTTTCAGACTTCTCATCTGTGTCCCTCCCTTCATCCGTTACAACCGAACCAGAGTCGCTCGCCGCATTTGTCAAAAATACATTTGTTCTTTTCTCTTTCGTATCTGGCGCTTTTTCAATGTGAACCGCTGGAGCAGTGATAGCGGGTGCATGAATGCCCTGGCTGCCCGCAGGGAGTGCTGGTAAATTTGGAACTTTCTTTTTCTTCTGAACAATATGTTGATGATAGATGTTCTTCTCATCCAATTCTCTCTCTTTTTCCTAGTGAAGAGGAAAAAAAAAGCTTTCACGTGAACTGGGAAAATAGACTGCTCAACGTTAAGACACGTGGAGCTACGCGACAGCAGAGAAACAAAGGAAGCATCATCACTGAACAAACCTATGAAGTCTCAGATGTCAAAGAAAAAGGATTCTCATGGACACAACTGTTTAAAAAATGCTTCCATTCTCAGAAGCTTATAAAAATTTGTTGACGAAATCACGTTTTTGTTGCATCGATTGCATAACAATTACCATAGGAAGAAGATAAATAGAACATTGAATACAGACTAGTTCGATCTAAATGTATATCATCAAGGCCGACTAGGAGCGACAACAACTTCCGCCTTAAAGTGAGAGTTCAGTGCTTTCAAGTGGCTAAGAAAATCGAAGGCAAATGCTATAACAAATTACAAAGCACTTCTCAACACCACATGTGCTGCACGAAAAATTCACACATACAGATTGCGATTTCCTTGATTAGTTTATACGTTAGTTTTCTGCCTAGGTCTTTTCCTTGTGTAAAATACATCAAATTAATGACGATTATTTTTTGCGAAGTTGTAAAGCCGTCCTCTCTTGTGCTAAGTCTACAACGCTGATAAAATGAAGCAAATGCTACACATTTTATTTTCATAAATGATATTTTTTGCCACAATGCGCTCTCAGTCAAAGAGAGAAATGCGGCGTAGAATTTTATCATACATTCAAGCTGACAAGAGCGTTAAAATATGGCGAAATTCCTGCAAACCTTCATATGACAAAAACGTGAATGTGGAAAAACATTAATTACCTTCAATCTTTCTCGCAGCGAGCGGAAATCGTCTTGGACCCGTTTTAATTCTTCTTTCGCCTGCTTGTAGCGCTCTTTTTGGTCCTTCATCTCTCGCTGTCTTGCCTTGTCTTTAAGAGCGATAGCTTTTTCTAGATCCTAAAAACCGTGAGAAACAAACAGCTGAGTAATACATTTTAATGGCTAATTTATTAACGATTCATGACAGCACGTTTTTAGGGAGGAAATTCAATTGACATAATAAGCTTTAGGGGGCAGTTAGTCTGTCAAAAGCTTCGTCATGGAGATACAAAAGGAGTGAGGTAAAAGGTTTTTTTTTTGTTCGATCCAACGCTTATTAAGGTTGAAAAGTTGCTATGTGAATTTTACAAAAACATTCCAGAAGCACCTGGAAAACAAACTTTGCATAAAAGTGGTGCTATTTTAAGATTACTAAAAGTTTGATTATATTTAGGGACATTGTAATTTGGGTTTCATGCATTTTAAACCTTAACAGTTATTACTAAGATTCTTCAATGGTGAATTCTTTTTTTTTTTTTTTTTTTTTCTACACCAGACAATCAGAACGAAGGAAAAAATATATCACAAGGAGTCAATGACAACCAGAGTCATAAAACCATATTCCAAGTGATCGAATCAGCCAATCGGGAGAAGGAATGTATAGTGTATGTCACGGGGAACCAATGAGAAACGAAAGCAAAAACAAGCTAACTGTCTAAAGCGCGGGAAAGCATGCGCGACCAATCGCAATCAGTTTTAATTTTGCATTTGATTGGCTAAGAAGGTGGCGGGAGTTTAAAGACCAATTACAGAGAGAGGCAAAAGGAATAAACTAATGCTTTCGACTGTCATCTAAATAATACGCCGACCATTTTCCTTCGTTAATATTATTTCTCTAGATCACTTTACTTCGGTTTTACGACACTGATAAGCCACCTTCGTTTCTTAATCCCCTTTGAGTCTTCAAAACTAACTTACCAATATCTTTTTGTCTTTTGTTGCTATTTCGTCCTGGACGTTCTCTAACTTCTTCGCCAAAGTCGCTCGTTCTTCAAGTTTCCTGTCTTGTGATAGTACTCGAAAACTCTTGACTTTGTCACGCAATTTCTGAATCTCGGCGTCTCTTTCTTTAGATTCCCTCTCTTTCTTGTGCAAAACGTCTTGATTTTTTCTCATTCTTTCTTTCAAAGTTCGCATCTCTGCGCTGTGCCTTTGAAGCAACATGGGCAAACTCGCTTCCTCTTCGTCGATTTTCTTAATTTGCTTCTCTTGTCGATGGCTCACTCTTTTCAGAGATTTATTCTCGTCCTTTAGTTCTTCGACTTCTTGTTGTAGTTCTTCCAAAATATTGTAAAGTCTTGAAACTTTGTGTTTGTTAGCAGACAACACGCGTCTCATCATTGAACTCTCCCCAACAGTGGTTTTGGTTGTCATCTTTGAGCTAGCCGATTGGCTCTTCTTAGGTTTATTTTTGGGTGCACCTAAAATACACAAAGAAAAATATGTTTACACCCTAACATCAGTATGCATATTCTCCATTCTCTTCACCATACATTACCTAAGACGATGTCTAGGAGAATATTTTAAACAATCAAGAGCTTCTTTAGATGGTGATTATTTCCTTTATTCTCATGACCTTAATGTTTGATTCAGGGGTGATAGCACAAGGAGAAATTAGTTGTTAATCACTCTTAAAGGTCTATGGGTTATAGAAGACAGAGATGTTGTACTTCTACTTAATAAATAACAAGATAAAGAGCAAGATTCGATAAGTCTATTTAAGCTTAAAATAAAAGGACTTAAATTTAAAGGAGGGATTTGTAAAGTTAATATGTGAGTAAATGCGACAATGTCAAGTAAAATCTTCTTTATCGCATCACACATCCCATCTCCTACACAACAACCTTTCAATCATAAAATGCAACCCTTGTTTCTATGGATTCATTATCAACGCATCAGTAATGTTAGTGCCTGGTTTTATTTGAATACTAATTCTTCTCACTTCTGCCATTCCTATTTGCAAAACAAAGAACAAAAAAAAAAGCAAGTGGAAGGTAACTACCATTTCAAAAAAGGCCTCATCTGACATTTGAAATGACAAAATCAAGCTAGTCTATGACCATTGATCTTGGATGCAGAGTAGCAAAAAATAAGCATGGGAATGAAGTTAAGCTATTTACTATTTCAGCCTGAAACTTTGGACCAATCGCCTCAATTTTTATTTTCTCACAGATTTAAATTTCAATCTGTCTAAAAGTCTTGATTTCTTTCTCAACGTTGTCTTGAAATTTTGACTTCCTTTAATTTGAGGTTAGGGTTAGCTTCCTGAAAAACATCACCCTTCATTCACTATCTTGCAAAAGTCATAGATTCAATTCACTCAGCTCTTCTCAGTGAAAGTAGAAATAAAATAGGCTCTTGATGTACTATAAAATCAATCCTGTGGCCTCAATGATTATACCTGCATAGATGGCTGTTTAAAACATAGCTCACATAGCAAATAACTACTTGGTATAAAATTTTAATCACAGCATGGTACAGTAAAAGTGGCTGAGACCCAATGAATTAAAAAAAAATTTATACGTGTACTTTCATTAGGAAAAAAATAAATACATGTAAGAAAAATTTGTAGGTAAAAACTCAACCTGAACAACAAGTTTGTTCTTAAAGGGGAAAGGTCATAACACCTTAGATATATTCAATTTACCATTTGTTACAGAGACAGATCAGCAGGTTTTTGTACATGATGTATCTTAAGTAAAGAACAATTTGATCAACCTTAAACTTAGCCTGATTTTTATCAGATAAACCAACATGTAAGTTTTTAATATTCTCCCATTGATACCTTGTGTCAGTTTCTCCATTTTCTCTCTATGCTAGAATTTTAAAATTGTCTAATATGATATGATCTGGCCTACAGTAAGAGGATCAAGGGAAAATTCCCTTAATCTTCAATAATTTAGTTATGAGGATAACTGTATGTTGGCACATGGCAGAGGTCATTATAGCAAAGCTAAAAAATTGTGTTTCGGAAATTTGATTGGCAAAACTTAAAACAAATTAGCATAGAATAATTTGGGTAAAAAATATTGGACAAAGACAAGCTCGTACACGCAAATATAAAATATCCTTGTTACAGAGGAAATCAACAAAAGTAACTAAAAATGACCAGTTAATTTATTTTAATATAAAAAGTCTCCTGAAAGGATGAAATCGCCACTTATAAACTATAAAATAAACGCTGTGAACACTGTGAGTTTTTCTCTCCTTTGATTACAATTAATTATTTATATTGAAATTGTATAGCTAGGTGTCAGACGTGCTGTAGAAACTGTGTACTGGGTACAAACAAACAAAAATGTATGCTTTTCGTTCCACCTCAAATTTCCCTCAGCGCCTTTTTATTTGGAACGCTGTTCCATGGAGGCTTTTATTATAGTTGAAACATAAGTAAACTTAATGGTCTCGATATCAAAAACTCGCCAGGACCATTTAAAATTGGTTTACGTTCAGACATCGATTGAATTACAAGAAATTGACTAGAGCCTACAACGGATACTGATTTCTACACCTTTTGTGAATAGCAGGTATTGACAATCAACAAAAATAACTTTCCACAATATTCTCAGACTCGATAGTGTTATGAGTAATGTCAAACAAAAATCAAGACCTCATAAGACTAAAAACCACATCAGACACATTGCCGAAAAAGGAAAACAAAAATCGGATACTGGAAATTTACCTCTGTTTGTACCATATGCACTTCGATACGAAGAAAATGAGTCCCTCCTTGTAGATGCCTTTTTCGATCGTGATCGTTGTTTAGGAGGTGAATCAGACGGTGATCTCGAAGTTGATCGAGCCCTCTCTGATATTCTTGATTCGCGTCTCGAAGAATATCTCCGAGATCTTGTTGCATTTTTCGTGGGACTCGGGCTGTCAAAATCATCCTCGTAACTATCATAGTTGTCAGAATATTCGCCGGACATTTCACGTTTTTCCTGTAGTTTCTCCTTGGCGTGGAGACTTTCTCTCCTTGTCACAGAGATCACTGAAGTTTTCTTAGATCTCACTCGATCCAACGCTCCGAAATCGGTCTCATTATTATAGGACGAATTCAAAGCGATGTTTGACAAAAGCGGTGGATTTTCAAATTCTAGAGTCATAACAGGACTCTAGAGTTCCGATTGTAGTATTTTAAGGACAAATTCTTCGATCGATCGACAGCAATCTCGTGCAAATTCACTGTCACTAAGTGAGTAGTTAACAGAGCAGTACAAACATGGCGGCAGTCGAATGTTATGAGTCCGTGACGTCAGGTTGCCAAAACACCGCGTAGTCACGGAAACGAAAACAACTTAACTTGTGCTCAGGCTTCTGTCGGTTCCAAACAAACCGCTAAGATGCCTGCCTTGTCTTGTGTTATTTCGCTTTTTGTATCGTTCAATTTAGCATTTTTATTTCCTTTTTTTTTAGTTTTATCTAGCTTGGAAAATAAATACATACTAAGCCTATATCAAATCTACACTCAAGCTCGATCGTACGAAGAAACCAGAAGAGCCACATAAAATCTTGATCGTTTACGACAAACGCTTAAGTTAAAGTGGTTTTTTCAGTGACATACAAGAGATTGTAAGAGACTGCAGTAGAACACAAGCGATTGCAAATGGCGAGATCTCTCGACGGGGGTCAATCTTGTGACCTTCTGATAGATACTGCGGATTAAAAGAAAAACTTAAAAAATCTTTTCAAAGACTCAAATTATAATTTTAGCACCATTTGTTTTTTCCTGCATGTGTGTGTGGTCAAATGCCTCAGTTGCTTCAAAAGGGGTCCGACAATTTTTTTGGAATAATTTCTAAAAAAATGGTATTACGCCTAATATCTTCAGTTCTTCGAATTCAGCATTAAGAAAGCTTATCCTTAAATTCATCGTTACACCTCTGGGAGAATAGTTTTTCCTTTTGTAATGTATTTTTGTTAGACAAAAAATAGAACCATTTGGAGACCATATTCAATATTTATCAGACTATAGTATTTTCTAATTCCTTGCTTACTCTTCAAATTGAAAAATGAGACTGACGAACTGAATAAAAAAAGTGAGCAGCGTTCCAACAATGGTCAATGGTTCAGATCAAGAGAACATGGAACGAGAAATGATCCCGATGACAATTTTTTGGACCTTTTTAATTTTTTTTATCCCAAAATATTGAGTTCGTCGAGACAGGAGTATATTTGAGGGGTAACTTCTAGCAAATCATGTTCTCTCGGCCCGATGAAATATTTAATAATCAAAAGGATCAAACGTCTTCCCCTTACCATGTCGCCGAGGACGCATAGAAGGAAGATGCGACTTCTTTCCATAGATTACAGCCGGTGGATAATTGACAGCTGTCATTACATCAACTATAGATGTCTGCCTAGAGCGCTGACTTGTCGATAAATTACTGCGTGGAGACTGGACCGTACTCACAGGCCGTGTACTTGTAGACGAAGCGCGTTCGGTTTCCGCACCAGTCCACCGGCTGCTAACTCTGCCACTGTGCTCGCTTTCTGGAGGTTTTGTGCTTGATTTTTCGTCGCCCCTACTTTCAGTTCGACTTCCAAAGAAAGCAGAATCACTTGTAGATATTTTGGTGCTGTTTTGAATGTTAAAATTGTCAAAGGAAACCTGCTTCACTGGTCTTCGTTTTCTGCGAATAAGTTTTTGTTGTCGTGTGTTTAACACGTCGGAATTATCACTGCTGTGCGAGCTCTGTTTTTTTAACTGAGGTCTCCCCTTAAAATGAATATCACCAGTTTTCTTCCCCGTTCTTTGTAAAGTAGGCTGCTGCTTAACTACTTTTGTTTTGTCTATATTCGTCTTTCCTTGCTTAGCGTTGCGCATTTTTCTGGTCATCAATCGTTTGCGAACGTTGTCTTTCATCGAACAATCAACAACTTCTGTCACCTCTTCCACGTTACTAGTCACACTGCCACGCTCACCAAACTCAGCCCAGTTTTTGATTGACACATCAGATCTCCTACTGTTCGCAGTTGAAGTTAAAGCATTCCGTGAGCTGCTGCCCTGTCGGCTCAGTTCTCGGCGATCAAATATCGTGCTCTCTACATCATCAAACTCGCTTACCGCAACAGTCCGGGGTGTTGCCGACCTTCCGCTGACCTGCCTACTATCCGGAGGGGTGTTATGACTCCTTTCTTCTTCTTTCTCTGCTTGTAAATCTTCAGCTACAGGGTCTCCTTCCTCATCTACTTTCACCTCATCTCCTTCAGTTATCACATGTCTGGCAGCTTCAGTCTCTTGATCCTGTCCTTCACCTTCGCCTTTTTCTTGGCCAGGGCTTTCTCGAGGTGACTCTTCTGCGGAACTGTTGAGTGATTCAGGACTCTCTTCCCTGTCGTCACAAAGAGTAGGGATGCTACTTACGCTTGCGTTCAAGCTGCTACTGTAGTGAGTCAGCTCGTCTTCACTTTTTTCGGCTTCTTCAGCCTCCTCTTCGTCCTCGGTTTCTTCATCGTCGTCATCAACTGAATAGTCATCGTCTTCGTCATCTTCATCACTCACTGGAGAAGATGATCGAGTAGATGTACCTGTTTCATTTGTGTCTTCAGCGTTTTTATTGTCATTTTTGGCTACAACCGTAACTACATCGCTTTCGCTATCAAGCGAACTAGATTCATCAGAAGATTCATCAGAATTATCATCTTCGTCACCTTCACCTTCTTGTTCGCTTTCACCCAGTTCCTTCTCAGATTCACCAGCGTTCTCGCCGTCGTATTCATGGTTTCCCTTCTCCTTTTGAGAAAACTCAACACCTTCTTCTTGTTCAGACAATACATCCTTCTCAATAAGAGCTGAATTATCACCTTTTGGATTAGTTTCTGCCTCGTTTGCAGCAATGTTGTCAGAAGGCTTATCGCCTTCCTCTCCTTCGGACAATTCTTCCTTTTCAGTTAGAGCTGAACTATCAGCTTTTCGCTTAATCTCTACCTCTTTAGCGGCAATTTCCGGCTTGGAGTTTGTCTTCCTTTCTTCATTCATGTCTTCAGCAAAATTCGTCGCAGAATCGCCTGGTGATTCCCCTTCTGAAAATTTTTTCTTTTCGCAACCTTGATTTTCATCAAGTGAGGCATTTAGCGCTTCTTCCCTATAAAATTTGATACTCTCACCGTCGCCAGCAGAACGAAGGCTTTTTCCACTTTTGGATCTTCTTTTGGTGTTCCTCAAAGATATCCTATTTGACGTCGTTTCTCTCTGGTGTTTCTTCAAATTTTCTTCCGTTAGAGGAACTGGTTGTACTTGAGTCAGCATAATTCAGTCAATAGATTATATTTTGGAGCTGAATTCCCGTTTCGAAAGCCCTTTCATTCTCCTACATCTCTCTGTTGGGCATTGGCGGGAACTCCTATTAGAGGATGAAAATATCATACAATTGAAATGAGAAGAATACAGAGCCCATTAAAGCACAGAGGAAATTTCCTCGCTCGCTACCTTTATATGCTAGAGGACAGCTAACTTAAAGAATGATTTAAGCGAACTTCTCGTGGCAGATATATGTAGTGCGCGCAAACAGGTCGACGAAACAATGAATCCTCCGAGACAAACGTGCAACTAACTTCTAAAGTTTCCGCGCGCTAATACGATGGTTGCCAATAACATTTAACAGGTTGCCAACCAGATTGATGCAAAATAAAGCAATAGCAAAATTATTTCTCTTGAATTCTTACAGGATGATTGTATTGTAAGTAACTTGGCTTAAAATAGCAGCTTCAATTTTATCAAAAAAGTTATCAGTCAATTTCGATCTCCCAAACTGCTCGGCTTCCACAGCGTGAACAAAAATCACAGATGTTGCCAGCTTCAGATGCTGTCAGGTAATATTCTGTTCGCCATTTATTTTCTAGGGATTGCTTATACGTCCACTAAATTACACTCTGACATGATGATCGTTTTAAATATCCCATCAACAAATCCCGGAAATTTATCAAATGTGCGTTTTTTTCTATTTACCAAGGATATTACAAGGCCGTAATCCGCGATAACAATGAACTAGCTTTTAAAGACACACCAGAGCGCCTCTCTGGTCAAAACTTAAAATGAACAAAAAGCCTACAGGTACATGGGGTTTTAAATGATATTCCCCTGAGTTTTTTCCCAGCTCAATGCACGAAAATTGGGATTTACGTGCTTTGAATTTAGCAATATATCAATGAAGTCATACAGCTTTTTGAAATTGCACAAATGACGTATGTGTATTGGTCTGGAATAACACCAGGTACTTTTCAAAAATGAAGTGTTGAATACCAAAGAACACGTCTTTTCAGTCACCGGGTTGTCTTACAAAAGGAACTTTCGAAGATTTTCCCAAATTCTAAATAAAGAGAAGCTTAAGATGTTATTCAGAACTTCTTTGTAATGTTAGTCACCATGGATATATTGATATCCTCCATATTGAGAGATATAAACCGTGTGATAACTTTCCGAGAGGTGAGTGTATCGTTTCTTGCGAACAGTCGACATTCAATTGCGAATATCTCGTCATTATCCATCAGTTATATATTTAAATTCAGAGCAAGTGATAGCTCACTAAATGGAACACGCGTCGCTTAATATTTTCGGTTTAAGACTGAATTGAAAACATTTGGTGAAACAATGCATTTCATGGAAGTGCAATTTGGTAACTGTGAAATATTCGAGTTGGCTGTATGAGCAATTTTCCACATATTTTATTTTAAATTTCAATTCCTTTTCATCCCTTTTTTATGATAAAGCGAATTTATTTTTTATTTTCTCCTATTTCCCAGCTTTTTTTGCTGCATTTTCATGAATAAGAATGAAGTCAATTAACATTCTGTTTCTGTTTAGAAATGACTTAATTTAACAAAAATTGCTTTCAAAATGTAAACATGTGAATCCCGGCGCAAAAATTCTTTTCATTAGTTAAGTAAATATATGCGTGCCCTTTAGAAATCTAAAACAAAACCAAAATACTACTTTATTTCTACTGACTCTAAAACGTTTTTTTTATTTAAATGCATTTAAATAAAATCTTCCCGGAAATACTTTTGTATGCAAAACATGATTCATTGAAAACAACAATGCATAATGAAAAAATTTTCCTGAAACTAAACACCATTTCAACAAAAAAGTTCTAAAACTTCGTATTTTCCTTCTCCCATTCAGTTGTTTATTTTTTTTCAGTTTAGAATTGGAATTATGCCCTCTGAGAAATCTGTATTACCCGCTGTGAAGACTTCATATTAAAATTTTGGTGTGGCTGGACTTTTCTATTCGAAACAAACTGGTTTCCGCTCAGTTTTCAAACAATCGCTTGGCTTAGTGCGTCAATTAAAATCATTATACAGTAATCGTGACAACGAGACCACGGAAACTTCTTTATCATCGTCCTCAGTTATAGCAACGAAAAATCCTAGTTTGTGTGCGCTTTTGTACTACTGGTGAAATTCACCTCAGTCTGCTTTCAGCACAAAACTAACCCAAACACTAACCTGTTACTTTAGCAATGTGCGTACAAAAATAATGTTAACACTACCTTACATTTTTTTCCACTGAATCGATGTGATAAGTGTAACGGTGAATGATTAAAAAGCCGATAAGGGAACTCAAATTAACTATAGGAATACATTTGCGGCAGCCACACGTTATCTGCTGAGAAAAGTTCTTGTCTTATACATCAGCTTCAGTTCTCAGTTGTCTCACACGACGTCCGTTTAAAAAAGACATATAGAAACAAATGCAAAGAACTGAATCTAAATAAATCGTACATTTATTGATTGCACCGATCCAGTTGCGACTACTCTTAACACGATTATAGAATTTGTAAACAATTCGAGAAGTCGCCACCATTCGGCTTTGACTGATATGTCAAACATGTGCTACGAACTCTATGCTTTGTTATCATTTATATAAATTCTGAGGAATACATGATACAAAATAGTGAAAGTCGATTGACAAATACAGATTTTACTCCAACGAATTGATACCAGCTGGCCTGCCAGTGCTTTTTTTCATAACCGCCGGGTACAAGCTAAATCAAGTGTAGACTTCTTCCGAAATGAAGATATTTTCAATGAAGCGAAATATCTGCATTATATCGTTAACCTTCGAAACACAAACATATTTCATACCTTTCTTCCAGACAGCTGTCTTTGATTTTAAATGGATTCTCTAAGAATTAGAGTTTTCTTGCCGTTTGTGATCGGCTATCGAATTCAATTTCTAGCTTGATACCGAATCTAATAATTCAGTTCACCTCTGCGGCAAAAAAACTATTGAAAATCGTGCTGCTGGGTTTCAATCGAGTTTCCAGGGTACCCAACAAAACATAAAGGAGCGGAGAAATGTGCAAACCTTATTACAATCGTGGGCCGCCATTGGCCAGCTAACAGATGCCAATCATCCAACGTACAACCAATCTCATTAGTTCAAAATATACTCGCAGATGGTTTTTTTTCCACAGACTCTTTTTTAGATAATTTTACCAATGTCTCTTGCAGATACGTTGTAAAGGTTGTTTATTTATATTAAAATAGAAAATATGCTGCAAAATCGGATAAAGATTCTGTAAGGAGAGACGAAAAATGAGATTGCTTACAGCGGTCAAAACAAGTTTTCTGGTACGTATGCCTTTCTTGAAATAGCAACTTTTCAATGACTGCCTTTACGTTATGCTGGCTTTAATACGCGCCGAATGTTAGTTAATAATGGAACTGTTGTAACACTATGATAAATAATTTATAACAAACACAGATTAGAGTTCTAAACTTAACCCGCACCATGACTTTTATTCAAATTATGTTCGACGAAAGTCGAACATAATTTGAATAATATTCAATGTAGTTTTAATTATATGTAAGAGAAAGAACGGAATCTCAGAAAAAATTCAAATAAATATCTTTATAAACTGTTCCATTGTCATTCAGTTCACACTCTTTCGTGACTTCGAATCTTGCTAATTACCATTATAGTTAGCTACTAGTTCTTACGGAAAAGATGCTACACATAATTTTTTTGTCTAATTTTTTTGTGAATATTTCCTAGCTTGATCAGTATTTAGAATCATCCTGTACTGTCAACATATCAACGAAAGCATGCATTTAGTTCTAGCGCTTTACTCAAAGTGAACTTATTTGAAGAATTTTCGTCACATTATTTTTCTTTCAATTTTTTTCCTTTTTTTTTTTTCGGTGAGCCGTAAGGTTTTTTCTAAAGCAAGTACAGGTGGGAGAAGATAGATGATGCCTCAAACAATTAGCCAAGCCTGTCCTTCGGGGTTTGGGAAAATTCGTAGAAAACTTTTGAACCCTTTTTACAAAATTTGCGGTGAAGCACTGGCAGCATTGTGCAGATATAGTCAAAAACTTCTAGCAGCATTGTCCCAATACAGTCCAACCTTGATTATCCGGATTCCTGGGGACTGAGCTGAGTGGTCCAGATAATAAAAAAATAGGAATAGTCATATTTATGATTTTCAGTTTCGTCACTAAAGATACATTTTACTCAGTGACGTGTTACGTTTTTCAGAGATGGTCTGTAGTCGAGCTTTTCCACTCGCCTTTGCCTATTGTATATTTGATAGTTTGTTGAAAAAATCTAGGAAAAAAATCATTTTTTTAAGCAGTCAACATAGTATAGCACTTACCATCGTCTCCTTTCAAAACGAAGTAATAACATTAATTGTAGAAATCCATTTTGATTGACCGTGATTGTGTTTGCTTTACCAGAGCCTCTTCTAGGCACTGTTTAGGGAACGAGCAAGAATCGGAACGAGCTATAGAGAAAACAAGTTTTATAACATAGCGCGTGTGCTTGCCCTATGTAAGTCCTATTGAGCCGCTATGAACAAAATCTTTATTTACGCACGCCCGTGCGTAAATAAGATGACGTGAGCATTTTTTGTTCATTGTCGCTCTGTTATAAAGGAACTTGCTCATGCTTTTAGCTGTGCGTATATCGAATTATGGATGCACTTGGGAAGTTTGGAGAGCACTCAAAAAGCTACAGTTGCTCTTGGCTGCGCCTCGAGCTACTCTTACGCATTTTTCGTGCTCTCCAAACTTCCCGCGTGCATCCATAACTCGATACACGCATGCTAAGCATGAACAAATTCTTAAATTTTCACTACTAGAGAGCATTGGTGTGGTAGAGAATGACTTGCGTGTCATCAAGAACAAACGTTTTGAGGAAGACTAAGGAAAAGGCAGAAAAATTTGGGGAGGGAACATGATTTTCAAGTGAACAGACGGGGTGATCAGCCCTAATTGACAGGCACTGAGGTGGGGATGGAGGGA